ACGATGGAAAGAGACGGAGGGAAGAAAGTCTGTGCGTTAGCCTCCCGACTTTTGGAAGGGGCTCATGATTGAATGCAGCTGGGGTCGACAGAAAAGCGTGTATGTTGAAATAGATGGGTGAACGTGTCCTATGATAAGCGATCTTCTGGGTCTTGGTATATAACTTCTTTTTCTGTTCCAGTTGGACCTTTACGGCATGGGAGATGGACACATTCAAATAAACGGTTGTCATTGCTATTGGGGGAAAGAGTACGAACCTACATGCTACAGACACACGATGATTACGCGACAGGGGTCGCCTCTACAACTTCACCCTTCCACCCTCGAGCTCACGCCATTCCTTGTCGCCAAACCTCCTGTAGCCATCGCCAGCCAGCCAGTACAACTCTCCTAGTTCTTCCTCTGTTGCTGGGTCCGGCTTCACACCAGCCTGACGCAAGAAGTGTTTCTGCTGCTTGTTTGTACCTGTCGTCTGCGCTTCTCCCGGTTCGCCCCTCACCACCCTGAGGAACAACGGCACCGCGTACTTGGGAAGCAGGCTGCGTGTGTGCTCTGCGAGTGAACGGAGAGTCTCGTCGAGAGGGGCGCGCTGGTCGAGGTAGACCGCAGCACAACCCGCACGTCCGTCGTGATGGGGCAGCTCCACGCCATAGACGTTGGCTTCCTTGACGGCAGGATGCGTGCCGACGGCCTCGCTGACCTCCGAGGTGGACACGTTCTCCGACTTCCAGCGGAACGTATCACCGATCCGATCGTTGAACCAGATCCGGCCCTCGGTATCCCAGCGGACGACGTCGCCTGTGCGGAACCACGCGTCGCCTTTCTTGAGCACGTCGCGCATGAGCTTCTTGGCATTGGCCTGGGGATTCTTGTAATATCCCTGGAACCGCTTCGTCGGATCGTCCGAGGGCAGTTGGAAGAGCATTTCGCCGGGATCGCCGCGGTTCTTGACCCTTCTGCAGAGTCCTGTCTTGGGGTCGCGGGCAGGCTCCTCGGTAGCCCAGTCCACCTCTACCACGGCGATGGAGCGAGACATGAGGAAGTCGGTCAGCCAGCCTGTGCGACCCATGGCGCCGGCAGTCAAGTCGTTGGCGCATATATTGATCAGCGCAGCCGTGCCCTCGGTGGCGGCATACATCTCGCCTATCTCGTCGACGCCGAAGCGATCCTGGAAGCGACGCCAGACGTCGGGACGGAGCCCGTTGCCATACGCCAAGCGGACCTTGTGCTTCTTGTCGAGGTTCTCGCCCGTCTTGGGGTCGATCTGGGATGGCGCGGCGAGAAGGTACCGCAGCGTCTCGCCGACGTACTGCAGAACCGTCGCGTCCATCTCGCGGACGTCACTCCAGTAGCTCTTGGTGGAGAACTTGCGACCCAGGGCCTGGGTGCTCCCCGCGTGGAGGACAGTCAAGAAGGAGAGGACTGCGGCCGCCGAGTGGTACAGCGGCATGGCTGTGTAGACAATGTCGTTTTTGCCGATGCGGAGAGTGCGATCGCCAATCCCAGAACCACCGATGCACTTGCTCCAGGAGACGATGGCGGGCTTGGGGAGACCCGTCGTGCCAGATGTGTAGATCAAGATGGCCATGTCGGCGTAGTCTGCCTGAGAGCGCTGCTCGTCGGGCAACCGGTTCGGCGGCGCAGCGAAAGCATCAGCCTCGACCTCTGGCGTGAATGTGACAAACTTGACTCCTGGGTTCTCTGCCTTGACGTCGTCCGTGACATTGGCCTCCACGGCTGGGTCGACCAGGCAGAGGGACGTCTCGGCCACCTTGATGCAGTGGGTCAGGGCGTTGCCGGTGAGGTTGTAGTTGATGAATGCCGGCTTGGCACCCACGGCCCACAGACCAAACCAGACAAAGATGAATGAGTCTGAGTTCTGAAAGTCCATTGCCACAATGTCGCCCGACTTGACCCCCAGGTTCTCTTTCAACCAGGTGCCATAGCGCAGGGCCCGGTCGTATACCTGCGCATAGGTGTGGCGTTTGCCCTCGAAAAGGACCAGGTCTCTATGTGCGTGGCTGCGAGACTGTGCCCATTCTTCAAGTAGGTAGAACATATTGAGACGGTCGGTTTTCATGCGGTAGAGGGTTCGTACGAGCGAGGTGTACTGGCCATCCAGTACGCGCAAGTCATTCCAGAGGGCGCCGCGCGCATTGACGTAGGCGAGAACTGCCGCGGCAGCTGGCGCAGCGATAGCAAGAGGCACTGATCTTTCAGTCAGTCCCTATAAGCTCTCCGAAAAGTCGGAGGAACTGAATGGGAGATATTGCAACGTACCTGGCATCGTAGGCGAATACTATGGCCTACAATGATGGTGTCAAGGGGCAACAATGTCACCGACAGTTCGACCTTCGAAAGCAAGCAAGAGGTGAGGCTTCTCCTGGAGAATCGACGCGACTGATCAAATGGTAGCCAGCCCTGGAGATGCGGACCCTCGGGCAGTTTACATGGCCATTGGAACTCAACTGGCAGGCTCAGCCTCGACTTTGACGCGACGACCGTAGATAGCAGAAGAGGAGGTGCCTCGGCAGCGTGCGCTCCGACGTCGAATGCTTGAGCTCCCAGTCTGTGGGGAAAGCCAGGCGAAACGGAGGATCGGACAGACCCCCAAGTCCTCCTGTCCTGACGATGAGAGAGATACCTGACCACTCACCGGGACTGGCGGCATCATGATGTACCGATTTGTGCATGAGTCCGCACAAACGGACCCCGCATCGTGCCCGAATCACATACCCAAAGTGGACGGGGGCCATCTGGGGTAAGCTAAGGAAAGCAAGGCATGGTAAGGTGAGTTCTTGCTGTACGCATCGCTGGCAGCCGGTGCATTTCTACCCGAAGAGGCGCTGTTGATGCTACTATCGTCGCCTGTGGACGGTGGTTCGAAACTCTTGCTTTGGGCAAGGCAGTCAAGGCATGAACGAGGCGATACACGGTGAGCTGGATCAATCGTTTCAGCTCGACAAATGCTTCTCAGCGCCTGTAGAAAGTCTGATGAAGCGCGTGAACAAACGAGGACATGTGTAACTCAGTCCAATATTACATACCTGGTAGGTACTGCAAGTTTGGAAAGCTTGCCGTGCGACCTTGTCGCTGCATCAGCCATGAGCGCCACAGCCCGCGGTTACTGCGCCACATCAGACCCCTGGGTGGTGTCAAACTTCGCCCTCGCGACACGCATTGACAAGGGCAAGCCAAGCTTCACCAACCACACCATGAGCGCGGCCCCTTCCGAGAAGCTGCCCGACGGCGGCGCGAAGAAGGCAATCAAGCTCCCGCCCACCGAGAAAAGCGGTGATGTTCGGCGTCGAAGCTTCATCGTGCTCTCCTTCTGGGCTGTTGTCGTCATGCTCGGTCTGCCCTTTTGGTGGTACACGACCAGCATCTACAGGGCGAATCTACCACTGGATCGCATGCTCGAGTGGGCTGATGGCAAGGCGTGTCAACCTGTTCTCCCTATAACCGTGGCCTTTGAGGCCGAAGGACTCGCGGCACCCGACGCCCAGGAGCTGGTTAGGTTGACGCAGGGCATGCTGGACCAACAAAGCGATCTTGCAGCACACCAGATACGACTGCAGCCGGGCAATACCGACGATGCGGCTCTTACACTCCAGTTTACGCCAGGCAAGCAGATGGGTGCTACGTTAGATTCGAGAGAAGCTTCTCTGAAAATAAACTACCCTTCTGGCACCACCGTGTCCAATCCGTCCGACGCTGCCGCCCTTGCGACCTACCTAGCCCAAGAGCTCCGCGCGGCCTTTGCGGAGGAGCGCGCCATCATCTCGCATCTGTTGAACCAACCGCTTCAAAACCAGAGCCCCGAAACGATTGAAGCCCTCTCGAAACGAACGACGCGATCGATGCGATATGCCTCGACCTACCACCTGACCTTTTCCCTCTTCACGGACGGGCCGAGTCCGAGCACTTGGGATATTGAGGAGGCAGTCGACCGGTATATGCGTCCTATGCTAGACATTTTGCGCCCCATTCACAACTTTACGGTCGATACTCAGCTACAGCTGTATGCAACACCTGGTGTGCAGTCGCAGGTTCTGTCAAAGGAAGACCTGTCTTCGTTCATCAATGCAGCCGAATGGCCACTTTCGCCCTCAATTGGCGGTGCACCTACGGTCAACTTTGTGCTCTTCGTTGGTAACCAGACAATAGGCAATGCTGGGTCTGACGCTACATCTCAGTCCTGGATGATACCCCAGTGGGGTACAGTCTACCTCCTGCCTCTGTCTGACTCTACTGCACATGTCGATAGCGAGATTCTGAGGCAGCCGATGCTCACTTTCGGCGGGCACCTACTGACTCTCCTGGGCACCCCGCAATCTGGCTCTTTGCCCCTACGTTTGTCGACGCTGACAAGGATCAGGTCTCTTGACCTCCTTCTACACGCCTCCTCGACACTTGGCTCACTAGCACGGCTCTCAATCTCGTTGCCGTCTATCTCCATCCCTCGCACCGTCGCTGACGGAGTGGCCGCCAGTCTAGATCACCTCGAGAAGGCGTGCGCCAATCTGGGTGGTCCAGAAGGTCTCTACCACGCACGGATCGCCGAATCTGAAGCAGAGAAGTCATTCTTCGAGAAGAGCATGGTTGGGCAGCTTTACTTCCCAGATGAACACAAAATTGCCGTCTATCTCCCACTCCTAGGGCCCGTTGGCGTCCCTCTCGTACTGGGTTTGATCAAGGAACTAAAGGGGTGGAAGCAAAGAAGAAAAGACGCAAAAGAGACCAAGGACAAAAAGAAGCAATAACTAGCCCTGTTTACAAGCGTCCATAGCGAATTTACTGTTTTCAATCAGGCTACGCGCCTCTTCTGACGCGTTCATGTGCCACGGTGTACTGCGTACTGCGTGCCACCACCAAAAAGCCTTGGCGGGCGAATGACGTCGCTCGCCGAGGTTCCAACAGTCAAGCTTCCCCAGAGCCGCGAGTGCCTTTCACACTTTTTCTGTACCTTTTGCACTCGCCCTCGCCATGGCATTAGAAAGATGCACCTCCCTGACCCGACCCTGACATTGACTATTCCAAGCATCCACGACTCCCTGCCACTCAATTGCCGCATCTACCATCCCCTCGAGCCCGATGCGCGCTACGCAGCAGTCGTCGCGCACCCCTACGCACCACTGGGCGGCTCCTATGACGATCCAATTGTCGAAACGGTCGCCGCCTATCTGTTGAGACGAGGCTTCATTGTGGCCACGTTCAACTTTCGAGGCGCGGGCACGGGCAGGACGAGCTGGAGCGCGCGCCCAGAGGTAGGCGACTACACAAGCATCGTCGGGTTCATAGTATACTATGTGCATCATTTGTTCCACGGAGATGGTGTCCAAGGGGCGGGAAGAGCCCTGCTGATGGGCGGGTACTCGTATGGTGCCATGGTGACGAGTCAGCTACCTCCGCTGGAGGATTTGCTCTTGACCTTTGCGACGCCGGCTATCGACTCGGCCGCCGCGCAAATCCGGTCCCAGGCAGACACCCTCGCGGCGCAACAGCGTGATGTCCTCCATGCACGCTCGCGAAGAAGCCTTCGGGTGGGAGAGGGCAGCCCAAAGAGACGGAGCAATGACAGCGCTCGATCACACTCGTTTTCACTCGACGAAGCGGAAGATAAGATCCGCCATCTTGTAAACAAGACAGTCCACAGACGAGAGAATTCGAGAGGTCAGCCAGGTTCGACAAATGGTGCGGCCAGCGTCACGCTTGCAGCCGTCCCGGATTTGACGCTGCCACGACCCGCCTATCTTTTGATCTCGCCACTTCAGGGGTTCGTCCTCAGTTTGGCGACCATGAGGCGACATACCGGCGACGAGGCAGCGGAGCAGAAGATGAGGGGAAATCCGACGCTGGCGGTGTTTGGGAACGGTGACATTTTCGTGGCGGCGAGCAAACTGCGGACTTGGGTGACGCGAATGGAGGATGGGGACAGTCTGTTCCAAGGGCAAGAGGTTGAAGGCGCCGGTCATTTCTGGGTTGAGCAAGGCGTACTGAGTACGATGATGAGCCATGTCGCCAATTTTGTGAGGATGCTGACAGCTCCGTGAACATGAGGTTATTTCTCGAGGATCCTCTACTGCCTAGGCCTACACTGATCTGCGGCGCCGGCTCGACTTCCTCCCGTCATGTCAGGCCTGATCACGCAGCAAGCGGTGGCGACTACAGCTCGCATGGCCTCACTTGCGGGCATTGTGGCCCTTGATACTTTCTTCCACTCCGGATATTGTTTGCTATAAATGGATATCTTCCAGCCACGAGTGACTGGAGCGTGTTATGGCCTCTGGAGTCGCACTTCAATGTCTAAGCCACCCGGTGACGGTGGCCGAAGGCAAGCCCTTACTGCCGGTCCATCTATGGTACAGGCAACGTGAAATTGGGATGATCTGGATCTAGATCACGAGAGTTGCTGTGGCCACGTAGTGGTAGGCCACCTCAGCGTCGACCTCAGTCACGTACCACTACAACATGTTATCAAGATACGAGCGGCTTTTCGCAGTTATGTGTTCGAATTCTCAATATCAATACTACTATTCCTGCAGACTTTTCATATAAATGCATGTGGTCATCTTGCAGCAACCAGGTCAAATACTCTGCTTGACAGCGCCACAAAAAGGTTTCCCTCTGTTCGAGCACGCTGGCCGATTATTGAAACTTTTTATTCCGTGGTGGGATAATTCATCTATCGAACAACATTGCTTAAACAGTTTTCAATAATATGGGTTATCGAGTAACCTAATTGGATAGTATGTACTGCTTGTTGATAGGCATAGGGTAGGCAATCTCGGTGTAAGAACTGGAACCATGCACCTCTCCGCTCACTTCCCCGTGCACGTTGGTTGGAATGTTTGCTCACACGGAAGCGAAGCTGAAACAGCATGAATGCAATGCCCCGTTTTAGTTCATGCTGGCGTCTCGACGCAGCGCTGGAGTACAACCACCTTCAAGAGAGTTGGAAAGGAACGCACTAGTCCCCGTTCAGCGAAACGACAGCGGCAAATTTAGCGAATGGAGGCCTAAACGCGCGCTTGCGAGCCCCTGTAAGACTGTATACCAATCAGATCCCATTTAAGACCCCACAACAACAACTTCATCTCCTGAATATGAGCCTTTGGCGCCGTGTTCTTCTCTGCCCAGCGTCATGAGGACCGTTTGCAGGAGTCCCAGCGTTGTTCTGGCTCCTCATTGTCGAGACCAGGCTAGCACCAGCACGAAGCGAGCTGCCGGTGAGAGAGGTACGCGAATGTCAGGAACCCGTGCGCGTATGCAGGTACCAAATGACGCCGTTCACGGACACAGTACACTTGCCATCACCAATGCCGGCCCAACCCATGTGGGTGGGACAAACGATCTGGCTGAGTTGCTGAGCCTCCCCGTGGCACGCCATAGACTGGTGCATGCTGTCGGCCAACGAAGCGGGAGTTGGCCATCTCGAACGACTACAATGATTGTCACTATCCCCCCCTCAGAGTACACTTTGCTGATTTTCGGCAAGATTGCTGCTCAAAATTAGTTTCAATACTTACCATCTATACTTTCTTGTATCTAATAACCGCCAGGGGAACCTACGTCGGATATAGCCGCCCGGTCCAAACACATGACCAATGTCGACACGCCAATCTTCCAAAGTCTTCCCTTTCGGAACGCAAAGCCCGTTTCATGTTCTTCCTACCGCCCAAGAGAGTCTGCACGCCTAGAAAGACTTGTTTCATCTGCAGAGCCGCCGATGTTGAGATTGGCCTTCCGTTCATCTGAGCAGATTGCCCTGGCCAGGCCACGCTTAAAGCGAAGGCCTTGTCCATAATTCCGGCCATCTCTTCTTCCCTTTCTGACCTGTAAACATTCCACGACAGCATTCGAGAGCCAGTACCTCGGCCTTTTCCTTTCCTTGGTCTTTCGTTTGTCTTTCCTACCGTCTTTCCTATCTTGTCTGTGTCGGCATTTACAGGAGTCATATCTGTTCCCTCATTCGATTCGTTACCATTCTGCGGGACCTGCTTCAGACCTAGACCGGCCACTTCCACGACCATATTTTGTTACAACTGTGTTACAATACATCCTATCTAAATCAGACATCACCATGCCTCGGGGACACCGTACCACCAGTAGCGCAGGCCACAGCATGGGGCAGCACCCCTACACCCTGGCCCCGTCACCCATGTATGCGCCTCGCATGGCAACACCAAATAATACTGGCCATTTCAACTTCAGCAGCATGCCATCCTCGGACATGCACCTGAACACACAGCAGCAGCCTCTACCCAACACATTCGACAGCTTCCAGCCCATCTCTTCGTCTGCACCGGCCAATATCCCTTTGCCAGCTTCACATCGCCCAAGCTCGGGAGCGTGGACCATACAAGATGATCAAAACCTCGTCGCTGCTCGAGCCCAAGGGCTGAACTGGTCTCAAATCAAGGATACTTACTTTCCCATGAAAACCGCCAATGCCTGCCGAAAACGACACGAGCGCCTGCAGGAGAGAAGAGACGCTGATGACTGGGACAACCGCAAGCTCCAAAAGCTGGCGAGAGAGTACATGTCTATGAGAAAGGAGATCTGGAGTGGTCTTGCTGCTAAAACGGGCGAGAAGTGGATGGTCGTTGAGCAAAAGGTACTTTCCTCTTCTTTGCACTTATCACTCTAACGTAACCTTGTCCCACTCTCCACCCCGATGAAATCACGTACTGACGCGCCTCAGTGTATGGCGAATGGCCTCAAGAACCTTCAGAGCGCGGCGAGGGCCGGCGCCAGACATGAGCGTCTCCAACAGCAGCACGCGGCGGCAACGAGCAGCATGACAGGGTATGACAACGACGACAGCGGTGTTAGCGGCATCAGCGGGTTGACTCCTGTGGATGAAGTAGACGTCGGAAGCGAGACCTTCAGCAGCGGCAGCAGCAGTAGCCACAGTCCGGATCGGCGCGTCCATCACCAGCATGCTGCGTCGACGAGCTCACTGCCCTACCTTCAGCAACACCAGAACCATCATCATCATCGTCACCAGTACCGGCAAGTGGTGAACGCTGGGTATGGGGGATATGGCATGCAGGGATATCAGGGGCAGCACCGGTACTCGAGCAGTGTGAGCTCGACAGCGAGTGCAGCGCAGGGGTTTGGAGGTAGTGAGGACGAGAGTCCGTACATGCCTGGTCAACGGCTGCCGAGTGTGGATATGAACATTGAGGCGATTATCAATCGACCGAACAGGATGTAAGTGTGCTTACGGACGGATAGCGACTGGATGATGACACATTGTTTGGTGTTTTGGCGTTTTCAAATGGTGGTCTTACTACACCAAGGGATTCTGGCGATGTTGGCATACTCGTACAAGCTTTCACAATATAATGCTATTGAGATCTATTTGTCATCATACAGTACATGCGATACATCGTATTGAGTACAGTTGCACATCGTACACGCAAGCTGTGCCCAGCTGGCCAGTAAGCTACCTCTTGGCGACTGGCGCTGTCTCCGCCACACGTTCCGCCGTCATACTCTTCATCTCCTCGAGCTCCTCGTCTTCCCAACTGCCATCCTCTCCGCCGAATACGCTCGTCCACGCCCTGGTCCACATGCCTTTCTTGTGCACCAAGGCGAGCATCATGACACCAGGCAAGTGCCAAACGCTCGCCCAGAACAGACCCCGTGCGGTGCCATTATGCCCTTGCTGTCGCCACATGCGCACCGCGTCGCGAATCAGCCACGCGTTCAAAGGCAGACTGGTCACCGCAAAGCCCCAGTTCGTCACGCCCGCAGCGCACAGAGCGAGACAGATCGGAGGAAAGACCAGACTGTATCGCAAAGCGACCCGGGCATTGCGCGCTGGATTTGTCCACGCGAGCATCCGCAGCCCGGCGTTCTTGTACTCCTCGCGGATGCCCCAGCTCAGGGACATGAAATGGGGAAACTGCCACGCGAAGAGAAGACTGGCCATGAGCCAGCCTCCAATGGAAGAACCATCACTGGCAATGAGGAGCTCACGCCACGAGCCATCCTTGGTTGCGGTCTCACCGGCGGCAGCCGCCCAGCCCATCAGCGGCGGGATTCCTCCAACAACGGCTCCAATCCAGGTATTGAACGCCGTCACGGCCTTGAGAGGCGTGTATATCCCGGCATATAGGACAATATTGGCAAGGCCCAACCCTGACACCGTAGGGTTCACGCCAAAGTAGAGTGCTGCAACGCCAGTAGCGCCGGCAACAAGGGCGAAGAGCACCGCGGTTCTTTTGGAAAGCAAGTTCCTGACAAGCGGCCTGTTTCTTGTCCGTGACATCTTTGCGTCCGATGATGGTTCGTAGAGCATATTTAGGGTATTAGCACTGGCTGAGCATAGCGCTGTGCCTGTTGTGAGGAACAGCAGAGTCAGCGGACTCAGGCTGGGGGTGTTGGTCATACTGGGCGCCAGAATTTCGGGCACGGGGTATAATGCATAGGGCGCCATGGCGGACAGCACGACAAGGACGGTGAGTCGTGGTTTAGTAAGGGAGAGAATGGATGATAGGGTGCGTCGAAGGGACTGGTCAGGGCTGGCGGCTGCGCGCGCGGCGAGTATCGAAGAAGCATCGGGTGGTAAAGGCTCCGCCGCTTGTGCCTCTTCTCGTTTTCTAGCCTGTCGTCGGCGGTGTGGAGGGAGTTCGGCAGGTGGTTGTGATGAAGCTGAAACTGATGCCGTTGTGTTGGTGGTCGTTGAAGTCGGCCGTGCTCGGATCAGGGAGTCGAGGCATGTTGATCGGTCGAATAATCGATTTGAAAGGAAGAAACTGTTACATATTGACGCCGTAACAGAACCACGGCTGGCCTGGAAGCTCCCCGTTGCGGAAGACAAGCATCTTCGCGGGGTCTGCGTGTAGACGAGGTTCCGGAGCTCAGCTATGCGAGGGACTGCGTTTCGAGGCGAGCGCATGGTTGCCAGATCGCGCCAGAGTCATATCATTTTCGAGAGGCTGTGAAGTATGCGAGGATTACCCCACGAGATTGGTACGCAGAGATGAAGGCTTCTCGTGGTCAATTCGCGAAAAAGGGTTGATCATAGGCGTGACCGGGATTTCGTGGTGTTTGCGACCGCGACTCAATTCGTCACGTGATGCATGTCTTGTGCGGATTGCTCCGAGTCAGGCGGCTCATGCCCGCTCGTCCAGCACCACTGTCTCCCCTCTGTAGGCGACTGCACGTCCATGGACAATCGGGCACTGAAGTCTGGACTCAGTCGCCAGTTCTGGAATCTGCATTCGCTTCTCTTCGTTGCAGCTGTTTTCATGTGTTTGGAATTCTCTGGAAACTTTTCTTTGCTATGCTGCTACATCGTTGCCTTTTCACCGGCATTGAGCGCCGTCAGCTTTAGATACATGCCTTTGGCGGGCTTGATTGTGATGACACCCCTTGGCATGATGTCTTCTTCCTTCATGGCCAGCTGCCATTCGAACGACAAGACCATCATGGCAAGCAGGCACCTCATCTCAGCTTTGGCGAAGCCCTGTCCAATACAGCTCCTTGGACCGTGCAAGAATGTCAAAAAGTCGTAATTGCTGCTTGTCCCGCCAGTCTGATTCGGTTTCCCATCATCGTTGATCCAACGCTCAGGCCTGCATTCGCCAGCTTGTGGACCCCATATCTCGGGGGACCGGTTCGTCATCCACATGGATAGCACAAGTGTCGTACCCTTTGGAATTGGTTGGTCATTCACAAATGTGTCTTTCTGGGCCTCGCGAAGCGTGAGCGGCACAGTAGGATACAGTCGCAAGGTCTCTTGGATGACGCCGTTCAAGAAAGGCAGAGACTCGAGTGTGGTTGCGAGTGAGGCGGGATCGTCTAGAGGATTCCCAGGGAATGCTGCCTGCACCTCTGTGCGGAGCGTCGTTTGAAGTTCGGGATGCTTGGCTAGCAGGTAGCACGCCCAGGTCAGAGCCGAGGCGGTCGTTTCGTGACTAGACGCCGTCAATGACAAATTACACGGTAGTTGCAGACCACTCACCCAGCAGCCAGGAATGTCAGCAGTTGATCCTTGAGCTCGACATCGGTGAAGTTGTTGGACTTGATGAGCAACGACAGAATGTCAAAGTGGTCGTCGCCCTTCTCTTCAATGGCTTGCCTCTTCTCTCGAATCATAGGCATGCAGATGTCGTTCAAAGATCCTGTCAGCTGGTCGAAAATACCATTCATCCTCCACGGAATCCACCTGACCACAGGCAGACCAAGTACAAACGACAACATGGAGAAGAGCAGCTTCTCCCTCGATGGCTCTAGGAGGCTCTCATATATTGTCTGTATGGGGTCTTCGCCCTTTTCGACAACATTTAGCTTGCGGCCCATGCCAGCTACCCCGATGATGTCAATGGTCACTTTGCTGGCCCAAGTCGATAGCTCAACCGTTTGGGTCTGTCCTGCCGTTTCGTGTCGCAAGGCTCGAGCGAGCGTTTCCGCCTTTTGATACATCATCGGGTAGAGATCCTTGATATGCCGAAATCCAAAGGCGGGCATCGTGTTCTTGCGCATAAACTTGTGATGGTCGCTTTCCAGCACGATGAGGCCGGCACCCAGCACATGATGCAAGAAGTTGCGAATCTTTGCAGGCTTCGCAAAGTCATAACACTTGTGAACGAGTACATCGGCCAACAGCTTCGGGTCTGTAACTAGGACCTGACGTCGAGTGAGCGTGAGGTTGAGCAAAGGCTCGTCTGGATACTGCTTGACCAGGTCCAGAAAAAGGTCACCCGATGGTCGATCGGTTACCATCAGCGTCCGGTGAGCGAGGCTCACCAGCGCCTTTTGCCCCGGCAAATGCCGCAGCGGACTGAAGAAGTTTGGATATAGAAAAATCCAGAAAATGGCGCCGAATGCATAGTTGGCGAGGAAGATGAGGGCGACAGTCCGAAGGTGGCTTTCTGAGCTGTAGTAGGTTGGGAACAGCTTAATCGCAAGGAGCGACTGCGCGAGAGCCGCTACCGTAAGGCCGGGGATGCTGAAAATCTGTCGCACTTTGTCCATCTTTGCGTCTTTGATATTTTCGACAAAAGAGTCCGTTCGACATGTGGACTTGTGGGAAATAGATGCCTTGCTCGAGAGTTGACAGTTGCGCTCTGCGTCCCGCAACAAAGACCCAAGGTCCGAGGACTTGGTAGCTGTGATTGATTGATGCAGAACAGGCAGCGACGACGCTGGCGTTGGCTAATCTATTGTCATCGCTCGACTTGTCGATGGTTTGCGAAGCATTGCCATCGCAGACAAGGAAAGGGTTGCTCCGGCGCGCCTCGCAAAGCCGAGCCCAGTAAGGCTGCCATGATTGCGAGACGGATCCCAACGGATGATCAGTGCAGCCACATTGATCGCGACCCTACATGTACCCTGGGACGTCAGAGGCTTTTTGGTGCGGGGGGAGCTCCGAGCTGTGCTGTCGCTGTTAGTGGTGGTCCCTATTCAGCATGCAGGTCGCAAGAAGGTCGCGATTGGGGTTTAGCCTGCGAAGAACGTGCCACGAGAGGGGATCAGTTGGAGACGCAACCCCTAACGAATTAGACTAGAAGCTTGTTTGTCTGCTGAAATTCATGAGCTCGTCTGGGTCCAATGCAGTCTAGCATGCGAGCGAAGCAAAGAGGTGCGCGGTGCCACTTTGCGAGTCTTGGCTGATATGCATTTACTGAAGCTTTGTGTTGCTCAGGTCTGACTGAGACTGCGAAGATGGAGATTGTCACTCGAAGGATGAGACTGATTCGCAGCTAACTGGAACAACTTGAAGGGGAAGCACTGAAGACAAGCACTTGTGAGCCCATGCGCAATACCTTACCAGGTTGTGATGCACATGCAACATAAACTGACTGGACCCACGGATCTTTGCTGAAGCTTCAGTTGAGATTTGATAACGAGCTCGGGCATAATTAAAGCACTGGAACCCACGTAGATTCGCACGTGCAGGGCTCTCAACTCATACCCTGCCTGGCTGAGGCACTTCTCTTGCTACAAGAACCCATGATTGTGCAAGAGCTGAAGCTCTTTCTCCCGTACCTCTTTAGATTGCAACTTGCGCAATGTTCAGAACCATTGCCATCGTCCTCATCCTCTCGTGCGCCCTCGTCGGTGGCTACGGGGGAATGTACCTTGCCGTAAGGCATGGCTTCTTTGACGCTGTCAAGATTTGCACCACCAAAAAGTCCATGTGGCTCAAACCACGATGCGTCCTGGCAAGATCCGGCCCAACCTATCGGCCGGCCTACACGGGGATTCCGGCCATTGACGATGCCCTGGGGCTTCTCCTCGAGTTCTTTGCCGTTTCCATCGTCAACTACGGACAGGACATTGATTGGCAAGGAGTTGTCACTATGTCGTACATGGCTGCCCAGTTTGGAGGACTTTGGTCCTTGATGTCACTCGAAGGTCTGCGCAAGAAGAATCGACGCACAGTCTTCAGCTAGTAGGACCAGACAATACATGCGAATGTACATAGTTGAGGCTAACGAGCTACAGCACGGGTGCATGGGGAATGCTAGGACAGCTGGTGACGATCACGATTGCGGCACCCATCTACCTCGCCTTCAACGTCCTCTACTCACCCGATCGAGCTGGTTACGAAGATGTCGTCGTGGATCCAACAGACGCGGACATTCTGCCATGGGTATCAACAATTTCGTACATGGTGCCGAGCCTCCTCATGGTACTCCCATCACTCGGCGTCCTATCGCCCAGGGAGAATTACATTATCATTGCCTTGTGGCAGCCATTTCCGCTTTTGCACTCTTTCTTCCATCCACTCGTCAAGAAACTGGTGGCATCGGACAAGAAGCCAAAGGAAACGACCGACAGACTCCTCGTGTCTCTGCGGAGTGTGTACAAGTTCGTCATGACATTGAGTGGGATCGCGCACGGCCTGACTATAGGGACTGTCATATTGTCGAAGACACTGTCAAACATGCCTGGACTATCTCTGTCTAAGATGCTGGTACCGACGTCGTTGACAGATCCACCCATCCGAACTCTCATGAAACCACCCGTGTCGGCACTGGCGCAGAAAGAGATTGTCACCAACTTCCTCCGGTGGGATATCTACTGTGCTTGCGCAGCGTTTGCTGTTTGGGCTGTCTACCAGAAGCATCAGGCGTTGCCTCAAAAGAGCCTACTACGAACGGTGGGCAAAATCGGATTCTGGACTGCTGTGGCCGGACCCATTGCATCGGCGGCAGCATTGCTGCGAGAGAGAGACGTGGAGGTCTTGGAGAGAATCGAGTTGAACCGACAGATTCGCAAGACAAAGTAACTCAGGTATCGTTGTACACGCAGAGCCTCAAGACAAATCAGACACAAAAGTAACCTCCCCAGTCCAACCGCCTTTGCCCTCGCACACGTCTGGCTGTCGTTCGGGCCGTTGTTGCCCCCCTTCACTGAGCAGGGACGCGTTCTGCCATGAGACAGCTGCTCGGATGCCTATGGCGGCGTTGATGCGTCCCAGAATGTTTCGCGCGATCTGCTGCTGCTCGGGCTTCGCGTAGATGCACCATGTGACCAGCCGCAACGGCTGGGTGATGATGATGGCCGCCGCCCCGTCATAGCTCATGGTGGTCGGTTTGCCGTCCTGATCGACGTCTCCCAGTGAAAAGGGCACACAAGCAAGGATGTCGTCGATGGTACTGTGGAGGTCACTCTGCAGTACAGGCATCCACTGCGCCCATGCCTCTGGGTTGCCAACAGGAACAGTGGCAAGGTCGTGGTAGATGAGTAAGCTGAGCACCAATATCAACCGTGCAGATCGGATCAAGATGATTGTACAGGCGGTCTGGGGATCACAATAGGTCATGCTCGTCCCCACTGCGCCTAGGCGAGTCGGGTGCGTGCGGCCTTGGAAAGTATTCTGCCAGTACGATGCAGCTTCCATGTCCCACGTGTCAAAGTCCTGAAGGGCGTGGAGACATCCTTGAATAACGGTCTCGTGGCCTTCGTCGTCCATGTCCAGGACAGGTTGCTTCCACGGCTGGCCAGGCAGAATGCCCATGGGCACATACTTGGACAGGGCGTTTCGAAGCGACAGAACTCTGGTCATCATGGACATTGCGCGGATGAGAGGATCGAAAGCCCCGAGCACAGTCGTCAAACCTCCCGGGTCGCTGTATGTGTCATCCTCTCGAAGGAACGAGTATACTTGCTGCACCAAGTCAGCATGTCGACACTGAAGCCGGATTCCTGGACTTACCAAGCGTATTAGAGACAGCAGGAACAACTCGACACCTCTACGCGTCGCCAACTGCTCTACACCTCGCCGCTCCAACAGATAGTACAGTCCTGCAGCATGCTCGCTCGCATCTCCCACCCCTTCGCCACTGATGTCCTTGAGCGTGCACAGCAGCAACACGGCCGCGAGCACCTTGTCGTCCATCACCTGCGTCTCGTCCTGGATGGCGTTCTGTAAGCTCCGTATCGCCTTTCCGTATGCTTGGTACGATTGGAATCGGAAATCATCGCCGCCGAATTGGTTGTACACTGCCATCTTGGCGACACTTTTGGTTGCCAGCTCCAGCACGCCACCATCGTCCTGATGCTTGTCGTACATGGCGGGCAAAAATGTCAAGTGTCCTGGGAACCCATCCAAGCCGGCCGGGGATACGAATCGACGCACAAAGTAGCACAAGGATATGTCATCCGTCGAAATGCTCAACGTCGTGGCTACTGGCGTCGTCGGCGACCAGACTGGCACGCATGCTGAGGAGGGGCTGCCTGATGAAGTGCTCGTGCTGCTATCCTCCTCCACCTTCTTCTTGGACGAATTTGTTGATTTTACCGAGGCGGTCGAACTTGGAGAGCTCTTGCGCCGCTGCGTCGTCGCCGACTTTTTGAAGCTTGAAGCTGTGAGTTCGTGGCGGAAATGGAACTGGTCGGTGTAGCCCGGACACTCCTTGCCATAGATGTAGCATCTGCGGCAGGATGGCTTGCCTTCATCACACTAGCATGCATCGTCAGTTCATGTCCCATCCAGTCTCGTACGTGTTGGCCTCATTCTGTCCGTTGTTTGCCGTTGTGAGCACACGGGCGTCCATGCCAAGTAGATATTGATATTCGCGCTCTCCCGTCACGTGCGGGCGCTGCGGTCAGTCGTTTTGCTCACCTTGACCTTGCGCTGTCGGCAGCGCATGCATCCTGTGCTGAACCGTCCTGGGAACACCATGCTGATTGAATCTCGTCGCGATCTTGATTTTGATGATTGTTGCGGTCTACGTGCAGTTTGGTATGTATGTTGTCAAGGGTTAAGTTATGCCACCCTTTGCATCAAGTCGCGGTGCGTGCTGTTGCTAAACACAGATAAGCGACTGGGTCTTTGACACAGCCGCGCTGCCGAATCAACGAGGACGATCCTTGTGAGCTAGGCTGGGCTGGGGTTTGGTTAGTGGTCAGGTCAGGTCCCAGGCTCAGCACACTGACCCAGAGGGAAACGGTTCCTGGTCCTTGGCCCCTTGGGGTTGGTTGGGAGCCACAGTGACGTTCAGCAGGCCAGTCAAGTGAGCGACAGTCTATAACCAGTGTCATCCCGGGACGAGACAAGAGGGGCTCAGGTCAGTCGGTTCATGTTTGCGGGGAAGCGGTTCACATGCCGCCTCGGACGCTGGGAAATTGCGTCGCGCTTCATTGGGTATTCTGGACCAGTCTACGGATACGAGATGGAGCGAAGATCGCCAACCGCGGGGCGACATTGGTGTCTCTTCAGCAACAGCAGAGTCGGGGCCGTCGTCTTACTCATTGATCAGTCATTGAGAAATTTGAAGAATGCTGTCAAAATATGGATACAGCCAGGGCCAAGTGTCAAGACGGCTGATATATAGTGCATGCATGTAATAACAGCCGTAAATCCCCGGTCGAGAGGGTGGAAATGGCATTGAGGTGACAGGGGCTAAGATAGCGGATACGGCCGGAAAATTGATTGCATCTTAGGGCAAGCTGAACTAAAGTTGCTAGCTGACGGGCCAGCTCAACAATTCCTCCCTCTCTGGCGTTTCAATGTCAACATCGGAAGGCGAAGAGCATTGCTATTTGCTGCTGAGATCAAGATGGCTGCAATCGTGGGTGGCCTCGTAAGCCATGTCTACAATCTAGTTTTATCACCATTTGTCACCGGCCCCCTCCTCGCTGCAGTCACGTATCGCCCCAACGAAAGTCAGAACCTGCTGTCCACATATGCAGGGGGGTTCCCTGGGCTCGGCGCGCTCGACCTGAAGCTCGCAATTACCGCGCTGCGCCTGCTCTTTGGCGTGGGGTTGCTGCGCTTTATCAATCAGAACTTGAACGTTCGAGCGGCGAATGCCTGGCGCACCGGGCCCAGCAAGGGATGGAACTGGTCTGAGGAGATCGCGGTCGTGACGGGAGGGGCCAGCGGCATCGGCAAGGATTTGGCGCGCAACCTCGCCGGCAGGGGTACCAAGGTCGTTGTTCTCGACATCCAGGACATGCCCAAGGAACTGCATGACAATCCTCTCATCTCGCACTATCACTGCGATCTCATGTCCAAGGACTCGATTGGGGCGGCGGCGGCGGCTGTGCGCAAGGACGTCGGGCACCCGACGATCCTGGTCAACAATGCTGGTGTCTCCCAGGCAAAGCCCATACTAGACCAGTCCGAGCCGTATCTGCGTGCTGTCTTTGGCGTCAACAATATTGCCCATTGGCTCTGCGTGCAGCAATTCATGCCACACATGATTGAGAAGAACAAGGGCCACATTGTCACCGTGGCGAGCATTGGCTCCTTTGTCAGCCTGTCCTCTGGCGTGGCGTATGCTGCTACCAAGGCTGCCGCGCTGGCTTTCCACGAAGGTCTCGGGGTCGAGTTGAAGCACATCTACCGCGCCGACAATGTCCTCACGACCGTCGTGCATCCTTTCTTCGTGGACACGCCGCTCATCGCAGAGATTTCCAATGGCCTGACGGACTCTGGGCTCACTCTCTTGGCCAGCAATGTCGTTGCGGATGCCATTAGCGAGAGGATCTGGAGCAAGCGCGGTGGGCAGGTCACTGTCCCGAACTCGAGAGCTCTGTTAAGCGGCGTAAGAGCATGGCCTGGCTGGCTGCAAGAAGTTCTGAGAGATATCATCGGATCGGGTACGCGCAAAGCAGGCGAAGGAAGAACGTGGACAATCCCTGAGTGGTGAAAACACCGTAGTTTCGGTATCGTGCGACTTATCCATGAAGGAAGGACCTCACTTTGCCATCATGTGCCTCGACGTACGCATATCATGGTATACTGTGTAGGCGAATATATCGCTCAAACAGACCGGAGTATCGGATCCTCTCATCAGCCGAGGTGATCAGCCTGGGACTAGGGCCACCGCGCGCTTGACCAGAAACAACATGTAGGTGCAGTAGTAGCACTCAATATATAATCATCGATGATGTCGTCTTCCTTTAGGTGGTGTACAATGCTTTGTTTTCACGGCATGCACGATACTTTGCCCAACTTCCACATCCACTGAACAACGAAGACTGAACAACGAAGACTGAACAACGAAGACTGAACAACGAAGATGGCGCCCGCGGTCTTGCAAGTCATTGTGTCTACGCCATGGCTTCTCACCTCATTCTTCCTCGGTTTTCTCAAGGCTCTACTTCCACATACCAGACCTGCCCCGGAATGGAGCATCAACCAAGCCGTTAGGGTCCGTCTTGTGCGGCTTATCCTGCAGTATTGGTCCCTGCTGAGAGTCGGAGACAGCATGACTCTGAAGCCTGGGCAAGAACGAGACCGCTTCAAGGTCGTGACGCCCCGCTCGCCAAAGCTATACCAAGGCCAGCTTTATGACAAGGAAATCACACCCAAGCCGGTGGGCGTGACATGGACGCCAGCAGAGCCTGCGTCTCGCGCGGGCATCATGGTGGCCTTGCACTTTCACGGAGGGGCCTTCGTGATCGGCAGTGGACGAGATCATGACACGGGCTTCTTTGCCAAGGCATTCACCAAGAACATGGGATGTACGCATGTCTGCACGCCCCAATATCGACTGTCCAGCCACCCGCACTCGTGGTTCCCAGCGCAGCTCCAGGACGCGGTGACGTCCTACATCCACCTATTGCGCGATTGCAGCATCCCACCAGAGCAAATCATCATCTCGGGCGACTCTGCGGGCGGCAACCTCGTGCTCGGGCTGATGCGTTACATTCACGAATTCGGCGGCGAGCTGGACATTCCCGCCCCAGCAGGTGTCGCGCTGTGGTCGCCATGGGTCGATGTTGAGGCTGCGCTCCACCAGGACATGGCGCTGTCGCCCAACTATGGCACCGACTACCTCAATCGCAACTTTGGCTATTGGGGCGCGTCCACCGTGACGAACGACGGCAAGATTGATCCCGCAGGACCGTACCTCTCGCCGCTGCACCACCCTTTCAAGATAGACGTCCCGATGTACGTCAATGCTGGCAGCCGCGAGGTGCTGTACGAGGACATTTGCGAGCTGGCCCTGCGGTACCGCGACGCAGGCTGCAAGGTTAGCCTCGACGTCAGTGAGGGTTGTCCGCATGACTTCCTCCTGCTGGGCCCTCGCATGGGCTTTACGCAGGCGGGTCACATGGCAGCACGCAAGGCAAACCGCTTTTTTCACCGGGAGGGGTTAGCAATGCGTTTGACCGAGTGAGCTGTTGTTCACGCAGATTTGATAGTCTATAGACTTGATGAATACATGTATGGCTTCAATGATGAATGTAGACAAGATTCCGACGTTGAAATCCTCAATCCCACCGAGCTTTTCCCTTTTCGACCCCTGCTTGCGCGCGCATATGCATGTAAACCATATAACATTGGCGTATGGCTCTTTGCCACACCAACACCGCGGCTGGCTGCTCGCAAAGTCCTCTCACACCTCCGAGATTCCACTGCGTCCTAGCGGCGCGCTATGGAAAACACAGGTGGCTTGCGAGGCTCGCGAGGGCCGCATTGATCGACAATGCTGCCGAGATATTGACGTACAATATCTTGAAATGTTCAAGATGATGTGTCCATATTCAACAAGGCATCACATGTCAACGACTGCTGCGAATTCTTCTCGGGTGTATGCAGAGACATTGGCTCATCTCTGTGGTCAGTATCAGTTGCATCTGTCGCCCTCCCGAGGACGGATGCCGACGTCTTGTATTGATCCGGCTCGCCGCTCGCCCCACGGCTATCGTGTCTGTCCCCAAAATCTCCATAAGGCCTACTCGTTGCCCGACTGTCGTTGAAGCAGATTCTTGCCTTACCCTATCGCTAAGAGAAAAGCTTATTGACTCGCATTCTCTGAGCGGACCAGGCCACGGACCAAACTCCTCGCACTACTCAGATCTCAAGGGCACCCGTACGTTATTGAGCGGGCAAAAATGTCTTCGCCACCTTCATACGACGCCATCATTGTTGGCGCTGGGATATCTGGCATCAACGCAGCATATCGACTACAAAGCGCCTCTCTCACATACACCATCCTAGAGGCACGTTCAAGCCTCGGTGGGACATGGGACCTTTTCCGGTACCCAGGCATCCGGTGTGATTCAGACATCTACTCGTTTGGATTTACCTGGAGTCCCTGGACAAAAGAAGAAGTGATGCCGAGCGGCCAGCAAATCAAGGAGTACGTCACACGCTCTGCGCATGAGCAAGGAATCGATCAGCACATGCGGTTCAAGCACGCCGTCACCAAAGCCAACTGGAACGGGGAGACGAAAATGTGGGAGGTGCACGCTGCCGTGAAAGGCGAGGAAGAGACACTGCTGTTCACTAGTCGCTTCCTGTTCTTGGGCACGGGTTATTACGACTACGACACCCCTCTGCAGACAACAATCCCCGGAATCGACAAGTTCGGGGGCAAAGTGATCCACCCTCAGTTCTGGCCCAAAGATTACGACTACACCGACAAGGAGGTTGTCGTCATTGGCAGCGGAGCCACGGCTGTCACAGTCTTGCCTGCCATGACGGACAAAGCAAAGAGAGTCACGATGCTGCAGAGGAGCCCTACGTACATCATGACACGACGGAACAAGTCGCCTCTCCAGAACGCGCTCTTTGCCTTCTTGCCTACCATGTTTGCCCATTTTCTCAACCGCATGTTCTACATCTTGACGAGCATTCTCACCACGTGGTTCTGTCGAACATTCCCTGGTGCTGCAAAGGCCCTGGTCCGCAGCTTGACTGTCTCACAACTGCCACCGTCCATCAAGCACGACCCTCACTTCAAGCCGCGGTATAACCCATGGGAGCAGCGTTTCTGCGCAAGCATGGATGGCGACTTTTTCCAGGCATTGCGGGGAGGCAAGGCGGATATTGTGACGGACACCATCAAGCAGGTCACGGAGAAGAGCATCGAGCTCGAGTCGGGTGCCTCCTTACACCCCGACGTGATCGTCACTGCTACAGGCCTGAAACTCAAGTTCGGCGGCGGCGTCAGCATGTCGGTCGATGGCAAGCCAATCAATCTCTCTGAGATGTTCGCCTGGAAGTCGGCTATGATCCAGGACGTGCCCAACATGCTGTTCCTGACGGGCTACGAAACTGCGTCGTGGACGCTGGGTGCTGATGTCAACATGCACATGTTTTTGCATCTGCTGCGGGAGATGAAGAAGAGGAACGCACAGGTAGCTGTGCCGAGGGTGTCCAAGCCGATGAAGGAGGTGTCCATGATGAAACTCAAGTCTACGTACTTCAAGGTGGGCGGGCATGTGTTCCCCAAAGGTGGCCAGGGGCAGTGGGAGCCCAAGGCCGACTACCTGACGGATCTCGCTGGTGCGAAATGGGGGGATGTGGTCACCGATATGGAGTTTTCGTAGTCACGGTACACGTGAAATCGAGAATTGAAGCCTTATCATTCTATATCTTTCTGAGTTTAATCACATGTGCGGGACGAACACTAGCTTGAATCTTCATCTATCATGTGGCGACAGGAAATGACTACGGATCTGCCCGTCTAGTTGCAAGAGCATCGAATAAAGTTGCTACAAGAAACTAATTAGATCCGGACTTGCAGCAGACCCTCGCCCATCATGATCGGGGCCCTGGGGGCTGTGTCTAGTACAGTGGCACCATGCGGAGGCTGGCAGCAACCTTGCCCGATTCTGATGCACCTTGACGTTCTATGCGATCCTACGTACCAACTGCTCCTGGCCTCGCAAGGGCAACCCAAGAGTTCAGGATTCTCGGCGAGGTGGTGCTGACCCCTCCATCAAATGTTTGTGCATGTGGAAGATGAATTCGATCGAATGCCCCTACCCCACGGGGGCGACGGGGCCGGTATGCTGATCGCACTGTTCCTTATCGAGGCCAACCTTCCGAAGCATTTGCGAACCTCTTCTCCTCAACTCCAATTCAACCGACATCATGAGGCTTGATTGCAGAAAACTCACAAGATAAAAGACGCCGGTGACAATAAGTCAAACCCCTGTGCAGCACCATCCCATCAGCACAATCCCAGCGAACATAGCACACCCAACATTGAACATGGCGACCCAGACAATGACGGCCACTGAGGCCCCAGACACCACAACTCTTCAGGTTGTCGACATTGATTCCTCTGCGGAATTGACGAAATCTGAGCAACTCAAAATGCAAGAAGCATGGCTACATCTTCTTCGACTCTGCGGAACCTCCGTCGCCCACGACACAGCGCCCGAACTCACCGCTCATCTGACCAGCATGCTCACCAACAAGTCTCCAGAGTCATTCCGCGAGACACTATGGAATTTCATCCTCGCTGAGCATCCTGACGCGCCGGTTCTTCGCTTTATGCGAGCCAGGAAGTGGGACGTCCGGCAGGCCATGGAGATGCTGGTCTCCGCCCTCAACTGGCGCGATGAGCGCCGCATCGACCACGACATCATCGGCAAAGGCGAGAGCGTTGGTCTGCAGTCAGAAATGTCCAAAGACGACCAAGGCTTCATCAGCCAGTATCAATCGGGCAAGTCCTACGTCCGCGGTGCGGACAAGGAGGGACGCCCCCTCTACGTTATCAAGGTGCGACTTCACGACCCGAAGAACCAGACGTCAGAAGCCATGGAGAACTATGTACTGCACAACATTGAAAGCATCAAGACCATGCTTTCGTTCCCCAACGACAAGGCATGCCTCATCTTTGACCTGACAGGGTTCGGTTTGAAGAACATGGATTTCCACGTGGTGAAATTCCTGGTGACTGTGTTTGAGGCTAGATACCCGGAAACGCTGGGCTTGGTTCTTATTCACAAAGCACCCTTTGTGTTCTGGGGTGAGTGAACTTCTTTTCCCATCGAATTCACGAAGCAGCTAGCTGACCATCATTCTCAGGAATCTGGAGCATCATCAAGGGCTGGCTCGATCCCGTGATCGCGTCCAAGATCAACTTTACCAGTTCCACGAAGGATTTACTAAAGTTCGTTGACAAAGACCAGCTTCATTGCTCGTATGGCGGCGACGACACCTGGGAGTACAAGTACATCGACCCCGTTCCCGGCGAGAACGAGCGCATGGAACAGGTAGAGAAGCGCAATGAGGTGCGAGGTGACCGCGATGAATTGGCCAAGCAGTTTGAGCAAGCTACACTGAGCTGGCTGTCAAAGGAGCCTCACAGCGAGGAGTGGAAGCAACTAAACGACAGCAGGAGGGCGATTGCGAGCCAGTTGAGATCGAATTACTGGACGCTCGATCCATACATTCGAGCAAGGAGCTACTATCACCGGTCTGGCATGATTGGGGCCAGCGGCGAGGTGGATTTCAAAGCAGCAAAGTAACGTACACGAGACTCAATCAGCAATAGAGTGACAAATTGAAGCATGGTTCTTGTTTGATAACCTTCTAATACATCTTTGCGATGCTGCTGTGTGATATCATGAAATCCCATAGTTACTTATCCCTTCAAGTTGAGTCCTGTCTCGCATCGAGCTGACCAGAATCTTCAGCTTGGGCATCATTTTTTTCAGTGGTAAATGAACGGAAATTTAGGGGAGCCAGACACCTTGTTCCCCGTGCAGTTGCGGGGTCTGGGCTCGACATGGAATCGACAGGCTGATCCTGGCAGGGGCCGAGGGCCCTGGTCGGCCTGTGCGCAAACACCACGTTGGCCGCCTATGTAGATGAGGCCATCGCCAACAAGTGCCCTCGCAAGGTGGTATTGAAAGGCTTCCTGGGCTGCAAACAAGCTCGCCAAACGTCACCTCACAGATCATCACCGCGTTATCCCCTTTTTGTCCGACTCCCGTCTCGTTCGAGATGCGGGGAAAGCATTAGCTTCAAGACATGAGCAGCCTTCTCCTCTCAGTGACCCATTTCCGGCGACGACCTCGCCCTGCACGGCTCATGCAGCCCCCACATAGGCTTGTACTCGAGGTACTTTGAAGGTACTCGCTTCTCCACACACACCTCCAGGCCCTCATTGGGATCAGCCCCCTTGTCGGTGTTAGGTGACATGGAGAGATGGACTATTGCCGTCTTCCGGAAGATGTTCTTTGAGTTGGGATAGGTAACCAACTTGCACGCGCATCCGTGCCGTATGAGGGGGTGGCTTTCCCAAGAATCGAGATATCGCGCCAGCAGCCAGCTTGCCTCGGTCGGGTCCTTCAATTGATCGGCGCAGGGCCATGTGATGAGTGGTGGCCTGGGCCTTTGTTGAATTTGGGTAGTATTACATCGGCATTCATTACACGAGACTGGCCGTCTGTCAGTGCATCTACGGACTGCCAGACAGACAGACAGACAGACTGACACTCAGCACGCTGGCTCTTTTGCGCGCACGAGCACGCGAGCATTCAGGATGGCAACGTCCAACAACAGAATCCACGAGGACATTGATCCTGTGCCTCAGCCGCCTGCGCAAGCACACACTGTCGCGGGCGGACGCGGCGACGAGAACGAGGCGCCTGCTGCGACGGCTGATGGACCTTCAGAGGCCGCTGCCCAAGATGATGTTTCGTCCGCATCAGACCATGTCCAGGAGAAGGGCACGACGCCAAAGCTTACAAAGTGGCAGAAGATGAAGGCACACTTTCGCAAGTTTTGGTGGGCATATCTCATCGGCCTCATCATCCTACTAGCGATCCTCCTGCCCGTCTTGTAAGTTAAGCGTCCTTGCACTCATTGTCACGAAACTAATCGGCTCGTCTCAGTTTCAAAGTAATTATTCCCGCCATTGTCCAGAATATTGTCAGCGGACAGAAGCTGCCTATCTCGCATGGCAACATCAGGGCGCTGAGTCCAACCCAGCTCAACGTCTCGCTCGTGACAACAATGGACACGCCGCTCCCAGCCACCATCAACGAGTTTGACCTGAGTCTGTACAACAAAGAAGCGGGCCCAGACAAGGCGTTCCTGTCGCTCCAGCTACCCAAGCAAAAGGTCAATGGCAAGACTGAGCTGGACGTTGCGCAGCAGACGCAGAATATCACAAACTACGATGAGCTCGTCAAATGGTTCAACGGCGTCTTTGATCTCAAGGAGGTGCCCGTGTCGGTCTACGGCAAGCCAAAGGTCAGCTTGGGGGCCCTGGAATACCATCCCAAGCTCGACAAGGAGCTCAAGGTCCCGGCCCTCAACTACCTGGACGGCTTTGGCATCGACACGCTGCGGCTCCAGTTGCCCCCAGCAGAGAATGGCTACAACCTCAAGGGCAAGCTCAACCTCCCCAACCAGGGTGTTCTCACGCTCTTCCTCGGCAACCTGACCTTCAACCTCAAGTCGGGCGACCTGACCCTTGGCTACATCAACATTTACGACGTCGAGATGAAGCCTGGCATGAACACGCCCGACTTTGACGGCGAGCTGTACCTCAAGGAGCTGGTCCCCAATCTCGCCACCATTCTGGATGACCAGAAGGCGGCTCTATCCGAAGGGGCCATCGAGTTCAACGCCACGGGAAACGCCACCAGGGTCAACGGCCAACGCATCCCGTATGTGGAGGAGGTGCTCGCGGCAAAGAAGATCCGTGCCCGCATCCCCGTGATCGCCCTGATCGCCGATGTCCTGAACGGATTCCTGAGCGACGATGGTTCAAGCCTCAGTGAGCTCGCGGGCGATGTGTTTGGCAACCAGACGCTGTTCGACAATATCCTCGAGCACTGGGGCGATGACAACCCAACGGGCAATGGGACAGCGCTGAATAGCACGACGGCCGCTCTTGTGCGGGAGAAGTTGCGGAAGCGATCCTCGTGGGGTTCTATGGCATTGAACGTTATGAGGCTTGGGGCCAGGACCAAGAAGCACCACAAGTAGCACGAGGGATGGGCGGAGTTAATGAGCTGTATGTAATGATTTCGACGATACCTGAACGCACTATCGAATTTAATGTTTCTGGCAATTGCGAGCACTTTCGTGACGACGGGATCTGTGTTCTCTGTATCTGATGCTAAGATTCCAGCCCTGAGGCTTCGCGCATGGTGTTCTACGCCCGTGCAGTGCACACATTAACCGTGGGACACAACATTCATGTTCTATGTGCATTGCGATCATTTTTCATGTTTGTGAATATTTAAATTTCATGTTCAAGGGGTATTTGAATTAAATCGCAACTGCATGCACCTGCCTTCATATCTCGTGTCCTTTCATTATAATCATATTAACCCATAAGCTCCTTCAGTACCGCATGAACAAGATCTGCTACAGTGGCCACAAGCTGAGGAAGTTAGTACAGTGTCATGAAAAAGGGAGCAGGGGAACTTACCGGTGTTGCATCGCCAATGAGCTCTGAAGTCTGGTCGACGAAGGCGTCCGACAACAGTGTGCGAGCGTTATTCAAAAGACCGAGAATGCCCTTGACGCTCGTAGGTGTGATGAGAGGCGTGACCTCGTCCACGATGCCCTCAATGTCAATCTTCTTGACGGCCGCCAAGATGGGCTTGACAGCATCAACAAGACCGCTGAGATCGATGCCGTCGAGCTCCTTAAGCAAGGGCTCAACGACGTCAAAGAGACCCTCGAGATCGATCTTGTCCAAGGTCTTGATCAGTGGCACGGCACCCGCGATCAAGGTCTGCGTCTGGTTCACAAACTTGTCACTCAGCAGATCTTCAGCGTTCTCCACCAGGCCAAAGATGCCCTTGACGTAGTCGGCCGTGAGGTATGGCGTGATAACATCAATGATACTCTTGAGGTCAACGTCGTTGAGTGAATCGAGGAGCGGCGTAACCTTGTTGACGAGACCGGCCAGGTCAATCTTTCCAATAGCCTCGAGGAGAGGCCCAGCCTGGTCGAGGAGGGGCCCAGCCTTCTTGATCAGGTCCTTGAGATCGATTTCACTGAGCATGTCAAGAAGCGGCATGACTTCCTTGATGAGCTTCTTGAGATCAATCTCGCCCAAGGCAGACAGAAGGGGACCGGCATCGCCGATGAGATCCTTGGTCTGGTTGACAAAGTCCTTGGTGAGCAGCGACTCGGCGTTCTTGACGAGACCGACGAGACCCTCCACGCTCTCCGGTGTGAGGAGAGGAGTGATGGCATCAAACAGGCTCTTGAGGTCGAGATCACCAACCTCATCCAGAATTGGTGTGATCTGGCTAACGAGCTTCTTGATGTCAATGTCTCCAAGACCCTCGAGGAGAGGCGCAGCACCCTTGATGAGGCCCTTGACTTCGGAAACAAACTCCTTGCTGAGGAGACTCTCGGCGTTGCCAAGCAGGTTGACAATTCCTTTGATAGAGTCTTCCGTGAGGAGGGGCTTGAGGGCATCCAAAAGACCCTTGAGATCAATCTCACCCAGAAGATCGAGAAGAGGACCAGCGCCCTTGATAAGGTTCTTGAGCTGGCCAGTGGTCTCCTTGTTGAGGAGTGACTCTGCGTTATTGAGGAGCCCAACAATGCCCTCAATCGAATCTTTGGTGAGGATAGGCTTGAGCGCATCCAAGAGATCCTTGATATCAATTTCACCAAGGAGGTCGAGGAGCGGGCCGGCACCTTTGACGAGATTCTTGAGCTGCCCTGTAGTCTCCTTGTCGAGGAGCGATTCGGCATTACTGAGGAGGCCAACGATACCCTCAATTGAATCTTTGGTGAGGAGAGGCTTGAGCGCATCAAGAAGACTCTTGATATCGATCTCGCCCAATAGGTCGAGCAGAGGCCCGGCACCCTTGATAAGATTCTTGAGCTGGCCCGTGGTTTCCTTGTTGAGTAGCGATTCGGCGTTGCTAAGGAGACCCACGATGCCTTCGATGGAGTCCTTGGTGAGAAGAGGCTTGAGCGCATCAAGAAGACTCTTGATATCGATCTCGCCCAATAGGTCGAGCAGAGGCCCGGCACCCTTGATAAGATTCTTGAGCTGGCCCGTGGTTTCCTTGTTGAGTAGCGATTCGGCATTGCTAAGGAGACCCACGATGCCTTGGATCGACTCCTTGGTGAGAAGTGGGTCAAGGGCTTCGAGGATGCCTTCCAAATCAAGGTTGCCCAGGCTGTCGAGGAGGGGCTTGGCACTCTTGAGGATAGTCTTGAGTTGGTCGACAGTGTCCTTGGTGAGCAAAGACTCGGCATTCTGTAACAAGGTAACGATGCCTTCAATCGAGTCCTTGGTGAGCAGCGGCTCGAGAGCCTTGAGCAAGCCTTCCAGATCAAGATCGCCGAGGCTGTCGATGAGCGGCTTGGCGCTCTTGAGGATGGACTTGAGCTGATCCACTGTATCCTTGCTGAGCAGGGACTCGGCATTCTTGAGCAGGGTGACGATGCCTTCGATCGAGTCTTTCGTGAGCAACGGCTCCAGTGACTGGATGATGCCTTCAAGGTCGAGATCGGTGATCTTCTCGAGGAGAGGCTTGAGATCGCCCAGGATGGGAGAGACCTCGCCGATGAGGGACTTGGTCTGGTTGACAAACTGAGGGGTGAGCAGGTCTCCCGCGTTGCCGACGAGACCGACAATCTCCTTGACGGACTCTTTGGTGAGTAGTGGCTCCAGTGACTGGATGATGCCCTCAAGATCGAGACCGGTGACCGTCTTGATGAGGGGTCGAAGCTCCTCGAGGAGAGGCGACACCTCGCCGATGAGCGAGCGGGTCTGGTTGACGAATGGCGCGGCGAGCAAGTCGCCCGCATTGCCAACGAGGCCAACAATCTCCTTGACGGCCTGCTCCGTGAGAAGGGGCTCCAGGGCACCAATGATGCCCTCCAAGTCGAGACCAGTGACGGTCTTGATGAGGGGTCGAAGCTCCTGGAGGAGAGGCGACACGTCGCCAATAAGACCCTGGGTCTGGTTGACGAAGGATGGTGTCAGCAGGTTGTCCGCATTGGTGAGCAGGCCTCCAATCTTGTCGACATTGTCCTCGGTCAGGAGCTTGAGAGCGGCACTGATCAAGCCACCGAGGTCGGCATCGCCAATCTGCTTCACCAGATCCTCGAGGTTGAGCTTGTCGAGGAGATCGAGGAGAGGACCAACACGACCGAGCAGGGTGCGGACTTGGTTGGGTGTCGGAGGTCGGAGGGTCTGGGCAAGGTAGACGATGGCGTCGTGCAATGCGTCGAGGAACTCCTCGGTGAGCAGACTCTGGAGGGCCTTGATGATGCCGCCAAAGTTCTTCAGCTCATCGACCAAGTCTGGGATGACGCCGAGAAGATCGCCCAGATCACTGAGGCCGGGGATGTCCAATTGTTGCACATCTTGGCTGTCATTGCTGCTGCTGTCGCTGCTTGAGCCGCCGCTGCTGCTGCTGCTCCCACTGTTGTCTGCCGTGGACTTTGGCGCGTCGACCGAGGTTGTCGCTGCTTTACCACCGTTCTCAGAGGACGCAGGCGCTTCGACCACCACTGTCGACGCTGCCAGCTCTGGGTCGTCAGCCACCGTCGAGTTGGCATCTTGTCGCGCGAACAAGCTCTTCTTGGACGCGTGACGCTTGCTCTGCCTCTTGTTGGTGGTGGTCAACTTGAAGGTGTTCCTCTGTTCGGACCGTGTCTCCTTGATCAGGAGCTTGATCTCGGATAGAGTCTCAGACAGCTCATCTCGAGGCACAATGGCAAGATTATTCTTTGCCAGGTACGCCTCTAGATTAAAGTTTGGCGGTAGCGCAACGTTGTCGGCATCGGCTACCACGAGGCTGCCAATGGGCGCCAACGCTCCCAATAGGAATGTCGACAGACGCATGGTTGAAACAAAGTTGACGTGCCCGCGGTATGCCTGCCCCGGATCTGGCAGTTGGGGAAGTGGTGACGATGAAACAAGTCGGCGCGCGTAAGGAGGGCAGAAAAGGGGGCAGGTCCAGGTCAAATCAGTTGAGAGGTGCGAGCCGGCTGGAGGATATCATGCAGTCCGTCGCGCGCTGCTTCACATGGCACTTTGCACCTCGGGATAGCAACCTGTCGATCGACACGCGAGCTTGAGAACTTGTTGGTGTTCCCCGCAACAGAATGGTGCCGGGTGCCGCAAGCTGAGCCAAAGATGGGCGATGAGGATGAAGCTCTCAACTAGTATTACCTGAACGGGGTGCGCGCACGCGGTCATGCTGCTGCTGCCCACCCACCTCCAGTCGTCAGTGCTCAAGCCGCCTCCCATCGCGCTTGAACAAGCAATCAGCCGCTGCTAATTAGCCCCGTAGCTCATTCCCAGCCTGGCCTAGATTTCCCTCTCGAGATTTGACAAAGGCCCCTTGCCCTTGTCGGCAATGACCACATGCATGCAACCCCGGATGGGGAACTGGGAGCACCACCTCGTAACCGATTCATGCTGCGGAGAACAGTCTGAACGAGCAGCCATTTGGGACGGGCGCGAGCCGCTTGCTCATTTCAGATCCCTGCCAGGAACCCGGCGAGTCGTGAAGTACCTCGACGGTACTGCCAGGGGGGCCCCCTCTTCCTGTCCCTCGGCTCCGCCCGCCTCTACTGCGTCCCAATCAAGCACGCTCCAATTGAGACACTGGCTTGTCATTGGGCAAACGTGCCTGATGCACACCTCGCAAGCCATTGCTTGGCTTGGCTAGCAGTGCCGCGAGTGTGCGTGCATATGGCAGACAGCCGACTTGCATTCTCCGGTAGACTCATCCACATGATCGCACTTGGCTTCGCTTTGGTCTCATTCTCCAGAGAATGGGTAAGGTTCCTCGCCTCTCCATTGCGGGGGAGAATCTGGGGAGGCGATCGTGGAATGTGGGTGAGGAGGAGCCGAGGATCATTCACCATGGCTGTGAGTGGATTCTCCTCATGACTTGATGTTCCCCGGATCTTCGTGCAGCCCGCTGCTGAGAGCTAAGACTCTGCGGTCACTGGCTTGCGAGTAGGTATGGTATGAGCGAACTGGGTGTGCTGTACGCACGCACGTAGCAGCCAACATGGCGTTGCGGTCGTGGGGCTGAATCTCGATTTCGATCAATCCACGAGCTGCAGCCTCGGGCGAAATATTGCTTATCCACTGATCGTCAACAATGACTACTTACCGTGAGTCACTTGTGGTCGCAGCAGCTGGATCCTGGTGATCTGGACTCCAAGTGGTAGGCGAAGTCGCAGACCGAGTACACATTGGATGCGTCAGGGCAGATCTCAGGAACAGGATGAGGGGAAGATGGAGACTTGGGAGAGGACGCCGATTGCTGCTCGCCTTTCACATTACATGCTTCGTCTGTAGTTGATGTGGGGAATGTGCGGAGATATCTTCGATAAACCGAGGTGAGGCAGTTTGGACTTCCAGATGTCTCAACCGGAAATCACATGGTGGTTTTGAGGACTCTTGTTTTCCGCTGAGGGTAAGTGATAAGTGCTAGGTGAGGTATTGATAGCTTTGAAGGCCGCTCTTTTCGACGGCTAACCTCCCAGGCTGAATACTACGCATGGTCTGGGAGTAAACACCTCGCTTCTATGCATACTCGTCTTGAAATTGGTTATGATCGTTCGACAAGGCTCAAAGAGCCTCGTTGATTTAATGAAACTAATTAGTGTGGCTCTGCAAATCGTTCCGGAATCAGTTATAAGTAATTCTGAGTCTTCTCTTATCAGAGCTTTAATATCTTACCTAACATGACTTCGCGTGGTCCTCCGTCTCCGTGTGGTTATCGAACACGAACAGTCGTTTTAAGATAGAAATTCGACGTTCGAGGATAGAACAAGCAATCAATTTACGCTATAGCATTAGAGATAGACAATAAGATAGTATATAAAAAACTCAGAGTCGTATGTAAAGAACCGATATAGAGCGATCGTAATATATTTTTGCTGAATGGCCGAATAGTAATTGCGACACAGGTCGTCCTTTGTGAAATGTTACAGTAGTTCGGATTCCCAATATCGAGCTCACGCTACTTAAATACCTTCTAGTCTAGTTAGTGCAGGTAGGATAGCTACGCCTATCTTTGACGGTATTAGTTCATGCGTAGACTGTCGCTGAAGGTATGGTGCGCCTACTCGTGCTATAACGACCTCCCTTGCCTATTTGTCTGCTTGGTTTTCTAGTTTCTAATTAAAATTGCCTTTAGCCACCTGGTTACCAATGGACACTCCTTCATGCCTATTCGTTGGGTGAATTTGGCTGTTCAGAATCCAAGTTGAGACCAAGACGGAGCAAACGACACACAGCCAGCTCTTGGGCCTCCTCTCATTGTGCACGTGCATGGTGCACAGGGCAATCAACAGTGTTTATACTCATTTATAGGATAGATTGGCTGTCATTGAAAGAGCTCGTGCTCACTCATAGACGAAGCCATGTATTGGTGAACATCTCATTACGAGTGCCAGTTGGGTGCATGGTATCACTGGTGCTAGCCGCAGTTCGGCAACAAACTCGACCTACTCGAGGCGTTTACCCCATGATGGCTCTCTTCTCTTTTCCAGTTCGGCTGTGGGGGATTACTTTGGGCAATCCAAGTGAAAATAGCTTCAACTGTGACACTTGCTGGGACCCCAGCCGTGCCAGCACAGCCACCGAGTCAGAACATCAAAGGATAGTGCCAGAATCTTTGAGCTCTCTGCCTCGGAGCTCAACTATATCCCTAAGAGCTTAGTACTGTATGATCATAAACGTCAGGCTGATTCTACAGCGGGGTATTGACACTATTCTTTGGATGAATGCAGTGGTTCGCCGCGGATGTCTGCTCACAAGAGGGTTCGCAAGAGGATAGAAGAACACTTGGCTCAGCAACAGAGATCACTTGCATATACCGGTTTCAATAGCCCGTGTGGGGAGGGAGGGGTACTTTTTTGTCAACTACGTAAGAAATCCATATATAGGCATTTAATACAAACCGCTACCTTACACGGTAGCTTCATGTTAAGTGCTTCGAGTCATCACGGCGTGATGTACTCAGTAGATACAGAGATTATAGAAAAGTCAACATTTCGCACTGAACCTTTCACTGATTTAATCAAATGAATTAATAACCTCCAACCGTGCCAGCCGTGTGCAACTAAAGGTTCGTCGTTCGATATGTTTAGTCGGAGTTCTTTATAGATGACTACCCTATAGTGTGAATATCATCGCTATTTTCTCCACGAATCGTCTACCGATCTTGACAATAGACCTTGATAGTGGGAATTCTACCATCACCAGATACATAAAGCTTACAGGGATGAGATACTTGTTCTTTCTTGCGAAGTACGGAGTATGAGTGAAGTAAGGAGTACCAACGTCGTGAATGTCAAGAGGCACTTGTGCAATCAACAAGACAAAGATGCAATGCGACCTTTGCTATGGAATTAGATGCTGGTGTCGTATTAAGGAAAAGTCTTTAGATTGCAGGACTTGAAATTAGCGATGCTTCCAAAGGTCGCGTTGTCCCTATAGCCTTGATCGCGCAAGTTGGTCACGACACTCCTGTTCATTTATCACGAGCAGCCTCACACCCAACCCCGACGGAATTGAAGTTATGACGTGGGTGCTATGCCGAAAGCGTACTAGCGCATCCCCGCCTAAAGGATTGCCATTGGGTAGAACGCGTAATCCAAGAAAAAAGACAAAAGGAAAAGCACAAAGCCCGAGAAATCGACCAAGGCACGGTACGTGTTGGCATTGTAAATGTCCGCGCCTCTCGTGACAATTTAAACATTCGAAATGCTGAAGGACTTCTTGTTCAACCAACCGGTTGAAACCAGCTCTGTGTGCAAGCATAACAGAACTCGTACCCGCTCTGTTTGCGTTAGCGCGACCGACTGGAGCTAGAAAAAACTCAGTCGTCCGTGTGATAGCTTACTGTGGCCGGAGCTTTCCTCGTGCCTGAACTCAATCGCTGGATGCATGGACTAGAAAAGTCTCGAGTCCGTGAAGAATCCACTCGGCTTGTTTTTTATCACCCGGGACTCAAAGCCCTGAATCGCGATGTTTAACAAAAAGCTATTTTTGGGTATGGCATTCTGTCCTTCCCTGGGCACGAGCCTCCTTGCACGTCCTATGTAATTGATGAATTGCCCATTCTGGAAATTCTGTTGCAAGTGCTGCATTGGCGATCCGCGGGTTCCTGAGCCCAGTTCAAAGTCTAGATCTTCGATTTCTGGACCATTTCATAGTTGAAACCCTGAGTAACGGGCACAAGCCACGTCTCTTACCTAACACCTACTGTGCTCTGCTGCCTGCGGACATAGTGTGAAGACTGTGTGCCCGTGTTGTCCGCGTCATACTGGCGACGGCTTCTGACATGTTCCGCATTCCAGGTCGCACGCACGGTGGCAATCGTAGGCTCGGAGACCGTCAGACGCATTTCAACATCACGAGGAGGATACATGTACAAGACGAACGGCGTACGCTGGTGCTTGTGTTGCATATTGTACTTAGCTGGGCGACATGTGTCGGTAGTTGCGAGAAAGACCCGCCTGATAGAGCGGATACAGCGAAGGCAGGAGGACCCTGCGCGCCATGGACGCCCCGTGGAGACAGTCCGTGACTAAAAGTAGCAGTCTAACTTAGAGGCATGGCCCATTGCGACCTGAAGCAAAACAATTCGAAATGGAAGTGAGTTCCTGGACGACAGGGCAAGGCGCCAAGTGGATTGAGGCCTCGTGGCAGTGTATGGCAACTGCCATTTGTGCATCCAGTCGTCACTGCAGCCACCCACTGCTTTCCATCGGTCTTGGTGCCTGGTTGAGGGGAATGCCGATCCGGGTCGCGTTCCGAGTCGAGCCTCGAAGTCTTCGGCATTCTTCCATCGTTTAGCACTTATAATAATAGGCACGCGCCGCCCATCACGCCAGCACTGATGTACCATTGCAAATACTACTCGATATCTGCCCTTTCTCTGTAATCGGGAATTCAGCATCCATAAAACGCGAGCAGTGGGACGCAAAGACATCGTTACGGACCACAGTAATTCTTGTTTTTCTCTCCCCAGCCGGCTGGCCCTCCCCCGCCATCACATTCAATGTCGAACCCTCAATCCGATTCCGAACAGCCCCCCTTCGAACCCGAGCCAGAACACACTAGCCCTGCCAACCAAGCCCAAGATAAAGGCAAAGAGCCGCAGTACTCGCCCCCGACCCTCGACTCGCCGCCCGGGCAAGACAGCAGCAACCCTTTCGACAATGCCGAGCCATCTGTCTACGGCGAGTCGAGCGCTGCGGCCGCAGCTAGCGCGTTGAAGAAATACAGGGTGCGTTTCAACAGCAACGCGGATGCAAACCGACCGCCCTGGCTGGCATCGCAATCGAGCGAGCGCCCGAGCAAGTCACCTGAGCGGGCGATACAGATGGGCCCACGACACGCACCTAGACCGTCAGTCCTACGGACACCATCCAGCGACGCAGTCCCTCAAGTCGACCCGCAAACCGAACCAGATGAGCCAGATCCCAATTCAGAAAAGGGCATCTCAGCCTCAGCAGCGCAGGAGCGCGCCAGGGAAGTTGAGAAGAAAGTCAAGGAGGATAGGGACGAGCTTAACTCCGAGGATGAGGACCACCGCGCTTCCTTCGAATCTGCCCGTACCGCGACTACGAGTGACGGAGGAGGCTACCAAGCTGGCGATATCCCTATGCAAGACCTCAGCGGCCATGCATTCACCAGACTGCCGTCGAGCGAGGCACCCCAGGAAACCGAGAAGCAGCGCTTTGGTGCCCATGGTAGCCAGGCTGCCAACTTGGTGCGAACCTTCACCACGCGGATGGGCTCACGAGCAATGGAGTCTGAAGGATCCGAGGTACCAAAAAAGCCAGACAACGGGGAAGGAAGCAGCAAGACCCCCGCGATTCACGAGAACCACGGGGGCTTTGATGGCGTGTACGAGGTGCCGCCGCCACAACACTATCGCGGTGGCGTACTGAGTCAGCTGCTGAAGCTGAACAAGCAACCTCTCGATTATCTTCCTGGGGGTCACGGGCGCAATTGGAGCACCTCGACGCTCAACAATGCCGACGAGCACACGGCACGTGGTAGAGAGAAGGGTCGCTCCGGAGACTCGCGCAAAAGCAGCCGCAGCCGCAGCGCTGGGGAATCTGGCGCGGCGACGCCGACCTTCCAGAAGAAGTCCAAGTGGTACAACCACCAGAGCAAGTCTTCCGACACGCTGGGGAACCTCATTATGGCCTCCAACATACTGGCTAACCCGAACACGACGCTCAATGGAGACGAGATGGGCTCACCCGGTCACAAGTCCAGTAAAGGGAAGCATAAGCGCAAGGGGAGCGGTAGTGCTAATCGCCTGTCGGCTTTTATGCAGAAGGAGGAAGCCCGCATCACCGTGCACATTGCCGAGACCCTGTTCCGGCAGGACTACATTGTCAAAATGTGTCGCGCGCTCATGTTGTACGGCGCACCCACCCATCGCCTCGAGGAGATGCTCTCCATGACGGCCCGTGTCCTGGAGATCGACAGCCAGTTCCTGTATCTGCCTGGATGTATGATCATCTCCTTTGACGATCGATCGACACATACAACAGAGGTGCGCATCGTGCGGAGCGCCCAGGGTATCGACCTCGGGAAGCTCAAGGACATCCACCTCGTCTACAAGGAGGTCATGCATGATTTGATCGGCGTGGAGGAAGGAACTGAACGCCTGGACGCTATCATCAAACAGGCGGACAAGTTCCACGTGTGGTTGAGGGTCCTTGTGCATGGCCTGACAGCGGTGTCAGCGGCCCCCTTCTCCTTCAAGGCCAGGCTGATCGACCTGCCCCTCATCTTCTGCTTCGGCTGTCTCGTTGGCTTCCTGCAGCTCATCGTGTCTGCCAAGAACAGCCTGTACAGCAACGTCTTTGAAGTCAGCGCTGTCGTCGTCGTGAGCTTCATGGCGCGCGCGTTCGGATCCATTCAAGGGGGCAACTTATTTTGCTTCTCAGCACTAGCGCAGGGAGGCATCGTCATGCTGCTTCCCGGTTACATGGTCCTGTGCTCCTCGCTCGAGATACAGTCCAGAGCGATTGTACCAGGGTCGATTCGGATCGTCTACGCCATCATATACTCCCTACTCCTGGGTTTCGGTATCACAGTGGGCGCCTCCATCTGGGGTCTTTTCGACCCAAATGCCACCTCGGACACTGTCTGCCACGATCCCATGGATCCTTACCTGGCCTTCATCTTTGTCCCGGCCTTTATTCTCTGCATCAGTATCCTCTATCAGGCGAAATGGAAGCAGATGCCTGTCATGCTGGTGATTGCCTTTGCAGGATACGTGGTCAACTTTTTCAGCAGCCGTAAATTCGCAGCGGCGCCGGCGATCGCCAACACACTCGGGGCCTTGGCCGTGGGTCTTCTGGCAAATCTCTGGTCGCGTGTCAGACATGGCGTAGCCGCTGCCACACTCATCCCAGCCATCTTCACCCAGGTGCCTGGTGGTCTGGCTGCCTCAGGTGGTCTGGTCAGCGGCATCAGCACGGCCAATATGTTGACAGGAAGCAACAGCACAAGCTCGCAAGCAGGACAGGACTACAACAACACGGCCGTCTTCAACGTGGCGGCGTCAATGATTCAAATCGCAATTGGCATAGCGGTCGGGCTGTTCTTGAGTGCATTGATTGTATATCCATTTGGAAAACGGCGCAGCGGTCTTTTCAGTTTCTAATTGCATTGGGGGAGCGCGGAAAACAGTCAGCATGGAAGCATTGGAGTATTTGAGCATTTGACACGTCGTCCGTCTCACAAGAGATGGAGACGAATACAGACATCGGATTAGAGCATGAATTCAGAAGTTTCTTCATTAACGGTATGTATCCGAGAAAGTAGTGAGAATGCGGGTGCAATCTAAGCCAGACGCCAACACCTAACCATATATAACCACAGACAAACAATCACGAGGAAAACCCCGAACCTGGAACGGAAAGGAGAATTCACGATTCTGCCATGTAAGGAAACACCACTGGCGCATCACTCTCGAGTATGCCCTCCATGTAGGCAGTGATCGAGGTCGAAGGGGCCCATACCGTCTTCACTCGCACGCTCCAGCCAAGCCCTGAGATCCATCTCGTTAAAGGCAAAGTCATAAAGATCCTCCAAGTGGCTCCTCAACTCCTGTGCGGGAAACTTGGTCTCGCCGCTATGGTGCTGGAAGCACGCACCACCCGATCCCACACCGGCCAAGGCGATGACCGACCTAGACAGCTCCGATACGACCTTCTCCAAAAGGAGTAGATCCATGTATCCTGTCACACGATCCAGCCTGGGCACGCAGCGCATGGACACGGAGAAGCACAGGATGGCATTAAGTGCGTCCGACTTGGGCGCTTGATCGCTCACCACCATGGAAGGGCGGTGGATCGTGATAGGCCATCATCCGTCCGCGCGATCAACAAGGTTCTCCAGGCAGACTTCGCTGGCCCAGCGGGACATCATGTGGCCTTCTAGAGTATCTGTTGAGGGGTGGTATGTGCCGACCGAGCCTGGTGCAAGGCGATCAGGGCCGTCTTCTGCCAGATGGCACATTTCTTTGCTTGGGACGGATGGAGGGCGACACACAGATCAAGCTGCGAGGACTCGGCGTCGAGCTCGAGGGGGTTCGAGGCTGCTGCCTTGAACATGGCTTCAGAGGGTATCCCCACGGATGTTTTCATATCTCGCAGAGGGGACGTCGTCTCTCACCGGCGACGAGCCTCCTCCCCAGGAGTAACAAGCTCGCTTTCTACACCGGCAGCCTCCTGCAGAGCACCTTGGACCTGAAGCAGTCGGAGTGCGATGAGATCGAGGAGGTGACCGACGTCAGCTTTGAGGGCAACGTGGCTGGCAAAGCTGACCTGTGTCAGAACGATTTCCTTGAACGTGCCCGTGAAATCGCTGGTGAAGAGAAGAATGGCTGGCATACCTGGACTTGCGGTGCAGGCGACGGGTGTCTCATCATTGGCCAGGGAACCGACCAGGATCTCCTGCATCTACCCTCCTGTTCCATCAACGAGATCGAGAACGCGAATATCGGTATTCGAATGGCTCAGGAGGATACCACGTTTGCAGATTTGGACCCTGGTTACATGAAATGAGCTAGGCAGCAAGACGTCGAGGGGGATGTACACGCCGCCAATGTGCAATAGGGCCAGTTTGGCCACGGCCGAGTCGACCGATGGTTTACAGAGCACTGAGATTCGAGATGCTGGCGAACAACCCTGGGCGTAGGAGCACATTCGCGGCGTTGAGGAAGCGATTGTACAGGTCGCTGTAAGTGATGGAGGACTCGATAGTTTGGATGGCTACTGCTTCCGTGTGCTGGTGTGCCATGACGAGGTCGACTCGGCGATCGACGAAAAGGTCGCGGTAGAGGAGACTTGCGCACGGAAGGGAAGCATATTGACAAAGTAGCCGACAATCTGCGAGTACTTCTCGTGGGATCGATTAGCGTCCAGGATGCCGATGCACAGATCCTCCTGCTTGGAAATGGAACGCTTGGAGACGTTGTGTATCTCATTCAGGGGCTCATCGGGAATGACACGAGGAACGACCGTCCCGCCGTCCGCCATGATTTCCAGCTCAGATTCTTGAGCCCAGAGAATGCCATCTTTCTAGGCCTCTTCCCAAAGCGTCAGCCTCAGAAAGGTCTCCCTGGAGTGACTGGCAGCTGGCGCCGGCGTCTGCTCCACAAGATTGCTGGACTTTGAGGCGAGGCAGCTCGGCAGGCACCACACAAGTAACGCCCTTCACGAGGCTGGCGTGGGACGCGTGCGACTTTCCCGTACTTGTCACTCACAGCATATGGCGCGAGTTCATCAGCAGGCTATGGAGTTTCTCCATGCGTGGTTGGGTCATCGTCGTGGCAAAGACAGACTTGTCAGCATCTTGCAGAACGATTGTGTCCATGCGCGAGGCCAGCTTGCAGTGGTTCCGTCTATCTTCTGAATGCTCTCGATGAGCTGAACCCGGCGTTTCCAAGAACGAGCCAGCAGTTTCTGCACTCCCATAATGATCATCTTCGTCTACAGTCTTTAATTCCCTTGATGAAAAGGGGATTGGTCAAAGGGAGCACATCAGCTCGGGAGGGCAGAGGGACGCGCAGACGCAGGTACTCATCATTGACAGCCTGGATGAAAGTCAGGGACGTACAATGCTTGGCCTAATCGGGGAGATCACAAATAGCCGTGTCGTCGCCAGAGAAGTTAGTCTTCTGGAGGACTCCGTCCCATTCGAGCGCATCGACCAGAGGCGTCAAGCAACGGCCATCTCATAATGGCGAGGTAGCCAGCGGCGTACACCACAAACCACCGACATGCGTGTGGAGATCTCGGATAACCGCTACAACCACTCGGGACCGAAGGCAAGGGCCATGTGCATACGAAAGTACGTTTGTAATAATACGTACGTGTACTGCAGTGGCCCTTCCGGGCGGACGCACGAAAGATACGCACATCCTTGTCGGCGTATATTCGTCCACTCCTGTCGTCGATTGTTGCCGCCGCAGCCACCGGCACGGAACAAGCCGGATTGTCAGAGCTTGTTGCGTAGCTGACTGCAGCTGCCGAGTCCCAGGGGCGGAGCGGGCTGCAGCTGGTACACGAACTGAAGGATTCCCCGGCATGCCGCATGATGCACATTTCAACTTTCCCATCTTCAGACTTCCACCCTGTCTCCCTGTCCCGCCCACAGCCAAGGCGTTTGGATCTTGTTCCACCCCCTGGGCAACATACTCCGTCAATTGATGGTCTGGGGGATGTGCGTACGCTGTGATCATGACAGATAAGCCGCGTCGTTGGTCCACGTCCGTGTCAAACTCCGCCTACGATTACTGCGCGAGGGCTACACGAGGATGGGCGAGGTCCAAATAGACGCCTCAAGACCGTTTGTCTCTCCGTTTTTTCCGAAAGCAGGGATCTACTTAATATTGGCCTCTGGCTTCTTGAGCGGTGGCCTTGGTCAAAGACCGGGAAAAGACCCATGGACTATACTGCTAGCGCATCTCGTCACAATTCGGGCTACTGTGCCTCCAGCATACGGTTCTGAATCGTCTGCGAAAGTATCCCGCACGTGAGTGCAAATGATGCAGAGGAATCCTCCATGCAAGGCTATTTGCTCGCCCATGTGCTGTCTCAGATCTCATGACGATCGCATCCCCTGTTCTGGCTTCAGATGCCTATTTGGGGCAGCCCTGCCCAGCTGCATATTCGCCGACCGTCAACAGAAGGCCCCGAAGATGCGACCTCGAGCATGGACAAGGCCTGAAGAGACGAGATGGTCATACTGGGCCGCGTGCTGCAGGTTATGTACAATTCGATTCGACACGACGCCCAAGGAGGATGTGGTATCACGGACGCCAGTGCAAAGGATGACTTAACAGCACATACCAAGCAAACTTCGCACTTCAACACATCTCTCAGGATAGCTGCTTTCATGTTACCATGGCTGTCATTCTCACTCTTCCTCAAGCCTAGAAAGCCCTCAAGATCCAAGGCCCCAATGTCACTGCGGCCAACGGGTCAGCTCCCCTGCCTAAAGTTGAGCCTAGCAATGTCCTCATGCGCGTCATCGCCGTGTCCATTAACAACGTCGATGGCAAGGCTGCAGACATGTCGCCCCAGATCGGCGCCGCGAGTGGCACTGAATTCTCCGGCATTATTGCTGCCCTCGGCTCCCATGTTGTGAGCGACGTGTGGCGCGAGGACAAGGGCATGCGGCCAGTCAAGGTTGGCGCCCACGCCTTTGGTGTCACCTTTGGCAACAACCCCCTGCGACCTCGAAATGGCGCCTTTGCGGACTACGTCGCCTGTGCCCAAACTCTTGATCTGGCACATGCCCGAGGGTATGACCTTCGCTACCGCTGTCACACTCAGGGCTGCGCTCGCGACCGTGGGACTCCCCCTTTTCAACTACATGTATCTTGAGCTCCAGCCCCTCTTGCATTTCACTATTGAATCGAAATCTTTCACGCACATGTCTGAGGTCAAGTGATGAGCACGCAATCCGTTACATCAACTCGCTGATGGATAGAGCATCTCGGCTGTCCAGGTCCAACGCCAGAAAGCATAGTAGCAGAACTCTTAAAAAGCAAATATCTTCTCTGATTAGCGAAAGATGACAAACTAAGCTACAAGAATACGAAGTATCAGAGCAAGGGATAAATAGGCTTACTCCCTGTCGCCACCCGTCAAGCATCGAAGATACTCGTCCTACCGACTTGATAGCTGCCGCTCCTACGTATTTTGGCTTTCCGCCATGCCCTCACATGCTTCATGCGTATGCTCTTGTCAGACCCGGTTATTAGAGCGCGGGACCGTGTGATAGGATTTGAATACCCCATGGAGACGAAATGGGGTCGTCAAGACGCCGAGTCCATCATTGAGTGCGTCTGCACACAGGATCTTCCGTCTGGTGAGAGAGGGCGTCCCGGGCTGCCAACAGAACTCACTGCCTCCGTGTGGACGTGTGTGTAAGGGTATGCCTCTATGGGACTAGCCATGCGAAAGGGTGCCCAGTAACTGTTGGTTTAGGCTCGGTGGAACATGCTGCTCGACACCGCCTGATAGGCTCACGAAGCGGGCTTTCCGTGGGCAAAGCCCATGAGGCAGATCTTAGCCCTGTGATGCCCCCCATTAGTGTCACCATACTTCACCGATCGTTAGTGGAGGAGATGCCCGTGTTAGATCAAAGTATACGTCACGTTCAAGCAGCGAGTCTCCAGCGTCGACAGTGCAAAGGCGTATCACAAGACTGCTTGCTAGTACTACGATGTCTTGTAGAAGTCTGTTTACACACAATTCTGGTCACCTCCTCCCGGGATAGGCACAATTCTTTGCTATGGAGCCCCCCCAAATACCATCAACTTACATGTATTAAGGAGGAGACATGCGGACCCAGATCGGTATGTCGGAGCCCGCACCACCGACAAACCGCCCCCAAGCCCAAGTTGCAAGGCGTGCACCATACTCTAACCGTCGAATCACAAGTGATGAGGCGCTTTCAAGTCGTTGGGTCGTCTCTGTTTGCATTGCAGCAAAGCGCCGATCGATGAGTGACCCGACCAGTACTTGAACATGAGCCTCTGCACGACAACGTCCCCCTCACGCTCACTCATGCGCCCTTATAGGCGCCATCCACCTATTTATTTCAGGCAGCCGATTACCTGCTGTCTCAAGTCGTATCAAGTCAAAGAGTATGTCATTATTCATTATTATCCCATCTAGCAAGGCACACATGCCTCCCGAGTCCGCCCAGCGCTCCTACGAGCGGATGTTCCTCCCCAGCACATCGCAACAAACGCCCAGTGCGCGCTCCGCTGCGCGATGAATGCTCTCATCAATCTCCCTTGACTGCGCACCCCTGAGCAGCCCGGCGATATTGGCCTCTGCACATGCAAAGAAGAGCAACTCCCGCTTGCTGTGCATGCCCCTTGACACGCGCACCCGGCGCTCGAATACCGAGACGGTGTCCCGCACAATGTGATGACACCGCTGCCAGCAGGCGCCGTCTGTGGCGGGGAAGTTGTAGTCTTCCAGCTCCCGCACTAGGTCGAGACACATGCTGATGGCCGAGTCCCGCTGGACACGCCCGAGGTAGCCCTCGCCAAAGACGCGGAGGGCGACGCAGGCATCAGCCTTGCCCTCAGTGAGCGTGGCTAGGGGACGTGTCTCGACCATCGTCTCGGCCGTCACCAGCGCGAGCGAGGGTGGATAACCCAGCATGCGCGCCGCAACCTCTGTGCGCACCTTGCGGCAGTAGTGCGCGGTGGCGTGGTCCGTGGCAGGCTGGCCGCCTTCGACAAGGGCTTGGACAAATTGCCGCGTGTAGGTTTGTAGGAGCTGGATCTGGAAGTCGCTCGGCTTCGTGGGCAGGCCGCGAAGAACGTCAATGTTAGAGCCACAGGCGAAGCTGAGACGCTTGGCGAGCTCATGGAGCTCGGCGTCTGACTTTGACGCGCCTGGTGAGTTGACGAGGTGCAGGCAGTGCAGACGCAAGCGCTGTGTCTTACACAAGAGGACGAGGATGGTGGAAGGCGTCAGGTCAGAGCCACTCGTGACGCCTGTGGCGAACTCGTCTTCGAGGTCTTCGTCGGGTATGTCCGAGGGCGGCTGGCAGTCATAGCTCTCCGGCGCCAGAGGAGCCGGCAAACCCTCGTCGAGACTCCTCTGCAGGGACAGCTCGACCATGGTCGCCCACAGGCGTCGACGAAGTTCAACCTCGTGTCTCGTCATTTCTGGACTGCGGACCAGCGGATCACGATGGAGGCCCATCTGCATCCCAACGCGGGCCAGGCAATAATCACCAGGCTGGACGAGGATCCCAGACGATGCCGCGTCCTCGGAATGGACGTGGCGCACCAGGCCCAGCAGGCAGAGTATCTGCGCAATGTGCACATCCGTGCGCTGGGCGGTTGGCATCCGACGTGTGAGCCATTGCTTCCCGTACGAGATCCAGACACCTGCTTGCTTCTCCAGGTACGCACGCTCCTCAGCTGGCCCTGGAATGGTCGGCCCAAAGGCACCGTTGAGTGTGAGGACGACAATGGACCCCAGGGCTAGGATGACCGCAATCTTGCACGCCAGCGGCTCGTCCGTCTCTATAGACATCGAGGGCGACGGCTGGCGCCAGAATCGCTCATACTCCCGCAAGAAGCTCGGTAGGTGCAGGATGCGAAAGACTTGCTCAAAATTCCTGAAGTAGGCCTTGACAAGCACGTCGCACGCCGCGCGAGGAGGGAGGATGTCCTTGGCGCACCCAACGGCGCTGTAGCTGCTAAAGCACGCACGGCTGCTCTTCTGACTCCTCTCCAGCATCGTGAACCGGTTCATGAGAGGCCGTAAACGCTCCTGATTGGGTCTGAGAGTCTTTGCGTTGCCGCCAAACGCCACCGAAAGGAATTTTAACCGGTCGCATCGCTCAAAAATCTCCTCCCAGTCGCTCTGATCGTCGATGGAGTCATGATCCAGCAGATGATCCAGCTCGGGCGGTTCTGGCCCGCACGCCAGAGGGGAGCACGTTGAAGCCGATGACGCGCCAAACAAAGGGGACTGATACGGCGGACTTGGACTGGGAGGGGTGTGTGATGAGCTCCCCGCGGATGAGTAGGTGGTGGCATGCGTGAGAGCAGGTGACTGGATGGGCAGTTCGCCTGGGGACAAGCAGCCGATCATGCTAAGATCCGCCATGGGGAAGTAGTTGCACATGCCAGCCTCCAACGGATACGCGTCGGCTGGGCTGAGACCGCCAAACATGCCCGCCTCTGACATCGCCGCCGTTGTCAACGTCGGCTGCACATATGCCTCATGGGGCATCACGTGCGGCGGCACGCCCTCGACTGGCGTGTGCACGGCGGGGCGGCTCTCATAGAAGGGACTCGCAGCATACTCGCACAGTCGACCTGGAGGCTTGCTACACGGACCACAGGGCGCGCGACCGTCGCAGCGAATCTTGCGACGACGACACTGGTTGCACGCGGTGGCGGGACGACGACGCTTCCACGCGGGGCCCAAGTCGTTACTGCTTACCGAGGACATGGTCTGGAGACGCGATTGGTTTGCTAGCGACGATGTCTGTGGCGGCGTCGATGGTCCTCTGGGGTCTGAGAGAGCAAAAGGACAATGTGCCTCATGGATGAAGCCGAGAGTTGAGGGGAGCCACGCTCTATTGCCAGATCACGTCTGGCAGACAGCGGGGGAGAAATCCAGAAAGGGGACAGCAGCGAGTCCTCCGAGGAGTGGCTGTCTGGTCTGGGCTGGGCTTGTCAGAGTGTTCCATGCGTTAATAACAGGGCCTGTCGGTTCCGGAAGTTGGGCATGCAATCTCGCGGTGGTTGTTGATGTCTTGTACTTATGCAGCCAGGACAAGAGGGCGTGCGAAGGGACAAGCGAGGGACGCGCGCGCAGGCCACGAGTCTCTGCCCGACTTTAATGATCTGCAAAGCCGTGCTCTACCCTGTTCCGCCCGGGGCGGCAGGACGTTGTCCGTCTGGTGCTGAAGGATCAGCTCAACTGCCGCGGGTGCTGTGCTATGTCAGACGTCGGCACGTTCTCCTGTCGGGGACTCCAGAACCTGCTATGTCGTGAGAGCTGCAGTCAGACGTGTGCGAGCTAATTGGGCCGTGTAGGCGGGAAAGGCACAAGGACGGGTCGTCTCTCGCAGTGAGCATGAGCATGAGCAATGAAGCAAAGGCGACACAAAGACCAGGGCCCATGGATGGTCTTTTAGGCTGGCCCTGGGGAGGATGAATGTTGTGTGATGCACGCTGCCACGCATGCGGCATGTCTATGAGATAGCGTGTACTGCTGCGACTGAGTGAGTGAGCGCACGCGCTTGTTGCGGCGCTGGGGTCGACCATTCCATCGACCACAGGCGGGCTTGGTTTCATCGGCTGGCCGGCAGGATGCACCTACGATGATGTGCTCTCTGAGTCCATGTCGACGTTGCTAGAACGGCACCTACTAGTCTAGCACATGTACAGATGTGAGGACAGCATGGGCGCTGGACGGCGGGGCCTATGCGAGCTAAAATGCCCTTCAACAACAAGTAGTACGTACATGTACTCCAGCTCAGGTCCCAAAGAGAGCGCGGACGCAAGACGGACGGAACCTGAATATGGGAACGGTGGAAAAGGCAATGGATCATCGGCACTGCTGCGCGCGCTACTGTGATATGGGTACGGAAATGTACGGCGCAGCGATTGAGGGCATCCTGAGCCTCAGTTAGCACGCTCCTTGGAACTTCTTTGGGGGTCGTCCAAGGGACATCTGGCCCACAGCGCGTGTTCGCGCCAGCGGTGGGAACTTGGCAGAGGCATGTGGAATGGGGACTGGAGGTTCAAAAGGGTCCGCGACGACAAACGTGGCTCCTGGAGACCTCCATGATGGCTGGACAGGGGTTTCGGGAGTTTTGCCAGCTAACGTGCGTGTACAAACCTTCCCGAATCAATAATGTGTCTGTAGATACGGTACGCCGTACGGATACACATGTACACATAGATAGGTGGATGCTACCGTAATCTTTCTACGTACTATTTGCGCTACTGTATGGCCCAACTGGCGCGCCTGGAGGCCTGACACCCTCTGCTTATCAGTGATTACAGCTCCTGCTGAGGTGGCTCGCCCTGCTTTGCATGCACCTTTGAATGCGCGCCTTGGCGGCTAGGCGCTGCTTCCCTAGCAGTATCCCATGCGAATCATTGTAATCACTGTGGTCACTGGTAATCAATCATCATGTACAGGTAAACTACATGTAGGAACAGGGAGCACGGATCTTGACGATCCATTCGTGAGGAGGCGCTGCAGGCGGAGTGGAGTGGAGGTTAAATTACGGAGCGCGCTCCTCGATTCCTCCCACACAAAGCCCCCGCCGGTATCCGCGATGGGGCTGCCGGATGTACGTACTATTTATTATGAACGTACATTCATCGACTCATGGATGAGCAACACACGGGGCTCCCGATTTGGCACATTCGGCGCGTTTGTTCAATGTGGATGAAGAGCGGCATCCGGATTCCGGACCGGTCTCAGACTCTCTCAGTCGAGTCACGCCTAGCGCAGCGAGTGAATCTCACTAGTCAGGATTCACCTTTGTCAGGAATTAGTCAATAATACCTCTCACGGCTTGTTACTTCATTACCTACCTAATTGGATGAGCACCATCAGCAGGCCAAAGCCATACAGGTTGTGCTGGTGCCTTCTTCTGAGATAAACTCTAATAATCCTTCAACGCGGCTTGGCGCGTCTCGCGCTACGCCGATCCGTGGGCACGTCGTGTCTTTCCCATCCTCCCAGAAATACAACGCTGGGCCCCATAGGTTCGGCGTTTACTGTTTGGAGATCTCAAGTACTAAGAAGCGCGGGGCTGGCAGTAATTCCAACTTTTGGCTACCTGGTAGCCGCACGGCAGTGCCGTTGGGTTGCGCGAGACAAATGGCGTTTATTTGGCCATTGCGGGCATAGGAAGAACGCAGGTCAATGGAGCTCCATTTCTTCTCGTTGATCAATATGACGTGTTCGTACATCGGTCGTCGCCATCTACAGGATGAACTATCGAGATCCACCAGCAGAGCTGCGGCTAGCCGGCATCACGCGAATATGTACGGATACATAGACGCGAGGCAATCTGCACACGTGCACGTAGTTAGATTGTCCATACATGCGTCCACACAACATGAATGATCCACGTTTCGCATCACAGCAGCCAGCGCAGAGTTGAGGCACCATTTACTTTGTCTTTGAGGCCTCCATCTTGGTCCCAGGCATGAGTGGCGCTGATGGCCACGAAGCCCCTCCTGTCCCGCCACAGATACGCGCCGGCAGCGCATGTCATATTCACAAATCACTTCTCGATGCCAAACGAGCTCAGGAGATTTGATGATATGTTGCGGCCACCATGGCGTAGAAAAACCCCACGATGGGCATGATGTGGGGTTGCCAGTCACGCACTTCAACGTCCACGAAGCCAGCCTCTTCGAGCGTCCTCGATGGCCCAGTCGATAATATCAACGCCCAACATGCGGTGTCCGCGCTGGGCCATGAAACGAGAGACGTGGCCTACGCCACAGCCAGCATCAAGAACGTGCGATTTACTCCCTTGCGAAGCTTCAGTATCTCCATCAGCCTCACCTCCATCCTGGGTTTACTTTAACATCCCCCTTTCTCTCGAGAGGACGCACTCACCTCCCCAGCACTGGTGTGAGAGGAATTAAGGCTAGTAAGTATTCTTGTCCCAATATCCAAAATGCGGCCCGGCCCCCATGACGATTTTATACACGATGCGGGAGTCCTATGATTTATGGTGAGCCCGCAAGGCACTGTTGTCTGGGAGAAACTGGCCCTCTTTCTGGTTGTCTCTGTGCCTGTCGACACGATATGTTGCTTGCGTGGCTGTTTACTGGGCTGCTCATCCATGGCCTCTTCCTGCTTCGGTGAGGTGACGACAAAGAGACAACCAGTGACCCAGCCATAGCACTAGGCCGTATACGCAAGCACCTTGGACCTCACGAAGACGGCTCTTGAGGTCTGTGACTTCCTCGCAAGCCAAAAGTCGCCGACAGTCACTAGCCGAATCGGTAACTTCCGGCAGGGTGGTGGTATTGGGGGCCATCCTAGGTTGTCCATGTTGCCCATCCCACTGGCCACCATACCATTTGCCAGCCGCTAGTAGATTGATGAGACAACTACCTCCACACGTGCCGGGTGGCGTCTCGCGCCGGGTATATGGCTGGATATAGATGCAGACTTTCGGGCGCGAGTGTTCCCGTGGCGCCTCTGCCGTTAGGTCAGTGTTCCACCCCCAAGCGCGCCTTGGCCCTCAAGCCTCGCTGCACAGAGGTTCGCCAAAGTGCAGCCCAGAAAGAGAGCTCTGTGAGGCAATTTGATGCTGATACACGGCAATGCGAATCAATCATTCGAGTCGAACGATGCGTGAGAATCACTAATCTACGTTGGATGCAACAGTATCCGTACTCTAATTAGTGTAGACGTGGACTGGAGTCCCAGGTGATCCCGAACCCCCCTGGAACAGGATGTGGCAGCGCATGTACTGTACTACGTACTGGACGTTGGACTGGACCCCTGCTGAATCCAGTCCATGTCCAGTCCACATGCAGTCCAGTCCCAACTGGACATGGAGTTTGGCCCCCACAATTGGCCCATGCCCCAAGCCACTACAACCGTCTAACTTACAGCACAGCGGTCCATTCAGCGGCCTGGAGGGCACGTTTCAGTGACAAGGCTGATGCTCCCCAGCCCATTGTGTCATGTCCGCCTCGGAGAATCCTCCTGCGGCCTGCAACTGCACGTCAAAGCGCAGCAAACATTCCCATCTTAAAAACACGCCTTTCTTCATGCGATTCGGGAAATCCATCTTGGCCGCACGCGCATCTGACGGTCTGACACCACAATGAATGAAGCGCCCTGCTCATGCAAGCCCAGCATGAACCATGGAAGCAACACTCTTCTTGCGGCTGGCCTTACGTACGCCCAACCATTTCGCTGTATTGAAATCTCGTTCGATCGTTTTGAGCGCGCGCGCATGGCGTCTAGCAACTCCAGCCAGCTGACTGATCGCTCTCGAGATGAATGGCGTCCCAACGCCAACATCTTGATGTAACGTGAACATCTGCATTGTGATCTAGACGTGGGTATATCTCAATTTCCAATCACTTTGAATAAAATCAACCATCACCATGCTTGACATTGCCTCCCTTGGCGTGCTCGCCTCTGAACACAGAGTGCCCGTGATTGCCCTAGCCACCATCACTGCCACCATCCTCATCAACTGCCTATTCTTATTAGGCCCCTAACCTGATGAGATTGCTAAAAAGGGGGCTTACACACCGCGTGTTTTCCAATGGGACCCGTTCTACGGGATGGACATAATGTACAGTCAGATCCGCGTCCTCAAGGATGGCTACTACCTGAACTGGCTGCAGCGTCTACACAAGAACCGGCCCAAGACATTCAGCATCAGCTTCTTTGGCATCAGGCAGATCTGCACCCTTGAGATCGAGAACCTCAAGGTCATCCAGGCGACCGACTTCAAGGACTTTGGGCTGGAGCCGATGCATCGCAAGACCAAAGGTGCCATACCCTTTGCGGACAAGAGATCATCAGCACCACGGACGGCAAGAACTAGGAGTTCGCGCGCTACCTGGTCAATTCCTTCTTCTACCGCGAGGTCTACTCGAGAATCGACCTCATGACACTGTTGCCCCAGGAAGACGGCGTGACGTTTGACGCACAGCCCTTGATCCAACGATGGTCCCTCGACTTGACTAGCGATTTGATTTTTGGCCAGAACAAGGGCTCCATAGGCGAGCCTTCCAAGGCTGATATCGCCTGGGCCATGCTGACTATCCTCAAGGGTGGCCGCCTCCGCATCCAATTTCACCGCCTCTTGTGGGCCTTCAAAGCGCGCCTATGCTGAGATCCAGGCCTGCGAGCATACCCCCGCCCAGGGCAAGGAGGTTAAAACAGAGATGACAGACCTAATGTGGTTCATGACCTCCAACTACCCAGACGGGGAGGAGTAGCGCAGCCAGCTGTGTCTGGTGTTCGTCCCCAGAAATGACACCATTTCCATCTTCGTTAGCAACTGCCTCTGGCACCTTAACTCGTCGTCCCCACGGTTGAACCAAGTTGTGCGCGCCTGCGGAGACGATGCTCCAGCTTTTCAGTCCCTCCGCAACATGACCCAGTTTCATGGTATCATATGAATGAAAGTAAAACAAGGTAACCCGCTGAATAGACGTATATCTAGAAAGGCTAACTTCGTCCTCTTCTAGCACACCACCTCACGCTAAACAACCTCGTTTCCGTCACAGAGACGGTCATGTACCGCGATTCCGACGACTGGGGTCCCGACGCGAATGAGTTTCGCCCGAGCGCCATGACGGGCTGCGCGGCACCTGGAACTTCCTTCACTTTGGCGGGGTCCTCCGACGCTGCCCTGCGTAGAGGAGGCCGGGTACATGCTGTACCGCCTCGCGCAGAGGTTCTCCCGTCTGGAGCCTAGGGACAACGCCCCGTACACCGGGTCCATGAGGATCGGACCCTCGAACCAGACCAGCACTAAGATAGCCTTGTGCCAGTAGTGAAATAACAGATCAATTCTTCGTTAGCTGAATCCTTCTGATCTAATCCCTCATCTCCTCTTAGATGCTCTGACCGCTAAGGGGCCTCTGTTAGCTCACTTACAATTTGACTTTGAGGTCGCGCCGGATCCATAACTTCCAAATGGGGTAACCCGGAGCGGGCCCCGCTTATACCGGGGCCGCTCCGGGTATCTCATTCGGCAAATGATCTGCCCATCTGCGACTTTTCAGGTCGCCCAAAGACGATCTGCATCCCTACTAGCACAAGCAACCGACGCGAACTATTGTTGGATCGTGAGGTCATGAGAACTTCGTTTTAGGCAATGCGTATCGCCCAAGAGTCCTAAGCCAGGCATTATCGTTAGTGGCATTTGTGAGACAGCTGTTGATGCCACAGCTTATTCCTTCCACACATCTACCAGACTATCTAGTTAGTCTTTTTGAATGTACCCAATTGTGCCACTTTCTTTTATTAAATCTTGAACTGTTTTTCATTTCATAAAGATTTTGGTCTGATATATTGGTTTTAATAACATAGAAACCTTGTGTTTATAATTAAAAGACACCCTATAACGCAAGTCGCCATTTGCATAGTTGCCCGTAACAACCTTTGATCGAATGTCATTGCTCCCCCGGGTAGGCAATCCACACTGCGTGGCTAATAAAGGCAATGAAATCTAAGCCAGAAACTGCCCGCTGCGATGCACAGCCCCCTTGGGCGGTACATTGTTCCGAAGGATGATTGTGAACTCATTCTCTTTGCTGCCTTGCGTGAGCTAGCCCCAATGATGCGACAGGACTGAGCCTCGCTGTCACAAATGCGTAATGTTCGTATCCAGACCTGGAGGAGTGAAGCCGAGATTGCTTCGGGGTGTTTGGCTACCACTTATTTAGGGCTGACAGTAATCGGCACAGAAATGCCTGGCCAGGCTGACCTGATGGGCTGGAAGTCCCTGCATTAACTCTCGAGAATTCTTGGACCAACACGGGGTTGCAATCTCATGGTGCTGCAGCAGCATGACTCAAACCTAGATCCATCAGCTGGCGATCTCCCGCACGGACACGACCCAGCGTTGCCGGCTTGCCGGCAAAGCTGTAAGCAGCGGGAAAAGATACTCACTAGCACCCCCTTGCAACCTCAACGTTGGCAGCGCAAATACTGGACCTAGGCCTTTCTGCTTCTTAGTGAGCACAAGCCTCGATGCTACGCCAGGCTACGGCCTGAGGGATTGATCATCTACATGTAGTTACCGGGGATGCGGTAATCTGATGAGCCGGCAAGCAAGCATGCCGAAAGTGAAAAACTGCCAGGGCAGTTCGGCAGTGGGCTAAAATTGATGAAACATATTACTTGAGAAGTAGTGGGAATCACGCTACAAAATCTCGCCAAGACACGAGCCTCGAAGCGACCGCCCCCTCAAGCTCTTCACCTCGTCTGAAGCCACCATGGATGATGATGGGGACCTCCTTCAGCCATGACCTTGCTCACGCGTCAAAGTCAGCAAAGTAGGGTCTTGTCGTCTCTTTCAGTGCTGTCTTGTAGTCCTTGCATAAAAGGGCCGAGGAACGTGGCAAACCTTCCTCACAATGCCCTCAGTGTCCTCGTCAGACAGCTGCCGAGGCACGCCAAACGCCAGCTTGGAGACGACAGCCGGGACCATTCCCGGTCCCATATCGAGCCCTAAGGCACTAGAAGCTAGGTTCTTCCGGAAAAAGCCATGCCTACCTGCGCCGATCGCTGCCGCCCTGGGCGGTTAAGCTGCGTGATGGCTGGCATGCCGTGACTTTGGCACGCGTCAGCCCATTTTGACCAGGCACTGCTGATCTATTCATCGGGGAGGGCAATTCCATACCTAAATCAGTCGAGGTGCCCAGGTAGCGTTCGTCTACCTGCACATTGCCCGTGATGATTATGCCCCAGTCCCCCTGAACCTAGTGGTGGTAGACCTTGATGAGACGCGCGTCTGGCAACATGTGTTTGCAGGGAAGATCCCCACACATGGAGGCCTTGACAAGCCGCTTCGGGAGCTCAAAGCCATTTCTGAACCTTAGAGGTCTGCTGTAGGACAGCTCAGGGTGGTTGGGGGATGTGTCGGAGGAGATTGTTACCGAGAACCGATGTGTCGTTGCTCTGCACCGAGCACAGCAAGGGCGGCAATTGGCTGCTTTTCCTTGACAGCAGACCACCAAGGCTTTGTCACGCAGATGGCAGCATCACTGTATGGATGATTGCAACATCGACTACCACGTGGCTGCAGGTTGGAAAGCGGCGTTCTTGGAGGTTCGATACGCAGCTACGTCTTGATGCTGGCGGCAGCTGGCCTTGGTATCATAAGACCGGAGAATGAAAACAAAGAAACAGTCCGAGCTAGTAGTGCGAGATGGAGATCCCTCATGTAATCTTCGATGGCGACGGCCTTGAAGGAAGGATCGATCGGAGATGCAGTGCATTACGATCGCTGCTGTCAAAGAGCCTGGAGCACTGGAACTTCTTATTGTCAAACAGAAGGCTATATGGAGTGACATGTCATTTCCTGCGTGCGGGAAAAAGCTAGGAGAGGACGGCCTGCTGCATGATAATGCGGGTGATGGGGCCTGGAATAAGATGTGCATGACTAGGATGACCGAGAAGATCATGGTTGTTCGCGCTCCCACTGGGCGAATTTCAATAAGTATGGTACCTATGCAGTCCTGCCGGCGGTTTTTAGCCGTCGTCTTCCTCGCAGCAGTCGACCTGGTGTAGGCCAGTGACTGGAAAGGGCCAGGACTCAGGACAGGACCCTGGCTGGTGGTGGAGTCGCGCCGAATGGACGCCGGGAGATTTCCGTGACGTGCCGAGTTCTCCGTGGATGGGGTGAATCTACATGCACGCTTATCAGAAATAGGCTCGAATTCTCCGTGCTGAAGGATCACGGCCACCAATGAATCGCAGAGATCGCGCAGCCGGACACCCATGTAACAGTTGCATCTGTCGTTGCCTGACCTGGCACATGGCAGACCTGAATTCGTGAAGTCTCCCATCCCCAGAGTCTCTTCGAATCTCATGTCGCCGACGCGGTGCCAATACATTGCTGACCATGACCAGCTGCTATTGTCAGCAGCAGCCGACGTCAGTGTGCATCTCCTCGGATCCTCTGTCGTTTCGGAAGCCATAGGATTTGTCACTGCCGGCAGCGTGCATGGTGTTTGGACGAATGGCCTGTAATTACAGTTCTCGCGACGGTCATTCCCATGCTAGCGATGGTTTGATTGACAAGCGCTACCGTACAGTATTCCCCCGTGATTATTCCCACTCCGTCCTCCCGCCTCCACCCCTTAGCTTTCCTATACACAACCGAAGGTCCGAAACTAGTGGGCGGGAGATCACTGATCAGCGGCACGCCAGAACCGAGACGAGACCAGTCTGCAAGCCAGAGATCGTGTCTTGCACGCCAACATGTGGCCTTGTCGTTCTCAGCGAGCCACTAATCAGACCAGGAATCCAAGTGGTAACTCTCCCATCTGGCTCCGCTCGATACTAGCAAGGTGCTGCCGTATCAAATGGAGAATCCTTCCGCCGAACGTTCGCTGCGCAGTCCACTGCATGCATGTGGAGTGGTTTGCATCGACATATCTTGAATGACATGGCCCTTGGAAACTCAGGCAGCCCTGCAAGTCCACCCAAAGACGCTGCACCAAGACGTATAAGCCATTAGTGTGACGATAATTTTAGGCAGGGGTTGCACTGGCTTACACTCTGCATCGCGAACTTTTTATACAACCATATCTCTTTTCCTTTCTACAGACGTTCTTGAGCAATCCAACATCATTCAACCTCTCCACACATACCCTGAACAACATGACGAGCTCATCATCCGACGACAAGCCCTTGCGGTACGCCTGTGACCGTTGTCACTCTCAGAAGCTAAGGTGCCTACGCTCTGTAGAGCCTGAGAAGGGAAGCCCCGAAGAGCCTTGCTCGAGGTGTCGTAAGGCTGGCGTCCCTTGCGTTGTCAGCCTCCGGGGCAAGGTTGGCAGACCGTCCAAGGCCACGAAGAAAAAGCAGCACTCAAACTCAGTGAGCCAGACCCCAGAGCCAGACCTTGCCAGAATTCCAACCTCATCTGGGATTCTGGGCATGAGTGACGCGGGGTCATCTGCTACTCCAACAAGAATGGACGACGATATTATGAGTAGCGCAGGCAGCCGACCATGCAGTGACCCAAGAGTCTTTCCAGATCTCATTGGTCCTTCGCTGGCCAACGTGAGTACACTTGGCCCTCGTCCGCTGTGTTTCCTTGCTGACCATGAAAGCTACCTTACGAGCCGTTCATCATGGACTTTGACACGCAGATGGATCTGTCTCCCTTTGGCATGCCGCACATTAGCGGTATACCACCCCCAGCTAGCGGAAGCCTGCCCGGCTTCGATGCAGAGACGAAGACGATTGATACAGCCATTCTCCAAGATCTTATGGATGGGGACTCGTCACTGGGTATGCCGACACCGTCGGGTCTATTTTCACACAGTGATCTCAGCCCCATGCAAGCACCGTCCCTGGCGCCAGACAGCCTCATGTCTTCCACCATTCCCACGACCGCCAAAAACTCCCCCTCAGACGAAACACCCCTCGTCGACTTCTCCAGCACGGCTTGCTACCAAACACTTTCCAACCTCAACCTCCGCATCCTCGCCTCCACTGCTAAGACGGGCCCCACCGCCAACAACAGTGCAGTGATACTGAAAGATGTTGTCGGCTTCTCTGGCGAGCTGATTGACACGGCGAGGCAAAGCATGCCTTACTTTAGTGGCTCAGGGCATCAGACTCGTGGCTCCATTGGCTCGAGGACCAGCTCAACTAGCTCTGGTAGCGAAGGCGGGTTCTCATCGACGGACTCATACTTCAGCGGTGCACAGATGGGCTCCGTCCCCGAGTCAGCCGTCATATTTTTGCTTTTGGGTTGCTACACTCAGATCCTTCACCTCTTTGAGGTCACCACCAACTGTCTTTGGGAGCAGCATGGCGAGAATCCGCAGTCAGAGCACACCAAGGAGGACAACTCGGGTACAGTTGGCTCCCTACTGGAAGCGTCACTGGCAATACACACCGTGACATACCTCCTCAGCCGGCTCCATAGAGCCTTGGCCGTGGGCGAAGGATCGTTAGAGGAAGAGGTTTCCTCTATCGATCCTCATTTATGGAAGAAGTCATTTGTGGGAGGAAAGGAGTTAGAGGACGGTTTGCTGGGACGGGCGTTTGGCGAAATCCGGCAGAGAGAACTCTGGTTGATGCAAAGAACTCAGCATCTGCAGCGGCGTATCAATACGTGCCGTATATAGATCGATAGCAAAATAGACGATTTGTAAGTCACACGAATTTCCACATGAAGTAAATTCCGAGGCTCAACGGATGCGCATATAATTTATCATCGAGTGAAGGAATGATTCAAAGTAAGGTTCATTGACCTTGGAGCATCTGTGTTGGTGCCTTGGATCGAACGTCATGTCGATCTAGCCAATTTTCACCAGTCAGATACGTTCAATTTTAACAAAAGCTAGTGTAAGACGTGTTAAATAAATAACTAAAGTCATTTTGCGTCAAAATGATGTTCCGCACCCTTTGCATTGATTGCTATCCACCACTGACTCTGCAACTTGACTCGCCTGCTCCCTATCACCACCCTCCATCATTGCGCCAAGCCATGTCTCTGATATGTCTTCAACACCTTTGACCAGCAAGATTACCTCACTTACTGAACATTGTCCTTGACACAGTACTCCACGATAAATCCGGTCAGAAGACTGAGAATCGCAAAGGCGTACGCGTACCCGGACTTGCCAGCCCAGCTCGGCAGCAGCTGCCAGTGCGTGAGAGCAATCATGCTCACCAGGCCAAAAGTCAGACCGCCCACAGAGAAGACGTAGTACCAATGGCCCATACCGACCATCCCACCCAGAGTAGTCAGGAAGCCGGCGATCGAAATTGTGATGACAGCAAAAAGACCCTCGAGATGGTTCCTGAAGCGGACGGCCATACCCTTCACGCCAGACTTAAGGTCGTCTGCGGTGTCCTGGCGCGCATACACCACATCGTAGAAGACGACAAGGAGCATGATAGTAGCCGATAGGCACAGGGTAGGAATGATGTAGTGGCTGTTCAGGGCAGGAAGGCCAATGGAGTAGGCAGACAGCGCAATGGTCGAGGCCAGCGTGGAGCCCAGGATGACCTGGGCAAAGTTGGTGAAGCGCTTGCCAAAGGGGTAGATGGTGGACAGAATGGTGGTGCCAATGCCCACATATGTGCATTCGATTGGGAGTGTGGCAATGGAAGCAAAGCCAGCCAGGACAAGAAGAAGTGTAAAGATATGTCCTTGGGTGGTTGAAACGGCGCCACGAGCAATAGGACGGACCCTGCAGCGTGCCGTCTTGCGGTCAAACTCCTGGTCAACATTGTCGTTCCACGCGCAGCCCGCGCCGCGCATGAAGAATGTCCAGATGGCGAAGATGCCAGCACGGTGTACCAGAACCGACACAGGTGTTGGGCGGATCGCTGTGGCGTACATCAACCCGACGATGTGTGGGAAGTAGATCATGTAGTTGCCATGCGGCTGCTCCAGACGGATCAGCTCAGCATAGGGCACCCATGATGCCGGGAGCTTGGACAAAATGCCCTTGGTAGGCACCTGATATCCAGAGGTGTCATTTCTGTTATCGACCAGGGCCGTCTTCTCTGACACAGGCTTTTTGCTGGCTTTGGATTTTGGCGACATCCTGAGAGTAGGCTCCTCAGTCTGGAAGAGAAGATGGGTATTGGACATTGAGTTTGATGGCAGTGGACTAGCAGAAGAAAATGGAATAAAGGCTTGGGTGCCTGAATGGATTGCGAGAGGTTTGGGAATCTTGTAATCCCCAGGGTACTGTGGTTTTCTACGTGATGTGCGGCGCTTGTAAACGCACCGAGATTTCGAGCCCAATCCGCCGATGGCCCCAAATGGCATCGACAATGCTGACAGAGATGGATGGAGAAGAGAGCGAAGCGTTCGTAATAGTTTCATTGAGATCGAAACTATTGTCTTTCCCCCACAACATCACCAGCGACGGTGTGGAAGCTCCGAGAGTGTCGTAAATTCGCCGATGGGGCATGAAGCAGTGGGCTATATACACCACGATGGAGACACTTTCGGGTTTTCGTGCTGCCCCTTGGATGAACTAATCCATTTCCACGATAAATACCCTTGTAATTATGGTCATCAACTCGCATGGCCTCGAAGGCCCCCGCGTCGACAGCGCCGACAGCGTCGGTGAGGCCTTCAAATCGTCCCCATCGACAATCTTGAAGCCATTTATCAAACCTGCGGTCAACTTTGCGTCGGCAGAAAGGGTTCAGGGTAGTATCCACTCACTCCCTGAGCTTGTTGACTTCAATGCCATCAACAATGCCACCCACACATTCTGCGTACAGGCAAAGTCGCAAGAGCCCTTCGACACAATCACCCACGGCGAATTCAAGGTGGCTGTCGCCAAGTGCGCAGCTTGGTTGAAGGAGAACCTGCCCATCAAGAAAGCTGAGGGTAGCGGTGCTCTGACCGACATGGCTCCGGTCGCCCTCTTTATGGAGAGTGATATCGGACTTGTGATCCATGAGTTTGCTCTGATGAGCATCGGCGTGCCTCCCCTTGTCTTGTCTCCCCGCTTGCCACCAGTTGCTATCAACGCTCTCCTCGAGGGAACAGCAGCGTCTTCCTTCATCGTCTCGCAGCGATTGAGTGAGCCTGCCAAGCCTGCACTGGCTGCATTGGCTGCCAGGGGCGTTTCTACACACATTGGTAACCTGTACAAGGCCTACTACCAGCAAGGCGCCGACCCAAGCACCACAGCTCCCTTTGATCTTCCTCAGAACCCCGACAGTATCATTCTTCTGCTGCACTCGTCTGGGACCACTGGGCTGCCCAAGCCGATTCCCATCACGCACCGTCAGCTCCTGTTCGCGGTCAACTGCCACAAGTTCGACACCGAAGAAGAGGCCCAGAGTCTCAACTTGTCTACTCTGCCCCTTTTCCACGGCTTTGGCTTGGTTGCTCCTGGATTGTCCATGTCCGCTGGCAAGCCCACGCTCTACCCCGCCAACGACGGCATTCCTAATGCTCGCTCCATTGTCGATCTCATCAAGAAGAGCAACGCCAAGTCGATGATGACCGTGCCATTTCTTCTCGATGATATCACAAACCTGCCCCAGGACGAGGGCGTCAAGGCACTTCAGCACATGGACTTTGTCGGTACGGGCGGTGCCGCACTTGGCGCTGGAATAGGCGACCGTCTTGCCGCAGGGGGTGTCAAGTTGCTCAACTTCTACGGCACGACGGAGACGGGCCCTCTTTCGCTGACCTTTGCCCCCAAAGACGACTATGACTGGAAGTATTTCCGTCTCCGCACAGATTGCGAGTATAAGGTCGACGAGCTCGCGCCCAAAGAAGACGAGCGCCGTTTCCGCTTGACTGTCTATCCCTATGGCGGAACGGAGGGATTTGAGATCTCTGATCAGTTGATCCGCAATGAGAGATACCCAGAGACCGATTTCGCTGCTGTTGGTCGTGACGATGATGTGATTGTCCTGGCCACTGGAGAGAAAGCCAACCCTCTGATCTTGGAGACCACCCTCACTGAGACACCGGGCGTCAAGGCGGCTATTGCCTTTGGTGAGAACCAGTTCAACCTGGGTGTCATCGTCGAACCCGTGGAGCCTGTGACTGCTGGGACAGAGGCTGCCTTCAAGGACAAGATCTGGCCTATTATCACTGCAGCTGGCGAGAAGATGGATGCGTACTCTCGAATTCCCTCCCCCGAGGCCATTGTCATTGTTCCCGCTGGTGTGACCGTGCCTCGCACGGACAAGGGATCGATTGCCCGCAAGGAAACCTACGCCCTCTTTGAACGTGAGATCAAAGCAGTGTACGAGAGGCTTCTCCAGGCTGCGTCTGAAGCTACGGAACCTCTCGACCTCGACAATCTCGAGTCCCACCTCAAAGATCTGGTCCACGCCAATTTGCGTCTACAGGCTCCTCCATCGGAATGGAGCGTCGAGGATAGCATCTTCGACGTGGGTGCAGACTCGTTGCAGGCACTTCAGCTGAGGCGCGTTCTGGTGGCTGCAGCTTCCAAGACCGACGCATTCAAAGATGTTGACGTTGCCAAGCTGATTCCTGCCGAGTTTATCTATCTGAATCCCTCGGTTCGTGAGATGGCCACAGCCCTTACCAAGGGGTCTTCGTCTGGGGAGTCTTCGTTGGAAGAGGCTGCCAAGGAAATCGAGGAATTTGTCGAGAAGTACACACTCACCGAACCGGTGTCTGAGCCCAAGGCACCCAGCTCCTCTGAGAATGCCTTTGTTCTCATCAGTGGCAGCTCTGGAAGCCTCGGGTCGCACGTCGTGGCGGATCTCGCCCGACGCCCCAATGTCCAGAAGATTGTCTGCCTCATCCGAAAGGACAAGGGCACCAATGCTCCGCCCATGCCTGGAGGCAATCCCATCGACAAGAAGGTTCTCAAGTCTCGCAATATCACCCTACGTGACTCTGAGTGGGCAAAGATTGCCACGCTCGAGGTTGACCCTACAGCGCAGAAGCTCGGGCTTATCCCAATGGCATATGGCATGATGCAGATGAAGGTTACTCATGTGATCCACGCTGCCTGGCCCATGAACTACTTGCTCAAGACCAAGTCGTTCCAGTACCAGTTCAAGTTCTTGAAGAACCTTCTTGAGTTCGCCGTTCAGGGAGCTGGGCCTACCAAGAAGCGCTTCACATTCGTGTCTTCCATTGCTGCAGTTGCCCGCATTGGTCTTGGAAACCCTGGCAGTCCGATTGCAGAGCAGCCCGTTGCGCCTGCAGACGGTGCGTGCGGTATTGGGTACGCCGACGGCAAGCTCGTTTGCGAGAAGATCCTGGAGCGCGCAGCAGAGGCATACGCCGGGCAGCTTGACATCACGTCTGTCCGCTTTGGCCAGATGACTGGTGCCAAGAACACAGGTGTGTGGAATGCCAATGAGCAGATCCCGATGCTTCTGCGTTCGGCGCAGACCATGGGGTCACTGCCCCAACTTCAAGGAGTAAGTCTACAGATCCCCTAACATGGAAGCCGAGGCTGACAACCCAGACCCTTTCGTGGATTCCCGTGGATGATGCCGCTGCCACCGTCAGCGAGATGACTTTTGCCACCGGGCCCTTGCCCGTTGTCCAGCATCTCGAGAACCCTGTTCGACAGTCGTGGGAGGACATGGTGCAGGTTTTCGCCAAAGAGCTCAGCCTGTCCGCCCCTGTAGTCCCATTTGATCAGTGGCTGGAGCAGGTGGCCTCTGCCGAGCACAGTGACGAGGATCTGCCGGTGAAGAAGCTTAGGGCGTTTTTCGGCAATTTCTTCAAGACGGTGGCGTGCGGCCACGTGGTGTTGGGCACGGAGGTGGCCAAGACGCAGTCACCCACACTCAGCAACATGGGGGCCGTGAGTGATCTGGTTGTTAAGACATACGTAGACTACTGGAAGAGCACGGGGTATCTGAGGAAGTGAGTGTTGAACAGGGAGTATATAGTATTGAATGATAAACGCTTGATGGACTATTCAGCTGCGTATCCACAAAAAGTGTTCATTACTTTCATGAAACCTATGCCGGCGAAGGGAAATTTAATTTGATCTCTAGATGTGTTGGCTGGCTTTGCCTCCGTAAATACTGGATTGTCTTGGTCCGTGATTAGCAGGCCGCAACCAGGCATGAACCATCCATGCTCGGGGTCCCCGTTGACCAGAGCAACGTTCCTCTGGAGGTTACTTACAATACTTGGGCAGAAGAATGTAAGATAGTGAAGTTATCCACATTTGAAGATACGCATGGAGACTTTGTAGGCATCAGAGGGCATGGCTTGGCGTACACTGCTTTTATCACTTGATGCAAACGACAGACTACGGGCATCATTAGTTCATGGTAGAATCAGTTAGAGCTAGTTTAGAGGCAAAGAGAGGCTTTGCTTTACTGAAGCAACAAGCCTCGGCTAATTATCTCGGCCCTGGTGCTAGGGTTTCGACGCCAGTCCTTCAACTACGACAACGACCAATGCCACGATAGACAGCATTGGACAAGAGCAACCACTTGGTCATCACAGAAGAAGGTGGAACCTTCTGCCTATCATTTTGAAACTACCCTCTAGCCACTAAGCTGTGTCAGCAACTACGTCTTTGTGCATCTGTAAGGACCGACCCCCTGTTGTGTTGTCGGCCAAATCCTCCGACTCGAGTGTTTCGGTGCAATATCAGGGGTCCCCTCCCACCGAACGCAGTGTCGACACGAGCGCTGTCTGCCTCTTCGGAAGGCATTTACACTACTTTTCTCCGTCGACATTCTTCCCATCTTCTCTTTCTCCGGTCTCATGCCCTAGTTCTTGTGTATTTACTGCTTACCCTGCACTGGGCCCCTCCATCATGCGTTTGAAAGACACAAAGATGGCGGTCTCGGCTGCAGTCTTCTCTCCACAGAGCAGTCCGCCAAAGACCACACATCTCTCTCATGTGCGGACCAGACTACAGAATGACCCTCGCCTGGCTCCTCTCAAAGAAGCCGTCATCAATCTCCCACAGACATTACAAGCCCTCACAACCAAACATGCCGACCTTGCGTCGCTCGAGGACGCCACAACAGCCGTCAACAGTTTCCCACAATGGATTGAAAACGGCGACTCCTCGATGCTGGAGCAGAATATGTCCGGCCTCGTCACACTCCCCCTGCTCACGACTATCCACATTGTGCAGTACCTGGACTATCTGCAGAGAATGAACCTACGCCATGAGGACTTTTTGGAAGACGTTGAAGACGGCGGCATTCAAGGTTATTGCATTGGCCTCTTGTCGGCCATTGCGGTTGCATGTTCAGCGAACGAGGATGAGTTGATCCAGCATGCCGTTAGCGGTGTCCAGCTGGCACTGGGCATCGGTGCGTTTGGGGATCTCGGGGCGCCCACAGAGGGCGATTCGAACACCATGCAGATTCGACTGAAGAATCAGGGCGACGTTGAGTCAATCTTGAAGGAATTTCCAGGGGTAAGTTCAGAAGATGATTCAACCACTCGCATGATCCACTTACACTGTAGGCTTACGTCTCGACCATCACGGACGCCAAAACACTCAGCCTCATCGTTCCTCCTGAGCAAATGACACAGTTCAAGTCATATGCCGCTTCCGAAGGACTTCGTGCACGCCAGATGCACATTCGATCCAACCTCCACAACAAGGAGAACAGCAAACTGGCCGAGGCTTGCACAGAGATCCTGAGCGACATCCCTTTCCCGACATCGGAACGCCTCCAGGTGCCTGTTCGCTCGAATCAAACAGGAGAGACGCTGCCTGACGATGCCGACTCAATGGTTGAAGAGGCTGTCACCACGATTCTCGCCTCTCAGTGCAACTGGTCCCTCGTCATCGGCCATTTGGCCGAGGATCTCAAAGAGACAGGCAAGAAAACGCACGGCATTGCGCTATTTGGCATCGGTGACTCGGTGCCCATCTCAGCGTTCACAAAGCTTGGCCTGGAGCTGTACAAGACGGATGGGCTTGCGTTCACAGACACGCCGCCCACACCCTTTGTGCCTCCTAGCTCCGCGGACGCCTTTCCTCCAGATGCTATTGCCATTGTCGGTGCAGCCTGTCGACTGCCTGGTGCCAGCTCTCTGGACGAGCTTTGGAACATCATCTCCCAGGGACAGTCGAGGCTCGAGAAGCTCCGCACCGACCGTGTGAATCTCAAGGAGTCTTATCGTGCATCGCAGGACCAAGACTGGGTGAAAAAGCGGGAGTTCTTTGGCAACTTCATTGACGACGTCGACGCGTTCGACCACTCTTTCTTTGGCATCAGCCCTCGAGAGGCCAAGTACATGGATCCCCAGCAGAGGCTTCTGCTAGAGACGGCTTTCGAGGCTATGGACTCGAGTGGCTACCTGCGGCACCACAAGCGCGATCGTGGCGACGCAGTAGGGTGTTTCGTGGGTGCCAGTTACACCGAGTACCTCGAGAACACCAGTGCTTACTCCCCGTCCGCATTCACTGCGACTAGCACGATCCGAGCTTTCCTGTCTGGTAAGATCAGCTATCACTTTGGCTGGACGGGTCCCTCTGAGGTGATCGACACGGCCTGCTCAGCGTCCATTGTCGCAGTCCACCGCGCTGTTCGCGCCATCAACGCTGGCGAGTGTCCCATTGCCCTAGCTGGCGGTGTCAACATCATCACCGGTGTCAACAACTACTTTGACCTGGGAAAGGCCAGCTTCTTGAGTCAGACTGGGCAATGCAAGCCGTTTGACGACTCGGCTGACGGCTACTGCCGTGCTGATGGCGTCGGTCTTGTCGTTCTGAAGCCACTCAGCAAGGCCATCTCCGACAACGACCACATCATGGGCGTCATTCCCGCTGTGGCCACGAACCAAGGCGGCATTGGCGCGCCAGGTATCACCGTACCAGACGGCATACTGCAAAAGTCTCTGTACCGTGGCATCCTGGAAAGCTCAGGCATCTCTCCAGAGCAGGTAACCTACGTCGAAGCCCACGGCACTGGCACGCAGGTCGGTGATCCCATCGAGATTGGCAGCATCCGCGAGGTCTATGGCGGTGCACACCGTGACGCTCCTCTGTACTTGGGCTCATTGAAGTCCAACATTGGTCACAGCGAGACAGCTGCCGGTGTTGCCTCGCTTATCAAAGTCCTCGCCATGTTGCGGAACCGAGGTATTCCACCTCTGCAGGGTTTCAAGCGCCTCAACCACAAGATCCCGCCTCTGGAGGTTGACAAGATGCACATCCCCACCAAACTCCTGCCGTGGGATGCCGACACTCGCATCGCGTGTATCAACAGTTATGGCGCGTCAGGGAGCAACTCGGCACTTCTGTGCTCCGAGTGGCATGAAGAGACGCCCACGATGGTGACAGAGCCCGTCACTGCTCCGCCGCAAGAGTATCCCATTCTCCTCAGTGCGGCATCCGCTTCGAGTCTGCAGCGCTTTGCCAACGAGTTGGCTACCTACATCTCCAAGTCGAATGCTGACGTGACGCTCGGAAACCTGTCGTATACCCTCAGCCAGCGTCGCAAGCATCATCGCATTCGGTGGTCTGCCACTGTCACGGATCTGAGTAGCCTGATCGAGAAGCTTCAGTCTTGCGCCCCTGAGGACTTTTCCACTGCGCCCCCAACCACGAAGAGCATTGTGCTCACATTTTCAGGCCAGAGCAGGACCACGATTGGTGTCAGTCCCTCGGCCAGACAGGGCAACCCTCGCTTTGAATACTACATTCAGAAGTGCAACACCATCCTCCAAAGCTATGGATGCCCAGACATCCTACCGTATCTCAGTCAGACAGAGACCATTGAGGACGCTACCATCCTACAGTGCGGTACCGTAACGGTGCAGTATGCTTGCGCCCAGTGCTGGATTGATGGTGGGCTCTACGTTGCCGGCATTGTCGGTCACAGTCTTGGCGAGTTGACCGCCTTGGCCGTCTCCGGTGTTCTATCCCTCGAAGACATGCTCAAGGCCGTGTACACCCGTGCTGAGCTGCTCAAGGCCCGATGGGGACCAGAGCGCGGCACCATGTTGGCGATTCATGCCAAAGTCGACACTGTTCGCACCATCATGGATGTGGTTGAGTCGATCATCGATCACCAGGATGAGGCTTTGGAAATTGCCTGCTACAACAGTGTCACTAGCCACATTGTTGTCGGCAAGGAGAAGTCCGTCGCCATGGCCGAGCGTATCATCCAGGAGGATGCACGTTTCCATGGTCTGCGCTACCAGCGTCTACAGACCAGCCATGGCTTCCACTCTCGCTTCACCGAGCCTCTTCTCTCCGGCCTTATTGCTGTTGAGCGGACCATTGAGTTCAAAAAGCCAGCTATCCCTCTGGAGACGAGCACTCAGCAGCAGGTGTCGTTTGTCAACAAGTCCAAGGATCGCTACTTGGCCAACCACGCGCGCGATCCTGTGTACTTTGTTGACGCAGCTCGCCGCATCGAGTCCCGACTAGGCGAGTGCGTCTGGCTTGAGGCCGGCTGGAGCACTCCCATCATTTCCATGGTGAAGCGTGCTGTCGCAAAACCAGCTGTACATACGTTCCAGCCCGTCACGTCGCCTGCCGCCGTTGCTGTCGAGCTTTGGCGTGAGGGCATCGCGACAACGTACTGGAGCTTTTTCACGCCCAAAGAGAGCGGCCTGAAACACATCTACCTTCCACCCTACAGCTTTGATCGCCCCAAGTACTGGCTCGACCACGTCGACCGCGCCATGGAGGAGCGTCGTGCTGCTGAAGCTGCTAAGGGGGAGACCACACAAGCGCCAGCCAAGGTGCAACCCATGATCGTGTTTAAGCGCAGCGAGGGTATCGGGCACCACTTCAAGCTGCACACGGAGACAGAGCGGTACACGCGCATTGTGCAGGGCCATGCGGTTAGGGCCAAGCCTCTCTGTCCTGCGTCGGTATACATGGAGTCCGCCATTATGGGCATCAACCTTCTCGGTGCTGCGCCCATTGGCAAGACCATCACCTTTGAGAATGTTGGTTTCCATCGTCCTTTGGGTTGCGACGACAACCTAGACGTCGAGCTCGTCCTTCAGAAGGGCGCTGAGGATGACTGGCACTACGCCGTTTCATCCGGGCCCAGGGCCTTGCATTCGGACGGCAATTTCAGTGCCACCACGTCTGAAGTGTCTGATCTGCAGCTCTACGAGATGCTCCTGGCTGACAAGATGGAGACCCTCCGCAACGACACTGACGCTGAGAAACTTCGAACCAGTACTGCCTACAAGCTCTTTTCGAGGGTTGTCGAGTACTCTGCCCTCCTCAGGGGTATCACCAGTATCACTCTCGGCTCGCGTCAGGCCATCGCCCAAGTCAAGGTGCCCAAATCAACCTGGGCAGCAGAGGGCGAGTCATCTGTCACCGACTTCTACGACGCCGTGGCACTGGACACGTTCATCCAAGTCCTTGGGCTGCTGATCAACTCTGATACCGGCTCGTCCGCTGATGATGAGATCTACGTTGCCAGCAGTATCGGCAAGATGGTTGTCTCGCCCACCGATTTCACCAAGCCCCAGACTTGGACCGTGTACGCCACATACTCCACGTCAGACAGTAAGACATCCAGTGGTGCTGTCTTTGTCTTCAACGAGGAAGGGAAATTGTCCAGCTTCGCGACAAAGGTGCAATTCATGCGCATAAAGGCTGCCAAGCTTGAACGAGTGCTAGAGAGCGCCAACCCTAACATTACTTCCACTCTGTCAAGCCTGGAGGCTTCGGTCCCGTCCATGCCTGTACCTGTCCAGCGGCCTACCTCGGCACCCACCTCGGCGCCCAGGTCAGTCACTCTTGCAGCTCCGGCGCCCGATACTGGCAAGATCAAGGCGAAGATTGCAGACCTCAGGGCTCTGATCTCCGTCTACACTGGTGTTCCGGTGGAGGAGATGCGTGACGACCAGAGCTTTGGAAACATGGGTCTCGACTCGCTGGCCTCGATGGAGTTGGCGGACGAGATGGAGTCCAAGCTCAATCTCAAGGTGCAGGCCGAAGATCTTTTGCTCGGCACAGTGGGCAGTCTTATTAGCATGCTGCCTGGTGCATCAGGAGAGCTGATGTCAAGCAACAGTATAGGTATGGTCTCTGATGATACCAGCTCGGAGTCGTCGGGATCCTTCCGTGGCACAACCGGGCTGCCTACCAGTATTCCTGCCACCCCCACTGGATTCTCTGATAACGAGGATGAGGAGTTGGGTATGCCATGGAAGCGTCCCGAGGGTCCACTGAACAGCAGATTCAAGATGGAGACTGTCGTTTACAAGGACGAGGAGGGCGTTCAAGTCCCCGCAGACATCTACGTGCCGTCAGAAGCAGCACCCAACCCGATGCCTGTAGGTCTGTCTGCCTGACGTTGCCGCTGGAAGGTTTTCTGACATAGTGCAGCTCTGATGATCCATGGCGGCGGCCATCTCACGCTCTCGCGTCGCGCTGTCCGTCCGTTGCAGACCAAGTTCCTCTTGTCGCAGGGGATTCTGCCGGTCAGCATTGACTATCGCCTCTGCCCACAGGTCAATGTGATTGATGGATCCATGGCTGACACGCGCGACGCCTGTGTATGGGTCCAGCGCGACCTGCCTTCCATCATGGCGCGAAAGGGTATTGAGATTGACCCGACGAAGCTCGTCGTCATTGGGTGGTCGACGGGCGGTACATTGGCCATGACCACGTCTTGGACGCTCAGGAATGCTGGGCTCACCCCTCCTCGGGCCATCCTGAGTTTCTACTGCCCTGTCAATTATGATCCAGCCGCCCCCATCATCATGGGCCAGGAGCATGGTCCTCGAACCATGGCCCTTGACGAGATTCGAAACCTTCTACCTTCCACGCCCACTACTTCACATGCCTTCAATAGCACCGACAGCAGCAAGCTTGGTTGGGTCCACAAAGGCGATCCGAGGTCTGAGCTCACGCTGGCGCTTGTCAAGGAGCATCGCGGCATGTCACTGCTGTTCAATGGCCTCCCAACCACCGGAGAGGAGCTTTGCGAGCCGGACGCGGAACGGGCTCGAGAGTTTAGTCCCCTGCAGCATTTGCTGGACGGTGACTACAATGTGCCAACGTATCTGATCTTCGGCGACCAGGATGAGATCGCGCCGTTTCCAAAGGCGGCCGAGTTTGCAAAGGCGCTGGCCAGCACGCATGTGCGGAGTGGCATTTTACCAGTGCCGGGGGCCAAGCACATCTTTGACCTGGGAGTGGCCCCAGGAAGCGAAGCTTGGGACAGGACCATTGGACCTGGATATGATTTTCTGTTGCAAGAGTTGGAGAGGTGATTTCTTTCCGTTTCTTCGATACGTGAGTTTTCCTTTGGAGTCGGCTTCAGTTAAGCGGTGGGCATTTGCGTTTCTTTCTGTTGGATTTCCATTGGGTCGCTTATAATGTACGTACATGTCAGCATATGAGAATGAAGAGCAAACTTCTCCTATAACTTGGCACTGCTTGCCCTGCAATGCGATGCAGACATGGCCTGCTGATTCACTTATTGCAGTGGGACTCATCGTTTGTGCGAATGCCAAGCTGTTGGGGCATTGCCATATCAGCATGCGTCTATTAAGCATGGGAATATGTAAGCTCAGTGCCTTTCGATGTCTTGTCGGCTGATTCAAGTTTATTACATGTACAGTCCCCAGGGATTCCAAACGTTAGCGTGTGAACTGTGGCAATAGTGCAGGGATCAAAGATACCTAGCTCCTTGAATAAAATAGCGGAAGAAAGAGGTATCACTAGGATCCGCACTACCTCCATAATTTAATCAACAGATTTTAACCAAATCAAACACCGCCCTCAGAAGAAGCCACCAATAATATAGATAGCCGAGGAAAATTAGAGCCCTATTCACAAGCTAACATTTGGAATCCCTGGGGACTGTACTTGCATACCGTGCATTGCAAGGATCACCCTCGTCTTTCCCTGTAGGTCCACTGAACAAGCACGCACATCACAGGAGTCAGTTTTTAAGCTTCTACGAAAGGACCATGCATCTGATGCCTTGTCGCCGACTCACCGCATGTGCATGCTACCCTGGTACTGTGGTGCTGGGGTTTCTGGGAGAATACACTTTCTGATTGGGCTTGTTCGTCCATGCAGGTGTCGTCTCGTTTTCGGGGAATCCTACAGACGTACATCATCAAAGTGGCATTGCAGATAAAGCCACGCCTCATGCAACGGCGAAACGTGCCCGTGATTCCACAATGGTCTGAGGCCACACGTGGCTACAATTGTCAATGACTGTGAGAGATACAGATCCTCAGCCGATTTTCGATGATTGCGGTGATTGTGAGGCCCTTTCAGGGCCTCTAATTCTGTCCTCATTGCTTTTATGGGCCTGGCTGTCGAGTTCGGTCGACACGAATTCATTTGCCAAACATCGGGCACTTCAGCGTCTGTCCACGACTTGGCAACGCAAACTCAAAATGCTACATGTACACATCCTATCTAGGACTCTTTTGGTTTCGGCGAGTACGACGAATTCTCCCCCCAATCATAGCCGACACGCTCTCGATGCTATAACCGTGCATCAACGGTTTGCTTGCTCCGCGAATACCCGTAGGCACAGGGTAGGCAGCATGTCTTGCATTGCCCTCTGTCACCGCGCACAGACGAGAATTCACGATTATTGATTGTTAGGCGGCTGTAAAAATATCCCATAACAGTAAAGAATAAGATGGAATATATCAGAGATGTCTAGTAGTATTGTTCAGGCAAATGCTAACAAAAGAAAGTCTATGTACACATAAATCATAAGTCCTGACAGACAAATGTGCATCACTCATTAGTCCGCCGAACCGAAAATGCCAATTCTAGACCTTGATCCCCTCAGCGACTTCGTTCATTCCACCCATTCCATTGATCCCCTCAGCGTGGCCAGTGGCGCCGGTGGCCATGGCCTCTCCGCCCATCTTCTCCTCCTGCTTCTTGAGGCCGAGCTGGCCCTTGACCAAGTTGGGCACAAAGCCGTTGATGGCGTCCGTGCCGAAGCTGTTCATGTTGATGGTGTCCTCGGTGCGCATCATTCTCCGGGCGCGAATGTGGTTGACAGCCTTGAGCTGCTCGGGCGACAAATCAGGGTGGTAGCCAGTGCCGTTGTCAATGGCCTCCTTCATGGCATCCATGGCCTTCTCGCGGTCGTCCTCGCTGGTCACAGGCTCAAAAGCAAAGGCACAAAAGTCGAGGGTCTTGTTGAGTTCCTCCTGCGACAGCTTGTTGTTGGCGGCATCAGCAGTGCCCTGGATGATGGGGCGGAAGAAAGAGAAGGCACGGTCAAAATTGTCCTCGTTGAAGTCGGACAGCACCGGCTCATTCTGGTGACGGATCTGCTTGTACGCGGAGAGGACGACCAGCAGGAAGCGAGTATAGGCATCCGAGAACTTCTTGGAGTGCCACTCGGCGGCGTCAGACTCGGCAATCTGACCACGAATAGAGGCGCAGATGGTAGTGGCAGCAGCAAGACCGGAAGTCAGAGCCAGGTGGACACCAGACGAGAAGTAGGGGTCAATGAAGCAGCCAGCGTCGCCAACAATGCGGGCGTTGGGAAAGGCGTAAGACGAGGCCGAGTATGAGTAGTCAGACGCCGTCTTGACGTTGCTCTTGAACTTGCCGTTGCCAATGAGATCCAACAGGTTGGGCGCCAGCTTGAGCGACTCGTGGTAGAATTGTGTCGAGTCAATGCCAGCCGCGCTCTTCTTCTCACCAGCGAGCTTCTGGTTCATGACAACACCGACAGACACGGTACCGTCGTGCAGAGGGATGAACCAGGCCCAGCCGGACTCGTCCTGCAGAGCCTCGAAAAAGGGAGAGTTCTGGCGAGGAGTACCAGGCATGTACTCGTTGCATCCTTCCCAGTAGCACCAGTTAGCAATGTTCTTGAGGCCCTGGTTGTAACGGCGGTTCTTCATGTACTTGGTGCTGAGGATACCAATGCGGCCAGAGGCGTCGACCACATAGTCGAAGTTGATGGTACCCTGCTCCTTGGTCTCCTTGAACTGGTATGTGGCAGAGATGGGCTTGCCAGGGTTCAGGTTGGGCTCGCCCTCGGCAACAGTGGTAGGGTTCTCGAACTGGATGCTCTTGACCTGAACGCCATCGAAGATCTTGGCACCGTTCTCACCGGCGTGCTGGAACATGAGGTTGTCCGCCTGGGAACGGACGACGTTCCAGGCATAGTTGTTGGGGCCACCCGCCGCCAGGAAGTCGGTGTATCCTTCACGCTTGTTCTTGTTGAGCTTGAAGGCAGCACCAGGCTTCTTGACGAAACCGTACTGGTCGAACTTGGTGTCGAGCTCGACAAACTTGAGCAAGTGTCGCATAGATGCCAGCATGGACTCGCCAATGTGGTAGCGAGGGAACTTGTCACCCTCCAGAACGACAACATCGATGCCCTCGCGGGCCAGACAAGAGGCAGCATACGAGCCACCAGGGCCGCCGCCAATGACTAGAACTGTGGTCTTCTCGGGGATAGACATGATTGTGATGATTTGAATTTTTGATGATTATGAAAGACACTGGACTTTGTATCGTCTTTCGATATATGTATCACTTTATCACTAGTTGATGCCTTGCTTTCTCGGTGAGTTTGTGCGGAGTGTTTCGGTTTGTACTACGAAATTCACCGACGACACCCAATCCGCCGCAAAGACGGTTTACTAAGTGTTAGTGGCGAAATGATGTCGGACGTTCGGCATGATGGCCATTAGAGCTCCTCGTGCTTGGACTGATCGATATTCCTGTCATCAAGACTGAGCGCGGGTCGCTTCACCCGCACCATAACATCCACAATGACAGAGACTATACCAGGCCCCAAGGGCTTGCCCGTCATTGGCAACATCTTGGACATTGATCCAGTCGATGCTGTCCAATGTCTAGGACGCATTGCCAAAGAGTATGGCGAGATCTACAAGCTTAGCGTCGGTGGCACGGCCAAGTTGTTCGTTTCGAGTCGCAACCTCGTGAATGAGCTGTCAGATGAATCGCGGTTCACCAAGCAGGTCTCTGGACCTTTAGCACAGCTTCGAAATGTCTGTGCCGACTCTTTGTTCACTGCTCACTCGGACGAGCATAACTGGCATATCACCCACAAGATTCTCATGCCTGGTATGTCTGCCGCACACTATCGAGAGCCAGACTGAGACTGACAGCGCAGCCTTTGGACCCTTGGCCATTCGAGACATGTTTGACGAGATGCACGACATTGCTTCTCAACAAGTCACCAAATGGGCGCGTTTTGGCCCAAAGGAAGCCATTGATGTGTCCTCCGACTTTACACGACTGACACTGGACGCGATTGCCCTCTGCAGCATGAGCACCCGGTTCAACAGCTTTTACCGCGACGAGATGAACCCTTTTGTTGGGTCCATGCTTGAGGTTCTAGCCGAATCCGGGAAAAGAGCCGTAAGGCCCCCCTTTGTCAACGACTACATCATGCGCGGCTCCCTGAAGAACTACAACCACCAAATCGCCGTGATGAAAGAGATTGCGAGTGAGATTCTGGAGGAGCGTCGAGCCAACCCTGGGTACCAGAAGAAGGATCTCCTCACCGCTATGATCAATGGGCGTGATCCGAAGACTGGTGAGGGTCTCTCCGACGAGAGCATTCTGAACAACATGATTGTCTTTCTCATCGCCGGCCACGAGACAACATCTGCACTATTGTCGTTCTACTTCTACTACCTTCTCACTCGTCCAGACGTCTTCGAAAAGGCTCAGGCTGAGGTTGATGAGGTGATTGGACGCGGCCCCGTGACGCTTGAACACATGTCCAAGCTTCCCTACATCGAAGCCGGTCTACGCGAGACGCTGCGTCTGCATCCCACAGCGCCAGTCATAACCTTCCACACACGACCTGATCTCAACATTGAGAAAACTACCATCGGGGGCGGGCGATTCGAAGTCTCACGCGGCCAGGGTGTCGTCGCCCTGCTCGTCGAGATGCAGCGCGACCCAGCCGTTTGGGGCGATGATGCCGATGAATTCAAGCCGGAGAGGATGACCGAAGAGAAGTTCAATGCCTTGCCAGCAAATTCATGGAAGCCTTTCGGCAATGGTATTCGCGGTTGCATTGGCCGTTCATTTGCATGGCAGGAGAGCCTCCTTATCCTCGCCATGCTGCTTCAGAACTTCAACTTCAGACTTCGTGATCCCGACTATCAGTTGGTGATCAAGCAAACACTTACCATCAAACCGGGGAATATGTTTATGTATGCCACACTAAGGGACCATGTGACTGCTTTGGAACTGGAGAAGACTCTCCACGGGAGCGCCCGAAGCAACGGCCTTAATGAGAAGACGCGCTCTTCGTCCTTGGCAACAACGCACCGGGAGCTTAGGCCCCTGAGCATCCTATACGGCTCTGACTCTGGCACCTGTGAGGCCATGGCCCATTCACTCGCCCGTGCAGCAAGCGCCAAGGGATACGAAGCATCCATCCAGACCCTTGATTCTGCGGTAGAGAAGCTGCCAACAGACCAGCCTGTCGTTATTGTGTCGCCCAGTTACAACGGACAGCCACCAAGCAACGCCGCCGACTTTGTCAAATGGATTGAGAAAGCTGCAGCTGGTTCCTTACAGGGAGTCAAGTATGCCGTGTATGGTTGCGGCAACAAAGACTACGTTTCCACATTCCACCGGGTACCCAAACTGATCGACGCTGAGCTCTCGCGGGCGGGTGCAAAGAGGATTACCGATACTGGTCTGGGAGATGTCACTGTAGGCGACATCTTCAGCGACTTTGAGTCTTGGCAGGACGAGAAGCTGTGGGCGGCACTAGGCGTCGACCAGCAGGACATGGCGTGCGAGGTTGGATTCGATGTCCACGTCGACCGCTCCAGTCGCACAGAAGATTTGCAGGTGAAGGCGGACGAGGCACTCGTCCTTGAAAACCTGGTCCTGACGGCTGAGGGCGAGCCCCAGAAGAGGATGCTCGTTCTGAAGCTCCCAGATGACATGGAATACAAGGCTGGCGACCACTTGGCTGTTCTACCCCTGAATGACTGGAGCACAGTGAGGCGAGCTCTGTCGTGGGCCCAGTTACCATGGGATGCTCTTCTCACGATCCCATCAGGTGCCAACACGTCGCTTCCCACGGGCAAGCAGATCTCAGCCAAGGATCTATTCGGAGGTTATGTCGAACTGAGTCAACCAGCGACCCGCAAGGTGTGTATTTGTATTTGAGGTCTTCGAAAAGGCCTATTCACTAACATGGCCAGAACATCCAGAAAATTGCAGCAGCGATAGCCTGCCCTCCAGCAAAGCAAAAGCTGCTCGATCTCGAGGCCACATTCGACACTTCTATTGCACTGAAGCGCCTCTCAGTCTTGGACGTCTTAGAGCAATTCCCAGAGGCAGATGTATCCCTATCAACCTTCATTGGAATGCTGCCGCCTATGCGATCCCGTCAATACTCCATCGCATCTTCGCCCCACGCAGATCCGTCGAAGGCTGTCTTGATATGGACAGTGCTCAATGGCGAGGCGTACTCGGGCACTGGCCGGCGGTTCCTGGGCGTTGCTTCTACATATCTCGCCAACCTCAGCGCAGGCGATCGAGTACACGTTACGGTCAAACCTGCTCTCCGACTGTTCCATCCTCCCCCGGACCCGGAAAGCATGCCCATCATCATGGCATGTGCGGGGACCGGGCTGGCTCCTTTCCGAGGATTTGTGGAAGAGCGCGCCTTTGAAGCCAAACAGGGCAAAAAGCTCGCTCCGGCACTTCTGTTTGTTGGATGCCGCCACCCAGAGCGTGATGCCCTACTGTATGAAGAGTTTCAACAGTGGGAACAGAAAGGAATCGTCAAGCTATTCTATGCTTTCTCAAGAGACGCTGATGCAGCTAATGGATGCAAACACGTTCAAGACCGCATATGGAACGAGCGTGCCCTGATCAAGAAGGGCATGTTTGGAGGCCATGCAAGAATGTACGTTTGTGGCGGAGCGGGGGTCGGAAGAAGTGTTGAGGATGTCATGAAGCGGATTTATTTGGAGGTGAATGGCACGGATAGCACACGGGCGAGCGAAGATTGGTTTCAGGGGTTGAAGGCGAATCGTTATGTAACCGAGATATTCTCCTAGACAGGGTGCAATCTTTATCATTATTTTCTATCGATTGACATCTGATTCTTGATCTTGCGTTGATTCCCTGAAAAACGGGTGGAGTGCTTCTCTTGTTGTCGTTCCGCTTGTCTGAACCAAAGACCATCACTGCCTGACTAGCCATTCTTCTTAGACTTCGTATGAGCGGGGTGGACTTGGAGATAACGAGTACCTCATTTAACTGTTCTCTTTGATTGTAGAAGTTGTCCAATGATGGATGCATTGACTCCGTTGTGTCTGACCGTCCAACCCACACACTCGACTGGAATATTGTACATTGTCTGCACGCTGCGTTTAATATACTGCCTTTCCCTCCAGCCGCTTGTTCACCCCAAGTTCTTTGGCTTGACAATCTGGTGGTGGAACCCAGCCACCTTTCGACCGTCTGGCAGGTCTCTCTCAGTAGACTTGACATTCCAGAAGACGAACCCGTACACAATGTCACACACAGTGGTAAGGCCCCAGATGAAGATGGCAGGAGGGCTCATGAAGTACCCGTGGGCCTCGGGCCAGGTGTACCACGCCCACCAATAGTTGAAGTTGAGGCCGATCCCAGTGCCGAGAAAGCGGAGTAGCCTTGTCAAAGTTAGTATCGTTATTCTAATCCTTGTCCTCCTTTAAACGTACCAAATAGTCCAGGAGACACCGCCTGTGTGCTGTCTCACCAACAGCATGGCCAGTGACATTGTGGACACCAGTAACTGACACATGCTCACAGCCCAGTAGGCCATCTGGGTAAGATCTGGCTTCTGCCCTGTGGCGACGGCCATGCCGATCCACCAGTCCTGCCATGCCCAATGGGCCGCTGCACACGTAGCGAGCAATGCGATGAAGATGTGTGTCAATCCTTTCCTCACAGCCGGCGCGTGGTTCCACTCAAAGGCACCGTGCAGAATCGTCGAGTAGATGATGGGCGTGTCGATGACCATCCAGATGGCCATGGCTGTCTTCTCAAAGGGCTCATCTACCACATAGAGAGCGTAAACCATTTCCCAGGCAAAGTTGTTCGCGAGGGCGAGCAGAGGCATGCCGTAGGACTTTGTCTTGAGACCCTCGCGTGCGATGAGGATGTAGCATAGTGTCCAGCAGACGCCACCGAATTGAAAAGTAGCATCATACACTGGCTGGAACCAGTCGGTCACATGCGGAGGTGGAATTGCGCCAAAAGCCATTTTGGGCGGTATTGTGGTGAAGAAAACTTGGTATGTACAAAAGGAGACAGGGGAGGATGTAAGGGACCGTGTGAAAGAGATCAGATGCGAGCATGGGCCTCTTTCTAGCAGACCACGGACTTTTTCGGACTTTGCATCTTTCAATCCTCTTTTAGATTCTTTCCGCCAATCCTTGATTACGTCGTCTAGTGTTCACGTTGTGGCAGATCCGAGTTGGCATGGCGAGGAGAGTCGGTGCATTTGGTTCGGCGCATTTCGTCCACCTGCCCTCGGTCAAGTGTCGGACTGTTCATGGCCACTAGCAGATCATCAAATATTGATTATGTATGTTATGCGAATCACTGTGCCTTATAAGTACTTATTAATTGCTCAGAAGTTCATCAATCATCTTTCGTGAAGCCATCCCACATCCAGTGACTGGACCTGAGCGAAACCAGCAACCATGGCCAACACCACTTTCGACACCGTCACTAGCGATGTCACGCTGCGCGACACCCTCCTTTCTATCCATGCGCTCTCCAGCGCTGTGGCCATCTTGGTCGTTGCGTTCATCGTTCACTATTCATGGAACAAGCCGGCCAAGCTCGACCTGCCGGTCTGCGGCACCCCCGGCGCCAAGATCACCAAGGAAGACATTGTTGGTGGCGCGCGCAAGTACCCGGATCAGCCTTTTATTCTGCCCATGGAGCCTCCCATTGTCGTCCTACCCATTAAGATCCAAGACGAGGTCCGCAACCTGCCTGAGAGCGTAGTGTCCTTCACAAAGGAGCACCAGCGCAACTTCTTCGCCCATTACACTGGCATCGGCGACCACCGCCCAGAAATGATCCAGGCTGTCCGCGTGGATCTTACACGTCACATTGTCAGCACTTTGCCTGATCTCCAGGATGAGGTCCGCTACTCCTTCGACAAGGAATCCGGTCCCTGCAAGGACTGGACACCCTTCCCTCTGTATATGAAGGTCCTTCGCATCGTCGCCCTTTTAAGTGGTCGTGTCTTCGTTGGTCGCCCTCTCAGTCGTGAGGAAGAGTGGATGCAGTCGACTATCAACTACACGATAGACTGCGTCAAAGCTCGCAATGCTGTTCGCGACTACCCTCAATGGAAGCGCCCCTGGGTGACCTCCTCATTGCCTGAGATTAAGAAGCTGACTCACCACCGGACTCGCGGTGGTGAGATGCTGGCACCCATTATGCAGGCCCAACTGGCAAAGGAGTCGGTCAAAGAGAAGCTTCGCAACGAAGAGACTGGCGACGAAGAAGGCAACTTCATTGAATGGCTCCTCAAGTACACGCCCGAGCATCTTCGCAACGACCCCGAAAACCTGGCTCTCAACCAAATGGTCTTGTCCTTCGCCGCCGTCCACACCTCGTCCATGGCCACTACCCACGCCATTCTCGACCTGGTCACCAAGCCTGAATACTTCAAGCCCCTGCGTGCAGAGATTGAGGAGATTCGCAAGACCGACGGTGAAATTATCGATGAAGAAGGGTACATTCGTCTCAAGAAGGACAGCATCAACAAGCTGCGTAAGCTGGATAGCTTCATGAAGGAATCTCAGCGCTTCAACCCTCCCATCTACAGTATGTTTCTCCCCGTTGATATGCAGGAGCACCACTAATTGCAATGACAGCCTCGGGTACACGCATCTGCACCGCTGACTTGCAGCTCTCTACTGGTCACAAGCTCCCCAAGGGCACCCGTATCTGTTTCCCTTCGTACGATGTCCACACCAACCCCAAGACTACTACTTACTCGCCTGAGTACAACCCACCTGACTATGTCGACCCTGAGAAGTTCGACGGCATGCGCTTCTACAAGCTCCGCAACATGCCTGGTAAGGAGGCTCGTCACCAGTTCGCCACAGCTGGTCCCGAGTCGCTTGTGTTCGGCTACGGAAACCATACCTGCCCTGGGCGCTTCTTCGCTGCCAATGAAATCAAAATCATCTTGATCGAGCTTCTCATGAACTGGGATATCCGCCTCAAGGGTGACATCGAGCAAAAGGGAGGGCCTAGGCCACCAAACATGGAGGTCGATCTTGTCATCACCCCCAACCCTATGGCGATGGTAGAGATGAAGAGGAGAAGGGGGGCTTAGGTGAATATCGAAAGTGTAAAGTAGGAAGGAAGATTACTACATTTTTTAGATTTTTTATGCCTTGGCGATCATGTGAAGCCAGGGACTGGGAGCCAGCAGTCACTCCATCCCACACTTTCGCCTGAATCCAGCGCCGCTCAATCAAATTCTAGCGCCACGCAGGGACTCAGCACAGTGCATTCGGTTTCATGGTATCCATCAGTTAGTAAGTGTCACAGATCCGCGGTATAACCTGAGGAGTGAATGGGTTGTGGCCATCCATTCCGCATGTGTGGGCTGGCATCTGAAATGGTGGTACCTAAGAAAAGCCCCAAGCTGCGCCGAATGGCGAAGCGAAAGGCTGGTTTAGTTTCACATTCTTCTGCTTCTATTGAGCACAGACCTTCAAATACTTAGATGGCCAAGTCGTGCAGATGATGGAAGCCTTCTCCTTTGTCTCTGGGCACAGACCACCTCCCCGAGCTCGCGAACCCTTCGTCACACCAGGACAAAGGTAAGCACGCCTGAGATAAATATAGCATTCATTCCTTCCTGAAATGAATGCCGAAGAAGACGCATTCAACCTCAAAAGACCTAGAGCTCGCAGTCTGACATCCAGCTAAGTCTCCGTATATACCAAACTTCCTCAGCACTACCTACACTTCTCATTCCTTCTGCAGCTTCTTCATTCTATCTACAGCCTCACATTCGCCACTAAGACAGAATTCATGTCCCTTCCCGCCGACGACTTGCGTGGCGATGTCGTCGTGGATGAAGATCGCAACAGCCAGCCTATGGAGTTTCTAGACAACTATTCGGATTCCGATGGCCTTGCATCACCGCCACCAAACGTACCGTCAAGGTTCCCCCATCAGAAAATGACCCGGGAATTCAATATTCGGGACAGAGCTGGAGACGCAAAGCAGATTGCATCTGCCGCAGAGGATCAAAGCTCCCGCAGCAAGCGATCTGGCCCCGTCAAGGCGCCTAAGGCTGCCGCACCAGCTGGACAATTCAGCTCCGGCTCGCATGATCCTAATGTATACTGGCTCTATGGTTTCCAGGGCAAGGTCAAGTTCAACATCAAGAAGGACAATGATTTCAACAACGCCGTTCGACGCCTTCTTTCCGCGGATCCGAGCGAGAGCGAGCCAGAGTACTTCCTCATGCGTATCGACACGCGTTTTGGCCAAAACAACGCCGCGAAAGGAATTGTCAAGCGCCAGCTGCCGCCCCTAGACTGGCCAGGGAATCCCTTTGCCGGCTTCCACGAGGAGGACTTCCGTACGTTTCTAGAAGGCAGTGACCTACCGCCCGAATATGCGGGGAGAAACAAGGTCTGGGCATTCGTCTGCCGCCGTCAAAGCGAACAATACACTGCATTCACAGCTGAGGCCGCGTGGCCCAGCGGCAAGGGCGTCTGGGACTTTCTCAACAGTCGGCGACAAGCGCCAGAGCCAGCTGAGCATGAGGTGCTGTACAACATCACCTCCTTGGGCAGTAAAAGTGGTGTTGCCTATCTGGCAGCTCCCAAAGCAGCGTTCGCCCCTTTTAACGAAATTGACATGAATCTCTACCGAGCATACTGGCACGAGGCGCTCAAGGTCATCGAAGACTTTGACTCGGAAGGATCTTCTACCGACATCAACTTGCTCTGCATGTACTTTATGGATGAATACGGAAAACTTAGCACCTTGGGTCGCAGCGGCTTGATCAGCAGTCTCCACGTCCCGTCGCCAGCTGACCTCTCTCTGTTCCGACGCCACATGCGAGACAAAGCGCCATCAAACAATTCTACCGAGCCTGCGCTTCGAATGGTGTGTACTGGCAGTCAAGGCTTGGTCGTCCTGCCAGGGCTTTACCCGCCACCTCGAGAGGGGGAAGCGAGGCTCCCCCTGAGATCCACCTTTGGCACCAGAAGCAAGACTGAGCAGCTGCTCGAGGCCGCCAAGCGCATTGCATCAACGACGAATGTTTTGCAATCATCGTTTGGTCAGGTGGGAGAGGGAGACAATGACATGGGAAACACCAGCTTCCTACTTCTGCCACCTCAGGCCTATACTGACCCAGAGTGGCTGAAGACAGAGAGTATGGGATACTCCAGGGAGATCCTATCCCAGCAAGTCATTCTTCCCATTGCAGGCTCAACGCAGGATCAGTCGGAGTGGTGGCCTCGTGTCGAAGACATAGTCAAGAAGGCAGAGGATGCTCGGGGTCCCGTCATCCTATATCCCTGTTGGCCAACGAACCAGCATGGCCGTATCCTGGCACGTTGTGATTTTGGCTACATGCCATATCCCTTCGTGACAAGGTCTTGGCCCGTCGGCGAATGCTATCATGTCGAGCTGCCCTGGCTGGGACACTCAATCAGCAACCTTTGGAAGTTGGCCGGCGAGGTTTACAGTGACCTCGAAGGGTATAGTCTGAAGATCAGCTGTCGAATTCCGAATCCAGCAAAGGAAGGTTGGCTCGATGCTGGTGTAGCCCCTCTGACGTACTATATCCATCCTGCAACAACCGAAGAGGAGTGGTTCAACATTCGGCTGCGGCTTCCGAAGCGTACTGCTGTCATGACGCGCGTACCAAACGACGAGGCGATGTCATGCTCCCTGCCAGAGAAGAGCACTGTCTGGGGTCCGCGCTACGGGAAGCAGCTGACTCGTCTTGTGCGCGCTCGTCACACTGCCGCGTCGACTGATGTTGCAGCCTGGCAGAAGAGGGCCTTTAGTACTCTGGAGACGGCCGAAGACAACAAGTACATCAGCAAAGCTCTGGAAGTCCTCTGGTCTGTGCCTGACATGATTGCAACCGCCAAAGCCCGTGAGGCGGGTATGCCCCGACGGCCGCATCGGCCGCTTTACACATTCAGAAGGGTCAAGCCCGAGGAGGCTCCCATCACGCCCAGAAAGAGCGAGCGCTTCTCAGCACCGAGCGACGCATGGCTGCACCTTGCTGATATTGGCGACGGCCGCACCGAGTATATTGGTCGCGGCTACTGGTGCGTTCTCGACGATGCCAAAGAGGAATGGCTTTTCCTCCCTTGGGCGCATTTCCCACAAGAGTGGCCCAACCGCTTCGGCCTTACCTTGAGCGAATGCCAGTATCGCAGCACCGGGAGCGACTCAATCTTCAAGCCTGCGCAATTTCATGCTGACGCTCGACCCTTGGAACAAAGCACTTCAACGATGTTGGCTGAGGATGTCGTGATGCAAGAGGCATGCTTGGATGAGGATCAAAAAAATGGATCCCACTCCCCCGTGCATCATGACCTCACGCCATCGCCAGACGATCCTCAGACTTCCAATGTTGAAGACGACTCGTCTCGGCCACGGGGCAAGAGAGTGCTGAGGAAGAGAGGGGCAGCAGGTGACTGCAACTACCATCCCTCGGACAGCGACAGCTCGTCTGATGGAGACGAACCCGACGAAGGCGAAGAAGGGGAACCTCTGATGGGCAGTCCTCAAAATCCCCAAGACGGGTCAACGGCGGCACAGAGCAAAAGGAAGCGCAAGATCGACGATCCCAACTACCGACCTGTCGCAGCGCATGACGATGAAGAGGTCGCTCCCGTGGGGGAGCCAACCGTCACCGTCGTGGAGAGTTACATGGCTGCACCGGCCGGGAAGAAGAGGGCAAGGTCTAGCAAGGGTGTCGAGGAGCCTCTCCCCTTGCCCGACTACGAGTCAGAGGCCGAGGAAGAGAACATGGAGCCGGTCGCGAAGAAACCAAGACGAAAGTCCACCCCTAAGAAGGCAGACCAACAGCAGGACAACCATGTCGACGAGGCGCCCAAGTCAAAGACAAAGTCCAAAGCCAAGGCGACACCCAAGAAAGCTTCGCCCAAAAAGGCCACAGCACAAGATATGCGCACTCCCAAGGAGGAGCCCAAGAACGACACCATTCACGCGAATGAGCCCCCTCAGGTCACTGAGAAGCCCTCGAGACGCGCTACAAAGGCAACTCCAAAGAAGGCGGCTGCGAAGAAGACGGCGCAGCCCAAGGCGGCAACCCAGTCCCCCGTTGACACTCTCTAACGCGTCTCTCTCTGAGTGACCGACTGGCGGAAATGGCTCGACTGCTAAGAAGTCCGAGAAAACTTGGTTTGGTTTGCGAGTATTTTGTTTGGTCATGTTATGGCGTCCAGTTTTCGTTTTCGTCGCGGCGTCCGGAATTCTTTATAACTGGCTTTGCGCAACAGTTTTAAACAAATTGTTTTTCGTCATAAAGAAGAAATGCTGGCACGCGCTGGCCTGCGGCTTGTTGAGAGGTGTCGCCACCTCCTGATCAACCCCTGAGGAGGCGCCAGTTTCTTGCCAAGGTGCTTGCCACGTGGTCTCAGGTTGCAGAGAGCCAGGCCTTTGTCATATCGTATTATTCGGAGCAAACGATCTGCCCCTATCTACCCCTATAGATAGTCCGAACCTGGTATGTAGCAAACGCCGTTCCCACAAAACGGTGCAAGTCCCAAAATATGTAGCGCCCTGTTCAAGTTTCTTACAATGCATCAATAGCTCTGAGCAAGACATCCATACCTCCTGGGCCAAAGTCCCCCTTGTCGCCGAGCAAACCACCTACATCGCTCAGCACGCCGAGTGGTATGTAGCAACCTGTCTTGGCTTTCTCGAGACTGTCCTTCAGGCGACTGGTGTGCTCCCATTCTCGAGCAGCCACCTCTGCTCGCTCAATCACCTTTCCTGAGATGCCGCACATTGCTGCGCAGTGCATACCAAAGGATCCCTCAGCAACACCGTCCTCGAGCTTGTAGAGAAAGGTCACCCGGCGGTTCTCATCATCAACGTGAATCTGCATGCGGCGAGCATAAATTTCTGGATGACTCTCAAACTCGGTGGCGAGGGAGTGATAGTGCGTTGCGAAGAACCCAACGCACCCAATGTGCGACGCCACATGATGCAGAACAGCCTGTGCCACGGCGACACCGTCATACGAGCTGGTACCGCGGCCCAGCTCGTCGAGGATGACGAGGGATCGAGGCGTGGCCTCGGACAAAATCTTTTTGGTTTCCGAGAGCTCCACAAAGAAGGTGGACTGCGCCGCGAAAATGTTGTCGTTGGCTCCGAGGCGCGACATGATACGGTCAACAGGTGTCAAGCGGGCAGACACTGCTGGAACAAAACAGCCGACCTGTGCCATGATGACAGCAACGCAGGACATGCGGAGCACCGTCGATTTGCCTGCTGCGTTGGCGCCTGTGAGGAGGTTGATCTTGGCTTGCTCGCCTCCAAGCTTGATGTCGTTCGGGATAAAGTCGTCCACATTGTTGATCATGCACGGATGTCGGAGCTCGACGAACTCGACAAGACTGCGTTCCTCGTCCACGAACTCGGGGCGGCAGCATGGCTGGCCGAGTGAGGTGGATGCCTTGGCCAGGCTGACGAGGCAATCTAGCTGGGCGACGATGCGAATGGCTTTGAGCCAAGTATCGTAGTCCACGTCAAACTTCTGGAAGAACCTCAAAGCAACGTCTTTGACCAGCTGAGAATGTGTCTCTTCTGCTTCCTGCAGATCGCGCACCAGTGCGGTGAGCTCGGGGAAGTACCAACGCTTGACGTCCTTGGTAGCTGACATTTGACGCCAGCCCGATGGGACCTTGGTTGATTTGGGTGTTTCCATCTGATAAATCTCCTTGCCAACGTCGGTGAACTTCATTGTCTTGCACTTGAGGGCAGCTTTTTGCTCCGCCAGCAACTGGTGCAAGTCTGCCTTGATCTCATCCATGCGATCTAGACTGGCATCAAAGTCGTCGTCGATGCCACGCTCAGGAATCAACAGCTTGTCTTTGCATGCCCTTTCGCGATCAAATGCAGACTTCCAGTAGTTCAGAGGCTCCTCGAGGCTTGGCATGGACGAGATCAATTGATCAACGACACCATGTCCACCTTGGAACGTGCTCAACAGCCCCATGGTGTATTCGATTTGCTCAAAGCCTTCCAGCACACGCACGAACTCTTCGGCTTTGCACGCGCCAGCGTGGATTCTGGAAATAAGGCGCTCCAGGTCAGGCATTTTGGTCAATTGGGACGCAAATTGCTCGCGCAAAGATGAGTCCTTGTTGAGCATCTCCACGGCATCCAGGCGCTCGTTGATTTTGCGAATGTCACACAAGGGGTGTGCTACCCACTGCCTGAACATGCGCTTTCCAAAGGGCGTCACACACTTATTAAGCAAGCTGAACAGCGTCCCTTCGGTGGTGCCGTTAGCAGTGTTGGAAAATAGTTCAAGGTTAACGAGCGTCTGTCCGTCTAGAATGAGCGTGCCATTCTTCTGTATGGGATTGTAACGCTCGAAACTGCCCTGCGTGAGGAGCGGCCGCTCCACCTTGAGGAATTTGAGATACGAAATGAGAGCGCCCACGGCAGACATGACGAGCTCTTCATCTTTGTGCTCTTGTAGAGCCTCGGGCCAGACGTCAAAGTAGTCGCCTGCGGTGAGCTCACGTCGCGCTCTTTCGGCGTCCCAGAATTCTGTGCCGGACTTCATGTGTGTCCATATGGTCGTGGGACTGACGTTGTTTTTCAAGATTCGCATGGTTTTGGTGGAAACCTTGGACTTCTCAAGTAGGAGCTCCTTGGGGCCCGTCTGGGCAATCAGTGTCTCGAATTTGGTCCGGTCCACGTCGTCGACAAAACCAGACAGGTGGAAGCGACCCGTCGCAGTGTCGGTGAACGCGATACCAAACGCAGGCAAGTCGTCGACCAATGATTCCTTGATCGCCACGCAGTAGGCTGCCATGTCGTCCTGGAGCATGCTGCCGTCGACCAAAGTGCCACCGGTCAGCACGCATGCCAACTCACGTGTGATGACCTTGTCTGCTTTCTTCCCACTCTTGTCCTGGCGCTCACGCATCTCCTTTCCCAGGTTGGTTTCCATCTGGTCGACTCGGGCCACCTTGTACTGCTTGGCGATGAACTGGTTGACCCAGTGGTCTAGTGAGCTTTCGGGAACGCCCGCCATGCGCATGTTGACGCGATCGGTCATCTTGAAGTCAAATTCTTGGTGGCCTATGGTAGCATCGTTCTCGTAGAGCTCGTAAAACTTGCCCTTTTTGAAGAAGACGATGGTATCCCAGAGGTTCTGCTTGATCTCCCAGTACTGTTTCTCAAAAGGCGAGAATTTGCCCCAGGCGAGGGGAGGAATGTAGACTGTCCTTGGATCGTAATCGGGATCACCGGGGGACCTCCTCTCCTTGTCCTGGATCTTAGCCAGCCAAGGATAGCGGTCAGATGGCTCACTGGTATGGGCCTTTTGCTTGGTACCGGGCGCTTTTGTCCTACTCTCGGGGACCTTGACGGGTTGTTCGGCACCTTCAGGGTCGTAGTGCCATTGTGAAGCTGTGGAGGCTGGGACATCTTCTAGCAGTCCCTCCATGTCGACGTCTTCGATGTCTTCAAGGGACACCTCTTCATCCTGCGGAGGTGTCCGCTTCTTCCTTGAAGAGGCGGCCTTGGTCGATCTTTTGCGTTTTTTGGATTTTGGTTCCGAGTCGTCAGAGGCAACGAAGTCATCGATGTCGTCTGCAAGGTCAGCGTGCGTCTGCAACCGGGGAAGTGTGTGCATACCATCGTCTTCCGCGGCATCGTCTTCTTCTACTTCAAAATCGTCCTCATCCTTCACGACAGCCGTGGCTCTAGCACGTCTGCTCTGTGAGCTCGATGCTCCATATGCAAATGGCTCCTCATCATCGGACGATTCCGCGTACGTAACAACCTTTTTCGCCTTCCGGGAGGGGCTGCTTCCCACTATCTCAAGCTTGACAGCGCTCGGCTTGGAACGAGTGGGCGCTGTGCTGGGTGATGGCAAGTCACTTGGTATCTGGTTCTCTTGAGAGCTCGGAACTTCGAGGGCGTCGCTATTCATGGTCGTTTCGAGTTTCGTCTTCTTCATCTTTTGGAGAGCGTTGGTATTGGTGGACTCTTGGAAATAGGGAACGGGGCTGTTGACCTTTTCTGAGAGTGGCGAAGATGCAGGAGCGGCGGCAGGGGACGACTTTTGGAAAAAGGACGCGATTGAGCGCTGCTTCTTGATTGTGGAAGACTTGTTCGTGGTTGAAGCTGGAGGCTTCGCCGGATTACGGCTTGCATTAGGCGTTGGCCCTGCCATGACGGGCAACGGAATGAGAGTTGGGTGTGCAGGCAATCGAAAACAATTACAGTCAACTAGACAGATCGCAGAGAATTCGGATTAAGTCAAGCAAAGTTGCAGGTCATGAGAAGTGACAAGATGGTTGTGCTGAAATTGAGATGGGCAGCCAGCCGCGTGCACGCGTGGCGCGTCGCCAGTCGCGTTGAGTGGTGACACACAGTGCATGATGCCGGAATGGGCGCCGAAGTCTTTCTGGTACTGTCCAATTGACACTGTCTGTCCCATCATCCACCGCTTTCCTTGTTACGAGTTCTGACCACATCTTCCGCCTCGAATGGTGCAACCCAACGTGGCAATCTATCGCCCACAAGCGCGTCCGGCCCCTATCTGATGTCCTGCCTTCAATTGCCTTCTTGACCTTGACAGTATTTCAGATGCTCTCGGACATGCGCGACTGTCGTATGCCTGCACTGCGCTTCCAAGCGCTGCGTGGCCAACGAGGAGTTCACCGAGATCCCATCCATCATTCAATGCCAGATTACCACCAAACCCTGCAAACGGGCTCAGCGCGTGGTTCGCGTCGCCGATAAAGATGAGTGGGAATTCATCGATGTCCTCATGTCGAAATGGCTGTTTGTCCTTCGCGTTGATACACATCGTTGCTGACCCATCCGTACGATCCACGAGAGTCTTGAACGGCTCCTCGAGAGCCTGCCCCAGAACTCTAGCTCTTTCAATGACCTTCTCGGCTGCTCTCTCTCCTGGGTCTTTGATTTCGTCTTCAAGATGGCCCAGTCCCCAGAATACAGAACAACGATCCACAGCTGAGTAGAAGCAGGACACTCCGTCGCCCGAGATCTGAAAGCCCCAGTCAGCATCCAGTGGTGGAGGGAGCGTCTCTTCAAATCGAGCCAGTCCACCCCTTAGGACAGCACCTGTATAGTCCAGAGAATCGCCCGGCCGGTGGGACTGCCGTATCTTACTGCTGGCCCCGTCCGCGGCGATGAAAAGGCTACAATCAACGTGGCCCTGCTCCCCATTGTGCTCAAACAGCACCCTGGTCTTGCCGTCTGTCAGCTTTGACAACTTCCGACACTCTGTGTCCCATTGTATGGATACATTGCGCGCGTCTCTGATAGCCTCATGAAGGACCTTTCGAAGGGACTTTCGTGTAATCCTAAGGCTGCCCACGGGAATGCCCTCCCTGGGCTGACGGTGGAAGGATTGCTGGACGTTCCAGTCCTTGTCCCAAATTTTGAAAGAACCGCGGTGGACTCCCGTCACCGCCTGATCGAGGACCTTCTCGAGGAGATGCATCTTCCTTAGTGCTGGCAGGCCGCCACACTCGTCGTATCCGGACAAGGAGATGCTATAGTCCTCCCGTTGCGCAGCGGTGTTGTGCGAATCGCGTTCGAGCATGACAATGGTGGGAGGGACATGATCGGAGGGCCAATTCTGGGTCAGAGACACAACGAAGGCAGAACCAGCTATGCCAGCACCAGCAACAACGACGGTCTGGCCGCTGAGGTAATGCGCCATGACTGGGAATTGGGTGAAGCTTGGAAGTGTGAGGACAGTAGTTGGACTCGAGCTCAAATTACCTGGGAGAACAGAGCGGCGACTCAGCTGGTACTGAAAGCATTTCAGTCCTTCACCGCAAACACGTCTTACTCAATCCTGGACCAGGTGCCCGAGTGGCACCGGTGGTGTCCTGGCCCTTACACGCCGCGACGGTTACTCAATCGTGTATCGGGGTCCACCCTGCATACACTGACTTCCGATTTAGGCAGTGAAGCGATTCAAGCAGCTGTCACTCACCTCGGCTGCTGAACTTTAATCTGCCCGAAAGATGGAGAAAGTAGTGACTGAGGCTGCATCTCTGCTGGAATGCCTGGCCCTCTTGAATCTTTGAAAAACGGTGCAGCTGTTGAGTAGTGGCTCGGTGACTCCCACGTTCGCGATAGCGCTGGGTGCATGCGATGTTAAGCCCATGAGTTTTTCAATCTGTGTAGTATTTCCCATGGTCTTCCCCGAAAAGGGAGTCTCATTTGATTATAGGATCTGTCTTCGAATGCTTTGTTTCCAGTTCACAGCCCTCCGACTGTGAACTGAGCTGGCGAGTTTGCGCATCTCAATAAATGTGCACCGCGTCACCTGCCAAAAGTACAGCCATTTGCACGCACACCCCGCATCCGCACCCGTCTGCCCCTCCATCGAAAAAATCCAAGAGACACATTCCAGTATTTCAACGATAATGACAACCCTATTTCTACTTCTTGCCGCTATCCTTTGAAACGATCTGGCTCTTCAAGATACCTCCCAGTTCACATCGCGACAAGATGGCGGACCTCGCTGCGCCACCGGTGCTATCGACTCCGGACGATCACATCCTCACAGCCGAGCCACCGCTTCCCGCAGCTCAGAAGTCAACCCTTTCAGCGGACGTTCTGTCTCGAATTTACGAGATCCCTCGAACGATCGACTCCCTCGTCGCAGGCGGGTATAAGCGCATAGCTCTCCAGTTTCCCGACACGCAGCTACCGGACGCCCCCGCTGTATCAACTGCTCTTTCGGAACAATTACCACCAGACGCAAAGGTACACATCCTCGCTGATACAAGCTACAGCGCGTGCTGTGTCGACGAGGTGGCAGCCGAACACGTCGAGGCCGAGGTTGTTGTGCACTATGGGAGGGCGTGCCTCAGCCCGACAAGCCGCTTGCCGGTCATCTACGTCTATACTGCTCAGGAACTGGACCTCCCGGATGCTGTCAACAAGTTCGAGTCCGAATTTCCCGACAAGGCTGCGAAGGTGATTGTCATGGCAGACCTGACCTATCATCACCATGTTGCTCCGCTCGTCGAATCATTGAAAGAGAAGGGCTACACCGGCATCCAACCGACAGAGGTGGTCAGAGACCCGAATGGCTTGATACCAAACAGAAGCATACCCCTCGACCTCACGGCAGACGATCTCAGGACATATTCCCTCTTCCACGTGTCCGACCCACCCACATCCGTTCTCCTCGCTCTGTCCTCGCGCTTCGCATCTCTTCACGTGCTGTCTGCGCAGTCATCGACCGTCGAGAATCCCACGATGCGCACAGCTGGCTTGCTCCGCCGACGTTTCGCGCGCGTTCTTTCCCTGGCGTCTTCAGGGGTCATTGGCATACTGGTCAATACTCTCTCCATTGCCAATTCCGTGTCCTCAATAGACAACCTGAGGAGGAAAATCGCCGATGCAGGCAAAAAGAGCTATACCGTCGTCGTGGGAAGACTCAACCCCGCGAAACTGGCCAACTTTGCTGAAGTGGAAGGATGGGTGGTAGTCGGGTGCTGGGAGGGGGGCCTCGTTGAGGAGGACAGCGGGTACTGGAGGCCAGTGATAACACCATTTGAAATGGAAGTCGCTTTGATGAAAGAGGAGGACCGTATATGGGGCGGTGAATGGTGGGGTGGCATAGAGAAGCTTTCTCTCGCCAAAGAGCCAAAGGAAGAGAAGCTAGAGGTACGGGAGGATGATGCGGCCGACGTCCACGACGCAGACGAAGGCGTAGAAGGCGAAGAGTCAATGCCGCCAGAGTACGACCTGCGCACGGGAAAGCTGGTCAGCCACAGTCGGCCCATGCGGTTAGCCGTGCGGGACTCTCCTGACGTGAAAACAAAGTCAGGCGACTCAGAGGCACTGATAAGAAGGGCAGCTCCCGGCGAGGTCGTGAGCATCAATGGCGTTGCCAGTCCGGGCGCTGAGTTCCTCCGCTCAGGGCGGACATGGCAAGGTCTGGGCAGCGACTTTCAGGAGAACAATGAGGCAAGCACAGTCGTGGAAGAGGGGAGAAGAGGCGTGGCGCGCGGCTACGTCGTTGGTGAGGGAGAGAAGCATTGATACCCAAAGAACTATATACCTCATGAAATCGTTGGTCATATACCTATTTCCACATCCATACCCAAATCCACATCCGTCTACACATAAACCCTCCTGTGAGAGTGGTGCGAGTGCCTCGAGCCCGAGTGGCTTCTCCTGTGCGAATGCCTGCTCGAGTGGTGACGGTCCCGCCTGGCATATTCGACATGGTCATCGCCATGGAAGAAGGCCGCGATCGCGGTGCAGAAGAACTGAATGGCAGCAATGATCCCAAAGGCGAAGCTAGCTTTCAGCATGGCGCAGCGTTTCTCTGTCCGCCAGCTGATGCTAGCGCCGGGGCCCGAGACCTGGATATCCCCCAAATTGGCCGTCCAGTCGTTTCCTCGTCCAACACTGACTGTGGTGCAATCCTCACTTGCGATTCCCCTCAGATAGTAAACACCAGCGATGAAGGCGCCGACAAAGGCAAGGTCGATCAAGGCAATGAAGCGACCGTTGCTACTGGACCGGTGATACGAGAACACGGTGAACAGGGCCCATGCCAAAGCGAGAGTCGAGACGATGAAGAGGACAAGGATGGAGGCGGGCGTGAGAGCATTGGCCTTGGTGAAGTTGTCGACGAACCAGGCGAGCATGCCAACCGTGGGGATCTGTTCTTTGTCAGTTGCGATGCGCCCAGCCGGGGCTGGCAGAGGTCTTACAAGAATCAGGAGTTGCAAGATGCGAGTGGTCACGAAGAAGATGGCGAAGAACATCCTGGATTTCGATGCGCGCGGACGCGACTGGGCTCAAACGTGTGAAGCTTGGTCCGAGAAAAAAGAAGAGGGATGGCGAAGAGAGAGTATACGAGCTGGCGCTAGACGGGGAGATGGGGGTTTTATGCAGGTGTAGTGCTTGCATGGTGATGCCCTCAGGGACCAATCAGAGCATGAGCGCATAAATGTGAGGAGGTTGGGAACACGCACACTAGAATCTAGAACAGAAAAACGAAGCGCATCATACTGAATGGGCGGGTCCGTGACGTGTATCTTCAATCTCTTGTCGCTTTTTTCTTGTCTGTCAGGCTACTCCCTGTGCGTGCGACACAGTCAATATTGACATTGTTGTTGACGTTGAGGCCCGTTGCTACAGTGCTTCCGCATGACGTATTTCCCTTCGAGGGTACATCCCTGTTGTATTTCATGCGATAGTGTTCGTGAGTGATTGCAATTCATGCGCTTTGTTCTGTGCGAGATTCGTCGAGGTTGAAACCTGGTAGTCGGACGGGACTCGTGGTGAGACAGGCGCCGTGGCTGGTCTTAGACGAACGTGCGTGTGTTCCTGTTGCCGTTGGGCAGCGATGATGTGTGGAGTGTGGCTGGGAGGTGTGAGTGACAATTGAGTGGCTGGTGTATAATCTGGTTCAGGTTACCCTACATGCAACAACGCACCTGAAGTGACAGCGCCGCTGATGCGCACAGCCAAGGCGAAAGCAGCTATTCATGTTCAATTACTTCATTTCTATCCATGCCTCCGCACATTCTGGCTTACGGGACTTCGCCTGGGTGTTGCTGTTGCCGGCATTGCACTATCATGATGTCGGCAAACTTTCATGGCCATTCAACACACCCAGAAGCACAATTCCAACGCGAGTGCTCACCGGTTATTGTGTATCTGCGTTGCGCTTTCCATCTGCTCTGGTGCTTGCGCATGATAGGTTTAGACATGGTGCGTATAACTACTTCAGTGAGGCAGTTCTTATCAGGATCCAACCCGATGCATCGCATTATACGCACGTACGTATAGTATAGTATTGGTTCAGAAATCGTACCCGGCCTCTGGCCCAGCGGGGGTGAAGCGGGGTTCCTGTCATGCTCGTTCTCGTCTCCCACGTTTCTTAGCTTTTACCTTAATTTTGGATACACAGTCGCAAGCTCAAGCCACGAACTTTATTCACATTGCAAATATCGAAAGTGCCCATTTCCTACATCGATTTCAAGCTATGCATCTGTTTTTTATGTCCCTCTCAAAAAGAAGCTGGCTGTTAAGCTAGACTGATGACGTGATAATTAACCCATGCAGATACGGAATGCCCATGCCCAGAACGCCATGTTGCTGACAATTGCCATTGTGCCACAAGTTTCCCGCACCCGGGAAAGCATTCGACATATTTCATTGGCGATTCAATTGATCCTTCCGCAGGAACTATGCCAAGACGCTGTTGTACTTGTGTTCAAGGCTGTACGTAAACCTGACGAAAGCTGGGATGACATGCACGTGTGATCCCACAATCATGCCGGAGAATCCTCCCGCCCTCTATTTCCACCCTCCCTCTCGTCTCACGGTCTCAACTACGGATACAGTCTAACTACGTACTCATCTTGCCCCGCCTCGTTCCCCAGTACTTATAGCTGTCAAGCTGCCTCTGACATGGCGATCGCCGTCTTCGACTACTTTATACGGCTGTAACTCTTCGAACATAACTTATAACTTCACAATGGCAAGTGAATCAGCAAGCACTCGTTACAACAACTTGATGAAAGACATGCCGCGAACAGAAGCCGGCTCGCAACCCCTGGAGCTGTTTCGACAGCTCGGCACGCGCGAGGAAAGCCTCTCAGCGTGGGGGGAGAGGGACGAGGTGAAGTATGTGCAGGAGATGCACCCCGAAATGGACTTTAAGCAGACGGTGATGGAACCCACTGTCAGGTTCACATTCGATCTCCAGGTACGTTTGTTGCGGTGAACCCACCATTGGGAGTGGACGCTCGAGCTCACCACAAGTATAGGAACAAGTCGACGACGAGAATCAGAAGAAGATCCAGGATCTCCTGTCTCAACTCATGTCGACTTCGGATGACGTCCCGGAAGGTGTGCGCCAACTTAAAGAAGCACGCAGATGTCTAGCTGGATACCCAAGTGTTCAAGGCCAATTCGACAACATCTTCCTCCAGGATGACCCAGAGGTCATAGTGGCCAAGCTGCAGGGCATGAGTAAGCTACGAAGCGAGATTAACAGCGAGATGCAAAAGGAAAGGCGAGATTCCCGACAGGTTGAGAAGGAGTGGCACTAGTCAAGAGGCCGAGTAGTCATTACATGTAGAAGGCATCCTGAGCTTTCTTGCAGGTACATAACCTCAAAATTCGGGTCGCTTTTCATCGATCAGGTCGCGTGGCCCAATGGCAAGGCGTTTGACTACGATTCCTGTACATCAAAAGATTGTGGGTTCGATCCCCACCGTGACCTTTCGTTTTTGCTTTTTACCATGGTCTCCAAGGTGATCAGACCTCTGTTATTTTTCTCTGCCACATCTTCGAATCTGCAGATTTTGACGCCATGTTTTGTTTATTTGAACGAGGCCCGGTCATGAGCCGTCGAACTTTTTGATTAGGAGTATTTGCGCTACGGATTACTACAGTCATCACGGCTCCTCATCAAAATCCCTTATTACTAAAGTCTGGGCCGCGTCAGTGCCAACTGACTTCTTCTCATCCGTCATTAGGAAACTTCCCAGACTTCCCAAACTCGTCGTCATGTCCATTCGTTGGCGAATTGGCAAATCATGATTTGCCGAAGACTTTGTCGAAGAAGGGGACGTCGACATGCCTGGAGGGCCCACATCCTCAGGTGCGAGAAAACAGTACGACATGGAATGCGAAGGATCGCTGAAAGGCCAAGTCTGCGCCCACGAAGGCGCTTTGACACGCGCAATGAGATGGTAGTCGACACCAGCACCGTACTTGAGCCCTGGCGTATCAACGCTGATCGCCGCGAGCGTCTGCAGAGCCCCGTATAGCACAATCCAACGAGCGCGACGAGCGAGCTGCGCGTCAACAGACAGGTCTTCCTTCTCAAACCGTGAGAATGCCGTGAGCAGATCGGTTGGCGAGGCACATCTTTCAAGCGCATCCATGTTCACGCTCTCCGTATATGCCAAAGCGACTCGTTTGTCCCTTTGCCTCGATGCTGGTACATGTTCTGGTAAGAGGGGATGAGGCCCTGGGATGTGAGGAATTCTCGCGCGGTTGTCGAACTCAATCACAATGTCTGTCATGGGAATGACAGAGTCCGCGTCGAACGAGTGATCCCTGCAAGACGCCATCATCCATTTTCGGCCTGCGCGTGCTTCCGATACATCCCACGACACATCACGATCGACCAGCAGCTCGTACAACGCGCCGAGATCTTGTTGGAGTGTGGTGACAAGCGATCGCGTGAGCCAACCCTCCTCGCGAACCGGAGGCCATGCTCCGTATACCGCCACGTATTGTTTCCGGAGAAAGAGCTGAAATGCCCGTGCCGAGGAATGGACAGACTTGTTACAGTCCAGAGGGATCATGTCGCTGAAACCGAAATCAGCGAGACGGTCCTCCGCTGTTTGGATCAACAGGGACATCTCCAGATTTGACTTTCCCAGCAGTGCTTTCGTCACGGCGGGAACATGGGGCCAGTCTGTGCAGCTTTCTAGCGAGTCGTGCATTCCAACACAGTGCACGAACGCCTCGCGCCACCCCTGTGCCCAAAGTCGATCCGACCACGCGAGGATGGACACGGCTGCCTCCGGGTTGTTGCGCACGTCGTCCAGTCCACGGGCCACGATGTAGTGAAGCAGCTGCGACAGTATCTCGGGCTCTCTCTGTAATCGGGTTTCTAGGTCTTGCAGTGCCTGGTAAAGCGAAAGGCCGACCAAAGCTGCCCTGTGAATCAACGCAAAGGTGTTTCGCGTTGTCATTTGATGCCTCAAGCTCTCTGTCCTCGTCAGGCCCGGGGGAGGCGGGAATGAGAGCTCATACGAGATTCCGTCCTCGTAGTCGTCCTCTACGATGCTTTGCTGAAGTTCCATCATCAGGTATTTGTTTCGACTGGCCTCGATGACTTGAGACGACACACGCAAGCTTGGTTCATCACTCTGCCCGAGGAAGACGAGGACATCGCCGTTCTGATCCCACAGCTCGGGGTCTTTCCGGAGCTTGTTCCATCGTTTGGCAGGCCTCCCACCGCCGGCGAAGCGCTTGAGTACTGGCGGTGGGGTCGAAGGCAACTTGGTCGATGGCGGCGGCGTTGGCCAATTTATCTCAGGGGTCTCTTCTGTCCGCGGTGAAGTCGGGTATGGAGTTGGATATGGGCCGGTTGGGTGCGAGCTGGCTGAAGGCCACTCTGGCAAAGATCTTGATTCCACAGGCGACAGCGTGGCCTCGTCCTTTTTGCCAAAGCTGAAGGCCTTGCTCAGCCCTTTCCGCACATTGTCGCTCCGCTTGTCGATGAGGCTACGGAGCCCACTCCTCTCGATGCCACTCGGATCGCATTCGCTGGGGTCGCTGCCCGAGCTGATACTCGAAGCAGCCTTGCCTTCGTATATAGAGTCTGTACGGTGGCGTGGCAAGTGCGGCAGACGCGAATGCGTCTGGGTTGACTTTTTTCTCGCTGAGGCACTGCGAGCTGACATTTTGCATTTGCACTTGCACTTGAATTATGGAAGAAGCATGCAATTCGAAAGCTGAGTCTTCCAGATCAGGCGTCATGGCGCTCATGCCGCTTTTGCAGCCATTTCACGTCAACAAGAGTGACTGGTTCGATAAGAGGCATCAGGGCCGTGTGCTCGTGGGGGTGCAGCAACGGCACGGCATGGCGGGCACGTTGCTATCAATCAGTGACCGGACCAACGAGAGTCTTACAGAAACAGCCTACTCCGTACCTAGTGCAAGTCGATTAGGCCAGTCATCGTGGTTGGAGGATACCCTGACAACTGACTCCCTAAAGCCATGTGGCTATCAGTCGGAACGGGGCGATGCGCGGGTCCTGGCTTGACATTGACCCGCCCAACTATTGATGTCGATGTGCGGTACGCCAGCAATACTCCTTCTTCCTTGTCCATCAGGGCGACCGTTGAACACGCCGGGGAGCCCCCCGATTTACCTTCATGGACGCGACCGACCTGTTGAAACTGGCAGATGCCCCGACGCTTGTCATCCCGTTGCTTTTGGCCTTATCGCAGCGACAAGAGCCAATCACAATCATAGACTCGGACACACGTGAAAGCACACCTTGGGGATATGTGAGCAGTCACATCATGAGAGATGGTCTTTTAAGTGCCAGACTCCCAGACTGCATGGTCGCAGCATGGAACGTATAAGACGTCGCTTCAAGTCGCTGGTGATAAGCCCCGTTGGGCACACGGGCCGGATGATACGGTGACACCTGTCAGTGGAGTGCCCTGGTATGATATCGTTTTCTCGTCTCGTTTAGGGCAGGGCGTCGTAAGTCAAAATGAGATAACAGAAAGATTGACCTCAATTACTTTGTCATGTCCACCTGGACCCCTGTCCCCACAGTTGGACGTTATCAGTCAAATCAGGACCCTGCACTTCGCCCACGATATCTGGAGGATCGTCCTGGGGAAACAGGGGAGCGCAAACCCTCAACCTGGATTCAAAACTGACTGAAATTCAGCTTGGACGTGGTGTCTTTCACAACAGTGACTGCTGCTGGACACCTCGAGCTCGTTGTCCCGGATGAAAGCTGAGGATGTGTACTTTCCCGCGGAGTGACCCTCGGGTGCAATGTGAGATGACAAGGGTCCTGATAAGCTTATGCGACGTACTGAATTTCTTGCGTGGGCTTCTCGGTTTTGCGACTCTAGCCGAGTAGTAGACACCTTGGCAGACTGGAACCACCCAGAACCGAGACATTTCATTTCCAGATTGCATTTGCTGCACATACTGTGGTTCAGTTCAGACGGGTCAAATACTGGCCCTGCCTCCAGAACTAGATGAGCGTGACCCTTCCTGGTTCATGATGGATTGGCCGAGACAAGTCATCCCCCATGCGCCACCGACGACAGCTGTGCATCCGCCAGTGCTACTGAGGTGTCCCCATTCACTCGCGATTGGTGGCTCCATGTGGCGCTTCAAGCAGAGCGAAACGAAGTACGGAGTAGAGGTAGACTGCATCGCTTGAGGTCCTCATGCACAGCTTAAACCAAGCAGCCACCGCTTTAGTCCCTGGGGATATGCGAATGTCGTCGCCCGCTGCCCAGAAGTAGGCGAAAGCTCGGTACGTATTCGTACAATACCCACCAGGTTTCGTGGCCGACCCATGCTTGGCGAGGTGCTCTGCACGAAGACTATCGCGTAACATACTGCCACAGCCACGACGCCTAACCTTGGCTATTGCGCGTACATCACACCAAACTGTGACTCCAACATAGATTTGGGGAGGGGAATGTGCCACCGTGTGCGAATACCCTCTCCAATATGATTGGGATAATCATGAATCTCGTGGATCAATTACAAAGGTATTAGTTACGTACAAAAGTAAAACATGTTCCGTCCATATCATGCGCCATCACCGGGTATCAGTATCGCCTCTCCCGCCCCAGGCAACATATTCCGTTCGCTCATGTGCCATCATGTTCGTGTTCGCCTGTCGTCTTCGTTCGTAGCTGTTTGTCTGGTGTATCAATCAAGCGCCAGCGTACGGCGTGGGCTTGGCGGTCGAGGTGCCACGGCCGCGCGCGAAGCCCATGCCCTCCCAGATGGCCAGACCCGTGAACACGACCCAGTTGAAGAAGCCAAAGACGACGCCGGCCTGCGCACTCTGGCAGAAGTTGTTGCCGTTGCAGTCGGGGATGCCCACGAGGACAGCCATGGCAATGCTGCCGGCGAACCAGAAAAGGGCCGTGAGAGCGAGCAGGGCCAGGGCTGCGACGGGGATATAGAGCGAGGGAGCCACAACAGGCGTGATGGCAATGTAGATGAGAATGAGGATGGACCAAACGGTGGTGAAGAGCATGAAAGCAAACTGCGAGGGCGAACCACCCCACCAGTGGCTATCAGTCTGGCCCACGACTGGCGCATTGTTAGCATGCTTGGGGGTGAGAGTCAGTGTCGCCTACATACCATAGCCGGTGAGACCAAGCTCAATGATCAAGAGCAACGCCGCAAAGGCGTAGACAATCGTGAGTTTTCCGAAGCTGCCCAGATTCATGATGGCGGTTTTCGTCTGTCGCGCTGAAAGGTGTGTTGTGTGGTCTGCTGTAGTTGTTGGTTGGAGACAAGTAGCTGAATGCGCGTCAAACAAATTCTTCTGGGCTCGGATCGTGTGTCGTTCGCGAAGAGAGATGTTCTTGAGCGATTCGAGATGAAGGGGAGGAAGTGGACGTCGATCGGATTAAAGCTTGCGAACAGCCCTCAGCTGGCATTGTGCTTTTAGTTTTCGTTCGGCTCGCTCCTTCGACTCACTGATTTGCAGCCCAGCATGACGTTAGCTCGACCCATGACCTCATGCTGCTTGGCATTCTCGCGACTTCTCATTCGCTGTCAAGGTGCAACGCGTACGCATCGTCGCTGAATCCGGCCATTGACCCCTGTCGCCCTCATCGTGGCTTGGGCTCCCTGCGCCACATGGAGCTCTTGACCCGCCGAGATCCAAGACTGTGCCAATGAGTGTCAAGACGATCAACGAGTAGGCCAGGCCCAGGTTGCTGTTCATCAACCACGCTCGGGATACCAGCTTTTGCATACTATCGTGAGATTCGGGCACATGTTTTTTTTTTTTTTTGGGTTACGTGTTTAGCACTTTGATTCACAGATCGAGTGCCGGCTCCCGCGCCTTAGCTCTTCCTTGGCGCGAAACCACCAAAGTCAATGGCATCATGGCGTCTTCTGACCGAGCTAGGAGCGGAGGACGTCAACGCGCCATTTCGGCAGTGTGATCACAACACCAATGTGGCGCGGTGCACCGGCAATGTGGAATCCCGTGGCACAGACCGTGATGATCGCCTCATGGTTCAAAAACTTCAAGTATCAGCTTTCGGCTTTGACGGGAAGACGGCGGATTATCGGCCGATCTCTCATGTATCAATGGCTTATGCATGCTTTGTACCTTTCGCAACCGCTACACGGAACCACCACTCATTGCTGATGCTTACAGCCTCGCCATTTCCCCTTCTACTGAACCCTCAGGCAGTCCTCGCCAGCTTATCGAGAGAGGCTATGAGATGCCAGGTTCGATTCCTCTCGCGTTAGCCAGGGAAAGACAAAACTGCGTTGGTTCAGGTTCACAGGCTGCATGTCGTTCTCGGGTGCTTGCCCCTCAAACAACCACTGTGCCCAAGGTTGATTCTCGCCTTGGGTTTCCGGAGAATCATCGGTCATTGGGGTATCAGCAACTGCCGCTTGGCTCGTCGACTGCGAACAGGGGCTAGTTTCGACCGTCGTTGTATTTGGCTGGATTCGTTGTGCTGAGCGGCTATCCGTCTGCTCGTCCTCCTCATCAACAAAATTTGCCTGGCGAAGAAGGCTGTGTATGGCCAGACGCTGGCGTATGCGCGCTGCCGAGGAAAGCTGTGTAGTGAGGTCTCTCTCTTGCGCAGCCCCGGAGAGCTTCGGTGAAGAAAAGCGACTAGGGGCTTGCTCATGCGACGAGAAAACACCAATCAGTCTGCGCAGCTCGTCGATGATGGGCCTGACAAGCATGGAGCGTGGGAAGAATCGCTGCACCACTGCCAAGCACATATTGGCTCTACTAAGCGCAAACTCTTCAGTCGGTCGTTCGCTCGTTTGTCCAAAGCGCGCCGTGAAGAGGAGCATCCGTGATGCGGTGTAAGCGCAAATAGCCGTGTCAAACTCGAGTAATCGCGTCGGCTCCTCCACCAATGTGGAGTTCATGGTGGCAATCGTGTGAACCGACATTTTGGCATGGTGTATGCACATGGCTTCGGCGCGATCGAGAAAGTCGACCTCAAGAGCGTCCAAGACCACGCGTGGTGCAGCGTCTCGAAATTTGCGCAGAACCAGTCGGTAGAGATCAATGTGAATCTGGTGAAACGACAGCCTCATGATGAGGTACCTCGGCAGCCATTGGCTAGTGATCCAACGTTCCAACTGCTCTTGCGTCGGTTCAACGCCGTCCGGCAGCAGCATCCCAATCCGGTCTAGATGTTGCTGAAAATCATTCATCATCTTGGGCAGGCTGGGGAACGGCTGATCACAGAGCGCCAATGACCGATTTAGCTTCATCACATCACGCCGAAACATCTCCAGCTTGACGCTGATGTGGTATGATCCCTGGTCGTCTAGGGTCCTCCAATCCCCGCCGTCGGAACTGAACTGATACTCGACGCAAGGCAGTTGAATGTAAATGTTTTCCACGGGGCAGAGCTCGAACTCAGGTAATCCAACCGAGAAATAACGCTCGACGAGCTTCAGTGACCACATCAGCCGTCTTCTGACCTCAAGTGAGGTTGCCGAGGAGTCGGGTCGCTCGTAGTTCAAGCGCAAAGCAGTGGCCGCACGTCCAGCCAGCGAAGCAAGCATGAATGCCCTCCTCAGCTGCCCAGTTTCGGCTCGATATAAGATGACCAACAACATGGCTTGAAGGCGTGCGATTGAGGGAGATTCGAGATGCTGCCATATCAGCGTTTCAGCTTCCTGTACCCACGCGGATTCGAGACTGGGAGATCGTTGGATGCCTGGAGCACGCACGCTAGACACCGCGGCAATGGCTATGACAAGACTTCTGTCGATAGAGTCGTCTGCGAGCTTCCGCAAAATTGTCGGCGGATGCAAGAACGCGTATGATGGGAGAGGGTAGACGTGTTGAAAGAATGCGTCGATCAGTGATGGAATGGAGCTCGGCGGCGACATGGACTCGGCATCGTCGGTCGCCACGGTGGCCTCCGCGGGTTGTGATGCTTCTCTTCTCGACGGCGCGCCTGCGTATTCGCACAGAGTAGACTTCCTCAGACATGTTGCACATGGTCTCTGCCCGGTACACCGGATCTTGTGCTCTCGGCACCGCGTGCACGCCTTGCTCACCCGGCGCGGCTCTAATCGTGGGGTGTTGATAGCTCCATCATGGCGCGCGGGCTGATGTTGGTACTGGCAGTCGAACTTGAGGCGAACGCAGTTGTCGCATGGTGGTACGCCTGGTGTGTTGGAGATGCACCGAACCTGGAAGATCGTGGATTAGCCAAGCTCAGGCGTAGGAGGACGTCGTCGCCAACCTTGCGCTGTCGACACGGCAGGCACGTCTTCCTGGGCGTCTTTGTCGTCGAAGAAAAGGTATGTGTCATGCCCTCCATACCCTCAGCGATCGAAGCTCAATGCTCGGGGGGCGAGCGACATTGTGCTACGTGCCGGGAAGCGAGGGTTGAATGATGTAAGGATTGGATTCGCGATCCAACGCCATGCGAAGGGGGTCGTCACGGGGAGGAATGAACTACCCGGGAGCATTGGACGTCAACTTGGAATTGCCTTTTGCGGTAGGTGAACCGTGGACCTTCCTTCACCGAGCTACGCCGTACGCATGGAGACAGATCAATAAGGTACTCCTGCACACCGCACCTCTGCTTGACCGTATCAATGCTATTCAGTCACCATTCACCTAAGCCCGGCACAACTCTGAGTGAGGCAAAACTTGTTGAGGTGAACGTTGCATTTTCGGCCTGTCACGTGCCGTGGCTTCACAAAGTCTCAAGAGAGGAAGGAGCAACGCGCCGCGCCGACGATCAACGATCATGCTGAGCTTACCATCAACAAGACCGCGACCCCGCATCACTTGGCCTCGCTGAGGACTTGCCTCCTTCAAGCGCACCGGCAACATGAAGATCGCAACATTGTTGGGCACGTTGTCTATAGCGGTGAGCCTGGTGGGCGCCGCGGCCAATGGCACCAAGTGTGTCATGTACCTGACGGGGTCAGTAAGTCTTGCGCAGGTCCTGGACCTACTGACAAAGAGGTAGTCAGCATGTTGTGTTTCCTCCCAAGAACCTCGCCTCTTCCATCACCCACGTCATCATGGCCTTCCTACGCTCTGATGTGTTCCTACCCGAGGAACCGCCAGAGGAGTACCCTTTGTTCATGCCTGTCGAGGAGGTGCGAACCCATTTTGAGTCGGACACCAAGGTCACCGTTGCCATCGGTGGCTGGGGCGATAACGACGGGTGGCAGGTTGCTGCACGCACGCGCGAGTCGAGGAAGAAGTGGGCTGAGCAGGTCAAGGTCATGGTCGACAGGACGGGCGCCGACGGCATCGACATTGACTGGGAGTATCCGGGTGGCAACCGCGACGACTACAAAGAAGTCCACAACTCGGAGCGCGTTTGGGAAATCGAAGCTTTTGTGAAGCTCCTGCAGCAGCTGCGCAGAACACTGGGCAAGAATAAGCTCCTCACCGTTGCGACGCCTGGTCAAGAAGTCGACCTCATTGCCTATACGCACAAGACCGTCCCCCGCATCATCCAGGAAGTCGACTTCATCAACGTGATGACATATGATCTCATGACACGCCGTTACAACACCACCAACCACCACTCGGGCATCCAGCAGTCGCGCGACTCCATCCAGCGATACATGGACCGCGGCGCACCCGCCGAGATGCTCAACTTGGGCTTGGGCTACTACGTCAAGTGGTTCTACACCACGGACGAGTGCTCGCCCGAGGACCCCATCGGCTGCCCGACACTCTTGCTCGAGGACCCAAAGACGGGCGCGGATCTAGGCAGGACAGGAGGCTTCAGTTGGCACGATGAAGTCCCTGAGGACGTTGTCGACTCCTTCGCACGTGCGCAAGCAGACGGCATCTACACCGAGGACGGCAGCTATGGGTACTGGGACGAAAAGGAGCTGCTGTGGTGGACGTTTGACACTCCCAAGTCCATTGCTCAAAAGATGTACGAGCTCGTCCATGGGATGGAGCTCGGAGGGGTCTTCGCTTGGGGGCTGGGCGAAGACGCCCCGGCATGGAGCCATCTCACAGCGACAGTTGAGGGGTTAGAGTGTGAGGAAAAGGAGGAACTGTGAAGGATGGGTGGTAGCCTGATCAGTAAAGAGCGCAGCTTGCCGACGAGCCGCTGCTGCAGCTACCATTCACCCTCGAAGCAGGATTCTGAGAGCCGAAGCAAGGATCAACAGAGTTTCCACGAAGGGTTCTACTGGCCCAATGCACGCTCGGAAATAGAGCAGTGCACATGTCCGAGTTGTGCGATGTGATTGTTCAAGAAACAAACTTCGCCTAGTGGCCGAAGCCAAACAGAAGGACCAGAAAAATAAATGGCTGACTCCAGGAAACTGGAGGGGGGTGGCTGGGAACCGGGATCCCCACCACTACCGAACGAATCACTTATGCTTATTGGCGCACGATGCGGAGGATTGGGATCGACATGATCCCACGTGCAGACGAGTCGCGGACGGGCAACAGCCGATCAACTGCGGCTGGAGCTATCAGTCGGTGGAAAAGACTCATGTTGATCATAATTGCACAGCTCCAACGATACAGCAATGTTGCGAAAAGCTTAATTGGGCCGAAAGGGCGTCGTCGACAATGGCACGGCAGAACTTAAAGAAAAGAGTTAATTGACGGTAGTCCGTAGCAGGACACGCTATCAACCACCAATTGCCGGGATAGCTAGGCCCATTCCGTGCGTCATCCTCACTCCATCTTGGCAGGTACTTCTGCAATCAACGATCCTGGTCGACGGCGTGCGGCAAGGCTAGCAGGGCGGCGCTGCGTCTTCGTCATAAAAGGCGCGATATCCCCTCGACTCTCCTTGTCGTTTTTCTTCCGCTCAAGGGGCTTTCGCATCTGCCAATCGCTCAGCCAGCATCATGAAGTTCTCGTCCGCGTCTGCACTGGCCCTCGCGGCCGTGGCCTCAGCCAAGCCATGCCCTGAGACCCCCGAGCTGCCCAAGCCCATTGAGCGCATCGACCTCGGTCCCCGTCCCGGTTACCTTGTCGACGATATGGACGAGGGGCCGCTCAAGGAGGAGCTCAAGCAGTGTCTGGAGGGCACCACGCCCTGGAGAGCCTCGACCTGGACTGTCGGCCACCGCGGCGGTGCCACCCTCCAGATGCCAGAGCACTCGCTGCAGAACGACATGGCTGGCGCGCGAATGGGCGCCGGTATCCTCGAGTGCGACACGTCCTTCACCTCTGACCTGGAGCTCGTGTGCCGCCACTCGCAGTGCGACCTGCAATATACCACCGACATCCTGATGCGCCCCGAGCTGGCCAAGAAGTGCTCCGAGCCCTTCACGCCCGCCAAGGACGGCAAGCCTGCCTCGGCCAAGTGCTGCACATCCGACATCACGCTGGCCGAGTTCAAGACGCTTTGCGCCGAGATGGAAGGCCAGAACCCCAATGCCACCACCGTGGAGGAATTCCACCCCTCCACTCCCCACTGGAGGACCGACCTGTATGCCAGCTGCGCTACCGTCCTGTCCCTCCAGGACCACATTGACCTCACCCTCTCGCTGGGCCTGCTGCACACCCCTGAGTTGAAGACGCCCGAGGTTCCCATGCCCTTCAAGGGCAACTACACCCAGGAGAAGTTTGCCCAGCAGCTCGTCGACCAGTACCGCGACAGCGGCGTGCCACCCAGCGACGTCTTCCTGCAGTCGTTCCTCTACGACGACATGCTCTACTGGCTCAAGCACGAGCCCGAGTACGCGCAAAACGCCCTCTTCCTCGACTCGTACGGCGAGACGGCAGAGACCTTCCCTAACGCTGTCGCCAACCTCACGAACTACAAGGCCGACGGTGTCCAGTGGATCTCGCCGCCCATTCCCTACCTCGTCGCCGCCAAGGACGGCAAGATGGTCCCCTCGGAGTACGCCAAGAAGGCCATGGAGCTCGGCCTCCGCATTCTACCCTGGAGTCTCGAGCGCAGCGGGCCCCTGTACGACGTGAAGGAGAACAACGACTACTACTACATGTACTTTAACGACGCGGTCGACAACGATGGCGACATGTACACCCTCCTCGACCTGCTCCACAAGGAAATCGGTATCGAAGGTCTCTTCACCGACTGGGCGGCTACCGTCACCTTTTACGCCAACTGCATGAACATTCAGCTGCTGTGAGCTACACGCAGGGTAGATATCTAAATGCGTACATAATGAGAGAGCTCTTCGAGCGTAGTGATGTATCTGTGCAGGTCTGGTGCCTCAGCTTGCCAAAACTTGAATTGCTGCACGACGTGGTGGATGCGTGGCTGCACGGCCTCTAGACCCCCCTGGATCCAGGATGTGTTGCCCGTCTTGATGATGGCCACCAGGGTGAGCGAGGCAGACATGATGCTGCGCAGGTCATACCAGAGCCCGTGGTGTCGATGGCCGCGCGCACGGACGTCAATGGTCTTGAGGGAGCAATCGATGCCCGATTGGATCAGGGAATCGAGGTCTTTGTCCACGCCCCGCTCAACGCCCACGTGGACCAGATACCATAGGAAGGGCTGGTACAGCCAGGTCTGCATCTCTAGCAGACGGTTGTCAATGGCCCAGCTGAGCTCGCGCGACACGTGGCCCCCGGCGTCGTACGGTGCGCGGATCATGCTGTTGGTCTCGTACTGCTGCATGGCGGGGGGCAGGTTAGCCTCCCAGGAGCTGACTTGCCTCTCAAACTCGCGCGCGATGCCAAACAGCGGTCGGATATCGTGCCAGTTCCGCCTGTCGAAGAACGTGTTGATGATGCGGTTGCCGATACGTCTAAGGGCAATCTCGGTCAGGTAGTAGTACCAACTCTCCTCCTCATTGATCGACCCGGCCGGCGGGCTGGGGAAGAGCTGCGGGTACTCGCCAAGGGAGATATCGCTCTGCGGGAGGGGGAGCTCGACGCGAAACTCGCACTCGGACTTGAAGCAGGACCAGTACAGCGACTGCTCAATCCGCCGGCCGCCCGTGCTCGTGATGACCTCGGCAAACGTGTCGGACAACCCATGCGACGTGCGGAGGTAGAACTGCGTGTACGTCGACGCCTGGAGGAAGTAGTGGTAGCTGTGCAGGACGCGCAGGGTATACATCAGGTACACGCCGGCGAAGAAATAGCACTGCGCGCCGAGGATGGAGTACCGCAGAGACCCGAGCCTGCGGCACGCCAGTGTGAAGTACGAGTCGCCCTGCTGCAGCTCCTTTGCGTACAGCGTGGCCGACGACTCGGACTGGACTGTGCTTCCAAACGGCCTGGCGACGGCGCCCAGGGCACACGCCATGAGAACGAGGCAGCTCGCTCCGTCCCAGCCCACGCCGTTCTCCGCGCAGCGTCTGGCACTCTTGAGAAGGTCTTCCACGTCGAGGATTGGGTTCTTGGTGTAGACATTGACGAGGAAGCGGTCGATCAGCAGGGGGATCTGCTCCTCATCAAACGGCACGAGGGCTGTGGGCGGCGTGATGAGGTCGCCATTCTGGTTCTGCGTAAAGAGCTCACTGATGAGGGCGTTGGGCGGATAGGCTCCGTTGAAGACGGGCCACTGCAAGATGCTGTCCGCGCTGGCACAGTGTGGCGGGATGCGCAGAAAGTCTCGCGATGGCTCAAACTGGGTCGGCGAGGGCTGGGGCGCTGGTGCCGGGACGTGTAACGGTTGGGACTGTTGGCCCTTGACAGCGCTGAGCTCCTGATGAAGAGCGTCCAGTCTCTTGAGGATTGTACTCGTCGCCGTCTCCAGTCTGGCATGGCAGCGTCAGTGAAGGAAGGCGAAGAAACGGGCTTGACTTGACCGACGTGATCTTCTCACTCCCATCGTCGAGATACTCGCAGGAGGTGTTGCTGGCCTCACACAGCGCGCACTGCGGCCTCTTCTTGTCACATTTCACCTTGCGCAGCCGGCACGTTTGGCACGCTGCTTGTCGCCTCTGCTCGACGAGTCAGTCACCACCTGGCATCGCCCTGCCCCTGACTTACACCAGATGCTTGTCCCACCGCGTCTCGCTGCCTCTTTACGGGCCGTTCGTGCCTGTCGCCACCCCCAGCTTCATCTGGGGAATATGCAGACATCTCCACGTGGAACAGGCCTCATGGACACTTCTTCGTGTGACCCCAGAGCATTGAAGGCAGAGAGAGGTGGGAGGTTCGGGGATTTCGGTGTCGGAAGGTTTAAGATTATCTCGGGGAGCTCGGGCACTTCGGCCGCTCCAGGGGGGACACGAGGACAGCCTACTGCAAATGATGCTACGTGTATATTACTAAATAACGAGCAGCAACATCACATCAGCCTAGCCTGCCCGGCTAGCTCAATCGGTAGAGCGTGAGACTCTTACGCCTAATAAGCGAAGGTCCACATATCTCAAGGTTGTGGGTTCGACCCCCACGTCGGGCTATTCCTATATTTTTTACTGTTTTGACTTTTTTTTACTTAAAGATTAAAAACTAAGTAAATCTATTACAACCTTTTTTATTTTAATTTTTTTATTTACTAAAGTAGGCAGAGTGAGTCTTATTCTAATATTTAAATGGAAAAAAATAAGATATTCGCTAAAATAAGAGAAGCAAAAAGTATAGGAATAGCCCGACGTGGGGGTCGAACCCACAACCTTGAGATATGTGGACCTTCGCTTATTTAGGCGTAAGAGTCTCACGCTCTACCGATTGAGCTAGCCGGGCAGGCTAGGCTGATTGTTGAACAGGGATCAGCAGTTGGGATCTATACACTCTGCGCTACTAGTCCGGTCCTCAGCTGCCCTCTCCTTGCCCTATTCGCTATATGCTTTTCATCTACGGCATGCATGTGGTGTTGGCGTACAGCAGTGCATTTGCCCAACCGCAAGAGTGCCATGGTTGCGCGACTGATACATGTATCATTCGGTGGTTTGGTGGTCAAGGCCTGTCCATTTGCGGGCAATTGGACCTCCGTCCACCATACGACTTTACTCTACATGTACCTCACATTCTGACATGGCTCTCTTCTAGGTAAGGAAAATACCGAAATTTGTCTGGTCTCTTACTGGACTTCATCTTTCATTATAAGTCATCGTCGTGCTGGATGCGCCGCAGTGACTCGCCATTCTTCACAAACCGCAGGGTAGGTAGCTTTGTCAGCGCGACGCGGTCACGTCTTAGACGAAGCATCACAATTTTCACAAGATCCACTGACGCGTTGCAGAGCCGGCGGGTCCTTGAAAAATAAATCGACCAGGGAACCAGATGTCATCTTGACAAATGCGTTGGCGGCGCACGACTTGACCGTCCATCGAGCCTCACACGGAGGCCAGCACGACGAATCCCTTAACCAAAGACGCTCGCTCCCGAGGACAGGATTGCAGCCGAGAATATCTCCTCTTGGCTTGGTGAAGCAAGCTGGTTCCAGGTTCGCAGAGTACGCGTATTCCGGGGACGGTCAGAGGTCGGACTGCCGATGCCGCATTCGTATTCTTCTTTGGCACTCCAGTAGAAATTCTGGAGCAATCGCACGACTTGATCTTGTCAGGCTGGAGGTTCGGCGTCTTCTATCCGTATTACTCATGGAATGTTCGCCTGAGTCACAAGCTGGTGGCGGCTCGGCTGCTTCCTGTCGCTAGGGTCGCTTGACGCGCCGCCCGACAGCCGAATAGCCTCTCCACTGATACTTCCGAAATAGAGTCCGAGCGATGCTCATCAAGATATTTTTCCCATGGCATTTGCTAACCCTTCTCACTTCCAACATCAGAAATACCATCCCGACAGAACATCTCATGTCTGCGACAAATCTGCCGAGTGAGGCGCCCGCGCCTTGCTCAGGGGCATCGCCATGTCCCAACGCCAAGCAGCGCGGCTGGCGACGCATCGTCCGCAACTTTACACCCTCGTGGTTCGCCGTCAACATGGGCACGGGCATCACATCGATCCTGCTCCACAACCTCCCGTACAACGCTCGACCCGTGCAGTACATCTCATACGGCATCTTTGGCCTCAACGTCGTCCTCTTCCTCACCTTTCTCGGCATCTCACTCACACGCTACATCGTCTACCCAAAGGTATGGACCGCCATGATCAACCACCCAGCGCAGAGCCTGTTCCTCGGCACGTTCCCCATGGGTCTGGCCACGATTGTGAACATGATTACCTTTGTGTGCGTGCCAGCCTGGGGCGGGCAGTGGTGGCGCGTGGCCTGGGGACTTTGGTGGATCGACGCGGCCATCTCTGTCGCGTGCTGCTTTGCGCTCCCCTTCATCCTCATGGCGTACCAGGGCCAGAGTATGGACAGCATGACTGCCGCATGGCTGCTGCCCATCGTATCGACCATTGTTGCGTCGTCGACGGGCGCCATTGTGGCAGATGTGATTCCGGCGGCGCACGCGAACCTCGCCCTGATCACCGTCATTGTATCCTACATCCTCTGGGCTACCGGTGTGCCCCTGGCCATGATGGTGCTCACAGTTTACTTTCTTCGCCTGACGACCGTCAGCTTGCCCCCCAACGCCGTGATTCCCTCTACGTTCCTGCCCCTGGGGCCCCTCGGACAGGGTGGGTTTGGGATCATGCAGCTCGGGAAGGTGCTGGTCAAGATCGCACCCAAGGTCAACATTCTGCCCGCAGCGGCCAAGGCCGAGGAGGTCATCTACGTCCTTGGCTATATGATGGGGCTGATCATGTGGGGATTCGGGCTCGTCTGGCTGGGCCTCGCCGTGGCCACGCTTCTGACCCGTAGGAGCATCCCGTTCAACATGGGGTGGTGGGGCTTCACCTTTCCCCTGGGTGTGTTTGCGGCGAGCACGACCACGTTGGCCGCCGAGACCCCTTCTGAAGCCTTCAAGGTTCTGGGCATGATCCTCTCCCTCTCGGTCGTTGCGCTGTGGCTGCTGGTCGTTACGAGAACAGTGATTCATCTCTTCAGGGGAGATTTGCTCGTTGCGCCTTGTCTTAAGCAGGTCGAGCGGGAGGAAGAAGAGGCAGCTCGGCGTAAGCTCATGGGCGAGGGTAGCTGCTGATGTGTTTGTGCTTGAATTGTCCTTTGCATCACAGCGTATTGGTAGAATTTGAAGTACTGGCCTGGCCGAAGCTGTGGTCGTCTGAGGAAGTTTACCCCTTTCTTGAGCCTTGGCACATGAGTTTAGGGCCCAACCAGAGTGTATAGGCGCCACCGACGATGGTCATGCAAAGCGCACATAGCTTACTGACATGACCGTGTGAGAAACCCGGAGTATACTCCGCCTCATCGTCTCCAACTCACCCCAAAGTAACCTGCGGTTCTCCACGCGCGAGCATCCATTTCTCCAAGTCACACGACCGTCGAAAAGCAGAAGCACAAACGTCCCTTTAACCGTTCCAATCACAGCGTTTGGCGCTGCACAATGACGGGTCGTCCCCCAAATGGCGGCGGCATTCGGCAGATGGCCGAACGGCAGTGGACTGTCGCCCATCATGTCTCATTGGCGCTCGGGGACTCTGCCATGTATCGCCGGACCCCAGAGTCGATCCCCCATGGCGAAGCGATCCCCAGGCGAAGCCAAAAGTTCACTGCTGGTTTGCTTTTTCCCGTGGGTGGAGGAGGCTCTTATTTGGTTGCCTAACTGCGGAGTCTGTGTCTGTTGGTTGAGAAATTTGGTATATAACGACCGCATTCCAACCTGAAGGTCGATCACCAGTCCCTACAAAGGTACCGCTCAGGCCTAACAACAACAACAATTTTGCATTCTGTCCCCGCCGCAAATCATCATGGTCGCGCTTCAGGGCCGTCTGGCCAAGTTCAACGTCGCCAACAGGCTGGAGAAGAAGGCTCTTCTCAACACCGTCTGCCTCGTGGCCGGCATCTCCATCTTCTTCTTTGGCTACGACCAAGGCCTCATGGGCGGCGTGAACACCGCCCGCAACTATGTCGAGCTCATGGGATTCGGCCACTGGGACGAGGAGGCTGGACTCGTCGTTATCGACAACCCCGTCGAGCAGGGCTGGATCAACGCCTGCTACTATCTGCCCGGGACTCTGGTCGGCTGCCTGGTGGGCGGGTGGCTGGGAGACCGGTACGGACGCACAACGACGATCGGCTGGGCGTGTATCTGGGGGATCGCCACGGCTGCTCTGCAGTCGGCAGCCCAGAGCTCGGAGATGATGATTGTTGGTACGTACCATCCAAGTACCAGAAACGGGAGTGCCTAACTAACTGGACAGCTCGCGTCCTCAACGGTCTAGGCACAGGCGTTCTCAACGCGGTGACACCCGTCTGGGCCACCGAGACTGCATCACACACCTCCCGTGGCCAGTTCGTCGCGTCCGAGTTCACGCTCAACATATTTGGCGTCGTGGTCGCCTACTGGCTGCAGTTCGGCCTGTCCAAGATGCCCAACCAGCACTCGTCCTTCATCTGGCGCTTCCCCATCGCCTTCCAGATCCTGCCCCTGATCGCGCTCTTCATCGTCATCTGGTTCATGCCCGAGTCCCCCCGCTGGCTCGTGCGCGTAGACCGCGTCGACGAGGCCCGCTTCATCCTCCAGCGCCTCCGTGGGGCCGAGGGCGAGGAGGGCGAGGCCGCCGAGAGTGAGCTGCAGGACATTATCAACATCCGCGACATGGAGGAGGAGACATCTAAGCAGCAGAGCTACCTGGCCATGTTCTTCGGCATCGGCTCCGGCAAGCTGCACACCGGACGCCGCGTCCAGCTCGTCATCTGGCTCCAGATCTTTCAGGAATGGGTCGGCATCGCCGGCATCACCATCTACGGGCCTACCATCTTCACCATTGCCGGCATCAGCCCCGAGGATCGCCTCTGGGTCAGCGGCCTCAACAATATCACCTACATGTTCGCCACCCTCATCTGCGTCTTCACCCTCGACAGGATCGGCCGTCGCTGGACACTGTACTGGGGCGCCGCCGGCCAGGCGGTCAGCATGTTTGCGGCGGGTGGCCTCGCGCGCGCCACCATCAACGCGGCCGAGGGCAACAAGGCCGGCGTCGGCGGCGCGGCGACCTTTTTCGTCTTTCTCTACACCGCCATCTTCGGCGCCACCTGGCTCACGGTGCCGTGGCTCTACCCGGCCGAGATCTTCCCTCTGCAGGTCCGCGCCAAGGGCAACGCCTGGGGTGTCGTGGGCTGGTCCATCGGCAATGGCTGGTGTGTGCTTCTACTGCCGACCATTTTCGACGCCCTGAACGAGAAGACGCTCTACATCTTTGGCGCGGTCAACATCGCCTGCATCGTCATCGTCTGGGCCCTGTACCCAGAGTCCAACCAGCGCACTCTGGAGGAGATGGACTTGGTCTTTGCCTGTGACAGCATTTGGACCTGGGATGCCGAGAAGAACTTCAGCAAGATCAAGGAGGAGAATCCGGAGCTCGTCATGGCCGCCAAGGCAGGGCAGCGAGTTGTTGACTTGGAGGGTCGCAGGGCTAGTCATGTGAGCAAGAGGGACGTTACGTCCGAGTGAAGGCATGCGGTTGACGTGATAGATGAATGTTTTGCTCGTCTGTCAACGCTATATTATTTAAGAAAAGAAAGTTGAATCGCTTGCTGGTGTCTTGACCAGCTCACATGTATGCGTCCGCCAAGCTTATAACCCCTGTTGTTTACCATTGTTCAACGCGCAGGCCGCCTGATGCGCCATCTTTTGCCGTGGGCCATCATCAACGCCAGCTTTCCTTCCAGTATAATGACCACCCCGGCCTCAGGCCTGCGCATCGCCGTCACCTGGGGCGTCTCCAGTGCCAGCGCTTGGGCCATCACTTTCAGAGCCTTCACTGACTAGGGGTACACCTCCCGAAGAGTCGCTGCTCCATGAATCACTGCTTTGGCCATCACTTCCAGAGCCTTCACTGACCAGGGGCACACCTCCCGAGGAGTCGCTGCTCCATGCATCACTGCCTGGTGAGTCGTTATCGGAGTGGCCATCCCTGAGGATAGGGCGCGCTGTTGAATCCGAAGCAGATGAAGGCTGTCCCTTGGGGTTTTCTTCGCTTCTTTTGTGGCCCTCAGCGGTGGTTCTGTTTGTAGGTTTGACGCTGTCTTTGGGCCTAGTAATTGCATAGGTTTGAGACACCCAGCTGGGCAGCAAAACCAATTGTGTTGACTCATGTCGCAAATAAGGGGGTAAGAATCTGTCCTCAGAGGGCGTTGACTGCGACGAGGGTCGGATTTCACTATTCCATGTGGATTGTCTCATCCACACCGACGCTTGAGATGGACTTTGAGGACGTGGGAGCAACGGTTGATACGGTGCCCTTGGACCTCGCAGGCTGCCTTGCGCTGGTCCACTGGAGGAGCGGCTGGGTGGCGATGAAGCAGGACTTCGGCTCGACGTAGCTGCACCTGTCCCACTGAAGAGACTCCATGTCTCGTCGCTCGGCGTGAAGGGGCCGGGTGGAGTAGGGACTGTACCAGTGCTTTCGGCCTCAGTCGGTGCCCTGGAGGCATTCGAAACATGCGCTTGGTTCCATGGGTACACCAAGTTCCTGGGCCTGTGACTGCGCGAGGCAGCAAAGACGCTATCCTGATACATATTGCCGTCGGCACCTGGGTAAGGCATACTGAGGGTCGGACGCTGAGCTGGGAATTTGAAGATGATGGATCTCGAACACGTAGGAAAATGATGGGAACAAGCAAGAATGGGAAGCGAGAGATTGCTTATAAAGGCAGCGGAGAAATCATACCTATCTCTAGGACAGTTGTCGCTAGGAGAAGGCGCGTCCGCCATCCGGGTGCAAGGCTACCTTAGCATTCATCCATTCAACTTTAAATGGAACGCATGACAGAAAAGACCGCTATAAACAATACGCCATCTTAAAGTCTGGACGTAACCTTTGCGTCGCCCGTAGCATCTTTGCCGAGCAGATCCTCCACGAGCGCTCGGCCAGCGGCTCGCCCAGAGAAGATACAGCCGCCCACAAAGGTCCCTTCGAGAGAATTGTAGCCGTGCACACCACCGCCGCCAAAGCCAGCAGCCTCGCCAGCAGCATACAGTCCCCTGAAGACGCTGCCGTTGCCCCTAATCACCTGGCTCTGGAGGTTCGTCTCGATACCGCCAAGCGTCTTCCTCGTCAGCAAGTTCATGCGCACCGCGATGAGCGGTCCGTACGCCTTGTCGAGCAGTCTGTGGGGCGGAGCGACGCGAGCACGCTTATCTGGCCAGTAGGTCCTTGCGTTCTGGATGAGCATGGCCTGTGCATCCTTCGAGTACGGGTTGTCCATCTGGCTGTCTCGAATTTTGACCACGTTCTCAATGTCGTCGAACGAGAGCGCGGGCCCGTTCCGTTCGGCCGCGAGGCGGTTCATGCCGCTAACCAGGTCCTCAAGGTTGTCCTCGACGACAAAGTCGACGCCGTGTTTCATAAACGCCTGCACAGGTGGTGTGCCTTTCTTGCCTAGCACACGCGTGGTGATAAACTGCCATATGGACTTGTTGGTCATGTCTGGATTCTGCTCGGACCCGGACAGGGCAAACTCGCGCGCAATGATGGTCTGGTTGAGGATGAACCATGTGTAGTCGTAGCCCGTGCTGCAAATGTGCTTGAGAGTCGCGAGGGTGTCTGATCCCGGAAACAAAAACGGCGGCAGTCGCTTGCCCGTGGCATCCAGCCAGAGCGAGGATGGTGCTGGCAGGACGCGGATGCCGTGAAGGGGCCAGATACCTGCAGAGCATGTTAGAGCCTCGTGAGAATGGGTGAACGACAACGCCAGACTTACTGTTCCAGTTCTGGAGTCCCTCTGTGTAGTGCCACATCCTATCCCTGTTGATGACACTGGCGCCGGCCTGCTCTGCAATGTCGATCATGCGGCCATCGACGTGATCCGGCACGCCTACTGCGAAATTGTCCGGCACCTTTGGGCCCAGTCGATCAACCGGCCAGTTCTTCTTGACCGCGTCGACGTTGCCGCCAATACCGCCTGACGTGACGACCACGGCTTCGCCAAGAATCTCAAAGTCATCAATCTCGACTCGTGATGTCTTAGTGCCACGCTCGGCCACGACCTCCTCCAAGACTTTGCCTCGCACGCCAATCGCCCGTCCGCTGTCATCTACAATCACCTCATCGACGCGGTGCCGCCATTGAAATACCACACTGCCCTTCTTCTCAGCCTCGAGGACCGGCTCGGCAAAGACGCGCACGACCTCTGGGCCCGTACCCCAGGAGATGTGAAACCTCGGTACCGAGTTGCCATGTCCATCAGCGCGTCCATCGCCACGCTCCGCCCAACCGACATTGAGCAGGAACCCGAGCCCTCGCTCGGTCAGATACGACTCCATCTCATCCGTCGCGAAATTGACAAAGGCCTCAGCCCATTGACGTGGGTGCTTGTCCTCTGGACGATCGAACTGGGCGCTGCCCATCCAGTCCTGCAACGCGAGCTCGCGCGAGTCGCGGATGCCCATCCGCCGCTGTCGCGCCGAGTCGACCATGAACAAACCACCAAGCGACCAGAATGCCTGTCCGCCCAACGAAGACCGAGGCTCCTGGTCTAGGATAATGGTCGGGATTGCCTTGCGCGAGAGCTCAAAGGCCGTCACCAGGCCAGACAGGCCGGCACCAACGATGATGACTGGCTTTTCGGGTGCCATCATGCGGGAGAGACTTTATAGATGAAGAAGAGGCGTCAGAGACAATGGACAGTTGATACTGACGCGCAATGCAAGGAGCGGGGGCATCAGACCATACTTGTACCCAGGGCCCTCGGGAATCAATGGATGAATCTGGGGTAGCCAGAGGGAATCCGGGGCCCGTGGGGTCCGGTCGGGGTTCGTTCGAATCCGACCCTCGGCGCTGCGACGAAACGGGGTCCAAACTCGAAAGGCGGTTGGTTCCATGTGACTGGCCTGATGCTTGGTGTACGGAGTATTTGAAGGAGTGTGGCTTTGAAGCGCTCGAGGTGATCGCCACGACGAATGGTCCTTCAGCCAATGACCCCGATTTTGGCTTTAATGACATTGTCGTGGCCAAGCCGTCAATGCATCAGTGTTGGATCTACCATTGAGTGAACTAGATGTCCAGACGGCGAGTCTTGGGAGCGTGTTAGACTTGGCTTTGCTCAACTTCGTGTAGATGAATGCGGGCGTACCTTGCAGCTCCCGAGCTGACGAGCGCTCTCGCGAGGTTCATGATGCCTGGAGGCAATTTGAAGAATGAGAAGTGATTCGATCGACCACATTTGCCATCGCAACGACCTGTTTGAGCTGGAGTTGGTTACGAACACCCTTCTGGACAGCCTCTGGATGTAAGTCTCGAACGAGACCTCGAGAGAGAAAACGGGAACTCATATCCACCCCTGAGACTCCAGAGTAAACAAACACGGTAGATTCTCATCTGATTGCATCAGTGCCAGAATATTCCACCGTGTGACCGATGCTTCGTCTGATCTCTTCCCATCCTCAAATAAACAGGCAACGTAAACATGCCCACCACCCGCTGCAACGCGTCGACTCGTCACCTACGCACGTCAAACCTGCCCTCACCATGAGATCGACACAATGGACGAGTTCATAGAGCTTCACCATGGCATGTCCGACGACACGCAGTTGGAGTACGCTCCGCGAGGCCCTGTCATCGAAACGCACTCCGCCCAGGGACGTCTACGCGCGAGCATTCTGCGTCGGATCCTCAGCAGCCCTCACTTCCCCTACATCGCCCCCTCCTCCAACATCCTCGACAACATCTGCGGGGCCGGTGATCTGGGCGCTGAGATCATGACGCGCACCCTCGGCAGCGTCGCGCATCGACCCAAGGTCCTCTCCGTCGACCCCTACCCCCTTCGCTGTCGAGCACGTCAACCAACGATCGAAAAAACTGGACACCTTTGAGAACTGGCAGGCCCGAGACGAGCCAGAGCGGTACGAGGAGGAGGTTTTTGACATTTCCGTGACGATTCGACAGGATACGTACTACGACGAGAACCATCACAACATGAAGCAGGTGTACGGGTCGCTCAAGCCAGGAGGCCACGCCGTCTTCTCCGTGTGCCCAACACTGTGCTACACGCTCGGCGACGCACCGCCGCCCTTCAACGTCAACGGCACGGACTGGAGCGCCAATGTCAACGAGTGGTTCACCTTTGTCCAGCACAAGCCGTGCTGGCTGGAGAGGATGGTGCTGTCGGCCGTGCCCGAGTTTCGACACTGGGAGCTGTACACGGTCGACAAGATCATGCTCGAGCCAATATGCGTGAGCGACTGGGTCGATGAATGCACGGCGAATCAGGCCAAGTTGTTCCAGACGTGGGCGCCGGTCCAGCAGACCATGTTCAGGGCGGCGCTGAGGGAATCCATGGAGGGGATGCTGGGAGGACGGCGCAAGGGGCGGTTCTCTCTCGAGACGCCGTTCATGGTCTGTGTCAAATGATAGATTCTGGGTCGATGGCGAAGTGGCTCGTCACGAAAGCAAAATGCAGCAATTTCGCGTAATCCGACGGTGCTCGTCAGCTCATGACGATCGCAGTACTTCTGGCGCGAAGAAAAGGCCAGAAGCAATAGTCTCGCCGTGACTGCATAACCACAAGGACATGCCTGATATCCGTACTGGGTGCTCCATCAGCGACTCCTGATCGGGAAAGTCTGCTACTGTAGAGTCCCAAGATTGCCTCCTGGAGGCTGGACGTTGGGAGAAGGGGAACCCTACTGAAGACCCGCTTGGTGAAGGGCCCGGGGGACGTCAGCTTGCGGCTTTGATGCCGGCGATCTGACACAGTGAACTGGATCCGATAGAAGCATTGCGGAATTGTGACGAAACAGTAGGTACATAGCAGCAAAAGGAGGCTTTACGAAGACTGCCAGTCGCGGTTGACTCCAGTCCGGAGATCCATTGTGTTCCTGGCCCGGGCCTATCACGCCTTAGAATGTGTGTAGCATCCGCCCGTCACGTCATAATTACGATGAGGTCCATTTTGGGTGCAAATCACGAATCTGGTGGGGTTTGTACCAATTAAGTAGGCATTCCAAGTTAGTCCTCCAGTTGAGCAGTCGGGAAAAAGTAACAGTTGTCGCAAGAATGAGGAATACATGCGTGCCAATTCGTGCAGACGTGACCAAGGGCTGGCTGCGTGTCTCGGAACTCGGTGGTCCCTAAAAGTGCCTAATCAATTACGCCCCTGCGACGGCGATAATGCTCCGAGACGACATGAAAGACTGGCCTTAGCAAAGAACCAAAGCGCTCCAAATACGCCACAGGCACCGTAATTCAGTAGGGTCCAGTAATCCCGCGCAATCTCCAAGAATCCCGCACAAGCAGCAGCAGCAAGGGGGAAAAAAACATGGGATTGTTGCAAAATCCCATCATCATCTGACAAACGGCTGTGAGCAGTGCCTGCAATTGGCTATCTCTGCACCCACCTCCACTACTATCACGCCGCCCCGACAATGATCGGTAACTGTGGTTCGCGGGTCAGTGGAAGGCCCCCAACTACGATCCAATGACAGCGACGCTGTCCTTTGTTCGCACCCCCTCGTGGATCGCTGGACCCTCGAAAGTCGCCACCCGTCCTTTCGGCACCTTCTCACTGGCCGCGACTCGTGGGTGCTGCCCGCCTGGCCCCTCGCCCTCCCCCAGTCGAGGTGCCTCGATCTCCGGCTCTGTCTTCTGTCCCGAGGATCGAGAGGTCCCTCGTTCGCACTCCGACCCTACAACAACCACCATATCGGAAATTCGATCCCTCGATGATGACCTCAACCTTATCGTCACCATCGACAACGACGACACCGCGGTTGGCGCTATCGACAGAGGACACGGGCATCACGGTGCCGAGCGTGTCGACGTCCTCCTCGATAAAATGCTCCGCCAGTCGAAGCAGGAGCGGCTGCTCCCCGCGATCACCAACTTGCGCAGCGTCCACCGCGTCGCCCAAGGTCGTCTTTGGCGCGGGCGCCATCTCGAGACTCCCGACCGAGCTGGGCTCTCTCCGACTCAACGCACCACTAGTTGTGTCCAGCCCCTCACGCATCAGTCTCGCGCGAAAGGTGCAGTCTCTGATACCGAATCTCGATTCGAGGATCCTGGACGCGGCGCTCGTCAACGTCCCCCAGAAAGTCGTCGACGACGCCGTGGCCAGGATATCGGGGCGCGACTCCGTCATCAGCGTTGGTGGCGGGTCCGCAGTCGGTCTGGCCATCGCCATCAGCCAGAAGAAAGGGATCCCGCACATTTGCATCCCAACGACATACAGCGGCTCGGAGATGCCGCTGGCGGGGGACAGCCGGCGAAGGAGCCTCGAGGGTCGACGAAGTAGGGGTAGCTCGAGCGTCAGCAGGGTGCACACCGGCAGGCCGACCATCATCATCTACGACGAGGACCTCACCAACACCAGCACCAGTATGACCTTCACCGCACCGAGTGAGGCACACGCCGACCTGCGCCGACAATCAGAAGACGACTCGCAATGGAGCTACTTGCACCTGGCCGGAGTGTGAGACGCCTACCACTGCGTCAAACGACAATGTCACCCTTCACCACCGCCTGTACACCATTGGCTGTTTCTCAAATTTAACGACTCAATCCACAATCAGACTTTCACTGATTGGAAATTGCCTCACATTACCACCCCCTCCCGTCAAGCACATGGACGACACCGACGCCACGAGCCGTCAAGCACCCATTTCCTTGATCTTCAGGTCTGCCCGACCTGCGGCCTCATAATAATTGGCCAACCATACCAGCATCCTCCCGGTTTTGCCAGCGTCCATAGTGGCGCTGCGAGCAATGCTTTGTCATAAGTTGGCTCCCGGTGACGCTGAAGCGGACTATTAGGTCCCGAACAGGCGAGGCCAGCAAAGAAAGGCCTCGCGCGCGCAGGCATCAATGCCTCGACGTGCATGATACACGAATAATACCGAATGATTCTTGCTTGCGATGGAACACTTTGACAACAAGGGCAGGTTTGGCGTTCTGGGCGCTGGCGTTTTAGAGAAAGGACACGGGGTCACGATGACTTATTATATATATCTTTGAACGACACTTTCGGTTTTTACTGGGTATCATATCTATCTAGTCTAACTATCTAGTCTAACCATCTAGTCTAATCCATCAAATCCCATGATGCCATGCGCCCCCATGGGGCCGAGCTTGTTTTTCTGTGCCTCCTTTCTCCGTTTGGCCCTCTGTTTCATCTCTGCGATGCCGTCTTCACTATCAGAGTCATCACTTTCCGCCGATCGTTTCCGGCTGTCTTCTCGCGCCTCATCTTCACTGTCATCCTCCTCCTCGTCTTCCTCCTCCTCGTCATCCTCGGCTTCCTGCTCTTCGCCCTGCAGCTCGGACAGTTCCTCCCAGACCTTGATCGTGTCGCCGCCCGCGCTAATCAAGCGGTTTCCGCAGTCAAATCCTAGCGACACGACACCCTCGGTAACATCATGCCGCAGATTGGGGGCCGTGAGGACGGCTCTGTCCGCGAGATCGACAACGCGCAGGCTGCCGTCGCCGAGCCCGCAGACCACCTTCTTGCCGTAGCCCAGAACCTCCGGAATCATCGTCAGCGCGTCGATGCTCTCGCCTCCCTGCGAGCCCCTCTGGCCGTCCACAATGATGCGCTCCTGCTGGTCGTCCCAGGCGCCCTTGTCCCACACCGTCAGCACGCCAGACCCGGACCCGATGGCCATGACGCCGTTGGCGCGGTTCTTCTTGGGTCCGAGACCGGGCACAAAGGTGGACGAGAGCAGCTCGTCCTCCTGATCCTCGCTCCTCACCAACACGCCTCGTCGCACGTCTGTGACGGCCAGTGTCGTCCCGCCCGTGCTGACCCACTGCTTGGAGAACCCGCTCGTGCTCTCCTCGGTCGGCGGCAGTGGTGTGATGCTGCTCACATAGTCCGAGTGCGGGAAGTGTGTCTGGGCGGGCTTCTTGGTGCCGTCCTCCCTCGTGTCCCAGATGTGCAGGGCGCCCGAGTCGGTGGCGAGCAGCAGGCTCTGCGGGTTCAGGACGTGCAGAAGGGTCGGCGCGTCCGGGACTGTCGTGCTGGTGGGGATGGCCATCTTCGACTGGACCTTGCCCGTCTCCGCGTCAAAGTACTTCACCAGCGCGTCCGTACCCGCCGAGTACACGTTGGCGCCGTCGTGCGTGTAGCCTAGGCATCGGCAAGAACCCTTGTGTCGGCGGGTGCTCCAAGTCGTGTCAATGACATCCTTTCCGTGCTCGTCGGCCGAGTCGATCGGGGGCAGGCGGTAGGTCTGGACGTGGCCTGAGGAGAGCCCGACAGTGAGGAGTGGTTGCGTCGGATGGAGGGCAGTCGTAAAGACGTCGGCTTGGAGAGGTATGGTACAGAGATTCTCAAACATGGCGGCGAATGGAGCAAGCTGGAGCCTGCAAGGGTGTGTGTGCGCGCGGAAAGGGTCGTCTTGGCGGGACAAGAAGAAGAAGTTGGGAAAATTGAAGATGGGTGGAGACATCGCGAAACAGTGCAGATCCGCCAGTCAATTCGCACGCGCACGGTGGCCCAAGCTTCCTTCAGTTACCTTATCCAAAAAGCGCACAAAGGCTCAACATCACTCCAAAGAGGAGTCCAACCCGCGCATTTGTGCCGCGAGCTGCATTGTCCGGTTCCTCTTCAGTCGCGCCTCCATCGACGTCGTCTGGCGCACCGCTCGCCGAGGGCATGCTGCTCGTCGTCGGTGATGGGGTTGGGTCGCGAGATTCAGTGCTGTCAGCATCATCATCCTCCCCATCGGCCAACTGGTGCCATATTTGTACTGAATTGTCGTCAACGTTTGGACCCAGTGGCCCAGTATCGACATCCGCATCGTCATCTCCCGAGTCAGGCTCGGGGAGGTCTGGCTTATGAGTGGGCGGCTTTGGCGGCGCACCGATGCTATCAAGTCCATCGTTTCCAATTTTCGGGATGCGTAAAGCGCGAGAGTGAAGCGGTGATGGCCCGATTGCGTTGGTAGCCGCCACGGAAGCTGCCAACATGGCGAAGCACATAGACGTGAAGGGGTGCATTGTACGACTTGCTGCTCGGGTGTCTCTGAGGCAATGGCTTATCATGAAAGACTGAGAGCATCTCGACGACTATTTAACCAACAGCCGATGAGGCTGTGTTTCACACCTGCGCATCATGATCCTACATGCATGCGCGACTGGGGCCGCAAGGCTGACGGCCCTTGCGAAGAGTCGGAAAGACAGGCTGACACTAAGTGAGCATCGGATGCGACGGCATCACTGTTGTGCAATGCGAGCAGGTCCGACGTTGGCAAGACAGTCTGGTCAGAGATACTTGATCGTTGTGTTTTGAAGGCTGCTGCGACTACCGAGGCCAATTGCACGACCTTGCATTTGTGTGTACCGAGAGACAGTGCACGAAACCCAGAATACCAATTACGAGATGGTGATAGTCTTCACGGTCGCCTGTTCAACATGAATGCCAAGACATCACTTAACTATATCGCATTGTATCAAACGCAAAAGTACGACCACACTGCTACTCGGATGCTCAAGAATATAACAACGCATGACCGTAACTTCTCGATAACATCGCCAAGGCACTCACCATCCGTTGGTGCGTCACATCAAGGGACTCAGGTCCCATTTGATCTCGACAAATCCAAATGAAAACAATCATGTCAGTATCTGCCAAAGATAGTCGATGTCCTGCCGCAGAGACGTGACGTGACTTTCTGCCTAGCACCTATCTATGACAACCAGCTAATTGTCATCTGTCAATGGACCCGACAAGATCGAGTCACGGTTCAGGGTAGCCGGTTATCTCCATTTTTTTCTCCGGTACGTACCCGCCTGTTAGACAGCCTCATCAGCAACACCAAATGTGTTCGCGCTGAAACCACGACAGCTGGATCACGATAACCTCACCTCGGCAGCCGGGCTCTTCCACGAGCGCACCGGCCTATTCCACCTCAAGCAGACGGCGCCTTCCGAGCCTCATCCCCCACGTTATCTTGCCGAGCGCCCGCAGAGGCGATACGCACAACCACGATCCCACCCATCTTCCCCGCAAAACCTGTTAAGATAGCACTTGGCATGGCTGCCACGCTATTTATCAGACCCACTGATAAGGTTACATCCTTTGGACGGAGCTGTGATCATCGCTGTCTTTTGCCATGTATCAATCATCCTCGACCAGTATATCAGGGAGCCCTGTCCGCCGGTCGGACATGGCTGTACATTGATTGTCCTGCGACAACAACAACAAAACCCTCACTCGACAGCGGCTTCAGCAGGTTCGCCGCTTCAATAACCGCCATCGCAACACACGATGTCTTCCCTACCAGGCGCCACGCCCTCGCGGCCTCTCATCCAGCGGGTCGTCAAGTCCGTCACGACAAAGGAGGGTCTCATCGGCACATATGACTACAAGGCTCTCTTCACGCCCAACATCCCCTTCATCCGCCGCCGCGTGATGAGCAGCCCCTTCTTCGGCCTGCACGACCGGATGCCCCTCCTCTTGGCGACTCTGCTCGGATTCCAACATGCCCTGGCCATGCTGGCGGGTGTTATCACCCCTCCGCTGATCCTCGCCGGCGAGGGCGGTGCCAACCTCGAGCTTCGGCAGCAGCAGTATCTCGTCTCCACGGCCCTGATCGTGTCTGGCATCCTCTCTGCCGTGCAGATCACGCGATTCCACATCTGGGGCACCCCGTACTACATCGGCACGGGTCTCCTGTCTGTCGTGGGCGTCTCCTTCACCGTCATCCCCATCGCCCAGGGCGCCTTCTCGCAAATGTACAGCAATGGATTCTGCCCTACCATGGATGACGGAACTCCCCTGCCTTGCCCCAAGGGCTATGGGGCTATCCTCGGTACCTGTGCTGTCTGTGCGCTTCTCGAGATAGGACTCTCGTTCATACCGCCAAAGGTCCTCCTCAAGATGCTTCCGCCCATCGTCACCGGACCGACTGTCATGCTCATTGGCGTCAAGCTCATCCAGTCAGGCTTCCAGAACTGGATGGGCGGCAGTGGCCTCTGCGCTTCCGAGTCCACCGCCACCGGCTTCTTCGCCAAGTGTCCCAACATTGAGGCACCCCATGCCCTCCCCTGGGGAGTGCCCGAGTACCTGGGACTCGGTTTCTCCGTCTTCCTGACCATCATCATCTGCGAGCGCTTCGGCAGCCCCATCATGAAGAGCACCAGCGTCGTCATCGGCTTGCTGGTGGGTTGCATCATCGCAGCCGCGACGGGGTACTTTGACCGCTCGGGTATCGACGCTGCACCGGCCGGATCGTTCATCTGGGTTGAGACATTCCCTCTGTCGATCTACCCGCCGCTGGTCCTGCCCATATTGGCACTGTACATTATCGTCGCGACTGAGGCCATTGGCGACATCACCGCGACCTGCGACGTGTCCCGACAGGACGTCGACGGCGGTCTCTACGAGTCCAGGATCCAGGGTGGTATCCTCGCGGATGGCCTGGCCGGCTGCTTCGCCGCCTTGATGACCATCACGCCCATGTCTTGCTTCGCCCAGAACAACGGCGTCATTGCTTTGACGAGGTGTGCGAATCGACGCGCAGGCTACATGTGCTGCTTCTTCCTGATCCTCATGGGCGTGCTGGCCAAGTTCGCGGCAGCCCTGGTGGCCATCCCCTCGCCCGTCCTCGGCGGCATGACAACCTTCCTCTTCTGCGCCGTGACCGTGTCGGGCATGTCCATCGTCGCGCGGCCCCACGACGCCTTCAACCGCCGGTCCCGCTTCATCCTGACGGCTGGCCTGGCGCTCGGCTACGGCGCGACGCTGGTGCCCAACTACTTTGACAATGTCTTCTCCTACTCGGGCGACAACCGTGCGCTGCAGGGGTTCCTGGACGCCATTACACTCGTCATGAGCACCGGCTTCGCCGTCACCGCATTTGTTTGCATGATCCTGAACCTGCTGCTGCCGTTCGAGATCGAGGAGGATCTCCAGGGCACCGTCAGCGAGAACAGTACGCAGGACGAGGTCCAGCCGCAGGGGGACAAGCAGGTTTGAAAAAAAAAAAAAAAAAGTCGTTATTTAGCCAGGATACATCCAATCCAAAATCATACTTATTTTTAATGCTGCCTTAATCACCTCCTCTTGCCCTTTTGTACCGATTCTGCTGAAAGTTATACGCCGCCTTTATGTAGGTTTGATGTTCCCGAGCTTTGAAATACTGGCAGTCATCTTCATACGCCCCGACGCAGTCCTCAAGGGGCTACACTGGCACTAGTTCTCGGTACTGGATTTATGATGCCATGTTCTTTGAGCCTGCAATAGGCTTCTTTGCATATTTGCCTGCAGCTCTAATGCTTTCGCAGGTCCCATTATCAATCGCTGCCAGTCGTCCCGGGTACTTGATGACCGAAATCCCGGACAAAGCCAGCAAAGCGAAGACGTATTACAGCTGTAGCCTCCCGAAAGAACACCGTCTACCCAAACGCCACCAGTTGCCCTTCCGTCTTGAACGCCAAGCGCCTTGTCAAGCAATCCGTGCTTATCGTGGCCCTTTTCCAGACACATCCCCTATTTCATCTGCCTTTCTCGCGAGTAGCCGGATATTGTCCACGAATCCAGTCACGAGCTCGAGGTACCGATGTTCTCGGCCTTCATCAGCCCTGCGACCCTGCTCTATCAGTGTAGCCGGGTCCAATTCGATCTCCAGCTCATGCTCCTTGGTGAATCGACTTTGACCCTGGGATCGTTAGTACTAAGCCACTACAGTACGATTTTAGGGCACTGACTCTGTCCTTTTGCTCCTGCGTGACCTGTGTCAAGTCGATCTGATAGGGACCCTGTGTGTAGCTGAGGCGGTCCTTCCTGCGATCTGGTTGTCGGTCATTCTGCCGCGCGAGCGCATCCTCTAGTTGCTCCAACGGGCCATCCCAGTCCATCTCGAGGTTAATGGAGATGCGACAGTCCATAGGCCCCCATGGAATATGAAAGTCGAGATCCGCCACGCGCGCCTTGACAATCTGGGCAATGACCTGGCCGGTTTGCTGGTTCCGACTGACCCTGACGCGAGGACGTCGCCTGCCCTGGCCAGGTTGGGGGGCTGTGTTCATGCATTCGGGCAAACGATCCAACATGTCGGGCGTCATGTCGACGAATTGATCGACTTCATAGCGGTGCAGATATCGCAACGGTACCCGCCTGGTGCCTGCTGCTTGCTGTTCATGTGTCTCCTTGACCGTGGCGTTCAAGAATTCATTGAAGGACTTGTGCGCCGACTCTGTCATTCTACTCTTAAAGGCGACGCGTGACGGGTCCGCGAGAATGGCTTCGGATAGCAGGCCCCGCTCCACGCGCTGGTCGTTGGTGTCCCGGTCCACGAGCGTCCCGAGCTTGGCTTCGACTTCGAACTTGATACCCCTGGACTCTATTTCGTGAGCCGCAGGGTTTTTGATGATGTTGAAGAACAGAAAATCAGCCATCACCCGAGGAATGTCTTCGGGCGGACCCAAATTTGTGATGGTTGGTTCCCAGTCACCCAGCAAGTCCTGTGCTGGATGGGCTAGTGGCGGAGCGGATTCGCGTGGTGCGTCGCGTGGTGGAGGAGGCTGAGTGACCACATGTTTGGCCCCGTTGACATGCGCGTGCGCGCGCTTTTGCAACACAAAGTTGGGCTTGTTGGGCAACCGCTCGCCCAGTGTCCGCGCACTTTGAGCCCAGATTGGGGGCGCGGGATAACGTCGCCGGATAGGACCCTTGGCTGGTGCATCTTGCTTCTTGGAGGTCTTCGCGGGCCGCTCCCCGTTGACCTTGGGCTCGTCATCCCTGTCTTCCATTTTGCGCTTCGCTGGTGTTGTCGCTCGGTCCATGGCCTCGGAAGGCGCAGGGACGTAGTCGTTGCCGCTGGGTATCGACGGTGGCCTCGTCTTTGGGCTGACAGACATACTATGTTCCCTATCTAGCACCGGTGGATTCGTGATTTGCGCTACAGATGTACGTCTCTGTGATAGAGTCGGCGTTTGTGCGCGTGATTCGAGTCGAGTATGTGGTTGCGGTTGGGGTGGCGGAGGTAAAGGTTGCTGATATTGCGTCGGTGATTGTTGTGGATAAGAGGGTTGCTTTTGGGTTGCAGACAATGGAGGCCCTTGCGGCGTTGGAGGTTGTGAATGGTGCGTCGCGACGGGGCTGCCGTACAAAGAGGGCCCGTATTGTGCTGATGTTGGCGTGGGCGTCGATTGTTGCGAAGCAGAGCGCTGCTGATATTGGTACGTAGGCTGTTGCTGTTGGACCTGCGGCACCGGCTGCTGCTGCTGATATGGGTAGTTCTCAGGTCGAGACTGATGCCGCATCACGGGACTATCGTGGGGAGGGAAGTAGCCTGACGCATTTGGTGCTGCGGTAGGTGTTGGCGCAGGACGATATGCTGTAGGCGACGGACCTGGGGGTCCGGATGGGGATCGAACATCGTGAAACGAGGTTGTAGGCTTCAAGGGAGGCGGCGGGCCTGGGCGACCTTGTGGATACGGCGGCTGTTGATAGGGCGACTGCGGAGGCCCTTGGTGATATGGCGCAGCGTGGTACTCATATTCGCGTGATGGAGGATTGCCTGGTGACGGGTGCGGGTAGGAGTATTCGCGATGCGCAGGATAGCTGGCCGGGCTCTGTTGGTGATGTTGCGATAGCTGACGCGGTTGCTGTTGCGGCGTGGGCGGCTGGGGTTGAGGCTGAGGCGCGCTTCGCTCGCGATCGCGGCTGCCATCGCGGCCACGGTCGCCCGAGTCGTTCAATACAGAACGCAGATCCATTGTGGCATCTGGCGTTGTCTTTGTCGTTGTTCAGACGAAAGGATGCGCACCAGTTGGCAATGCGATCGGTGCGCCAGGGGGCATTGTTCGAAGAAGGCGGGCGCTACTGCAGTACACAATAAATCTCCAAAATAGCGCCAGGTCCAATAGATTAAGCAGTGTCGAAAAATTGATGAAGCGTAACAGTGACTGTAGCGGGTGACGTGGTGTAGTTGGCGTGGTGTTGGGGGCAAGGAGACACACAATCGCGACCAACATGTAACCGTTTCCCGGTGATGGAAATTTTCGGGCAGGCGCAACTAATACTACGTACTTCGCAGGTGTAATATTGGGCTGCTGGAGCAAGATGTATGAGCTCAGAAAGGCCCCTCGAAACAAAAGGGCGGACGTCACCAATTTGATCAAGTTCAGAAGCAGTGTTACTCACCCTCCTTCATCAGTTTTTGGCCATTCTTCCTGTGCATCCCCATCAGCTGTGGTTGTGCAAGTTTGAGTCTGCGTCCTCTCGCACCTGGGGCGTCTTGCAGCTAGACAACCTTGTCATAGACTACTACTCTATGTGCTACATGTACGCAGAGACAGACGACGTAACCTAATTTATAACATGGCATTGCCAAAATTAAGTAAAGTTCAAGCAATGGGATTGTCTGGGGGCAGATTTCGAACTTTGTCCTGCCGACTCGTACTTTCATTCAGTGTGCAAAATAGGCCACACGCGCAATCACGTGTGGAACCGTCGTGGGTTGCTGACTCATCCTTCATCTGCACCCTCGGCCAGCTGAACACGTCAGGTCGCCCGTGCCTGGCTGGCTGCAGGGCAGGCGAGCTGCAGCAACTCCAAAGCAAGTGGCCCACAGCCTCCAGCAGCTTCCATCGTCATCACACATCACCAAATATCTCCCTCGACAAAAGAGCTGTCCGCTCGCACACTCCCTCACCTCAAACCACGAATACTGCACCCGGCATGATCTCCTCCGCCACAGGTGTTCTCGCCTTCCTCTCTGAGGAGGAGGCGGAGCTCAAAGTCTTCGCCCTCCAGACGCTCAACGATGACATTGACACCGTGTGGACAGAGGTAGCCAACTCACTCGGCCTCATCGAGGAGCTCTACGAAGATGAGAGCTTCCCCGAACGTCAGCTCGCTGCGCTCGTCCTCGCCAAGGTCTACTATCACCTCCAGGCCTACAATGACAGCATGGTCTTCGCGCTGGCCGCCGGTGACCTCTTCAGCTTGGAGGACCCGGGCGAGTTTGAGGAGACCATCATCTCGCGCTGTGTCGACCAATACATCGCCACAACATCCGCGAAGAGTGCGGCATCCGACTCCGACAAGCTTGCCGAATTGACCACCACCTTTTCCGGAATCACAGCTGCGGCCGTTTCGTCACCGACCTCACCTTTCTCGCAGAAGGCTTTGCCACCCAAAAGTCTTTTGTCGCGCGACTCGATCGACAACACCATCCTAGAAGCGGCCGGCAAAGAACGTTCTGGCTCGGTCGCCCCCAGCCAAGCCACGGATAAGGCATTGCAGAGGGTCATTGATCGCCTTTTCGAGAGCTGCCTGCAACAGGGACGTTATCGGCAGGTTGTGGGCATTGCCGTCGAGGCCAAAAATCTGGACGTGCTGCGAAAGGTTATCAAGCGTGCTAGCGATGATGCAAAACACGCCAAGGCAAATCCTCTCGAGGCTAACCCCGCCGAGGAGCTGATGGAGTATACTCTGAGCGTCTGCATGGATATTGTGCAAGAACGCGGCTTCCGCCACGCAATCCTTCGGCTCATTCTCGATCTTCTGAACGAAATCCCCGAACCCGATTACTTCTCCATCGCCAAGTGTGCCGTTTACCTGAATTCGGACGAAGAGGCTTCGCGCATGCTCCGCCAGCTGGTGGAAAAGGGCGACAGAATATCAATCGCCAACGCTTACCAGATTGCCTTCGATCTGTACGACAACGGCACTCAGGAGTTTTTGGGCAAGGTTTTGGCATCGCTGCCTGCGCAGCCCGCTGCCAACAAGGAGAGCAATTCCGAGGCTACCGAAAACGAAGGCCTACTGGCCGACCAGGGTTCGTCAGAGGAGGAGTTGCCCGAAGGCACTGCCAAGGTCTACGGCAACATCCGAGAGATCTTGGACGGCTCGAAAACCATCCGTCTCAACCTCGAATTCCTCTACCGAAACAACCGCAACGACAGCAGCATCCTCAACAAGGTCCGCGACTCTTTGGAAGGCCGGAACTCTATTTTCCACAGCGCCGTTACGTTTTGCAATGCGTTCATGAACCAGGGCACCACCAATGACAAGTTCTTCCGTGACAACCTGGAATGGCTGGGCAAGGCTGTCAACTGGTCCAAGTTTACCGCGACAGCCGCACTTGGTGTCTTGCACCGCGGAAACCTGTCTCAATCCAGGAAGCTACTTGAGCCTTACCTCCCCCGCGCTGGTGGCTTGGGCAACGGTTCAGTGTACAGCCAGGGCGGTGCACTGTACGCCTATGGGTTGATCCACGCCAACCACGGGGCCGATGCTGTCGACTACCTCAAGGAGCAGCTTTCGTCTGCTGAAGATGAAGTTCTGCAGCACGGTGGTGCGCTCGGTTTGGGTATCGCCGGCATGGCTACTGGCGACAACGAGGTGCTCGAGAAGCTCAAGGACATCTTATTCCAGGACTCGGCTCTCAACGGTGAGGCGGTGGGCCTTTCCATGGGTCTCGTGATGCTGGGCACTGGCAACACCCAGGCCATTGAAGATATGATCACCTACGCACACGACACAACCCACGAGAAGATTGTCCGCGGTGTCGCCATGGGTATGGCCCTCATCATGTACGGCCGTCAAGAAGGTGCCGACGTGCTGATTGAGGGACTGCTGAATGACCCCGATCCGACTTTGCGCTACGGCGGTATCATGACGGTCGCCCTCGCGTACTGCGGCACGGGCAGCAACAAGGCCATTCGCAAGCTTCTGCACGTTGCTGTGAGCGACGTCAACGATGATGTCCGCCGCGTAGCCGTCATGTCTCTCGGCTTTATCCTCTTCCGCAAGCCTGCTAGTGTCCCTCGTATGGTCGAGCTGCTGTCCGAGTCCTACAACCCTCACGTCCGCTACGGCTCAGCCATGGCTCTCGGTATCGCCTGCGCTGGCACCGGCCTTGACGAGGCCATTGACCTGCTCGAGCCCATGATGAAGGACCCAACCGATTTCGTGCGCCAGGGCGCTCTCATCGCTTTGTCCATGATCATGGTGCAGCAGAACGAGGTTATGAACCCCAAGGTGGCTACCATCCGCAAGACGCTCAAGAAGGTTGTTGGCGACCGCCACGAGGACGCCATGACCAAGTTTGGCGCGGCCCTCGCTCTTGGCATCATCGACGCCGGAGGTCGCAATTGCACAATCGGCTTGCAGACGCAGTCTGGCAACCTCAACATGGCTGGCATCGTCGGCATGGCCGTGTTCACGCAGTACTGGTACTGGTTCCCATTCACGCACTTTTTGTCTCTCAGCTTCTCGCCTACCTCTGTCATTGGCCTCGACCACGACCTTGAGATCCCCGACTTCAAGTTCCACTGCGCCACGCGCCAGAGCTTGTTTGACTACCCACCCGAACAGGAGATGAAGACCGAGGAGGGTCCTGCGCTGATTGCCACGGCGGTCCTGTCGACCACGGCGCAGGCGAAGCGCAGGGCACAAAAGAAGGAGCGTGCCCAGCGACGCGAGAGCATGGACATTGACACGCCTGCTCCTAAGACGGGTGGCGACAAGATGGACGTGGATGAGGACAAGAAGGAGGAGCCGGAGAAGAAGGACGACGCGGAGAAGAAGGAAGAGACGAAGAAGAAGCCCGAGAAGGAGAAGGTAGGCTTCGAGATTGAGAACATGAGCCGTGTTCTCCCAGAGCAGTTCAAGTACATCTCGTTCCCCGCCGGTCGATACAGGCCTGTCAAGAAGCCCACTGGTGGACCGTTGCTGCTCGACGACACGCAGCCTGAGGAGGAGAAGACCTTGATCGAGGAGAAGCTCAAGAAGGTCACCACGGAACGCGCGCCGGTCGCTGGTCAGCAAGCACGTGGTCAAGAAGGCCGCGGTCTGGGTGGTCGCGGCCGAGGCGGCTTGGAGGCGTTGGTCGACGGCCGCAGTGGTGGCAACGAGATCGTCAACCAGCTGCTCCGTGGCTCCGGCTCTGGCCGATCGCCGTTTGGCAATCTGATCGACATGCCCGCTACGCCGGGAATGCCCGATACCATGGGGTCTGGTGCGGCGGCCGCGGCGGGCGTGCTCACGGCTGTGGATGAGGACGGCGAGGGTGACGAGGAGGCGTCCGTCCCAGGTGAATTCGAATACTTCTCCGACGGTAGCGACGATGAGGAGGAGCTGTAATCGGGGACGCGTGTACCATATAGAGCGTGGGTGTAAGGCATTGCCTGGGTGGTGATAGCTGAAATGACACATAATCTACTGTTCTCCTCGTTCACATGTCAAGTTGTGATTCCTCAGTGCTTATAATTGGTATATATTCTTGTTCAAGCCGTCGGGTCCAGGTACTCGTCAATGTTCACACGCTCGAAGAAGCTGATGTGTCCAAATTCCTTCCAGTACTGCGCCACCACATTTTGTGAGATGATGAAGAGCTCCGTGTCTAGGTACTTGTCCCCCACAAAGCCCGTGCCGGCGACGTGACCTTTGCTCTCGACCACACGCGCCCCAGCAAATGGCTCCTCCACGGCCGTCCTCAGGTAGCCCCCAGGTCCAAGTTCCTCCGCGACAAAGGTGTACTCCCCCCTCGGCACGTTGGGGTCGCCTGTGAGCTTGATCGCCTCGAGGCGACCGCGCAGAGACCGTGCCGACGCGCGCCTCTGCTCCCAGTCGCTGTCGGACTCGCGGGCGCCACGCACCAGCTGCAGTTCTTGGTCCGTCGCGGGGGGTTGGTCTGGCTGGTTGAACAGGAGGAACTCGCATCCGTGGCCCGAGTAGTCGCCGACCCAGATCCCCCGGAAGGGTCTTTCCGGAGTCGGCGTGTATAGCTCCGGGTCCAGCGTCGAATAGGTCAGCAGCTCTTCGCCAATCTGCCCGCCGGTCGCCATGGCGAACGAGGACCAGGGCCCATCCCGCAGGGCTGGGGGCGCATTGTGACCCCCAAAGCCTCCTAGCATCTGAATCCATCGTCTGATCATGAATGTACGCTCTGAGACCTCGGCCCGGGACTGTGGCCGCGATCTAGCTCGGCTTGTAGATGTGAGGTCCTGGGAAGGGATGTTGGGCGGCGGCCAGGTGGCTATGCGGAGGAGCCGCTCTGGTTTGCCTGCCCAGCTGTCGCGGTCCAGCGACTTGGTGAGGCTAAAGTTACTGTAGACGTTGTGCTGTCGCTCGTCCATGACCATGGGCACCTCGTCGGCGTACCGGTTGGCCCCCTCTCGCTGCGAGAATTCACAGGCAACATCACTGTCGCGGTCGCCAACCTTGAACTGCAGGATCGGGCGGTCGAGGTGTAAGCTGACAATGGGCGTGAAGCGATGAACGACAACGTGGGGGTCCGCAGCGTATGGCTGATATGTCGTATGGCGGCTGATGGCCAAGAGTTGTAGACCCTCGATGCAGCCTCTCCTCGGGTCGTAGCGCGTGAGCATGAGTCTGCCGGTCATCTCCCGGTTGCTGAACCAGATTTTGTGCCTTGGCAGAAACCAAAACAGCTCGTGCGCCACGTAGAGTTTGTGGAAGCTGTCGCACGGGTATGGTGTTGCGACCTTGACACCGGGCACGTTGTCCTGTACGATGGGCTGCCAGTGCAGGTCTGAGAGCGCATAGGCCTGGAGAGTCGAGCACGTACGCGCCGCTGCTACGAGATCGCGCGGCGGCAGGAATTTGAGGACAGCATCGATGAGCTCGGGCGGGAGTTTGAAGATGTGGCATGCACGTTCGCTGGACTCTGCCGCATCCGACGCCATCCTCGCGGCGCTGTTGGGTCGTGCATCAGGCGAAGGGTGATGTCTTTTATGGGGGTGACCATCCCGTATAAAGGCCTCGCCTGTGACACCGCGGACCATGTCAAGATTGGCCTCGTTCTCTGGGTTCAGGCGGCCATAATGATCTGGGGAGGTGGTCACCGTCGTTGGCACAAAGGGCCGCTCTTGAGCGTCCGAGCGCCCATGCTTGGATGATTTTGACATGATGAATGCCAGGGCCAGGGCAGTGGAGATTGCCAATATTAACGACCAAATATATGGCGAGATGGCCGCGAGGACAGTCGCGGGCAGGATGCGTCCCATCTGCACGTGCCGGGCAGAGAGGGAATGTGGTTATGTCGTCGATGAACAGAAGATCTCACCAACAAGGTGCATATGCACCTCTCTCTGTCCGTCCGTGGCACGCGGTAGTCTAATGAGACTGTCTGGGGGCTGGGACAGAGGACATGTAAGTTAAGTCCATAGGTACATGCGGTATACCATTTGCTGGATCCGCTTTGGTGCTCAGTTGGGTAGGTGGTCGTTGTACAAGTAGGTCGCGATTCAGGTCTGAGGCGAGCTAGGTCAGAGACTGGACTGGTCCGGTCGTCGGTCAGTGGTGAGGTCACCAGCGTCTGTCAACGTTCCACTCGAGTCTACTGATTTAATCATGATGGACCGGACCGGAGGCCCACGATTAGGGGCATGTTGCCCGTGCCTACCCTAGACAGCTTTCATCGTCTGCCATAAAATCCCAGACCACGAACAGAACCAGTTTCATTCTGCTGCGCAATTCTCATTGTCCTCCCATAACATGCAGCCAGTCGAAATTCTACACGTGAGCACCAGCCAGTCGTGTTGGTTCATGTCTCCCTATAGAATGTGTGGTCTCCCTCGCATGGGCCCTACTAAAACAGGCAGGACTTTACACATGAGCCTCGGTGGCATTTCCGCGCTTGGCACAATTGGTCCCTTGTTGAGTGTTCTAATTACGGATTAACTTGCTCATTGATCATTTGATATCGAAAGGCACCGCAACCTGATTGTTGTGCTTGTAGGGACCCTGGCCCATGCCCGATGTCTGCAACCCAAAAATACCTTAATCAGGAGCATCACCTTCAAGCGCAGGACTGCAGACTCATGTGCGCATGTATTGATTCTTCATTGCACCGTGAACGACCATTACGTACTGGATCCTGCAGGGCCGCCTCGGTAGTGATACCGACCGCTGGCGTCCGTGTCCGCTGCCCGGCTCCGACGTCTTGCTTCAGGTTTCTGGGCGCCTGGGCCTCGACATGCTGAAAGTTTTGATCGACAGTGACGCGATTGACTCTGCTGATCGCGACGCTTGAAAGATCGCCAGCGCGGTCTTTCCATCGACATGTGCCTCTCAACGCAGTAATTGCCCATTTGATCAACAATCAGTCGCGACACGTGCCCTATACGTATTTCAATCGCCATCCCCTTTGCTGCGCAGAACCTCAGCTAGCCGCGACCGAACCCCTGAACCTGAACTGCAATCCACAGCTACGTGCATCCAGGCGTCTGGGCATCTCGGTGTAACTGCAAAGGTCCCCCGGACTGAGTGGCCCATGGTCCGCCAGCTGCCTGCCATAAGCAGCAATCCGAGGACGCAGCGACTCGGCGAACCAAGGGGACGCCCGGTTGTCTCGCGATCCGGGCGACACTGGCCTTCCTCTTCAGGCACTTTTTTCCTCACCGTACGCACTCGTCCCTCACCCGCGCACTGCGGATTCCCCACCACTGACATTCAGTTCAGTCAAACTTCCAGGAACCCACCAGACCATGGCCTCCTTGCTGCCTCTCATCTCGGAGCTCCTGCCCATGGTGATGCCAGCTGCGACGCAGGTGATACGCGCGGGTGATCTGGCACCGACCGGCCCAACCGTCGAGGGGCCTGTCACGCAGCGGCGCGCCGTCGTGGGCAAGTGTGGCATGTGCGCGACAGTGTTGACTATACGTCCGAAACACAGCACGTCCATCAGGCACAACAGTGAGCAGGGTGAGTCGTCCATCTTACTCGTGTCAATTTTGATCTACTCTATCTTGCTAGTCTAACTGTGCTGTGCAAGACACCATCATGTACAGCATCGCCGGCTCCAGCACCGTCCGCGTCAAGGAAGGGTTCGAGGACGAGCTGCATGTCCATGAGCTTGCGACTGGCGACTTCATCTTCATACCGGCATGGACCGAGCATCAAGTCTGCAACGGCTCGGACCAACAAGACGCGGTGTGGCTCGTTGTGCAGCACGGCTCGCATCCGGTTGGCGCAGAACTTGCAGACTGGGGCGGCGCGGTGACGGCAACGCATGACTAAAAAGTCAGATCCTCTCGTTGCGTTCAGATCAGATATGAAGTATCAATAGGCGGCCGTCGTCGCATGCACCAGATCGACCAGCGTCTGCAGGCCTCGCCGGTCGTCAAAGACCTGTGCGTGGTCGAGACCGGGGAAGCTGACCACCTGGACATTCTTCTCCTGCTCCAGATACTCACCCACCGCTGCCGTGTTCACAATGATATCCCGCCCGGCCAAGGACACCGCCACCTTGCGGTCGTTGTGCAAAAGGTCTTCGGCCCAGATGATGTTCTCGCGCCAGAAAAAGTGCCGTCCCAGGCAGTGGGCCACCCCGGGGTCCGTGCTGGCAAAGTACCACAGCTGCCACTCGTTGGCCAGGCGAGGACGTCGCCGGGTGAAGTTGTACGCGACATGAGGCAGATGCAGCATGATGGTCACTGGGTCGGTCAGGACCACAGAGGTCACCCGGGACTGCAGCAGCGGCGAGCCGAGGACATGCGTCGTCAGGACCGAGCCGTACGAGTGGGAGACGAGAGCCACCCGGTCCCAACGGTGGTGGTCGAGGATCGTCACCATTTGTCGCACAAACTCGACGCGGTTCGGCGGCGGATCTGTCAGCCGGAATGAGATGGGTAGCAGCTCGATAGCTACGATGCCCGTGTTACTCCTCCTGCGAATCCCGTTCAGGAAGCCAATGTACGTGAGCAGCCCGATGCCGATACCGTGGAAGAAGACGACGGGTTGCTGGGTGTTGTTCGCCTGGTGCGGGTGGTACCAGTAGCTCAGATTGCGGACGGGCGACCTTTTCGACGTCCAGAGATTCTGCGGCCGCGGTGGGAATGTCTGACGAGCAGACTCAGCCGCATGGTATTGGAAGCCATACCACATCATCAGTGCATGTGTCGCTTGATCGACCATGAAGACGACGGCGTACCAGAGCAAGCCACGGTATGCCGTCTCGATCTTGTCGAATGTCAGCCTGAGAGATTTGACGGAGCTGCGGCCTGGTTCCAACTTTCGACCCAGGGCTTGTTCGATGCCAGCCACGTAGTCTTCCAACTCGTCCTCGTCGCCGTCCGCGGACGACGTGCCGTCATGGTCGAAGAAGGCCCATAGCAGGAACTCGCGGACATTGTCGCGTCGAATGTCGTCCAGGTCCGCCCCCAGAAACCACCCTTGTACGTACGCCGCCGGATCTGGTGCAGTGGTGATACATCTTTGGAACAGAGCGCGTCGTTCGTCGCGCGTTGGAGGTGCGGGGTGCTGGGCTTGGAGTCTGAGCCGTCGTTGCGCAGGCTTCCAGGCGAGGACGTAGAAGAAGGCTTCGGCGAGAAGCAGGACCGTGAAGGTCCAGGTCGAGAAGAACGTCCAGGCTTTTGCGCCGTGGACGCTGGTCAGCAGGACAATTGGGATACTGTAGAGAATTGGCGCGTATCGAAATGCGAATATAGACACGCGGATCAACATCCACTCAACCGTGGACGTCCCTATCATCTTCGCCTGATGTCTCTCGTATCACTGGAGTGCGAAGAGGTCGTTCAAACGAGTGGTCTAGGGCTCATCTCTACATGGCGGACAGTGCAAAGGTTCCTCGGTCCCCAACGCAAATCATGTTGAGGTTGGGCTGAGTTGGGTGAGGAGCGGGTGATCGCCAGGCTTCCTCCCATTTCGTCGTTCACCAAATCACCATCCGTGGCCGATGACGCACCAGACGCACCCTTCCTCTTCCTGCACACTGCTCTCCGCCAAAATGACTTCTCAACGCCCATACTTCACACCCAGTCATTTCGTTGGTCTGCAATAGCTCTGGAGTAAAAGGAAAATAATCAGGTATTATTGGCAATGCGGCTGGTGCTGTGTTTCGTAAAGCAGCAAAATGGCTACCTACGTAGGTAGCACGAAATTCGCCAGCCACACCCAAATGCGACGACAGAAACATTTCACCGAAGCGCAAAGAGGCCATATCGGTTGTATATCATTACTTATTAGTCACTGGAAATGTTGTATGCTCAATAGCAGCTGCCTTGGAGGAATGTCAGTTTGGAAAGGGCTTCTAGATCCTCGCCTCAACTCGGAAAGCAAAGACTGCCTTCAAAGCTGATATTTGCTCGCCTTTCATTCCAGTACTTCTCTTGGCGATTGTTAGAAAGAGTGAAGCGTCTGGCGATTGACATTTTACTGTGCTACTCTGTATTCGAGGTGGATTGCACGAGTTACTAGTCAAATGGTAGGGTAACCATTACGTCATCTCGGGATAGCCTTCAACTACCGGGTACGCGATTCTCTCGCAAACATTTACTCATTTCTCACTCCATCCTGACCATGGCGGATCGATATATTCTCCGCGTGACGGCTGGTCCAGGTTACGACGAGAAGGATCATGTCCTCGTACCCGTCAACGAGACCGAGCCGGTCAAGATCGCCAGTCCACTGGCGACGATCGACTTGTCGGTCCGTGTGAGGGACTACAATGGGCTGCCTCGTGGCTCCCCAAGCTCTTCCAAGTACTTTGAGACGGAACCGCACGCCTACAACCAGGATCAGTACAGTATCTGCTTCAGCTTCACCCCTCACGCGCCCAAGGGCGTTCAGAGCGGTGAGCAGAAAGACGGCATCAAAGGCACGGATTTGCAATTTGGCAATGATTTCGACCGTCCGATTCGGGACAAGCTCCCACCAGGATTCAGCACGGCAATGAACATTGTGAAGTGGTGGATCGACCCTGGCCTCGATGGGGACGCGTACGCTGACCGGCCGCACCTCTACGGCCCAGCTCTGTCGTCGTTGAATGCGTTGCATGTTGGCGCACCCGAAATCGCAGAAGACAAGGGCGGCATCTTTGTCGAAGAAGGCGGCGGCGAAGACGTGAGGGCCGAGTTGGGCATGCCCGTTGACGGGAAGGGACGTATGAAGTGGGGACTAAACGATGCCAACAAGGAGTCCTGGCTGTGGAAGTACGGGGAGACGTACGGGATGGACTTTTACAACCCTTACATTGACTTCTCGACGTTCTCCCTGCGGCTGCCGGGCTTCCATCTCCCGATATTGAAGTACTGGGACGGACAAGGGCTACGGTATGTTGTCACGCCCTGAATTGATTTATTTGTGCGGGAGGAGGTTGTTTAACTGAGATGGACAGATGCTCACACACACTTAGATATGTTCTCCGAAACCGCCTGACGGGCGAGGTGTACCTCGCAGTGTGCTTCACGATCCACCTGAAAGAGGATGTCGACGAGGAGGGCAATATCAAAGAGAAAGCGAAAGAGCAGGGTCGGAAAGACGACGAGAGCAGACAGAAGGAGGCAGCGGCGCTATCAAGCCAGGCAAAGAACACAGCGGAAGATGATTTAGACTGATTGCTAGACCGGTCCTTTGTGGAAGCGGTGTTTGTGCTTGCGAGAGTAAGCATATAGACGGGTATCAAGCTAACCTTTGCGTTTTACATTAATTACTTATAAGCATATCGAGTTGGTTTCCATAATCCCATAAGGAGCCATTAGGCTGTCTCCACCCCATCTACTCGGCCTTGAAGGGGGCGATCGCTATTCGAAGCCTGGCAAGGAGCCCAACGGAGGAGTCAGGCTCGGTAGGGCCTCGACACTTTACGACGGAACAATTCTCTCTGCTCCAACTTCTGAGACGACGCGAATGTGTGGATCCGGCGTTGATATACTGGCTCTGGGGCTAGACTCGGAACCTGCGGCTTGCCACGAGTCAAATATTCCGAGTGGTGGATAATACGGGAGCAGCTGCAGGCTCAATATGGCCTGGGATTTATATTTGACATAGGGCGCATTAGGAGCTTTGTTGGTGTAAAGCGCACGACTACTTGCTGCCTGACAACTTTGTGCGCCCTGTCCGTGCAATCTTCACTCCCTCAGGGCCCTCAGGACCCTCACACATCTGCTCGTCCCACACCATTGTGATTTGTGCGGTCATGTTCGGAAATAATGAGGAATCGCGGGGCCCATGGCGAATCAAGAATGAGAGTCGGGGACCGACCGACTGGCGCGGGCCGGTCATCGTTTCGAAGCCCATCCATCTCCTTCTTATTGCCGACAAGGCTTGGCCTTCGCCCGTCCGTCTCCTGCTCAACAGCTCCGACTTGTTGCAGACTGGAACGCGCCCACAGGTTCGTCCGCGTCCGTTCCCTCGTAGCTCGCTGATGCAAGTCTGGTTGAACGCTGACCTGCAGACGAACCCTGTCTCTTGCGTGCGTGCGGATGCCCTAGGGTGTCTACGACAAGTGACTCACGCGTTAGACAATCCCTCAGTTCCAGACTTCCTACAAAACCTCACCCATAGCTGGGCAGAAATGGTCAAGACATTGAGCCCTCAGCATGACCGACGCCGAGAAGATCCAGGGAACTGCTGGCCAGCACGGTGCTGCACTCAATGAGCAGGCCCCCATCTCGCATCTCTACCTGACATTCGAGTCGGATCTACCACTCCCACCAGGCCAGCCGCCGTCGATTTCCCCTCCCGACTTGAGGCGCTACACATCCCCATACACATGGAGCTACCCTCATAAACTAGTCGTCCTTGTCCTGGGATGCGTCTCGACCTTTCTGACAGCCTACACGGCTGGCTCGTACTCACCACCAGCGACCTACATCGCTGCTGACCTTGGGACCACCCCGCTGATTGTGCTCCTGGGCATCACCACGTTTTGCATTGGCTTCGCTCTGGCACCCATGGTCCTCGCGCCCGTCTCCGAGATCTGGGGCCGCTATCCAGTACTCGTGGCCGCCGGCGTCTTTTTTTCGGCCTTTCAGATTGCGTGCGCCCACGCGCCGAACCTCGCTGCCATGTTCATCTGCCGTTTCTTGGTAGGCTGTAGCGCCAGCGTCTTCAGCTCCATTGTCGGCGGGGTCATTGCCGACGTCTACAGCAAGGAGGACAGAAACACGCCCATGGCGATCTACAGCGGCTTCGTCCTCGGAGGGACTGGTGCTGGCCCATTGGTGTGCGCGGGCATCGTCAAGGCTTTGGGAGACACGTGGCCTTCAGGTGCCTGGAAATGGTGCTTCTGGCATCAGGGCATCGCAGACGGCCTGCTTGTCCTGGCATTGGCAACTTGCTTTCGTGAAACAAGGGGTTCTGTGCTCCTCTCTAGGAAGGCAAGGAAGCTCAACGAGTGGTATGACGCACTGGAGAAGCAGGGCATCTATGGAGTCTGGGTGAGAGACTCGGACTTCGCACCCAGGACATCAGCCTCGTCTGCCGAGTCCACCTCGGACGAGAGTAGAACCCTACGTCGTCTACGCTGGAAAGTACAGGCTGACGAGGAGCGAGCGTCCTTGGGCAGCATGGTGGCTACGTCAGTCCTCCGACCCTTCTATATGCTCGCCACCGAGCCAGTCGTCTTGTCCTTCTCCGTATGGGCCGCCTTCTCCTGGGCTGTGCTGTACTTGGGGTTCGCGGTCGTCCCGTACTTGCACCGGGGAGATTTCGCAGCGAGCTATCCCACCTATGCGGCCATGATTGTCGGCACAGCCCTGGCCACGATTGTCAGCATCTTTCAAGAGCGACTCCTCGAGAACAAGAAGTGGACGGGGGAGGAAAGGACGACATCCCGCTTCTGGCTCATGATGCGCAGGCGCTTTCCGAGGGACGCCCCCGAGGCTCGGCTGTACTTCTGCTGCATCACCGCCCTGCTGTTGCCCATCGGTCTCTTCGTGGCATTCTTGCCCAGCCAGACTGCTCAACCTGGCGACCCGGGCATTGTCCTCGCCGTGGGCATCGGTCTGGCTACCTGGGGCATCTACGTCATCTACCTTGCCTCGTTCAACTATTTTGCCGACACGTACCACATCTACGCCTCTTCAGCCCTCGCGGCCAACGGTTGCTGTAGAAATGTCCTTGGCGGTGGGTTCCCGGTCCTGACAGGGCTGATGTTTGACGGCATGGGTGTCAGGGGTGGAGGCATCATGCTGGGCAGCGTGGCGATAGTGCTCGGCTTCATTCCCATTGTGCTTGTGAGGTGGGGAGCCAGGATCAGGTCCCGAAGTAAGATGGCGACAATGTTGCAGAAGTCGTAATTGATGAGCTGATGTCCTGAATCTAAATATGAAATCGATGCCATGTCTGTGCTTCAAATGCTCTGATACGCTGTTCCCGATATTGGAAACAACCTTACGACGTTGTCGCGAACTTCCGAGATAGAACCCGGGGCCTGCCACCGAGTTTGTTGGCCAATTTCTTGACCAGCCTGATTCTTTCGACCTTGTTGATACTACTGTCCGCCGAACTTTTGGCTTGATACACGATGCCGCGAACAGGTAGCGCAAAAGAACCGCCAGCTTGCACCGTGGGTCGAGGCGGCATACCTGTGCCCTGCCAGTCCGCGTGCATCACAGGGTCCATTTCGTGGTCATCCAGCACAAGACCGCCTTTCCCATCGTCGATCATCGATGTTTGACCAGACAGCCTTCCCCAGGGACTTGCCCCTCTGAGTCGGTACACAACCCGCCCTTCTGTCTGGGGGAAGATAGCCTTGATGAACATGCGCGCATACATATCGCTAAAGCCACACATTCTCAAATTTTCAACGTTGCCTTTCAAATACAGAAGCGAATCAAAGATGTGAAGATGCACATCTGGACAGTAGTACTGTTTCTCCTTGGCTGATGGCGCCAACGACAAGGACGACGTTGACGTGAATGATGTTGCATTCGTCGATTCACTCCCGAAAGAAGAAACCTCACTCAACTCAACACGATCAGGTCGAACACCGTGATATCGGCGAGCGAGGAGTGTGAGGTTTTTCAGAGGAGTAGTTCTCTCAATGTTCGCTTTGCCAATGGTGTGGAGGAGGCGACCAAGCTGACCTAGTCCAGGCCGAAGGTCTGCACCCTCTGGTCCGAAGCCAAGCTTGCTCAGGTCAACTTCAAGGATCAAATTCTGCATCCGATGCACGTGTGTACTGAAGAAATACTGAGTGAGGGGGCTGATCCGCGGGCCGGTGTAAGGCGAGAGCGTGACGTGAACAGTATTGTCCGCGAAGAGGACGTGCAAAATATCGTCTCGAAGCAGCTTACTGGTCAATAATGGAGACTCGAGAGAACGAAGAATAACCGCAAACGGAGTGAAACTGTTGCTATGCCATGCGTGCTTGGTGAAGGCCCTTTGGGACAATGTCAGGGGCTTGTCACGCTTTGGAACAAGGTAGCGGCAGATCTTGCGCCTGACGTGCTCTGGAAGGTGGGCATAGCTAGATGCTCTGTGCTCCGAGGAAAGGGCTGACGCTGTTGCCGATGCCGTGCTGGATGCTTGGTCGATATCTCGCAGTGTAGATTTGTGGACGACAATGTCGAGCGTTCGGTCCCAAGGAGGAGAGTAGTCGTTTGCTAAGTTTGACTTCGACTTTTGGCTTCCAGGTTCCACTGGCCACGTTAGTCTGCTATCGAGTGCCCCATGCGATGCTAGTACTTCTGGCGTCTGTGTTGGCTGGGCTCGTACAGAGAGATCGTCCTCTTCAGGAGTGTGGTAGAGATGCAGACTGTGATGGTGATGTGATGTGAATGGGCTCACATCTCACATTGAGAGTGCTTTCATGGGCCAGTCAAGTTTTTTGGTACTTGTGTTCGTCCAATGTAGTCAGAGCCTTCTCGTTCCTCAAAAGTAAGGACCATGGAATCAAAGCGCCTGATCCATCGGTGAGAATCGGTGATTCCGCAATCTCAGCGAAAGGTGACTCGAATCCACGTGGGTATTTGACTTGTTCATTCAAGAGTCTATATGCCGTTCAAATCGTCAGGGTTCGCCTGCGTCGCGGCTTTCCGCGCAACGCTCCCATACTTCAACAACCAGATGCGCTGCCAAGGTCCGTCACTTTATTTCGCCTGTCTCTCCTTCTCGGCCTTCTCAAAGATCCAGTCATTCAGCCCCTTCTTGTTCCTTGCAATCTCAATAGCATAGAACTGCATACGCGGCACGAAGATGGTCGTGTCCTGGTCGTACTCCTTCCCGGGGTGGTTCCGCACCATGGTACCAAAGTTGTAGTCGTCCACCCTCTTCTCGTACGCCATCATGAACGGGCGCCACTTCTCCTTGCCTGCTTTCGACTTCATCTCGTCCTCGTTGATCGTGGCGGCGGGGTCAAAGTCGGGGAATGTGAGCATGAGGTGTGTGTAGATTTCGTCGTCGAGCTTGGTGAGGCGCAGCGACGAGCCCTTGACGCGCTCGAGGATAGACCAGTAGGTCGACATGTGCTGGACGACCTTGACTGCGAACTGCTTCTCCATCTGATCCGAGAGTTAGCGTTACATCTTTGAAGGGGTGCTTGTACACGCACATCCTCGCTGTTACCCGCTTCCTCGGGGTTGAAGTCCTTGGGCAACGGGCCGCTGGGGCCGTTGGCCATCTGCTCCATGGGATCCATAATGACGGTCGTGTTGTTTTGTTTGAGATGAGAGCAGTTGAGGGCGACAATAGTCGGATATGGGTTTGATAACTGTGTTACTGTCGGTAGAGGAAAAAAGATGTCCGTCGCAAAACGTGGGGTTGAAGATTTTGGAGGGGCACTGAATGACGCACGTACTGTGCGAGGGGTGTGCGCTGGACTGAATGACCGTGCAAATCACACTGTACGCATCCATAGCCCCGAATCTTCTACCCGACCCCAGAAGTTACTATGTACTTTAGTCATACCAACAAGTGCGTGTCACCCAGTCTTCGAAAGTCGGACCTTGTGTGTATCTCATTGTGCGGACTCCTCATCAATCCGATTATCCGACGCCATGGACTTTGGCAACGAGGTGCACGGGCACGTGGAGGCGCAGTCGCCTTCATGTCAAGAGTCAAGACCTGAGGCAGTGCTCAAATCGGACTCAGCATCACTGATAAGAGATGAAAGCTGAGGTAGCACCAAGCCTAGAGCCTTGCATGTCCCGAGAAAATAGCACTCATAGAATGCGCCCTGTTTCCGCTTACCATTGTCCGTGGCTCGAGCGCCCACCCACTCGACCACGGTGCGGACCTCGCTCGAGGAACAATACTAACCGTCAGTCGAGGGCTTCAAGATGGCCAAGTCCATGAAATTGTATCCAGATATGGACTCTGAGACCATGTCAGTTTCAAAGTGCTCTCTCTCACGCGAGAAATGTCGACTCGCGCATCTAAATCATGGCGAACATGAATGTCAACGAATCGGCGGATGAAGCTCCATTCCTCGAGGCAGCAAACGAGGCCGTCGTTCAACCTAAAAAGTCCTCCTGGAAACACCTCTTTTCATTTACCAAGTGGTCTCACGCTGGTGCGATTTCCTGGGCTTTCCTCGCTACGGCCATCACGGCGGGACTCAAGGCCGCTCTCCCTGTTTTGCTCGGCGAAACGTTCAACGTCATCAGCGATTATGGCATGGGATTCATCAACGGTACCGAGGCCACCAGCCGCATGTCACGGTGGTGCCTAGTGTTGATAGGGGTCGGTGCTGGCAACTGGGCGGCTAACTCAGCGTTCCTCGCGTTATGGGTGATCTTTGGCGAGCTGCAGGCGAACGCGGCTCGACACGACATCTACCAAAGTCTCCTGAAGAAGGATATGACATGGTACGATTCGCAGAGCCAGGGCATTTCCAGCTTGCTCTCACGGATACAGACGTAAGTACTTTGCTCGGTGGCAGGATCACAGCTGATCAATAAGCCAAACGCGCGAGCTGCAACTAGGCACATCCCAGATCCTCGGCCTACTCTTTTGTGAATTCTTCACAGCGCTTGCGTCCATCGGTATCGCCTTGCTCTACGCTTGGAAACTTACACTTGTCCTCCTGGCGACTATGCCCCTGTCGGCCATTGTACTCTCGTTGGCCACACGACCCCTCGAGCCGGCTATACAGGCCCAGCGTAAAGAGCTTGCTACTGCGTCCAAAAAGGTTACTTCGTCCATCGTCGCCATAGATCTCGTCAAGATCTTCGGCGGATACGATCAGGAGACGGAGCAGTACGTTCAAAACATTCAAAGAGCAGCAAAATACTACACGATCCAAGCCCGATGCATTTCCATACAAATGGGCTATGTGGCTTTCTGGGTGATTGCCATGTTTGTTGTTGGCTTCTGGTACGGTCTGTCGCTTGTCGAGGATGGCTTGCGGCCCGGCAGTGTTCTGACAGCGTTTTACGCCACGCTCGCGGCTTTCCAAGGCGCCGAAGCACTGGTGCCGCATTGGCTGGTCTTGGCGAAGGCCATGTCGGCGGGTTCTTTTCTCGAGGCAGTCGTGGCTCCGAAGAATGGCGGTCGAGAGATTGCACGCGTGGGTAGGCATGTGAGGCCACCAACGTGTACCGGTGATATCGAACTGAACAATGTGAGTTTCCGCTTTGTTATCATGTGTAGGGGTTCATACTAACAAGGCCAGGTCAGCTTTGCTTATCCTAGCAACCCGGACACCATCGTCTTACGACCATCGACCCTTTCCTTCCCCGCGGGCGAGATGACTTTCCTCGTAGGCCGCAGCGGATCTGGGAAGAGCACGATTGGGAACCTTATTGCCAACTTCCACGAGCCCCTGAAAGGCGACATTCAGATAGACAACGTGTCGATGCGGGTACTGGACGAACAGTGGGTGCGCGAAAATATCACCCTTATCCAGCAGACCAGTATCTTGTTCAACGACACCTTTTTCAAAAACCTTGCATTTGGTCACCGGGATCCTGAGTCAGCAACCCAAGCCGAAGTCTTGAGCGCCTGTCATTCCGCCATGCTACATGATACCCTGGCTAGTCTACCCCAGGGATTGCAGACTGATGTTGGCTCCGAGGGCCATAACCTGAGTGGAGGCCAAAAACAGCGCTTGGCCCTTGCTCGCGCACGTCTCCGCGATCCATCAATCCTCATCCTTGACGAGGTCACGAGTGGCTTGGATCAGTTGAGCAAGACGCTTGTCATGGACGCTATTCGGCAGTGGCGACGCGGCAAGACTACAATCATCGTCACGCATGATGTCTCCCAGATTGAAGACGATGATTTTGTTTATGTCATGGACAGCTCGTATCTCGTGCAAGAGGGGTTCAAAAAGAATCTATTGGAGCAAGAGAATGGTCACTTTGCGTCTCTGGCTTCTCCCCATGGACACCAAGACTCACCGGAAATTCGGATCTCGGCTGTCGACACGATAGACTCGCCCGACACGCCCCTGATCGCGTCTCGCCGCTCACGCTTTGCTGATAGAATCTTCAATGAACTTGAAGTTAACTCGTTGCAAGTCAACAACCTTGGCAGACGCAGTTCACTGCTGCCCGGCCGAGACTATCAACTGCATCTAGGACTGGACGCGGGTCGACTACTGGGCGATAACAGAGCATCCTTCCATGCTGAGGATAGCCAGAACTGGGATGAAGAGAGGAAACGCTTCTCACGCTTTCTGACCCAGCGGTTCTCATTGCCAGAACAGCACGAATTGGTCACAATGCCACAATACGCCACGCGTGCATCTCCAGCGCCAGTACGGCCCTTGTCAAGTCTGACTTCGGATTGGGCCGGGTCTCCCAAAGAGAGCGTCACGTCCGAGGATCTGGAGAAGAGAGCATCATTCATCTTTGGTAACTCCCAGAAAAACAGCGAAATGTCCACCCGTCGACCTAACAGTATTGTCGAGCAACCAGCTGTCCTTGAGCAAGACCCGACACCAGCACTAAAGCCGCCCAAGAAGAAGATCTCTCTCTGGTCAACCCTCAGGACCGTCTGGCCCACACTCGGTGCCGCCGACCGTATCTTGTTCTGTTTTGCTTTTGTTGTCTGTATCATTGGCGCCACAGCGACTCCTGTGTTCGCCTACGCCCTTTCGCAACTCCTGGGCGTGATGACCTCGCCCGGAGAAAAGACCACCAAGGGAATGAAGTGGGCACTCATCATCCTAGGCGTGGCTGTGGTGGACGGCTTGGGCTGGGGCGGCAGCCGCTACATGTTCGAGCTCGTCGGTCAGAACTGGGTGAACAAGATTCGCATAGAAGTCCTACGACGGATTATGCTGCAGCCAAAACCTTTCTTTGGCAAGCAAAAGAACTCACCCGGCCGAATTGTAGAATGTCTGGACCGCAATGCCGAGGAGATGCGCAACATTGTGGGCAAGTTTATCCCCATCATGGTAGCCATCACCACCATGCTCAGCGCCTCTTTCGTCTGGTCCATGATCGTCTCCTGGAAGCTGACCCTTGTTGCTTTGTCACCGGTGCCCGTCGTTGCCGGGGCTATCAAGGGCTTCACCTGGATCTCTGGAAAATGGGAGGCCAGGTGCAACACGGCAGCGGAAGACACATCTGCAACGTTGACCGAGATTTTCCTCAACATTCGCGTCGTTCGGGCCTTGACTCTGGAGAGTTACTTCACCAAGAAGTACGAGTCGCAGGTCCAGGATACCTTGGCTATTGGCCTCAAAAGAGGCGCCTACACATGCGTTCTCTACGGTGCCTACCAGTCCATTGGATACGTACTTACATCGCTCGTCTTCTATTACGGCACGCTTCTCATGGCCACAAAGGGCGAGATGAATGTGGCATCTCTCATGCAAGTCGTCAATCTCCTGCTTTTCAGCATTGGCAGCGCCGCAGGTATCCTTAGCGGCATACCGCAGCTGACCATGGCGCAAGCGACGGCCTCGCAGATGCTGGAGTATGCCGGCATGTCAACAGAGCCACCCGAGGGACAGCGTGGCAGTTTGAGACCGTACAACTTGCTGCCCATTAGATTGGACAAACTCAGGTTTTCCTACACAAAAACCCAGAGTGATGTCTTGCGAGGCGCATCTTTTGAGATTCACGCTGACAGGGTGACTGCCATCGTTGGACAATCCGGTTGTGGAAAGACGACTTTAGCTTCCATTCTCTTGGGGTTATATCCTCCCTCCGAGCCCTCCTCCCTGACTCTGAACGGCATTGCATCATCAGACATTGATATTGAGCACCTTCGTTCACAGACAGCCTACGTCGCCCAGGCGCCGTATCTGTTCCCTGCTACCATTGCCGAGAACATCACATACGGGCTACCGAGCGGCTCACCCTACTGCGAAACGGCGAGCATCGTCCGCGCTGCCGAAGCAGCAGGCGTTCACGAATGGATCATATCCCTTCCAGAAGGTTACTCTACCCTCATAGGCGATGGCGCACAAGCATTGTCAGGTGGCCAGTCGCAGCGGCTCAGCATTGCGCGCGCACTTGTCCGTCGTCCCAAGCTACTCGTCCTCGACGAACCGACATCGGCTCTGGACGCAGAAAGCGCTGGTATGATACGGCGGACGATTCGCGGCCTGAAGGGGATGGCAGTGGTTCTGGTGACCCATAGCCCGGAAATGATGCGAACCGCGGATTGGATCGTGGTGGTGGGCGAAGGAGGCGTGGTCGCCGAAGAGGGGGGTTATGAATCGTTGATGAGGAATCAAGGGGAGTTCGTCAGGTTGCTACACTGCGGCGAGTAGCCGCGGCATTTGTTAATACTACGTAGTTTATTGTACATATTGGAACACACTGAAGCACTTCAGCACGCGACTTGAATGCTGCAACATCGCCATGATCGAGCTACATTAGAGTGAAAAAGGGGTCGATGCGACCCAGACTGGGTCAAAGGAACGAAATCGGAAGATTGTCGCACATGTGAAGGGATGGGCGGCTGGATGTTTCTGACTTACGGTCTCTAATTTGCTCAATACCGCCAGTACAGAGAATGATACAGGTGTGCGGCAAGCCTTTTGACTCGCTTGGTCTATGTCAAAGCGCAAAGTGCATCTTGCGACCCGGCGATCCACAAACACGTTGCGTGCAGCGCAAGCATTACTAGGCTTGATAGCAGGCCTCGCCATCTGGACGGTCCGAACTCGATATCTCCTTCAGAGCTTTGTCTCGCCAGTTGGTACTCACTGGACGAGGGCACCCGCATGTCTAGCGCGGCAACCAGAAGTAAAGGCACGCCCACGTCGAGGCGGACAGTGTACGGCCAACAGGGACGCAGCAAGGTCAGAATTTTGACGAGGAAGAACCCAAGACGGATGCCTTGGTTCAAGGTATCTCCGTCGAACCCAGTGGCGGCCAGGAAGAGATTTGTCTGGTGCCGTAGCTCGGCCATGCTGCTCCTGGGGGGCGCCATCAACAATGGAGGCGACCGTAATTCAGCTGGCGACGCCGACGTCTCACTCTCGGTATACTCTTGATTTTGCACCAAAGCCAGAGGATGCGGCCGCTCCACGGTGCTCAAAACATGCGGCGCGCGTGGTTTCTCTAGAGCTGTAGACCCTGCCAAAAAGTAAGATCAAGTGTTGTCGAAGCTACCCCGTAGTTAGAAACATACCTGGCACAGGGGTGCTGCCTCTAGCTGGCGAGTCCAGGTTCTGCACACGGTCGTGACCGTTATTCCCAAAGACATTTTCGCCTCTCAGCGCGCTAAGTACCTCGCTCGCGCTGGGTCTTTCTAGAGGATCCAGTGATAGAAGTCTTTTCAGCCACGTGTATAGTCTTGGGGGTAGGTCATCTCTCTTGCGACGCTCATCCTGGAATCCCTTCCACTCGCTAATCTCCGCACGCAATTCGTCATAATCCTCGAGCTCTTCCTGTATCGCATTGGCACTTCGGTACGGCAATGCTCCAAAGCATATGAAGTACAGAATCATGCCTAGAGAGAATATGTCTGACTTTGTCGTGAAATTGCCAAACTGCCCGGATGCGTCTTGCTGTAGGACCTCTGGCGCGCAATACGAGATGGTTCCCGTCGACCCTGTGGAGTTGCGGATCGCATGTTCAGGCTGCACTTCGCCGAAATCACTGATCAGACAGCGCAGCTTTCCGCCTTCCCGATGCAGAAGACAATTATTTGGCTTCAGGTCGCGGTGGATATAGTTGTTGCTGTGCAGATACGCCACACCAGACGTGATATCCCTAAAGAGGGAATAAATCTCCTCGAAGGAAAGTTGCCGACTGCCACCAAGGACATCCTGCGGCTTCTCCGCGTGTCCTTTGGAGCGCCTGCGCATCTGTGCCTTGAGCTCTTCAGTCGTGGCCTCCCTTGGCGCACTGCCTACGATGTACTGATGGAGGTCGCCCCCGTTGCAGTACTGCTGCAGAATGAAGGCGCAGGCAACGCTGGGGCCAAACCTCGTCAGGCGCGTGCTCTCGAGCCAGACGTGACGGTAAGACACCAGATTTGGATGTGACAATTTGTTGAGGAGTCCGACCTCGACGAGGACCTTTTCGAGCCACGTGTGGTCATCGCCAACGGGAACACGCTTACAAGCAAAGTGGCCTAGGTCGCAATTGTCTATCTCATGTCGCACGAGTAGGACGACCCCTTTGCCGCCCTTCCCCAGGACCTTCTCCTCCTTGAAGAACGTCTTGAAGTAGCCTGGGCTAAAGGCTTGCTTGCGAATGCGCGTGCCCTCGCTCTGTGAGATACCAGGACTGCTCGAGAGGAATTCGGTGTTTTCAGGCTCATCGACGCTTGCTGGAGTAGGCGCTCGCGACGCGTGCCCCAGCGCGGGGGGTTGGAATAACCGTTTGACCGAGCTCGGTGGATCTTCTGGTGGTTGAGACTCGCGGGTTCCCGCCTGCAGCATGCGGAAGTACTCGGGGTCCACGTACGAGTCGCCGGTGGGTTGGTCATACGACGATTCAAAGGAGCGGTCGGCATTGCTGCTGCCGCGCGGAAAGGGGCGACGACATGTCGGACACTCGGTGAGGCCCCGGATCTCGAGGCGATGGGATGTTGAATCGCGGACAACGATCGCGTTTCGATGGCGGCTGGACGGGTTGGTTAGCCTTGACCCTTTGACGCTCGGGGCTGCCCCTCACAGAACAATCTCACGGCCCTCCTGGGGCTGATAGGGGATCAAGGACATGGTGGCGTGTTCTTCTCGGGTGTGTTGAAGCTCCGTTCATGCTGTTGAAAGCTGTTCAGAAGGCCATGACTACTCGGAGTTGTACATGGAGGAGGAAACAATGGCCAAGCTTCGGCATGAGTCGTGCCTCGACTGGTCCAGTCGACCACATGCAGTGCTGATGTCACGCCCCGCCCGTGGTGGAACTCGGGCGCTGACAAGAGCCGGCCCCCACCACAGCTCCCTCAGCTGAGCTCCACGGTCGCCGCCAAGCCTGTTGCATGTATAAAAGGACCTTCACTACTCCGTACTTACCCCTTTATTATAAATGAATAAAAAGTTGCGCTTCTTTCACGTAATGTGAGAAGTGGTATGGCTCAAACACAAGCCATGATGTCATTCTTTCTCGACCAGGAGGGTTTCTGGTCATCTGATGGCTGTACTGGAAACTGACTAGCTGTAGCTGCCAGTGAATCAATTGCGCCAACACGTATTATTCATGTAAACTAGCAGCATAGCCTTTTTTTGTGCCATGAGAAGAGTACCATGTTATTAATCATTCAGAAGAATCATACAATCATGTGTAGACCCAGAATTCGTCCTCGAGCCCTTGAGTTGTGCCCTCAATACTCTGGTTCTGCAACATCCTGGTCCACCATGATCTTACTACTCACACCGATCTCCCGCGCAGCAATGTCTTTGTTTAAATTGCTTCTTGGGTGGTATTGAAGAGAATACTGTAGCTCGCGTGGATCTCACGTTAGGTTGTGACAAGATAAGATAAACGAACATGAGAATGTAAAGATAATGCCGGCGTAGTCGCATGGGATTACATGAAGACGCAAAGCGTTGCAATACTTCTTGGGCATCTTCCACATGAGACGAGAGTTTTTTATTACGCCAATGCTTGGAACACATAATAGAGGGCTTCCTGCAAACTATCGGACCCAGAAGAGGTCAGTCTTATGTTGCAGTCACCAACAACGTTGGGCATGGCTACTTTGAATGTAGGCACCAGGATCAACCATTCCACACATTCAGATGCAATGCCTAGACCAAGTATGTCGATCAATCTGCAGCCATGTTACTTGTAGCAACCGCTGTTTCTGTCAGTAAACCCTTTCCGGAGATCGTACTTCAACAACCTACACCCAATGTGGTTCACAATCCCAGATCAGGGTGCAAGTGACCACCAGCGCGTGATGCCCACATGAAGACACCCCTTCTAATGTAGCCAATAGAATTATCTCAAGATATTGGGTACCAGCATGTGCCATATTAGGCTGGCTCGGCAGCCAAGGCCGCCGCGAAACTGAAGCCGGGGGAGCATTCTCTTCGGCTCGGCCGCCGTACTGTGTGCCAAGGACTTACTTGGCCGCCCAATGAAACAAAGCATATCATCAGTGTTGGTAAAGCGTCTGTCAGCAGTCACATGAATGACCAAAGATTGGTCTGTCAGGCCATGCCGTTCATTGGACTCTAGACCGTGCCGGACCCCGAGAGGCATACAGAAATTCTCCGATCCCATAGCAACGTGTGATAAAGTGATTGGGGTTTTAGCCGGATATTATCTGTTTTGCGGGGTCAAGACTGTAAGTATACTACTACATACATAGTATAGGGCAACAACAGGTAGGTAGCATTGTCTCATTCAACCCCTTTTCATCACGGTGAGCCTGGCTCCGTGGTCGCATTGGCAAATAGTATAAACATCTCGCACTTGAAACCACCAAAGTGAGCAATAGATTATCATTCTATAACTGCTTCAGCAAGAAGGCTGATAAGATCCACAAAGATGAAGCCTTCCTTCGCTCTGCTGGCTGTGGCCGGTGCCGTCACAAACGCCCACTGTCAGTAGTAACCCCTTTTCACCTGCGAGCCTCCCGCTAACCCATCTCCCAAGACCTCATTCCTCGCGCCTCCTCAGGCGGTGTGTCGGCCACCGCAGACTGGCAGTTCACGCGCATCACGGAGAACCACTACTCCAATGGGCCCGTCACAGACGTCACGTCTCCCCAAATGACTTGTTACGAGCTCAACCCAGGAACACCTGCTCCCCAGACACTGCCCGTGCGTGCTGGTGGCACCGTCAAGTTCACCATCGCGCCCAACATCTATCACCCCGGCCCAGTCAACGTGTACATGGCCAAGGCCCCCAGCTCTGCTGCCAACTTTGATGGAAAGGGGAACGTGTGGTTCAAGATCTGGGGAGATGCGCCTAAGATCACCTCGTCCTCCATTGAGTTCCCCTCAAACGGTACGTCTCTTCACTGACAGACAGATCGAGATCGCGTATGTTGACAGTGTTCACGCGTAGGCGTCTCGGAGATGGAGATCCCCATCCCATCTTGCATCGCCAACGGCGAGTACCTCATCCGCTTCGAGCAGACCGGCCTGCACTCGGCCTCGTCGATCAACGGTGCACAGCTGTACCTCTCCTGCACTCAGGTCAGCGTGACGGGTGGAACGGGCACATACTCGCCCAGCCTCATGAGCTTCCCTGGGGCATACTCTGCCACCGATCCTGGGCTGCTCATCAACATCTACTGGCCGATTCCTACAAGCTACACTTCTCCCGGTGGTCCGGCTCTGAAGTGCTAGGCGGCCTTTGGGTAGTCACACACGTACATAGCACAATCAGACTGGGTGGCAGCGCTCGAGGTCGGTCATTAACTATTGTCCCAGTCTATGAAGTTGTTCTCCAAACACGTTGCATTGCTCAAATCCACACACAAAGGAAACTCGTCATCTTTTCAATGTCTTGTTTAGTCCGCCTGTCCAATACCCAGGTGCGCAGGGTCTGCACGCACGATGCGCAGGGTGTTTGTGTTGCCCATTCCACCCTTCCAGCCCTGGACCACAACGACAGTGTCGCCAGCGGTCAGGACGTTGAGCTTGAGGGCGTTCTCGACCGCCCACTTGATGCGGCGGTCGACATCCTCCTGCCAGTTGACCTTCTCAAAGTCGGGCTTGGCCTCGGGGAAGAGGAAGGGATACACGCCACGGTAAAGGTGCGAGAAGCGCGAGGTTGTCGCGCTCCTTGTGACCATGAAGATGGGGCACACAGGGCGGTACTTGGAGAGCAGCCTGGCAGACTCGCCAGAGGTGGACAGGACAATGATGCCACCGGCACCGAGATCCAGGGACGCACGCACAGCCGCCATCGCGCACGACTCGACAGTGCTGACGGGGCGCTTGACAAGCTTGCACATCTCCTCAAAGTGGGAGACGTAGGGGATCGAGTTCTCAGCCTTGAGGCACGACTCGTGCATCTCAGAAACGGCCTCGTTGGGGTAGGCGCCCTTGGCGGTCTCACCAGACAGCATGACACAGTCGGCGCCATCAGTAATAGCGTTACCAACATCGGAGATCTCCGCACGCGTGGGACGGGGGTTCTTGATCATGGACTCGAGCATCTGAGTGGCACAGATGACGGGCTTGCCAGCCATGTTGCACATGGCGATGAGCTTCTTCTGCGCGGCGAAAACCTCGGCGGCGGGAATCTCGATGCCCAGGTCACCACGGGCCACCATGACACCGTCGGTGGCGCCGAGGATCTCGGGGAAGTTGTTGAGACCCTGACGGTTCTCAATCTTGGCAATGATCTGGATGTTCTTGCCCTCGGGGCCGAGGACAGTGCGGATGTCCTTGATGTCCTGGGCGCGACGAATGAACGAAGCAAAGACCATGTCTACGTTGTTCTTGACACCAAACTGCAGATCGGCCTTGTCCTTCTCGGAAAGCGCGGGCAGATCGACGTCGGTGTTGGGCAGGTTGACACCCTTCTTGGAGGAGATGAAGCCGTTGTTGCGAGCACGGCACTCAATGGTCTTCTCGTCCTTGATGGACAGGACATCGAAAGCGAGGACACCGTCGTCGACGTAGATGACACGGCCGGGCTTGATGACCTTTGTGATGTTCTTGTAGTCAACGTACCTACAACATTAGCTGAGCTCCATCATTAGGGGAAATGCAACGTACATGTTCTCTGTGTCACACTCTGTCGCGTACTTGTCATCGGTCGTGATGTTGATGATCTTGCCTTGCTCGATGGGAATATCCGCATCGCCCTTGGTGTTGCCCGTTCGGATCTCGGGACCCTTGGTGTCCAGTGCAATGGCGATGGGACGGCCGTCCTGGACCTCGCCAGCCTTGCGGGCATTGTCGATGACGGACTGGTGGTAGTCGTACGAGCCATGGCTGAAGTTCATGCGGACAACATTGAGACCAGCGGTGCGGAGCTTGTTGATGGCCTCGACAGAGTTCGTCTTGGGACCAATGGTGCAGATGATCGAGGAGCGACGCAGGTTGCGCTCGGGCTTGTAGGTTGTGTCGAGGGAGGCGAGCCAGGCGATCTTGCCGCCCAGCTCGAGGTGCTCCTTGGCCGTGGCTGCCATGATGCTGTCGGTGCGTTGACGGAGGGGGGAAATTTCTTGAGGCATGTCAGCGGTCGTCGATGGAGGAAAAAGAGAGTTGAAGAGGTATCAAAGCGTATGGTAGAGAGAAGGGCAGATAAGTAGCAGGGTGATGGGCGACAGAGGTGGGGTGAAATTGAAGGATGCGGTTTTGAAGGTTGCTTCAGGTGAGGGGCAATTCTGCCGCTACTGCCACCACTGCAGCCGCGTAGGTAGGTCCAGTCTTTGCGATAGAGCAATGTGGCTGCAGAAATGACGCGGGTAATGTCTGGGAATGCGCCTTGTCTCACTAGAGTACAATTTCTGCAACTGCTTCGACGGAGGCGACTGTGAAGCGCGGACAGCTTCGATTTTCCTGATGCCAGGCCGGCCCTGCGGGACGACTGGAGGGGCAGCTTCATCAGGCAGCTTCGGGCTTGCTGGAACTTACCTTACCAATTTTGACTCGTCAACGGATAATAATGCGCACAGCAGATACAATCTTCGAGGCCTTGGAATAATAGACGAACGCGGATTCGAGGGTGTTGAGAGATTTTGCTTAATAGACTCCGAAAAAACTCCAGCGACATGCACATTCCAAGTCTAAAAAGTATTAAGGGCCACCTCAACAAAAGACCGTTTGACAAGTCCCTATTACGAATCCCCCACACCCTGTAGATACCAGGCACTAGCAACCTACCAAATCTGCACGCAGGGTCGCGCGATTTTCCTTGCTCGAGATCTTAGCTGGATTCATAAAATTACGCCGAGCCATGTTTATCGATAACCAGGGCGGTGAAAGCTCCGTCGGGCATTTAGCTGCGAGCCCCGCCAGCCTCACGATACGCATATTCTGGCTAAATGCAAAGGTCAGCTTCTCGCGCGTCGGCCCGATGCCAGACGATCCACCTCTGCGAACGCCGCCGCCGCCATTGTCGCATGACAGCTCCACCGCTCAGGACAACAGCTCCCGACGAACAATCACCCAAAACATTCAAAATGGTCGTGAGTACTCCTGTCCCATGCCTGACGACGAGTCTAAGGCGTACAGCTCCTGAACCTACTGACACTGGGCCTCTGGTCAAAGCTGGGACGACTGACGCACTATGCCTTTGACGCCGTGCTTGGTGAGTCTGCCCTGCCCAACCTCTCGAAGTATGGCCTCTAATAGCAATGCAGTCTCGGCTTTCCTCGCCGGAATGAAGCGCTCAACTGGCTTGACGTGAGTCTGGCTCAACCGTCGCCGCATCGCCAGTATTGACAAGTCCAGATTCAAAACCGACCGTGTCGCCGGCGAGAGCAAAGAAATGAGCAAATGGATCGACAACTACCTCGGCGTCGGCGAATGGGTGATGGACCAGTCGGTGGCCATTGCAGGGAGCTCGGGGTATTTTGAGCGCACTCGATGAGATAACGATGTCAGGATGGCGTTGGGTCAAGGCGTTTGGGCTGTTACTGGCGAAGACCGAGATGTATGAGTGCTCTCCCGTTGCTCTTTACATTATACTACGAATATCCGACCAAAACTGCGCCGCTCAGCATGCATGACTCCCTATTATATCCAAACAACACGCCCCGAATGTTACAAATCTATCGATACAGGAGACTAGTCCAGCTTCTCCCTCGGCTCTTGTTGATGCTCTGCCATCAAATCCGGCGGAACGTCGTTGTTGTCGATGCTGCCTGCCGATGCCTGGCTTGTCCGACTATCAACCTTGGAAAGCATAAGACCAGCCGGTACCTCGTTGTCACTGTCCTGCTGGTCTCCGTGTACCTTTTGGCCATCGCGATCTGAGTCGTGGGAGGATGTGCGGTCTACCGGTGGCACATCCAACAGTTCTCTGAGCATATCCTGGCCCTGCTGCAAAGCTTCCAACTCCGCGCCGATAGCGCAGATTAGCAATGTCCAGTTCTTGTCTTCAGCGAGCTCATGGTGCCGCTTCAACTCTTCCATGACCTTGTCCATCTCTGGGAGTTGTGCGCGCAACATCTCGTCCTGGGAGACCTGCTTTTCTTTTCCTTTGGTCGAGAGTGGCTGCTCGCCATTGACAACGGCTCGAAAGCGAGCTTCGTAGTCGGCCACCAGGCGCATGACATCGTTCCATACAATTCCACCTTCTTGGAGCGCTCGTTGCTCACTTTCTACGAGTGCTTTCCGTTTATCGAGGGCAGCGATTTCTTGCTCCCACCAGCCCTTGGCCATTTCAACCGTGCGCCGCTCTGGAATCATGCGCATGAATTCTTGCCCTCCCGTCGAGGGCGCTTTGCCAAGTGCATCGCTATCGAGTGGTTGGAAAGGGGGATGGCGCATGATGCGCGCGACCTCTGAGTCGACGTCTTTCAACGCGCCGCGATACCCACTCAGGCCAGCATCTCTCCGGTTTCTAACGTCGTCCATTTTCTCTCTAAGCCAGCGTCTCTGGTTCCGCATGCTGATGAGCTTCTCCTCGAGCTCTCGGATATCACTTGTGATAGATTCGTAGCGTTCACCAAGCTCCCTTAGCTCTTTCCCCAAGGGCTCCTGCTCATCATCCTCCAGTGTCTTCAATTCGGTCTCAACACTACCCTTGCGGAGGCTCAGTCTGTGTAGTTGGCTCAGAGCCTTCCTGCGCTCCGCAAGAGCATCTCCGACGCGCTGATTCTCTTCGGCCTTGAGCTTCGCAAATGCCGAGATGGACCTTCTTAGTCCCGTCCTTGCTGCTCGTAATCCACGTGGTGTGTTTGGCTTCGGCTGGCGAACGGGGATCACGTCTCCCTCTGCCGTGGCCTGAGGGGATATGTAGAGTGTATTGGCGAGTCGAGAGTTTGACGAGTAGAATGTGCCAGTGGGCGTACTATCTCCAGCATCACTGTACTCGTCTTCACCACTGGCCACGAGACCGTTCGCCTGCGCATCGAGGAGGTCCTGAATCTCGCTTTGTAAAGCCTTCTCGTGTCTCCGGATCGTGCGCCAAGTCGAATCGGTCCTGTATGAGGGTGCCTCGCCCTGCGGTCGATTGTAGTCCCAGATCAAACTCCCAAGACCCGTGTTGCGGGGGGGCTCGCTCGGATTGGGGCTCCTAGATTGCGTCTTTGGTGGCAGTATTGTAGATGTGATCGGTGGTGGAGGTCCTGAGAAGAGAGTTCTGCGCTTTCCTTCCGGTGGCGACCCGAAATAATGCCCCTTGTCCCGCCATGCGTCCGGCGCCGATGACTGATGGGATTTTGGATGGTCAATGAACGCGTCGCGGTGGTCGTCTTCGGGCCACGGCTCGAGCTCTTCCATACTGTAAGCGCTCGAGGAGCGCGCGTTCGAGGGGGGTTCTTTATGGTCATGGGCGCGAGATGTGCGCATGTTGCAGATGGTTGATTGTGTTTCGACGGTCGGTCGACTCGTGCAACGCTCCTGGTGTACCGATAGATGCGATAGCTAGGTAGACAATGACTAGGTATGTCGAGATGGGATTCCCGGGCGAGGAATACTGCAACTGGTGAAATGACTTGGAGTACAGAGAATGGATAAAGCTTCAATGAATGTATATTGACTGAGTAGCGAACAATTAACTTCCAACCCCGGCTGAAGCAAGCTCACGAGGGGAGTCGAGGTGATGCAAGGTAGCAGATGACGCGAGCTGCTGAGCTACGTTGCTCACCACCTAATTAGTCTGAGGCAGCAGAGCATCCTATTAAACTTTAGCCCATTTTGGGTGACCAGACTTTGGCAGAAGAGGATCAATATTGCGGCAGCCTTATATTTCAATAAAACTCATCGGGGATTCACTTATCAGATTTGTATTGGCAAGAGCTTGATTGGCGTTGGATTTGGCACGGTCTGATCACATGCATGGAGGATGGGACAAGTCAACTTGTCAGATCAGATATGCTAAGGTACTAACGCATCAATGCGTCTTCCAAGCACTGATATGTTAGTTTCCTATTATCACCCAGCTGATCACTGACACTTGATCTCAGCACCCGTCAAGGCAACATCATAAGGTAGGCAATGATTGATCTCAAATTTTCATTGATGGCAGAATATGATCTACTGCTGGGAACCCCCCCTTGGCCTCCCCTTTCAGTGAGCATGTACTGTGGTGGTATTTCATGTTGCCACATACGCACGCTGATCGCTGTCTGTGACGACTACGTGTAGAATTACACGGTTTCGCATTGAAACAGTCGCCTTTATTACTTCCACAACGACTTGGCCTGTTGCCAAAGTCACCTACTAGTTAAGTAACATTTGAATTTTGAAATCCACTGCGATATACTGAGCGACGAGTCAACGGAGACTGAACAGTAAAGTAAGCTAGGGTAGGTGGAATAGTTCATTCAGTCCTGATCGTCGAGTACCATTTTGTGCCTCGGGCACAAGTTGACGGGTCAACAACAACCTACATTTGGTATTGACTCAACTCGTTTAGAGCTCGGGATACACGTTCGCTACATCGAAGCTCATGAGCTGAACTAACAGGCCCAATCGTTCAACTCAGCGCAACCGGTCCTGCTCAACTCTGTGACTCCAGCTCGGCCAATCAGGAGCCCGCGAGCTCTCTGGCGACTGGACCTGACTGATGGATTCAACAGCTGGAGGCGCCTCATCGGCATCTCCCGCCCAGCAACAATCCGGGCATCGTGAGGAGCTTCACATGTCGGATCGGTTGCACATGTCGCCACAAGACTACGCTCCGCGCATCAAGGTCGAGCAAGCTCACCCGCCCGCGACAGCGGCCAGCGTCGCCCGCACGCATCCACTTCCGCATACCCACGCCCACTACCAGCCAAGTAGCGCTGTACCCAACATCCTTCAGCCTGGCGGCCTGACAGCGAGACCTCCGGCTGTATCTGCAAACACAGCGCCGGCTCTGCCCACCGCCCAGCCAGACGAACGAGAGCATTCGCGACCGTCCCTCAGCATGTCGCATTCCTACTCTCGATCCAGCCCCTCGGGCGGCTACGACTCCGCGAGCGCTTACCAGCCATACACTCCGACGACGCCAGGTGGCTCGGCGTCCATGACCTCGCAATTCATGTCGCCCTCCGACGTCAGCTCCAAATATGGCTCATCGAGCGGCACGAGGCAATTTTCAAACACCCCTCTTGGCCTGGCCGACATTCGACCACGGGCCGACTCGAGCATGTCAGATGGCGCCCCGGGAACACTGGGTTATGATCTTGCGCACGCGCAGGCTGGGACGAGCAACTACATGGCTCCATGGCCCATCTATGCGTTCGATTGGTGCAAATGGCGACCACAGGGGAACAGCGCGGGCAAGCTGGCGGTGGGCAGTTACCTGGAAGATGGTCACAACTTCATTCAGATCCTCGATAGCCACGCCACGACAACACCACAAGATGTATACGCCCCAGGAAACTCCAAGTACACTCTCGAATTCAACAAAATTGCAGAGGCGACGCATTCTTACCCGGTCACGAGGCTCTTGTGGGAGCCGCCCTCGTCGCAGAAGCAGTCGACAGACCTCTTAGCAACCTCGGGGGACCATCTCCGGCTGTGGTCGTTGCCTTCAGAGACACCCGCTACTCCGGGGAGCAACATCAGCCGGAGAGGGCAAGATGGACCAGCTACGAAACTGACACCCCTGGCACTGCTCTCCAATTCGAAGACCCCCGATCACACTGCGCCATTGACTTCTCTGGACTGGAACACCATGAACCCAGCACTCATTATCACGTCTAGCATTGACACTACCTGCACCATCTGGGATATTCCGTCTCTGACAGCAAAGACCCAACTCATTGCTCACGACAAGGAGGTGTACGACGTCCGCTTCTGCGCGAATACGGTGGATGTTTTCGTCAGCTGTGGTCAGGATGGCAGTGTGCGCATGTTCGACCTTCGAAGCCTTGAACACTCGACCATTATTTATGAGCCGACAGGCAAGGATGACAGAGGTGAATATCTTGATTCCCAAAGAAGAGCTGCTCTAACCTATTCAGTTGATACGCCATCTCGCGCTAGCCCAACGGCTGCCCAGCAGTCGGGCTCCAACCCACCCCCTCTGCTACGCCTCGCAACGTCTCCCCATGATACCCACCTCCTTGCTACCTTTGCTCAAGACTCAAACACCATCCGCATACTCGACGCCCGACAACCTGGCCAGGCGCTGCTTGAGCTGCGCGGCCACGGCGGTGCGGTCAACAGTCTAGATTGGTCACCACTGCGACGAGGCCTTCTTGCGTCCGGAGGAGATGATTGCCAAGTTCTGCTTTGGGATCTGTTGAGCGCTAGCTCAAGTACACCTGCAGCACCGCCTGCCAACGGGGCGCAAGACAGCAGCAGGTCGCCCATTGCCGGCTGGGAATGCGATTACGAGGTTGGAAACTTGGCCTGGGCTCCTCACCTTCAGACCGGGGAATATGGCGAATGGCTCGGTGTGAGCGGCGGCCGCGGCATCTGGGGCACTCGCGTCTCCTAGCGAGAAGGAGTACTCGCTGTGACGGGTTCGTATTGAAAATAGTTGCACACGTAGATGATGAAGATGAAGATGTGGACGTTAGATGGACATATGGGGCGGCGTTGGCGAGCATCATTTCTAGGTTCAAAATTTCACATTTATAGCCGCGATCTTGTCTCGTCTTCGCTCATCTTAATGACAGCCTTGCCGGATATCTTGCGGGATGAAAGGTCATGCAACGCTTGGGGGACGGTCTCCAAGCCCTCGTAGATCTTGGACACTGTCGGTTGAACCTGCCCGGACGCGATGAGCGGGCCAAGACCAGACCATATGCGCTTCTTTTCCTGAGGATCTCGCCGCAGGGTTTCTCCATAGCGCTGGATCTTGTTAACGACGATGCAGGGCGATCATACACGGGCACTCACATATCCGATCAAGGAAACTTGTTTCAGCAAGACCCTGTTCATTGCGATTTTCTCCATGTTGCCTTCTCGTCCCGCGAATCCTACGATCAGCAACTTGCCTTGGAATGCGATACATTTGAGGCTCAGATCCACGAGGCCCACTGGGTCGAATATCACATCGACACCAGCCCCATCAGTTGCTTTGAGTACATGTTGTGGCCAGGACTTGTCGTTATAATCAAAGCAATGGATGGCCCCGTATGACTTGGCATAGTCGCATTTCGAGGACGATCCCGCGGTCCCCAGAACTGTATATCCCAACGCAACACCGAGTTGAACAGCCATAACACCCAGGCCACCGGCGGCCGAGTGCACGAGCAAGGTTGCGCCCTTCTTGGGAGCACCGGCTAATAGCAAAGCCCCGTAGGAGACGGGCAGAGTGGCCCCCAAGCCAGCGGCGTCAGTGGGCTTCCATCCTTGAGGCACCCTATCCAACTGCTCGGCATCCGAGAGGCTGACCGTGATGTATTCTGCGTAGGAGCCAGTTTTATGGCCGAACACCTCGTCCCCTGGCTGAAATGGTGAATTCGATGGAGCAGACACGACTTCACCTGCGAACTCAAGCCCAAGAGTGAAGGGTGGCCGAACCAAAGAGCGGTTGTTCTGGTGCTTGCCGCGGGCCTGTATCGTCAGACGGCCAATCCTACCAAGGAGAGAAACATACATACGTAGAGAGTGTCCACGAAATTGACACCCGCAGCTATGATCTTGATGAGAAGTTCATCGTTGTTTGGCTGTGGAAATGGCACAGTGCTCACGGTCACTTCGGAGACGGAGTCGAGAAACCGGCTGATGAGGACACTTTTCATTTTGGAACCAGACCCTGTTTAGCAGAGTACTATTTCGTGGAGAGTTTACATGAGGATAATGTCCAACCCGGATATCGATCACGTATTGACGCTTGCCGAGGGAAGTGCTCCAAGCGGCTGTCCATAGCCAGCCAGCAGCTGGTGGAGGGGTCCGTGCACAACCCAAGCACATGTAGTGCAACCTGCACAACGCGCTACGTAATTTGTGCAACAGCTGCGGTCGCGTTGCCGAAGTTCACCCGCCCGAGCTCGAAACTTTGGCTTCTTTGTACGTCGCGCTCGAGCTACATCCGGTTCCTTTCTTTCCTCCTTCATCAATTTCAGCTGCTCGCCAGGCTTCTACAATGGCGTCTCTTGACCACAACCGCTCCGACGAATCGGATGAGGAGGACTTCAACCCAGCGCCGGCTGACGTGTCCGACGAGGAACCCGATCAGGAGAGCAAAGACGTGAAGAGGGCGCGCAGCCCCGATGGCGAAGAGGCTGATGCGCCAGACTCCAATGCACAGCCTTTAGAAGAGAACGACGAAGACGAGGAGGACGAAGAGGATGATGCGCCTGCGCGCGGAGGCGATGACGATGAGGAAGATGATGAGGAAGATGAAGACGACGAGGATGAAGACGTTCAGCAGGTAACACACCTTGAACGATCGGTAATGGCGCGCCTCTGACATCAGTAGGGCCATCGGCGCAAACGTCGTCGCGACAAGCGAAACGCATTCTTCGATATCGAGGCCGAGGTCGACGACGAGGACGAAGGCGAGGATGACGAGAAGGACGGCGAAGAGATCGAAGACTTTATCGACAATGCGCACCCCGATGACGTGGCCGACAGTGGCGGTATGGAAGATGACAGACGACACCGCGAGCTCGATCGCAGGAGGGAGATGGAGCAGAGTCTCGACGCGGAAAAGCAGGCCGAGATCCTCAGGCAGCGCTACGGCAATCGCAGATCGGCCAAGGGGCTGGCAGATTCAGCAGTCACGCCGAAGAGGCTTTTGCTGCCCAGTGTTGACGACCCTAGCATTTGGGGCGTTCGCTGCAAGGAGGGAAAAGAGAGGGAGGTGGTGTACTCGATCCAGAAGCGCATTGAAGAGCGCATCGGCACCAAGGAAGAGCTCGCAATCACCTCGGCCTTTGAACGCGGCGGCGTGGATTCTATAATGAAGGGTCTCATTTACGTCGAAGCCCAGAGGTCTACGGACGTGATCAAGGCACTGGACGGCATGCTCAACGTGTATCCCCGAACCAAGATGATCTTGGTGGAGATTAAGGATATGCCCGAGCTGTTCCGAGTCAGCAAGACCCCGAATCTGGAGCCTGATGCGTGGGTTCGTCTCAAGAAGCCCGCCAAACATGCCGGTGATCTGGCCCAGGTCATCGACGTGACCGAGAATGGACTTGAGGCGCGTGTCCGATTCATCCCGCGACTGGACTATGGCGTGAGAGACGAGCTGATCAGCAACGACGGCAAGAGGAAGAGGCCTGGGATGCCGGGACCTCGCCCACCCCAGCGACTCTTCAGTGAGGTGGAAGCGCGTCGCAGACACCCGCGCAACATTCAAGGCAACCCCACGACCAACACCTGGACCTACATGGGCGAAGAGTTTGAAAGGGGCTTCCAGGTCAAGGATATCAAAATCCAGCAGCTCGTGGTTCGGGACGTGGCCCCATCGTTGGAGGAGGTCTCGCGATTCACCTCTGGCGCCGAGGACGGTACCGAAAATCTGGACCTCAAGGCTCTGGCAGCCAGTTTGAAGGATAACAACAATCTCGTGACCTACCTTCCCGGCGATGTCATCGAAGTATACGCTGGAGAGCAAAAGGGCGTGGTAGGCAAAGCGACCAACGTGCAGGGTGATATTGTCACCATCTCGGTCACAGAGGGCGATCTTGCAGGTCAAACGATCGAAGTGCCCACCAAGGGCCTGCGCAAGCGATTTAGCGTCGGTGACCACGTCAAGGTCATTGGCGGCAAATTCCGCGACGAGGTCGGCACAGTCGTGAAGATTTCAGAGGATCGTGTGACAATCCTGACAGACCACACTAACACTGAGGTAACTGTGTTCAGCAAGGATCTCCGAGAGGCGAGTGACATGGGCGGCCAAGGGTCCCTGGGTCAGTACAGCTTGCACGATCTGGTGCAGCTGGATCCCACCACCGTGGGCTGCGTTGTCAAGGTGGACAGGGAATCTCTGGTGGTGCTGGACCAGCACGGTGCTACCCGACAGGTGATGCCTTCACAGATCTCCAACAAGCTTCCTCAGCGAAAAACAGCCGTGGCAGCCGATCGCAACGGTGCCGAGATCCGCTTGGACGATGTTGTCAAGGAGGCTGTTGGCATGCAGCGCCAGGGCAAGATCATTCACATTCATCGTTCTTATGTGTTTTTGCACACGAACGAGACGACCGAGAACTCTGGTGTCTTTGTCACCAAGGCAAGTGTCGTCAACACCATTGCAGCCAAGGGTGGACGTCTGAACAACGCCTCCGCTGGGCCTGACCTGACGCAAATGAACCCAGCACTGAGGCGAAACACGAACGAGCAACCGCAGAAGCCCGTGCAAAAGAGCTTTGGCAAGGATCGTTTGATTGACCAGACGGTTGTTGTCAAGAAGGGCTCCTACAAGGGGTTGCTGGGTATCGTCAAGGACACCACGGACACCCACGCGCGGGTCGAGCTCCACACCAAGAGCAAGATCATCACGGTGGACAAGAACCATTTGAATGTCAAGGACAAGAAGACAGGGCAGACGATTGATATCAACAGCAGAGGTCGTGGTGGACCGCCTGGGGGCTACAGCGGCAGCCGTGTGCCCGGATACCAGCAGTCGGGTGGCCGGACGCCAATGGCAAACTGGGGTTCCAGAAGTAAGTGTTCAAACTGTGCAACATCAATCTATCTCTGTACTGACTGGTCATCTAGCTCCTGCTCTTGGTGGTGGCAGCCGAACGCCAGCATGGAAGGCCGACTCTGGTGGTTCCCGCACTCCTGCGTGGGCCATGGGCGATGGCAGCCGCACTGTCAACCCCTATGACGGCAGCCGGACGGCGTACGGAGGTTCAGGATCACGCACGCCAGCCTGGCAACCGGGTGGCCGCACGCCTGCGCCTGGGGATGCCTTTGGTGCTGGGTCGAGGACACCTGCTTATGGTGGCGGCGACTCCTGGGGCTCGAAAACACCAGCCTACTCGGCACCCACGCCTGGTGTCTCCGCTACGGATCCCTGGGGCTACACGCCAGGAGCAACAGGGTCAGCGTATGACGCGCCCACGCCTGGAGCGGGCCTCACGGCTCCCAGTGGTGGTGCCCTGAGTGCGCCTACGCCAGGAGGCTACGGTAGTGCCGCAACTCCTGCTGCCGGCGCGCCCACACCCGCTGGTGCTTGGCAGGGAGGATGGGGTGCCGCTGATACTGCGCCCACCCCGGCGGCGAGTGCTCCCACACCTGGTGGCTATGGAGTTGCGCCGACTCCAGGTGCTGGTCCTACGTATGACGACGATGACTGAAGGACGTTCTCGTGAGTATCAATGTGGTTGTGCAGGGTCTGCTTTTTGGGCATCTATGGCGTTTAGGAGGGGTCTGTACAATAAATCAAAGGCTCGGTAATGAAGGAAGTGAAATCTGGTTCCATCTATTCGCTTAGTCGAGCTCATCTTGATCCGCAGCTGTGGTACTACTATCTTGGTGCTGTTGATGTTGAAGTGAGTGACACGGCGTTCGCGCGCTCCAGTGCCGAACTCCGGAGCCTTCAAATCCTACACCTAAAGACGCGCGCTGCCTTGCCTTTTCCACGTCGACCGCAACATCGTCATCATCATGAATCCTGCACCAGCACCACGAGCACTCATATGCAGAGGTCTCGGGGCCCTGCGAAACAGCACGCGATGCTACGCCACCGTCAAGAATATGTCGCCGCAGGCCCGGGCAGCAGCCCGAGCGGCGCAAGCCTACAAGGCGCAAAAGAGCCAACCGGACGAGGAGTACGACGACATTGCAGCGCGCGCTCCCCTCAAAAAGCCGTCGACATCGGGCCTGGGGATTCCTAGTGCTGTCCCCTCGTCTTCCAAGAAGCCGAATCTTTCTCCACGATCGTCACGCGACCGACCGGACGCCGCCACGACGGATGCTCAGGCCACGATGGGAGAAGCCGCAGCACTCGCGGAGCGGCGCGAAGCCCAGCTTCGATACGTCCGGCTCCAGCGAATCAAGGCTGAGGAGCAGGCGAGGGGGCTGGCGACCGGGGAGAAGACATATGACCAGCGATACAAGGAGCTGAGCAGGAGGTGGTTGGGCGGCATGGTCGGGCTGCCGCTGCTGTTGGTGACGAGCTACTATCTCTTTGACCGATGTGAGTTCTCGGCTTATGCTTCTGTCGAGTTTTCTGCATAGGAGCTGCGATGGCTATGAACGTGGGCTGACTGGAGGACAGTGTTTTTGGGGGGCGAAGCCAAGCCTATACCCAAGTATGGCGACGATGACTAGACTAAGGATGCTGTTGGAAGCGAAAGTCTTGTATTACCTGTAATCATTTACTTGGAATGGACGTCGACACGCGAAACGCAAGATAGGTCCTCCAGCGATGTTACCGACTGGTGCGTTCATCGGGTCTGCGCAGTCCATAATGTAGGGGCATGTATCATATATCTGCATACGCACTTGTATGAATGAGAGCGAGCCGTCGTGCGGCACAATGCAATGCTTGGCCAACGCTGTGAGTGCATCTGTGATAAGGAGGGTGGGCACGATGTGCAGCACCTCCTGCTGATTGCGTCCGACGGCGTCCGTATGTTCTCCACGAGGGGCAGAGCACAACCTCATCTCACTCGTCGACACGAGCCTCACCACGGCGAGGCCGTTCCACAAGTTCCCCTCACGGTCGAACGCCTCGCGAAATTCTTCTTCTTGCAATTGCACCATCTGTCCTCTCTCTTCCAACATAGGTACACGACGAAGTTGATTCACAGCGAAAAACACAATGGCACAGGAATACCCGCGACCCGACTTTCAGCGCAACCCGCTGCGCTGGCAATCGCTCAATGGGCCCTGGGACTTTATCTTTGACGACGACGACGTTGGCCTCGCGGCCAAGTGGCACCAGAGCGGCCTGCCGGCCTCTGTCAGCGTCTCCGCCAAGGAGGCCAACGCCGACGACGTCAGCTCCTCCTCTCAAGCCGAGAGCATCACCCAGAAGATCGCCTCGGGGACCCAGGAGCTGATCAAGGGCAACGTCCTCGCCAGCACCACCACGGAGCACCAGAAGCGCAAGATCGAGGTGCCTTTTGTCTTCCAGTCGCCCGCCAGCGGCATCAACGAGCGTGGCGTGCATGAGGTCCTCTGGTACGAGCGTTCCATCGAGGACCTGCGCGAGAGCCAGAGTGACAGGCTGGTCCTGCGCTTCGGGGCGGTCGACTACGTCGCCAAGGTGTGGGTGAACGGCCAGCTCGTGGGAGGTCATCGCGGCGGCCACGTCCCTTTTGAGATTGACGTCTCGGACGCCGTCGCGCACGGACAGCCCTCGAGGCTCACGGTGCGGGTGTACGACTCTGCATATGACTTGACGCAGCCGCGAGGCAAGCAGTACTGGGGCGCCAAGCCTGAGAGCATCTTCTACACGCCCAGCGGTGGTATTTGGCAGAATGTCTGGTTGGAGGTGGTGCCACCAGCCAGGATCGCAGATTCCTCGCATGGCACCGTCATCCGATCCAACGACATTGCGTCCGGCAAACTTCACAGCAACGTCGCCATCACGGGGCGCCGAGCCGGGCAGAAGCTGGGCGTCGAGATGGCAGCCAGCTTCCACGGCGTCGAGGTGGGCAAGTCCGAGCTCGTGCACCTCGCCCGCGACAGCGACTCGGCCTCTGTAGATCTGAGTCTTCGTCTGTCCAAGGAGAAGATCAACCTCCTTACGGCCGAGGTGCAAAAGGGGCTGGACGACCCCTTTGTCTGGCGCGACGGGCTGGCCCTCTGGTCCCCTGAGCATCCCCACCTCTACGACCTGACCATCCGACTCGTGGACACCACCAATAGCAATGTGCTCGATGCCGTGGAGACGACGACAGGCATGCGCTCCCTCAACTGGAACACGGGAGACGGGACCTTCCGGCTCAACGACAAGCCCTACTTCCAAGCGCTGTGCTTGGACCAGGGCTACTGGAAGGACACGTTCATGACGCCTCCATCACCGGCCGCCCTGCGCACCGACGTCGAGCTCGGCAAGCGCATGGGCTTCAACGGCTGCCGCAAGCATCAAAAGGTCGAGGACCCCCTCTTCTACTACTGGGCCGACAAACTGGGCTACCTCGTCTGGGGCGAGATGGCCAACGCCTACCAGTTCAGCAGCGAGTACGTCGAGCGGTACAACCAGGAGTGGGAGGAGGCCGTCAAGCTGGTTATTAACCGACCGTGCGTCGTCACTTGGACCCCCGTCAACGAATCCTGGGGCTACACCGACCTCAAGAACGATGCCACACAGCGCAACCACATCCGCCAGCTGTACTACGCGACCAAGACCCTAGACCCCACCAGGAGCATCAACGACAACTGCGGCTGGGAGCACGTACTGACGGACCTGACGACCTTCCACGACTACGCGGACGGGCCGGAGCTGGAGAAGACCTGCGCCTCGCTCAAACTGATCCTGGGCGACAAGGCCGGCCGCGATCTGTTCACCGGTGCCGTACCAGGGGACGCTGGATGCAAGCATGTCACCGGCGCGCCGGTCATGTGCACTGAGTTTGGTGGCGTCAACATCAAGCCGCAGGACGGCGGTGAGCGGGACTGGGGGTACACCACGGCCAGCGATCCGGAGGATCTGCTGCAGCGAGTGCGGAAGCTCGTCGAGGGCGTCACAAAGGGCGGACACTGCTGTACATTTGTCTACACGCAACTGTAAGTTGGGGTTTTGGGAGATCGCAGGCCAAGAGATTGCTAACAGTCACCACCAGGGCCGACATTGAGCAGGAAGCCAACGGTCTCTACTCCTTTGACCGCGAAGAGAAGCTCGACTCGAGCAAGGTCCGGGCGCTCATGAAGGAGGCCATCAAGGGTTACTATGCGAACTTGAAAGTGTGAGAAAAAAGCATGATGTCCTATCTGTGTAGATGAATTGGGGGGTTGGAGAGGAGAGTATCTATGTATCCAGGCTTTGACCCCCTTTTTGCGCCGTGCGCTGTGTGCCAAGATTGAGCATACTCGTGGGCTGAAAATGTAGCATGCTCACAAGAAAGTCCTTGAGCGACTCAAAGTAGCCGCTGTTCAATACGGAAAGGAGCGTGGCCTTTTCGGCCGCATACGCGCCCTCGCCCCGGGCCATTATGTGTGACAGTCCCGTGACCAGCGGGAACGTGGCAATGTGATGCCGGAAGAGTCCGGCGTCCGGATGTCCGAACATCCTGCTGGCGCGCGTCAGCTCGTAGAACTCGTGGTCGTCGTCGATCCTCGGGTCTGCTGCTCCGCCGAGGTTCCGACACAGCGCGTTGCAGCGCAAGGTCAAGCAGTGGTATAGCGACATGACGTGGGCGGCCGCGAGTAGATCTGCCGACAAATGTTCGGGGAGCTCTTCCACTAGATCTGCAGGGACGATTGGAAATGCGTATTGCTCGTACCAGGCAAGCAGACGGGTGATTACATTGTTCACGGCTCTTCCAAGTAGGTGTCTATACTCGGTCTTTTTTGCCTCCGACTCCCACGCCTTCATGGCCTTGACGCCCTCGAGTATACTGGGGATATCGGCAAAGATATCCAGTAGATGATCGCGCGGCGTCTTGGGATAGTACGTCCATGGGGCGGTCTTCCATATCGGTTCTGATAGGAACGTCCGCTTCTCTTGCAGCAGGGCCGTCATTGTGATCTGATGCCGCCCGGCGAGGAACAGGCGATGTGCTCTGCCGGTGGCGTATGTATCAGGTGAGTTGCTTGTGACGATGGCTGTCTCTCCGTTGCCGTGCAGGAGCCACGAGCGGGCCTGTCCCTCGTGATCCTGCTGCCCCCGTCCGAAGAAAGACTCGTAGAGGCTGAAAAGCCGGCTGGCCACAAGTTGCTGCTCCAGGTCCGGTCCCTTGGCGAATATGTCCCGCGCCGCCATGCGCAGTGCGTCCGCGTACAGCCTGCGGCTTTCGGACATCATCCAGGGTTCGCCTGTGCGTGATCGATTCGCGGTGGCCAGGGCTATGGCGAGCATTTGCTTGGCCAGGGCAGGGCTTTGTGCCGTGTGCGTCTGCATGGCATCCAGCGAGCCGCCAAAAGTAAAGGCAAACAAGCCTCTGGGGAAGACGGTCGAGTTGGGGAAGTAAGAATCCCAGAACTGGCCGATGATCCCGGCCTTGACTCCCTCATATGTCAGAGGGGACGATGGCGCGAGGCCGGCTTGGCGAGGAACCCTGCGAGGTGCGAGGAGCTGGCGGCAGCTCATATGGTTGGCTCGAGAGAGCACTTCATCGTTTGTGCTAGTGGAAGCAGTATTGTCTCCATCATCATGGTTGACATTATCTGCGCCTATCACGTCTGACTGCGTGACGGCTGGACATGGCCTCGACACGCCAGTCGATGAGACGCTGCTGCTGTCGGTTTCCAGGCTCCGTTGACAAGAAGAAGATGACAGTGAGGAAGAAGAGGGCCCGTCGATCTGGGGACCACCCGGTCTTGTGGATGTATAGCCTCCACAAGGGATACACGTTTTGCGACATTGGCCGCAGCTGGGTCGGACAAGATCGCACTGGCTGCATTAGCATGATGCCAACCAACATGACCAAGCCATGAGGATGTGTGTGCATATGAACGCGTAATTTGGTTTATTACATGGACAGCTGCAGGATGAATGGCCAAAAGAGGGCTCATCTGAGACATTCACATGTGATTATAAGCGGAGAGGATCTCTTACGCCTTTTTTCCTCCTGCGACAAGTCACACAGGCCTGGGGTCGGCCCTTGACCCCTACCGCTTTGCGAGGCGCCTGGCCCTCGGGCATGTGTATGTAGGGTTGACCTTAATGTAGTGCAATGCGCGCGGCTGATGGCTGGGATTGAAGCGGAACAGTATCGCGCTTGGTCGACGAGACGCGAGTGAAGCGGGACGCGGGAGTCGCGGGACGCGAAGACGCCTGAGAGAGACTAAGGTAAAGAGATGTTTCGGATTGGACAGAGGACGCGCTAAACCATTCAAGGACGCGAATTCACCGCGGCCTACATATGTATGTGAGGAGGATGGACTGGGATCAATCACTGAACACGAGCATCCAAATGCGAGATGTGTTTAGGGTAGGCTGAAGATGACAACCAGGTAACTCCAGCCGACCGATTCTTCTCATGTTCGGTTCACGTTGCTCATTCCCAGTGATCAAAAAATAGTCTGCATGCTGTCTATACACGCCACTCCACTGTTTGAAACATCCCCATCCCCTCAAGGGATGATCTTGGCCTGCCGGTATCGGTCAAACGCCGTATACCACGCGGCCTTTGTGTCCACCTCTTCCTTCAGATCGCCCATCATATCGTGCTGCTTGGTCAGGTCAAGCTGACGATCGAAATCGAACATGCACATGATGAAAACAGGCTAGGACTCGCTGTCAGACTGTCTGTCAGGTCACACACGGGAAAGGAGCCACTTACGAAACCCGAGAATGAACGCTCGTTGCCGACGCGTCCCGTGACGAGGCCATGCTTCTGCTCGACCTCTCGCCACTTGTCGACATTCTCTGACAAAAAGGCCGCTGGGTCCGGTCCTGTGCCGCCCTGAGGGGGCCCGACACCCTTGAGACCAAAGTACTCGCAGATAATCGGCCACTTCTTGCTCCAGCTCGATGGCTTGGCGTTGTCCGCCGCGTTGAACCGCTGCCCACCGCTCTTCTCCGGCCTCAGACTGGCGACGATGCTCGTCTTTGCGACAATATCCTGCGACGAGTCGTTGCAGAGAATTTGGTACGACTTTTCTGAGCCTGGGAACTGCACAGCGGCCCCTTCACCGTGGATGTGCCTCTGGAGGGAGAGGTACAGCCCAAGCCACTGCGCGAGCGAGTACACATTGTTCTGGGGCACGAACCCGACAATGACATCGGGGATGACGTCGGCATATGTCCACTTCTTCCCGCGCGACAGCTCCTCCAGCTCTTCGCACTGGGCGTAGTAGAAGAGCTGGCTCTTGAACGGCTCGGGCACGGGGGGCAGGGACTCCTTCAGAGGCAAGTCTTTGCTGAAGGGGAACTGGTCCAGCAGGTGGACGCCGTACGTCTTGGTGCCCGTCGGCAGCACGACGAACTGCAGGTTGGGCGCCAGCTTCTCGGCTGCCTGGACGGCGCGCGAGAGCAGCTCCTTGTTCACGCGGCTCTCCTTCTCGCCATCCGGGTCCATGATGTACGCGAAGAAGTACACGTGTGTGATCTCCTTTATGTGCTTCACCCGCGCGAGGAGCTCCTTCTCAAGTCCAGCCTGGCCGGCATCGGTCATAATGTCGACGCCCGACACAATGTCCAGCTTTGGTGAGGCCGGCCATTGTGCTGCTTCGCGGGTGAGTGGTCGGTTGGTGAGTGCCGTGACCGAGGCGAAGGTGTCGGGTGTCGGATAGCCGTTGAGGATGAGGTTTGTGATGGCCCAGCCGGTGATGCCAGAGGCGCCTTGACCGGTCAGGGACTGAAAGACAACGTCTCTATCGGAAGCTACATGTACTCACCGAATACCAAGGCGTGGTTTGTCATGATGTGAGGCAGGCGACTGGAGGTGGTCGTTAGTCAGGGCAGGGTACGCGCGAGAAGCAGCACAACATTAAGGTTACGGCCGCAGGTGTAGTATATCAAACGCGAGCTGCCTCCAAGCTCATGTATTCTACGATATTCCATGGTCACAAGCGCAGGTCTGAGCATCCACGTCATGAGGAGGAACCCCAAATGCGCCGCGAGCCATGAGGGGTCAAGGCGGCGGACGGGTATCTTCAAGCATAAGATCCCGGGGCTATGGGACACTCTTTGCGTTCTTAGCGCCTTTTGAGGCGAGGCTTCCCTTTCCAGTCTGTATCATGTCTGACGCGAATCATGGAGGCAACTGACTCGGCAGAGACAGCGATTTACTGCTTGATCCACTGCCTACCCTAGACGCAGCTCTGGCCCCCCCTCCCCCTCCACACCAAAAAAGACAGAACCCCTGATCTTTCTCCGCATTCTGGAAAACAATATCCAAAGTCCAGAGTCGAGACTACGTCCTCTCACACTCCAAGATCGTCAATCACCCCACACAACCACCCCGTGGAAGCACCCCTGGACCCTTGGGCCTTGAGGCGGCATAGAGCACTTTGAGTCCAGGAAATGTGTATCCAAATAGGCGCCCGGAAATTGAGACGCACGCGGGCACGACCCGACTGACACGCGCTCCTCCGTCTACGGCCTGATGGATGTGGGAAACCGCAGCCAAGCGGCAGTGCCCGTGGCCGTGCGTAATTATATGGCTCTCCAGGCACAGGACAGAAGTCGGGAGAAGGGTAGACGTAGCCGAGGGGAAACATTTGACTGTATAGATACCCATTTCAACATCGTTCAGTCTTTGTCATCTCTGCCACCTACTCGCTTGATCATTCTCTAATCCTGCTTCACCTCGCTTTCACCAGACACAACAAAGGCAGACGCCATGGTACCGCACGCCGAGGAGATCACGCCCAGCGTCACCAACGCTGCCCACGCCGAGACTATCCCGGAGAATGGGCAATATCTCAAAAACGGCGTCAACGGCAACAGCGTGTCCGACTTTGCCTACCCGCCGTATGTGCCCGCCAACACACCCTACCGGCTGCTCAAGCAGTACCACTCCAAGCCATCGAAGCTGCGCGTAGCCTGCATCGGCGCTGGCGCCTCGGGACTATGTCTTGCCTACAAGATGGAGAAGATGCTGGCGGGCGGCTCGTTTGACCTCACACTGTTTGAGAAGAACCCGCACTTTGGAGGCACATGGTACGAGAACACATACCCAGGCGTAGCGTGCGACATCCCGAGCCACCTGTACACCTTCTCGTGGGATCCCAAGCCCGACTGGTCCCACTACTTTGCCTATGGACCCGAGATTCAGGGTTACTTCGAGTCGTTTGCCGAGAGACACGGGTCGAAGAAGTACATGAAGCTTAACACAAAGGTCATTGAGGCACGATGGGACGAGGACAAGGGCCTGTGGAACATTACGCTCGAGGACCAGGTCACAAAGGCCGCCTGGCAGGACTGGGCGCACGTGCTCGTCAACGGCACGGGCATCCTCAACAACTGGAAGTGGCCCGACATTGACGGCCTCCACGACTTTGCGGGCTCCAAGATGCACTCGGCCGCCTGGGATCACAGCGTCGACTTCAAGGGCAAGACGGTGGGCGTCATCGGCACTGGGTCGACCAGCGTCCAGATCGTGCCGCAGCTGCAAAAGGAAGCGGACAAGCTCAAGGTTTTCATGCGCTCGTCGACGTGGATCTCGCCCCCCTTTGGCGGCGGCGTCCTCGAATCCGACCTCCGCAAGGGCGCGCCAGATGACCAGCCAGGCCAGCGACAGTACACATTCACCGAGGAGGATAAGAAGAAGTTTGCGGAGGATCCCGCGTACCACCTTAACTTCCGAAAGAGAATCGAGGCCGAGATCAACTCCTTGTTCGGCATGTACCAACAGAACTCGGAAATGAGCAACGCGTTCCGAAAACTCATCACCGAGGAGATGCACCGACGCATGGGACCCGGCCACGAAGAGCTCAAAAAGTTCATCATCCCCAAGTGGTCGCCTGGCTGCCGGCGCATCTCCCCTGGAGACGGGTACCTCGAGGCCCTGGTGCAGCCCAACGTGGAGCCCGTCTACGGCGGCATCAAGAAAATGGTGCCCGAGGGCATCGTCAGCGAGGATGGCACGCTGCACAAGATGGACATACTCGTCTGCGCCACGGGGTTCAACGTCGCCTTTAAGCCTGCCTTTAAGCTCATCAATGGCGATGGCAAGACGATCAACGAGGACTGGGGCGAGAGCATCAACCTCTACATGGGCGTGTCGGCCCCTCGGTTCCCCAACTACTACACCATTGTCGGCCCCGGCGCGACATGGTCTTCGGGGACCCTCCTCCCGTCTATCGAGACGACGGTCGAGTATAGCGTCAAGATGATGCGCAAGATCCAGCAGGACCAGATCCGGTCGATTGCCGTCAAGCAGGAGGCCCTGGACGATATCTACGCCCACTTTGACGAGTTCCACAAGACAACCGTCTTTCAGGAGGAGTGCCGCAGTTGGTTCAAGGATGGCAAGCAGAAGAACAGGATTTACCTGTGGCCAGGGCCGGTACGTTGTGATTGCTATGAAGAAGAGAAAACATCATGTTGACTGACAATGGCAGACAATTCACTTCCTCAAGTCCATCAAGGACCCGCGCTTCGAGGACTACGACATTCGCTGGCGATACGGCAACCGCTTCGCCTTCCTCGGGCACGGCGAGGTCAAGGCGAACCAGACCAAGGATGTGCTGGGCTTGTCGACGTACGTGCGCGATGGCGATACAGAGTGGGGGGTCGAGTAATAGCGCGTGATCCATGAGTGTATATACCCGCTTGTTTTCCAACGTTAGATTGTTGCTACCCTTGCATTATTGGATCCACGTGGACTTTCCAAGAAACCGGCAACCAGCTCGTTTGTTGTTTTATCATTGATCCATGTCCTTCCGGCGGAGCCCTTTTAAGCTGTGGCGTTTGTCTAGCGTGAACCACTGCGTGTTTGGGCGGAGTGTCAATGGCCGCAAGGCTCGGGACGGCAGCGAAATACCTGGGGCGTTTCTGGTGTCGTAGTCTAGCATTGGAAAGAGTCGTGCTGGGAGGGTGGAGGTCCCGATTCCGAGTCATGGGGATGGAAATGCGGGGGAAAAAAATGGGGAAGCGAGGCTAGTCTGGGGTGGACCCATTATCTCGTGGGTTCCCTGCAGGCTCGCCGCTCGCGTCGATGAGGACAATACGGATTGTCGAGTCTGGACTCTGGAAACGGGGGATCCATGGCAGAGAGCGATTATTAGCTGGCTCTTCTGAACACTCAGCGTTCGCTGCGCATGGGTGACATTTAAGTCTGTAAGCCCAATCCAAGTTCATGTTGAAGGATTGCACAAGAAACGCTATTCACGTCGGATAATTAGCCCCTGTCCTGTCATTGGACCCCTGGTACGCTACTCGCAGGGCAAAGTACATATGTGCCATCGCAGAGTCCAGCACCCCCGCCCGTCTCCAACACGTCTAGCCGTGGGAATCGTCGGTTGCTCGGTTTGATCACGTCGCTTCGCTTAGTACGTCACCCTCTGCGCCCTCACCACCAATGCAATGGCCCCCTAGCGCATACAAGGACATGCAAGTGGGATTCACGCCGAGACAGTCCCACTCGGGCGCGAGTCAGAAAGCTCTGCTCCTCCAGACTCCACGCCCGCCGCCGCCGGCTGCGGCCAGCCCCGACCTGGGGCCCCAGTCTGGGCGTCTCAATGAGACTGGACACTGGCCGTACGAGAAATTGAAGCTAGACCTCTTTTGCCTCTCGGGGTTTGGCAAGATTGCGCACGACCAGATTGTTGGAAAAGAGTGCTGTGCTCAATGCTGTGAGTGAGGAGGGAGGGCTGACGACAGGAGTGGCGCCCCAAATGATCTTGAATAACATGACCCATGACCTTTGTGGACCCCTTCTTTTTCCCTCCGTGACAACCTTCGTGTGGGGATATCTCATAATTGCTCCTCCAAGCTCTCTGGACAAGCAAGCTGGCATTGTACTTGTTGTCTGTCACTGTAATTGAAGACTGCACACACCAGACCACATGGCTGAGGACAAGAAAGAAGGCGATCAAGTCGCCGCCCAGGAGAACGTCTCACCCAGGGACAAACCCGCCCGCTCCGCTTCCAAGAAAGAACAGGTCCGTCATCGGGCCAGTGTGGCGTGTGCCTCGTGTCGCGACCGACGGATACGTTGTGTTGTGCCCCCAGGGCAAGCAGAGTGCAACCAGTGTCGACGAGCGGGCACCGAATGCATCATCAAGAACGACGATGAAAGGCGAAGGTGAGAGACCATCAAAGTACCATACGAATCTGCTCCCTTGCTCATACAGTCAGGCCCATCTCCAAGGCGTACATGTCCAGCCTGTCCGATCGTATCAATCTCCTCGAGGGCATGCTGAAGGAGAGCGGCGTGAATCCTCCCCCAGCCAGCCATCCGCCAAAGACCAAGCACGGCGACAAGAGCCAGCAATCCGACAGCGAGCAGGGGAAACAGCGGCAGTCCCCCTCGGTGGATGTCCCCTCGCCACCCGACTCGACGAATGATTTGATGGCCAGGGCGGACTTTGAAGGGACAGATCCCATGATGACCGAGTCCCAAACCAACCAGGTGCTGTCCAAGGAAGACTCACCATTCCGCATGCTGGACCCGAGGCAAGAGGACATTGTCCACAGGCTCCTCTCCACGAATGGCAATCTGTCCTTTGATCAGCTCTCCGGCCGTTTGAGGTTCTTTGGCCCTACCGCCAACAGCCACGTCTACGCCGACAGCCCAGACCACTACGACTCGAGAGAGCCCCCCGAGCAGGTTCGCCGCGCCGAGCGCATCATCCGCTCGCTCAGCGCGACCACCTACGAGTATCTCATGAGCCACTTTTGGGAGCACTACAATGGCATCATCCCCGTCCTCGAGCGATCTGCCTTTGAGGCCGATCGTGACACGCAGAACCCCCGCTTCTACAGCTCGTTCCTCCACATCTGCATCCTCGCCATGGGCTACCGCGGATGCGACACGGAGCGCGACGACATGAAGCGCATCACCCTCAGCAACCGCGAGAGTACCCTCCACAGGGAGGCCAAGTTCATGCTGGACGTTGAGCTCGAACGTCCCGGTGGTATCCCCAGCGTCCAGGCGCTTCTCCTGCTCGGCGACCTGGAGTGTGGCGTGGGACGAGACAACACGGGTTGGATGTACGCCGGCATGGCCAACCGGCTGGCGTTTGACATTGGCCTGCACCTGGACTGCCGAAGCAATGGCATGCCTGAGCCCGAGGTGCACATCCGTCGCATGACGATGCGTGCCTGTGTCATCTACGACAAGTACTGGGCGCTCTTCCTGGGCCGGCCCACGAGCATCAAGAGCCAGGATCTGGGCATGGAGCTCTTGTCCGACAAGTTCTCGCAGCTCACCTCGGACACGCTCGTCACGCCCAAGACCCTCAACGGGGAGGTCTACGAGCAGTTGATCGAGCTGATGGAGCTTGCCGGCCGCATTGTCGAGTCCCGCGACTACCAGGTCGTCAAGACCAAACTGTCCATGCCGAGCGATGGCAACGTCTTTGTCAATGAGGCGGGCGACAACGAGTACCTGCACGTCATCAACCTCGACCGCCAGCTGCAGAACTGGTACCGCCGCTTGCCGGAGCATCTCGCCTGGAAGCCCGCCAACATCAAGCGCGCACCCTGGTCCTTCTTCCTCCTCCACCAGCAGTACCACGTTTCCATGATCCTGCTCCACCGCCCCTGGGCCAAGTACGACTCCATCACAGATGGCGCGAGCACAGGGTCGGCGCATCCCAGTCCACAAGATACGGCGGCGCATGCCATGGACACGTCTGGCCACGACATCCATGACCAGCTTGGTGATTCTCTCGCGCATGACTCCCGCACCTCGCTATCCAGGAGCATCTGCACCCAGCAAGCCATCCGCGTGGCGAGGATCTTCTGGCAGCATCGTCAGCGGTTCGATGGACGTAAGATTCACGTCACCGGTATTCAGCATGCCGGAACCGCCGTGCTGGCCCTCATCGCTGCGCTGGCATACCAGAAGAGCGACACGGACAGGAGGACGTACATGGGTTACCTCGAGATCCTCAGCGATGCGCTGGGCGACATGAACGTGACCTACCACCCAGCAGGACGCATGGACGATCTTCTCAAGGCTGTGCTGACCCAGATACGGCTCAGCCTCGGGGAGCCGTCGACGCGCGCTCATCCTGCTGGGCACATGTCGGGTGTCAGCGACTATGCGGCATCCCTCATCCCCTCACGCCGCGAGGCGGAGGAGACGACTTACAGCCAGCCCCTGAAGAAGCGTCGACCGGGGACAAACTCGCGTCGTGCGTCCGAGTTCGCGCGCCCACCACCCCCTTTCTTCTCCCAGATCCCCTCGACGCAGCCGACGCCCCCGTCCTCAGCCCACAGGATACCCATGTTTACCAACGAGTTCCAGCAGCAGCGTACGCCGAACCAGGTGGACAACATGCTATTCTCCCTGGGCGCTGGCGACGGCAGCCACATTGATCTTGACTTCTTGTCCGGATCAGCCGTCGACCTGGACGGTGACCATGATGGCAAGATGGACTGGGGCATGGGCAGCATGCACTCGGACAACCCTCCCCAGACGTACGAGGCGCCGATGGGGGACTTTGGCCCCGGGCCGGCCGGGCTGAGCGCGAGCTCCGTGCTGGGACAGCAGTCGTCTGCCCTGTCCAGCGGGCTCATGTCCAACGCGACGTTTGGCGTCAAGACAGGCGAGAATGAGTTGACGGAGCAGCTCCACGGGATGAGCCCGGCCAGCTTGTCAGGACTGGTGCAGAGTGTGGAAAAGAGCGAAGAGGTGCACCGGAATCAGGATTTGGATTTCTTTAGCTTTGATTAGGACTTGAACAACCCCCCTCGGGTCTGTCTCCCCTTAATTCGATGTGAAGCCACCATCTACCACCGTCACCGCCCCCGTCTGGTAACTGTTCATGCGTGACGCGAGGCAGACGATGCTGTCTGCAATCTCCTCCATGGACCCAATCCGCCGCATTGGCGCCCGGGCTAGGTCATCGAGCAGGGGACTCCCCGCACCCATGGCCATGGCCGCTTCCACGAGCGGCGTCTCAATGTATCCCGGCGCAATGGCGTTGATACGGATGTTGTAGTCGGCGTATGCGTTCGCGTCACCCCTCGTGAGACCGACGACGCCGTGCTTGGCCGTCGTGTAAGACGTATGCGAGAGGCGCGCGTTGGGCGCGACGAGGCCGTACATGGACGCGATGTTGATGATGCGCCCTCGCCCGTCGCGCGGGCCCAGATCATCCTGCTTCACCATGACGGCGAGTTCTGCCTTTTGGCAGCGGTAGACGCCGTGCAGGTTGACGTCGAGGACACGCTCAATCTCCTCGTCTTCCGTCTCGTGCGTCAGACGACCGCTACCGTTGATGCCGGCATTATTGACGGCAATGTCGAGGCGGCCAAAGTCCTTGGCGACCTGCGCGATGCCCTCGTTCACGTGGACCTTGTTCCTGACATCCATGTGTAGCGGCAGGATCTGGACCTGGGGGAAGGTGGAGGCGAGGGTGGCGCGCGCTGCCTCGAGGTTGGAGGCGTTGATGTCGGCAATGGCGAGCTTGGTGACACCGTGGCGCGCGAACGCCATGGCGGTATATTGGCCAATGCCTTGGAGAGTGAGCATGATAATACATGATTTAGTCAAAGCCTCGTGAAACATACCGCTTGCGGCGCCCGTGATGAACGCTGAACCTCTCAATAGGGAGGCCATGATGGATGCTCGCTGAAATGCTGGACAGGAGGAAATGCGGACAGTGCGATTGAAGGACAGGTGAAAGCGCCCGGAGATATGACTTGTTAAAACACACGACTGGAGGGATCCAGAGATTCAAAGACTCGCGGACTCGCGGTTACCATCAAGCGGTCCCCACCCTCGACTGGAGTCGGAGTTGGTGGGAGTCGGGGTTTTTGGGGCCCGGCGCGGGGGAGGATGGAGATCCAGGGACTGGAAGCCGGGGCCTGAAGCCTCATAAATAGGCCTGGACTTGGTTTTCCCGTCGCTGTTTTTAGTGGGCTATTCTTCGGTGTTGTCGCCTGTCGGGAAAGTCCGTCCGCCATGATTGTGTCGGGTCCAGTGACTTCAGTCGTCATGTTCCTCTCCCTATCGACGAAGCAAAGTCACGGACTTGCACGCTGTAGATCGAGTCAAGACCTACTGGTTCACATAAATTTCGCGTCTTTCCTGTACATAGAATTTCCATCATTTTCATTTGAAGAGCTGGATATGCTGCTGGCATATTGAGCAGCCAATTGCATGTCTTCAAGATTGGTGAACACCCGAAAGGCAGTTTCCCGCAACAATTTGAAAGATGTTTTCTTCGCCAGTATCATTTAGTCAAGTTTGTGAGCAGTGAATCAATCACAAGCCTTCTTCTCGTCATTTGCTGGGCTTGATATCCTCCAGTATCCATCACCGCCAGAAGGTGTCCCCCGATACGCCTCAAGCACAAGCATAAACTGACGCGTCCATTGGCATGTGCTCGAATCAGCCAACACCAACGACAGCGACTGCCAACAAAATCAATTGCATGTGTTGAACTCCCAAGCCAAGACCGAGAATTCTCACCGCAATCATATGACATTATTGGCATGACGCAGTCTTGTTAGCCGTCCGAGCAGTGGACTCTGTGTTGTTCGACGCGATTACACATGATTTGATCGCCAGCGGGCGGGCACCCACAGTACGAGGACGGTCTGGCGGTGGCACTGGGCTTGCATTTTGATCACATCAAATCTACACAAGCCAGTGAAATGAAATGGAGTAGTTTCCTGTTCTTGAAGAACGATGTTTGATATGTGCGGTGATCGATTTGCTTGGCAGCTCATGTCATGGTATTAGACACTGACACAGCACGTTGGAAGCTATCGTGACGGTCGCCGCTAAAGGTCACACCAAGATCAGTGTCTGGAAAACAGGGGGATACCGTACCTCCGCCTCCTATGAGGTTGTCGCTGTCAGCTTGGTCATCTTGAATCCTTGATCGGCAAATGGGATGGAGCTCAGGCGAGAACTGCCAAAAACTCAGGTCAATATCTGTAGGTTCACGAAGAGTAGACCAGCTCTGCAATAGGACAGTTCACAGGGAAGTGACCACTAGATGGCGTCAAACCGTGTTACAGATGATTACTTAGAGACCCAAGACGCTCGATAAGAACAGGCTCCTTTGGGCAGACCCCGGGGCATCATCCTGCCGAGCGTTCAATGATGCAAATTCCTGACGCCAGAATGGTCAGGTTCGCGATGTGTCAGTGGCAATGCCATTTGTCATTGTAGTTACTGTAGCTACCTTCGGTTTATTGGTGCACTGGTCACTTGCACGGTACAGGGCGCCAGCAAATAGGTGATGACATGTTATTGGTATCGAGAATACATTGACCAAGGAAACCCAAACTCCACTATAGCTACAAGTCTCTTCAAACAGCGGGTGTCGGTGGCACCTTTGGGCCACCGAACCTCTCGATGCCCTTCCCAATACCCGTGTGCACGCTCTTGGCCATTCTCTCGAGAGGCAGTCGCTCATCCATGCGCTGGACAGCCCTAGAGATGGGTGGCTCGACCCTTTGCACGCCCTTCTCGACGCCGGGTGTGAAGTACGAAATGTTCTTCTCCCACCGGGGCGCCCACTTGGTGGTTTGTGTGGAGAGACGCTCCTCGGCGCCTGGCATAATCATGTAGAGTGGTGTGAGGACGCCGACGCCAGCGGCACCGATGAGAAGGACTTCGGAGCGCTTGGCGTTGGGGAGCTTGGGGACGCGGATAGGCATGTTGATGGTGGCGAGACGGTGTCTTCTGTTTCTGATGATGGATGAGTGGTTGTCGTAGGTGTGGGTTGTCTAGTAGGACTTACTGCGTGTTGCGGTGCGTGTTTTGGAAGCAGATTTTGATGAAACGTTGATGGGTGGTCAACTGGTGATGGTGGCTAAGATGCAAGTGAAGGACCGATGAAGGGGCAGTCTGGCCTTATAAGGGGAGGGTGACACCGCAAACAGGCAAGGCAGGCACGGGGGATGACCAGCCATCCGATCTGGATTGGCCATGTTCTGGGGAAGCTGCGAGCTTGTGAGCGGGGTATTATGGGGAATCACGATACATGGGAAACGGAGGCAAGGCCCTTGGAAAGGCTATTTGGGTTGCTGCATTACTCTGAGCAATGCAGGCTGAGGAGATGCAGTCGAGTGTCACTTCGACCTTCCAGCAACATCCTCGTAAGCGATCAAGTCGTCTATCAAGGATGAGGGCGTACTAGATGCACACAAGCGACGAGCAGAAAGATCCTATTATTGCAGAAAGCATGGTATGATTGTCACAATTACGCGTGCGTGCCATTGGCGACGCTCGTGATGGAGGGTGGTGGCACATTGATTGAGACAGCACCTGCGGCCGCCCCTCCATCAGCTCACTGCTCACTGCCACTCGCACTGCGTGCGCCTGTTCTTCGACGAAGTATCAATTTGACGTTTCTAGGAGCTTCGATATCTCTTCTGAATTTGTCTGCTCAATTTCCCCTCACCGTGAACCCCTTTTTCGCCATCTTTATACTATCAGAGACTTGACGTTCAATCAGTGGGACCCTTGCGGATCAGGCAGTCCACTTCCCCAGACTCAGCGCGCGCTAAACGGGGCCAAATATCCACTGCGCATCCACCCGCGGATGCCCAACCGCCACTGGAGACTGTAGCCCCTGCTCCCCCAGACTTGGCGGGCGGCCCCAACTTTGGCTGTCGCGTGCCTTCTTCAACGTTGCCCATCACGGCGCGTGAATGAAGCCGACGAGGAAGTTTGAAACGCAGCGAGAGTGCAATTTGCAGATGGTTACTGGATCAATTCAATCGGGAGCGGCAAATGGCACACCACAATGCAGTGGCGTAAGCAATTGACTCGTACTGGTGTGGTACAGCACAGTGCCTGGAATTCCTGCCCTTTCCCGTGTTTGGGGGGATTTAGCCAGTAGAGGATGCATGAATTGGCCCAGGCCTTCTGTTTGTTCCTGCGCTGCGCTCAGGGGGTCGGGGGATAATGCGCCCTGCATGGAGGGTTCGGTGTCGCTCAACCCCTCTACACGTCACCGAAGGGGGGGACGGGGGCAGGGGGCTGTGGAAGAGGGGTTGAGGTGCTCAGGTGGCAGAGGGAGGGATACAAAGGGCGCTGAATGATTGCAAAAGATAGAGATAGATTTCACGATATTCTTCATCATACTGACGACAAACGCGTGCGTGGCGACTAAAAGCTCCCGTGAGGATATCGAAGCGCTTGTTCCAAAGGCGCACCAAAAATACAGGTACTGTTGCCATGGACCGAAAAGAGGCCAGGACCAGATTCAGGACCTCGGAATGACTGGACCTGGGCTGCGCCGTCATCAGACAATCCAGTGCCCATCAAATCACAGTCTGGCGCACTGTCCTCATGGCACGATGCAACCGTCGAGACTGGCCTCCAGCGGCAGACCAGCTCAACTTTGCCTGCACTAGCATCCAATGACCATCAGGAGCTCGAACTAGGATGGCCAATGAGCTGTGACACAGCGCATCAGCTTGATCACGGGGTCATGCTACGGACTCGTAACCGGGCGGGCTCACCTGTCAATTGATTTTATCTTGTCTCGAGAATACAAGGGCCAGAGAAGCCGTGAAGATGGCATCTGCGCGAGCTCGTTACAAAACACTTCCCGTTGCTCTGGGCAGTGTCTCTGGCCCGGATTATGGAGGGATAGAATGAATGATATTTGACTTTGATCCTTTAGAGGGCACTTGACTAATTGACGCTCACACCGCCAGATTCCGTCACTCTCTGCAAGTCACTGAAGATCTGTATGGCAGTGCAGAAACGATGCAACCGCAATTGGCCCATGGTATTCTCCCTAGATAAGTAACGTACAGCTCTAGAGAGCTACCCCAAGCCTAAAGGCCCAGACACTCCAGATATCGTCCTTGGACCGTTCCCTCGAGTGACTGCGTTCCCAGCTATTCTCTCAATATTTAATTCTCACATTTATCGGTGATTGATCCCTTTCACGTCTTGGGACCCTTTTCTCAGTTTGTTTGGTTGTGAAAATGTGGGCTTGAACTGTCCTCTGACATGTCGAACGCCAATGTGCAAGGACACTTTTAACTCATGCCCGCACTGACATTTGATCACAAAAGGACTTATTGATACAAGCAGGCAACGCTATTTCATTTCAGTGCCATTTACAAAATCCTCCGGAAATGCAGCCGTCCACGAGCCCGGACAAGCTCTCAATCCCAAGCACCGTCAACTCGGTAAACACTCCCGCTCACAAAAGTGCTCTCTGGCCCCAGCAAGAATCCAATCACATTGGCCGTCTCTTCGACTGTCCCCCGCCTCCGAAATGCTGTGGGCTCGTCAAAGGGAGCGTCGGCTGGCCGACCGGCATTGTCCCACTCCTTCTGCATCAGAGGCGTATACACGGATCCTGGCGCTACAGCGTTGACGCGGATCTCACGATGACCAACCTCCTGCGCCGCAGACCGCGTCAGTCCGATCAGACCATGCTTGCTGGCGTCGTACGCGGCGTGGCGGGCAAACCCTAGCGACGCGTGTCAGTCGGGATGTTTCCACCGTCCTCTCTGGTATCTTACCCTTCAGCCCGTGAATCGACGAGATATTCACAATCGACCCCCCGTCCACAATCTTCCGCAACTGTGCGCGCAAGCAATACATTGTCCCCGTCAAGTTGACCGCAATGATCCTGCTCCACTCGCCATCGTCCAGCTCGGTCACGGCATGCGTGCCGTGGACTTTGCCAATGACACCCGCCACGTTCGCGGCGCCATCCAGACGCCCATATGTCGTGACCACCTCGTCGATCCAGGCGTCCACCTGCTCACGCTGAGAAATGTCGACGCTCCGGATCATGAAAGGCACGTTGAGCGGGGTGAAGTAGGCCCTCGTTGCTTCCATCGCAGCAGGATCCACATCGGCAATGGCGACGGCCGCTCCTCGTGCGGACAGGTATTTCGCAGTTGCAAGGCCGATGCCACTGGCGCCCCCCGTGATGGTGAAGACTTTGCCCGAGAGCGACATGCTGGGAGATGGGTGCGGCACGACGGACCAGGACGATGTGGAGGATGAGTTGGATCTGGAGGTGAGCATGCTGGTTTGTGTGAGATCAAAGGAGAGGTTGAAAGACTGACTAGAAGGGGAATGTCGCGTTCTTTCGGGTGAAGACACACGTCTGGCGCGTTCTCCGAGAGGTTGCGAGCATATAGACCGTTGTGAGGAGTGAGTGTCCTGAACAATATAGCCGTCGGCAAATTAGGGAATGGGGTCAATGGGACGATGCCCCGCTGCCCTCGACAGCTGTGGTCGTGCTTCGTAGCATGAGCTTCCCCATAGCAGTCGCTCTATTCATCTTAAATTACGGCTCTGTGGGAAATCCTAAACACCTAAACATCTTTATTTATGATTGAGATTGAATCGGTGATTCGTAAGTCAAACTGGCTGGATTGATGGTTCAATGTAATAATCGTCCAACAACGCCCAGGCCCCAACGACGTCGGCCATGTAAGTGAAACGGTTCAGGCTACCCTGGGTGTCACTTTTCGTAATTTCGCTCTCCGCCAGAACAGTTCATCCACGAGGTATTAGCTTCTAGAAATAAGTACAGGGAAAAGAAATTCAATGGATTTGTTTCCCATTCTCTATTCCACAGGATTCAAATATCAAAGGAGGTTCTGTCGCTCATTGTTGTGGACTTCCAACATTTTTCTTCTCCCTATGGAGATACCATCCATATGGGGTTATCAAACTTCCGCTTGACATGCGAGAGATCTCTCGTCTGGGCAGAACGCTTCATATCACATTTGCCATTTGATTCGGACATCCCTTCATTAGCCAACGTACCAAGAGCCTTCGGCACATGAGGCCTACGCCGAGTTACAAGACCCAGTCATGCAGGCATAAATTGCCCTTCGGGACGGACACTAATTTACCACTTCCCGTTAGTGATTCCACTTTTCCCCACAAAGCCGCTCGTCAAGCTTGACTGCCAAGTGGCATTTATTATTTTCTGCTTGATTCTAGTACGTAGTACGTAGTACAACTTTAGAAGTGTTAAGAAAGAACCCGATTGCGTAGCCCTCAGGCCCACCCAGACCCGCCAGCTCGTCACGAGCACGAGGCAGCCCAGCACGAAGGACTTTATGGCATTCCAAACCAGTTTCTGAATTACTTCATTGTCTACCTCACTTGTGGCTGCGGCCAACTACACACAACCGCGGGAGCCCCTACATACATGTCACCTTACTGACGTGCACCAAACTCATCATGTCCTCCATCGTCGACCTTGACAGTATAGGTCACCGACTTCATGATCGCCCCTGGCTGCGGTAGAATATTCTCCTGACTGGCGGTCATTGTCTTGCCATCGCACGTCGTCGACGTGAACACACTTTTCGAAGTGCCGGTGCTCCTCTCACTGAGCTTGTACGCCTCACCTGTCCGGGGACGTCGAGATTTCCGCCCATAGCCGTCCGAGGAGCCAGCAGAGGGGCGCGAGCGGTAGTCCTTGGCCTTGCGAATGAAGACGGGTGCGAGGAACGGCAGGCTGGAGACGAGGTTCTATACTGGGTCAGTTCTTGATGCGATTTTGAAGAGACATGGGGAGACGTACGCCGACGTTGAACTCAATGACGCCCCAGAGGATCAGCATGGTCGAGTTACCGTCGCCAAACTGAATCCGGTTGATCTGGAGGTACCGAAACACAGAACACATGGTTGTGAACAGCCCCAGAATGAAGATGCCAATCAAGCCAACCTTTTTGGCCATCTGGATGTTCAAGCCCACAAGCATGGGTACGGGCAGGACGGCAACGACAATATCCGAGACGATTGTCACCACCGCGTACGCCGTGAACGAGGGCCCTGGGGGGAGGCATGTCCCATCCATGAGTGGCTGCCAGGACTTGGCGACCGGCGTGCAGGCAAAGATGAGGGAGAATGCACAGCCGAGGTGCGCCAGGAAGACGAGCGCAATGGTCGTGTACACGACCAGCCGGTACGCAAACTGCGAGGTCCCCTGTAGCAGACGCAGGTAAGAGATGAGAAGCGCCATTTTGAAAAAGGAGACGCCCAGCTGGTAGATGGGCCGCCCGGCAAAGTTGAGCTTGGTGTACGTGATCAGGTTCTCCTGAGGGCGCGCTGCCAGGGGAAGACCGAGACCGTAGCGCGTTTGTGCGATGCATAGGGCGGAATATGCGAACGCAAACACCATGGAGAGAGCCGCCATGTAGTCGTCGTGGGCGAGACCACGACTCTTGCGCCGGATGAACAGACGCCAGATGACGCCGGCTGCCGAGACGACGCTGAAGAGAACGGTGATGGCGATGATCTTGGGATACTCAGACTGGGCGTCGACCTCGGCCGATGCGTTCATAACCCAACCCATGGTGGCGTTGGCAGGCAAGGTCGGGAACAATGGTAAGGGTAGAATGGGATGAAGACAAAAACGTCCACGACGACCAAGGTGTCACGGACTCGCCTATGGAGGTGAGACTTTTGTGTGTTTTGTACGCTGAAAGTGCGGTGACCATTGACGTCTGGAACGTGTGCGTTGACTCAGATCTTTTGGGGAGATATCACACGACGTATCGCATATCGCGGGCATGAACAAAGCCATCTCGTCGATCTACAAGGGTTTAATGTGCTTTGGGCACGGATCTTTCGCGTGGGTTGAGAAGAAAAGACAGACAGTAGGTTGAAGCCGGCATAAAATGATTTTCGAAGGCTGGAAGACGCAGGACTCTCCAAGATTACAATATGCATCGTTGCTATTCCACATCGATGCGAGCTCAGCCTAGCTCATTCATCAGGCTGAACTGTAAGACTTACCGCTTCACTCATCCAAAGAGACCCTGTTGTCGAATCTGGACGGGCTTGTCGACCGCTCCGAAAGCCATGAGACATCACTAATGAGGCAGGGGCTCAGTGTTCCGTCCAGATGGATGGCTCTCGTTGAAGAATGCCCCTGTCCTATATGCCATGAATAGCGTCGATCCGTCCATAGCACCAGCTAGCCTCCGGATTACGATTTGCCGGCCGTGAACGAGGCGGCTGGTGTCTTGAATTAACCGTCCTCTGAGCAAGCTTCAGAAGCAATTCTCGAGTGTGAGCCGCAGGCCTGGGCTAAGAGGACGGCAGCTTTAGGAATTCTCCGGCTACCCGATGTCGACTAGGCCCAGCATAAGCATCTTAGTGTGTATCTTTCACCGGGGGTATACGTCGATCGGGGCACTATTTGATACAACTGCTTGACCGGTAGGACGCATGACCAAATGACCGTCGGGGTGTCGTGTCGCATTGGCGGTCGAAACTGCCTTTTGGAGGCGAATCCTCAGAACGACGTTGTAGCGCCGAATGAAGCTGTCTTGAACAGGTAGAAGAGTATCGACAAGCAGCACGGGCATGGCGGGAGTTGCATGCATGCATGCAGGCGGGCGGGCAGCCCTGATTGTGTCGTGCAAGCCACGTCCACGTCGGCGATATGCAGCGTCCGCGTCCGCTGCTTCTTCCGTGAGACAGAGTGAAGAAAGCTGTGCTGTGTCTGGTTCTTTTTTCCCCCATTGACGCGTGCTCCAAATTGCAGCTGGACCAAGGGTCGGGATGCGTGGCTGCGCCAATGCATCAGATTGTCTTAGATCTGACGGATGACGAGGGACTGCAAGGAGAATGAGAAATCAACTGGATCATGGGAGGAGCGCGAAATTCCAGTCGTTTCGCGGTCGGACTCATCATCGGCTGGGGTTGGTGTATTGCGCAGGGTTCTAATTAGTCCGTCTCTTCAAATGCTCTGCCAGGGCCTAGGATGGTGACATGATGATACCCAAGGGCAGTGAGGCGACCAATGGCATTTCGCTCGTCTGCCGTCCGCTACTTTCCTGTTCATCAGTGGCACAAGTGCCGAAGCGGCGCAAGATAAAAAAGCAGGGTGAAGTAACAAATTGTGAACGCGCGCGACATGGACAGGGGTGACCTGGATAGGTCGTAGACTGCGTGGTACAGGGTATGTAGACCAGGAAAGCGACGTGAGTGGTGGCTGGGAAGTCGAACCCCCTGGAAATTGAGGGCGGGCCGTCCGCGCATCCTTTGACCATGCACCCACCCTGATCACCACCACGCTCCATTCATTCCATCACGGCTTCGGTAGGCGACGCGTCTCACCTGCACATGTCTCCGATGCATAAGGCACTCGCACACCGCACTGCTTGGCCTGGCATGGGCCGATCGACAGACAGCACAGGCCTTTTCTCTACCGGCGACAGGCTCTTGCTTCATCTGACGAGGTGAGGTGAGGTGAGGGTGCCTGGCTTTCCACCATCCATTTGATCCCTCCAGTCCTTCTCCTTCTTATCACCCAAGTGATCACTGTTGTTTTCGATCCTCAGAGACTTCTGTTGCGTGCTCGTCACCATGTCTTTGCAGAGCGACCACTCGATCCACGATGACAAGGCGCCTCGGATATCCTCCAGTGTTCCGCATGAGTCCTCGGCAGCAGCAGCCGCCGCCGACAAGAACGTAGATGGCGCGTGGCAGTTTTTGGACCAGCACCGCGATGCCGAGGGCGCCGGTATCGATCTCAAGGCGCTCAGGCGCAAGGTTGACTGGCACGTTGTCCCTCTCATGTTCTGCTGCTACACCATGCAGTTCCTCGACAAGGTCATCCTCAACGTACGTCGTTCTTCTCCCCACCCCTCTCGTCTCGACAGCAGCTAAGTAGTCAATCAGTACGCCGCCGTCATGGGCCTGACCACGGACCTGGGTCTCGTCGGCAACCAGTTCAGCAACATTGCCACATTTCTCTTCGTCGGCCTTCTCTGTTTCGAGATCCCCAACATCTGGTTCCTGCAGATGGTCCCGGCCGCCAAGTGGCTGGGCCTCAACGTGACTCTATGGGGCGTCGCAACGGCATGTGGTGCGGCCGCCACGGGCTACAAATCCATCCTGGTCTCGCGCATCTTCCTGGGCGTCTTTGAAGCCACCGTCGGCCCGTCGCTGATGCTGATCAGCAGCCAGTGGTACACAAAGTCCGAGGCCGCGCCCCGGTTCTCCTTCTGGTACCTGGGTCTCGGCCTGGGCCAGATTGTCGGCGGTGCCATCTCGTACGGCTTCCAACACATCCCCGCCGGGCAAGGCCTCGCCGGCTGGAGGATCATGTTCATCACACTCGGCGTCGTCACCGTGGTGATCGGACTAAGCACGCTGGCCTTTATGCCGGACACGCCCATGAAGGCCAAGTGGCTGAGCGATGCCGAAAAAGTCGCGCTGCTCAAGCACGTGAGCGTCAACCAGACGGGCATCGAGAGCCGCAAGTTCCGTCCCAAGCAGATTGTCGAGGCCCTTTTAGATCCGCAGATGTGGCTGTTGACCGTGTCGGTGGTCCTGGTATGTCCCATTGCAAGGCCTCCCCATGATCGCATTTTCTGACTGACCATAAAAACAGCTCTCCGTGTCGAGTGGCGTCGTGACAACCTACTCGGCCACGCTCATTCGCAACCTCGGCTACGTCCCGAAGCAAGCCGCCCTCATGAACATGCCCTCGGGCGTCGTGAGCATCTTCTTCACACTCCTTGTCGGCTTTGGCATTCGCAAGGGCGGTCACCGCTGGGCGTGGATCATTGCTTGCATTATCCCTGCCATCCTGGGCGGCGCCCTCATGTCCTTTCTGCCGCCTACGAACCGCTCTGGCGTTCTCGCTGGTGTATATCTGGTCAACGCCGTTGTGGCCCCTTTGACGATCTTCTACAGCGTACGCTCCTTCCATCAACTCTTGCCATATCTGAAGCTAACGGGATTGCAGTGGACGGCAGCCAACTTTGGTGGTGCCACGAAGCGCGCCTTTGCAACCGCCATTGTCAGCGGCTCCTTTTCGCTCGGCAACATCATCGGGCCCCAGACCTTCCAGGCCCGCGACGCACCCGAGTACCGGCCGGCCAAGCTCGCCGTCATGGGCACGCAGGCCGGCTGTGCGCTCACCACGTGCCTGCTTTTCGCGTACTACGTATGGAGCAACAAGCGCAGGGAGGGCGAGCATGTCGCAAAGGAAGGGGAGTTTATGGACCGCGAGGTCTGGGCTACGCTGACGGACCGCGAGAACAAGGCGTTCCGGTACACGTACTGAGATCAGCAGGCGGAAGCAAGTGTACATTAATCTGATGGTATTTCAACAGCGAGGCGCCAAACCCCGGAATATATATATATATACTTTGGTATCGACAAGAGACAAGTTGACGTTTATAGACGCGATTCCCTCGCAAGCTGCTGCTGCTGTTGCTGCTTCTTCTCCGCCTCGCTCGGCATGCCGCTGAAACTCACAGTCTGCCGGTCGACGATGCTGCCACTCTTGCTCATCACCTTGCGCCGCCCGCCGGTCGTGAGGGGCGGGTCATCATCGTACTCTCGAATGTAAAAGGCCCAGTCGGCCGTCTGGTCCAGCTCGGTCTGCGAGTACCCGTTGCCGAGGAAGCAGAACCGGTTGCCGGCGTACTGAAAGTCAAAGTCGTCGAAGCGCACGTCGCGCATGGTCTCAATGTAGTGCATCGCCGACCCGGGCCAGAGGGCGGTGATGGGCCCGTCCGGGCCGTTCTTGTACCACGAGCGGCAGCTGTCCGCCCAGACGGTCCCCTTCATGAACCAGTCCTTGTAGGCGACAAAGTCGCGCACGGCGTCCGCCTTGGGGGCAAAGGTGGCGACGTTGCTCGTCTGGTACCGGTCGATGAGCTTGCACATGTAGTCGGCCTGCGCCTCGATCGTGCAGAGGACAGGCCCGTTGCCGATGGGGCAGTTGGGCCCGAGGAAGATGAGGTAGTTGGGCATGTCGGCGGCGGCCAGGCCCAGGTATGACTCGGGATCGGCCGCCCACTTGTCCTGCAGGTTCTCGCCCGCAGGGTTGACCACCGGGAAGCGAGGCTTGAACGTCGTGTCGAAGCCCGTGGCGCAGATGAGCACGTCGACGGGGTACTCGTTGCCGTCGTCGCAGACGCACCCCCTCTCGGACACGGAGTTGATCTCGCCATAGACCACCTTGACGTTGGGCTTGGTGAGGGACTCGAGATAGTTGACGCCCGGGGTGAGACGCCGGCAGCCGACGCTCCAGTCGGGGATCAGCTTCTCCTCGAGGTAGGCATCGCCGAGCTTCTCCTTCATCTGGGAGAGCATGTACTCGTGTGTGTCCTGGTTGACCTTGTTGTTGCGGAGGAAGATGCCAAACTGGCCGTTGAGGCCAGACTCAATCTCCTTCCGGTACTGCAGCAAGGCACCGGGCTTGTTGACAAAGGTTTCGACTTCGTCAGAGGAGAACTGGTGCTGCTCGAGTCCCTGCACGGGGGACACCCAGGTCGGCTCGCGGATGAATGTGGTGACCTTGGCGCACTTGTCCCTGATGGCGGGGAGGACCTGGATCCCGGAGGACCCATTGCCAATCAGGCCGACGTGCTTGCCCTCGAGAGATACCGAGTCGTCCCAGTTGGCGGTGTGGAGCAGCTTGCCCTTGTAGTTCTTGAGGCCCGGGATGGCAGGCCACTTCCAGTTGTTGAGGATGCCACTGGCGTTGATCAGGATGTCGCAGTGGTCGTGGACCACGGTGCCCGTCTTGAGGTCCTTGACCTTGACGTCGTAGCCCCCTCGCTGGCTGTTCCAGTACGAGCCTATCACCTGGTGCTCCGTCTTGATGTACTGCTTGAGGCCGTACTTGTCGGCGAAGCCGTCAAAGTAGGCAAAGATCTCCTTGGCGGGCGGGTAGACGGCGGACCAGTCGAGCTTGGGCTCAAAGGACCATGTGTAGTTGTGGCTGGGCACGTCACACGCGCAGCCGGGGTACTTGTTCTCGTACCACGTGCCCGCGACCTCTGGGTTCTTCTCGTAGACGCGGAGGGAGTAGTTGCTAAAGTGCTTCTGGAGCTTGTACGCCATGAGCAGCCCCGAGGCGCCGGCACCGACCGTGATGATGCGGACGTGTCGTTCCGAGTGGATGGGGGCCTGCAGGCGACGGGAGGCGTCGACGCTGCCCGGGGCTGTGGTCTGGGGCGCCAGGAAGTCGGCCATCGTGGGAGGGAGGTGACTTGAGTGAAGATCACGACACTGCCAGGACGCTCTGTGATGTGGTGAGGGCGGAGAGAGAGAGAGAGAGAGAGAGACGGGATATGGATTTAAGAGAATGTCTATGAGGATTCGAAACACGAGGAAGAAGCAAAGAGTATATGCCCGCCTTTTAAGACATGGCCGGCTAGCATATCATGCATGCATGTGGTGATTCTGTTCGCCCCATATTTGCTGCAGCTGGTCCTACATGAGTCTCCCGCTGAGCAGAATCTCGTCTTGCATGACTCGACAAGGACGATTTCCTCCCTGGGGAACTGCTGGAGAGGCGCGGGCCCAAGCATGGCGTCGTACTGAGGACAGTAGCGCCAAACTGCTGTGGAGTTTCGATGGGCACGACGCGGGGGGGGGCGCAATCCAAGGGACCGAGTCCACAATATGGGGTAAATGGGCGAGGGACTCGGAGGAGGAGTTTTGGCACGGAGAACATGCGGGTAACGACTACCGCGGGGGGTGGGCCCGTGGATCATGGTGTCGTTGACGAATGGTAGACACTGCTCCATTGGAGAGAGTATGATAGATTCTGAACTTTTGAGGCCCAGATCTCTTGTTGGGGAACTTGGGGTGAAGGGTGCGTCGTGTCGAGTCAGGCGTGAGGCTCCCCAGGTCGACGCATGACACGAGATTCGACCCCTGGTCACTCGCCTCGTGGTTCAGTGTAATTACTATTGCGTGTCGCTACTCCAAGTTTGAGTGAGGCATGCACGTGAATATTCAGGCAGCGTTGCGTCAAGATTTCATCTTGCATGGTTTCAACTCGTGTTTGGTATACTCATCAGATGCTGTCTACATGCACTTGTACTAGATGCTCCGTACCGCACCGGCGCAAGTTACCTGTAAGAAACTACAATCTCGCGCGGACGTCCTGCATGCTGGCGGCGTCCCTCTTGGCCCATTCGCGCATCGTCTTCCTCTGAATCTTGCCACTCGCCAGCTTGGGCACCTCGTCGATAAAGACCACGCCGCCCACCAGACGCTTGTGCTTGGCGACGCGCTTGGCCATCCAGTCCTGGATGTCCTTGGGCGAGACATTGCCCTTGGAAGACTCCTGGATCACGACGTAGGCCCGTGGCCATTCATTGTTGTTTCTGTTCGATCCGTCAGTTGACCGCGCATACAGTGAATGTGCTGAAAGCATGGGCAAGGGCAAAAGAACTTACAACGTGATGCCGACTACAGCCGCGTCCGCAATGTGATCGTTCTCCAGCAGGGCGGCCTCAAGCTCAGCGGGCGCAACCTGCAGAGCATTGACCTTGATCAACTCCTTCTTGCGGTCGACAATCCAGAAGAATCCCTTGTCATCGCAAATGGCAACGTCCCCCGTCTTGAGCCATCCCTCGCTGTCGAGACTGTCTCTCGTCGCCGCCTCGTTTCGCCAGTAGCGGAGGCAGATGTTGGGACCGCGAACCCACATCTCGCCCGGCTGTCCCTTTGCCACGTCCTTGCCATCCTCATCGACGAGGCGACATTCACAGTTGGGGTCCAGCTGCCCTACGGACCCCGAGTCATCCTTGATGCCGCCGGGCACGTGGATGGCGCCGCAAGTCACCTCTGTCATGCCCCAGCCCTGGTTGATCTGCACGTTGAAGCGGCGCTGGCACTCGTTCTGCAGCTCCCGCGACAGAGGAGCTGCTCCGCACAGGACATCCTTGACGCTTCGCAGGTCGTACCGGGCTGTTTCTGGCCTCTTGCTGAGCATGACGAGGATGGGCGGGGCGATCTGGAGGCTAGTGATTTTGTACCGTCCAATGGCTTCTAGAAACTCTTCATATCGGAACTCGGTCATGATGTAGACGGGCACCTGGAGCTTGATCGCCATGAGAATGGTGTACAGCTGACCGTACGCGTGGTAGAGCGGCAAGAAGCCAATCCAACGTTCCAAGGGTCGATCAGCAAACGAGTAGGGCTTGTGCGCATAACGCATAAAGACAGTCTGTTCGACATTGGCAATCAGGTTGTAATGGGAGACACAGACGCCCTTGGGCAAACCGGTGGTCCCTGAGGAGTAGTTGATCGTGGCGACCGTGCTCGTGGCCTCTTGCGGTGGTAGATCGGGCCAGTTCCAGGCGTCTCCCTGCTCAGGCGTGCCAATCATCTCGCGCCAGTCGAGCACCCCTTGGGAGGGTTCATTGGCGGTCTCGGAGAATTGGAAGATGCGGTCTTTGGGAACACCTGCTTTCCGTGCGGCGGGGAGGATGAGGGGGAGCATCTTGGGGTGTACGAGCAGTAGCTTTGCGGTTGTGTTTGTGATCTGGTGAACGAGCTCTGTCGCCGCGTCAGCCTACAGGCTCCAATGCACAAGCATGTGATCGAAACTCACCCTGCTCAGTGTATGCGGGATTCGCGCCGCTGAAGATGCATCCAGCGCCCACGATGCCGAGATACGCCACGGGCACATGGATCTGGTTGGGCGTACAGATCATGACCACATCATCCTTCCCCAACCCCAGGCGCCCTAGACCGGAGCCGAGTCGACGCACCCATTGCAGCAAGTGGAAGGGAGACAGGTTGGTGTTAGGGTCGCGCGCATCGTACCATAGGGGATCGCGTGACGGTGCGGCCGAGGCTGGCGGGCCAAAGAGGTACGTGAGGATGTTGGACTTTGGGATGTCCACGTCTGGGTACGGTGATTTGAAGACCATTGTGACTCCTCGCTTGCTAGAAAACTTGTTGCGATCAATGATACATTCAAGGTCCCTTTGACCTATGAGGAAGGGCATGAAAAGGCATGGCGACGTGCCATGGGTGGCCCAAGTCCGTCGGCTGTTAAGCCCGAGGTCTAGTTGGGAGAGGGGTAGTAGCCTCGAGGGCGAATCGCTTCCGCGCCATCAGCCTATTGGTGTGTAGGGAATGTGCCAGGAAGAAGGAGGATGCAGTTGGAGAAAATGATGATGCCGCTGCGGGCCGTGGCTATACGAAGAAGTTCCATGGCGGGATCGGGGTCCCCAGTTGAACCCCGGCTTGAGCTTCCCTCTTCCCCACAAAGTCAAGTCGGGGTTCGGTATTATCGAGACGGTCGGTCTGTCTCTGCTTCCTCTACCATAGGTAGTCAGGAAGAATCTGTGCTTGCCTGTCATCTTTGCATCCGTGCTCGATTTTCATTTGACAGAGCCGCAGAAGAACGTGAAAGCACAGCAAAATGTCACAACTCCGGGACTTCAACAACATCTTTAGCCTCAATGGCAAAACCGCCCTCGTCACGGGCGGCTCTCGCGGATTGGGTCTTCACATGGCCTCCGCATTCCTCCTCGCAGGCGCCTCTCTTGTCATCATCACAGCACGCAAGACTGCGGGCGAACAAGGCATCGACCAGGCTGTCGCCAAGCTCAATGCACTTCCCGGAATCAAGGGACGAGCCGCAGGCATTGCGGCAAACGTGGCCGATTCCAAAGACATTGTTCGCCTGGTGAGCGAGGTCGACGGTCTCGTGGGCAGCAAGGGGTTGGACATTGTGGTGTGCAACGCTGGCGCCGCCTGGGGCTCGAGATTTGAGGATGCGCCGCCAAGCAGCTCCGTCAAGATTCTGGATCTGAACGTCAGGGGAGTCTTTGAGCTCGTGCAAAAGTGAGTCTTTCCCAAGTCATTAATGCCCAGGAGACTGACAGTTTCAGATGCCTGCCTCTCCTCGAGAGGGCCGCCACTAAAGACGATCCTTCCCGTGTGCTCGTCATCTCCTCCACCGCCGGCGTCAACGTGCCTCATGTAGGCGAGCACGGTACGATCATGTACAGCACGTCGAAAGCGGCAGTGAATGTGAGTTTCCCCTGGCACTGTACTGGTCTCTTCGCGTGCTGACAAGCCAGCACCTTGCTCGGAACCTGGCTGTGGAACTGGGGCCGAAACACATCACCAGCAACATCATCGCACCGGGTTTCTTCCCATCAAAGTTGGCGCAGGGTCTGATCAGTAATCTGGGCGGCGAGGAGTCCCTGAGCAATGATAATCCGCTCAGGCGACTCGGTGAGCCAGAGGACATTGCTGGCGTCGCCGTGTTCCTGTGCTCCAGAGCAGGTGCCTACGTGTATGTTCGCCAGACTCGAGCTCGGAGACCATGGCTAACTGATTGCACAGGAATGGTGTCGATATCTCCGTCGATGGAGCAGCAAGACTGGCAGCAGGGAGATTGTCGAGGCTATAGATTTTATTCCAGTGACAGGAATAAATACAGTGTGACATGTGCCTCTTCTTTGTGCGTTTTCTTTGACAACACAATCCATAGTTTTCATTCCATAGCCAGCAAATAATGGTGGTAGTGCCATATGTACTTCATCATTCACAACAGATATTAACTACCGTTCATTCCACACTTATAGCTTGGCCATGTTGATGAAGATGGTCTTTTTGTCCGTGTACATCCTCAGCGCATCAATGGCATTCTCCCGCCCAACGCCACTTGTCTTTGTGCCTCCAAAGGGGGCGCTCAGGAACGCCATGCTGATGGCGTTGATACCCACCATGCCAGCGTCCACGTCGCTGGCAAACCGCAGCGCGCGGTTAATGTCCTGCGTAAAGACACCAGCCATGAGGCCGTAATGTGTGTCGTTGGCCTTGGCGATAATCTCCTCCTCTGTCTTGAACTTGTTGAGGACGGACACGGGGCCGAAGATCTCCTCGCGCGTAATCTCGGCATCGTCCGCCGTGCCCTCAAAGACGGTGGGCTGGACGTAGAAACCGTCCTCGCCGATGCGGCCGCCTCCGGTGAGGAGCTTGGCCTGTTTCTTGCCGCGCTCAATGAACCCGAGGACACGGTCATACTGGGACTTGTCGACCAGAGGACCGAGGAGGGTCTCCTTGGCGTCAGGGTCGCCGGCAGCCTTCCCCTTATCCTCCATAGCGGCCTTGTATCCCTGGACGAACTTGTCGTAGATGCCCTCCTGGACGTAGACGCGGCTGGCGGCGAAGCACACCTGGCCAGTGTTGGTGGTGATGGCATTGGCGCACCAGGCGATCGCGTTCTCGAGGTCAGCATCGTCAAAGACGACAGCAGGGCTCTTGCCGCCCAGCTCGAGCGTGACACGCTTGAGGTTGCTCTTGGCGGCCATCTCCTGGATCCGGCGGCCAGTGGCAGTCGAGCCGGTGAAGCTGACTTTCTGCACTTTCATGTGCGAAGCGAGCAAGGCGCCGGTGCTGCCCTCACCAGTGACAATCTGGAAGACACCAGGGGGGAAACCGGCCTCCTTGATCAATGTGCCCAGCGCAAGTGCGCTGAACGGTGTCTTCTCCGACGGCTTGAGGATAAAGGTGTTGCCTGTGGCCAGGGCGGGGCCAGCTTTCATGCCGACGTTGCCAAGGGGTCCGTTCCAGGGAATGATGCCCGCGCAGACACCCAGCGGCTCGTTCCTGATGATCTTGAGGAACCCATCTTCCTGGGGATACGTCTCGCCTGCAAACTTGTCGGTCCAGCCGGCAAAGTACCGGAACGCCTCCGCCGCCAGAGCAATCTCGAAGCTGCCAAAGCTCGCCCACGGCGCACCAAGGCTGAGCCTGGTCAGTTGCGCCAGGGTCTCGGCGTTGGCGTCGATCAGATCGGCCAGCTTGTTGAGGCAGTCGCGGCGCTCCTTGGCCGTGGTCTTGCGCCAGGACTGAAAGGCCTTTTGGGCATGTGCCACGGCCGCATCGACGTCGGCCTCGCCTCCTAGGGAGACATCACTGGCAATGACAGAGTTGTCCTTGGGGTTGAAGCATTCGAGCTTCTTGCTGTTCTTGGAGTCGACGTACTCGTTGTTGATGAAGAGCTGCTTGGGCAGGTTCTTTGTGCTCCAGGGGAAAGACATGATGACTCTGGGTGAGGGTGGAGCGGGTGATGAGAGGAGGCAGAGCGCAGGGTGTGTGGTTCAATAAGAGCACAGAGGATCATGGGAGACCCTGAATGTGAAGTCCACATATACGTAGTATATAGACTTTAGCAATAGAGCCCCCGCACAATGTCTCCATTCCGTGAGCCCGCTTGCAACCCACCATCGAAGACCTGTGCGTAATCGCAACATCCAATGCGGAGACGGATATCCAAACGCGCCTCCCTCGGGTTATAGTTTGAGTCAGCTGTGCTCGCCTGCAGGGCACGCATGACTCGGTAGGCCCCCGGGAAACGACACCCCTTTTTTTGGAGACTGTGGAGTAAAGTGGGTCCTGTCCCCCGGGAATCAGCCCGCTGCCCGCCAGCTTAAACTGGCTGCACGGGATTCAGTGTTCTCCGGGCAAGGCACCAAGGAGATCGAGAGGAGCCAAGTCTGCGTGGTGGCTGTGCCATTTTTTGTATGTCCCGTGGGGAAGACGTCTTCACCATGGAAGCTTGAAGAAGGTGTGCAACAGGTGTCCTTCCGCTTCGGCTACGGCAGACTAGCATGGGGCAGTTGATCTTGATGACCGCTTCTATGGTGAAAATTCCTTGGTTTTCTTAGACAGTTATCTTCACGCTTGCGCTCGCAAATCACATGTACGAGGAGTTCAACGAATAGAGAGCGAGGCGAATCGAGTGGCAGACAACGAGATTTATACACGCTATGACAGCAGAGCTCCAAGTTCCAACACAAGCCCACCCTTCATAGGGAGTCCTCTGGCATCATGTGCACCTTCTCGCCATGCTTCTCCCCGTACACCTTGGCCAACCTGTTGTACTCTTGGTGCCGCTTCGTAATCTCAACCGCCTTCTTCAGCTCGTCCCTACCCACCTGGTGTCTGTGTGCACTGTCAGGCCCGTCAGCCAACCTCGCCCATCGCGCGTAGGCCCAGATGCCAGGCAGTGGTGTGTGCTGCGTGACGCCCTGGCCGCCAAATATCTGCATGCATTCGTCGACGATGCCCTGCACAGCCTTGGGCACGAGGACCTTGCACTGGGCAATGGACTTCCGACCAGCCTTGGGACCAAACAGGTCAATCGTCTCGGCCGCATTGAGGACAACGAGACGCATGGCGTCGAGTTCAAGACGCATCTGCGCGACACGCTCAATGTTGGAGTCAAAGTCGCCGATGAGTTTCCCTCGGGGCTTGAAGCGTGGGTCGCGACAGCGCATGATGGCGAGTTCGACTGCACGCTCGGCTTGTCCGAGGAGTCTCATCGTGTGGTGGATGCGGCCGCCGCCCAGTCGTCCCTGCGCAATCTCAAAGGCGCGCCCCTCGCCTAGGATCAGATTCTCCTTGGGAATCACCACGTTGTCGTAGGTGTACTCGCCGTGGCCCTCGGGGGCCCAGTCGTACCCTAGCACGGTCAGGTTGCGCACCTGAGTGAGGCCGGGGCTGTCCGCCGGGACAATGAGCATCGAGTGGCGCCGCCAGGGGTTGGGATTCTCGGGGTCGCTCAGTCCCATGAGAATGTAGAACTTGAGATGCTTGTTCCACAGGCAGTTGGAGTAGAGTTTCCGCCCATTGATCACATAGTCGTCGCCATTCTTCGTGATCCGAATACCCACGTTTGTCGCGTCCGAGGTGGCGACGGACGGCTCCGTCATGGAGTAGCCAGAGCCGCAGGTCCCCTCCAGCAAAGGCTTCAGCCACTTCTCCTTCTGCTCCTCACTGCAATACTTGGCCAGGAGCTCGCAGTTGCCCGTGTCCGGGGCGTGGCAGTTGAAGACCATGGCGCCCCAGTAACACCGCCCCATGAGCTCGCACATGCAGCCGTATTCGAGGTTTGTCAATCCTGGGCTTTCCTTAAAGGTGTTGGGCAGGAAGAGGTTCCAGAGACCTTCTTCTTTGGCACGAGCACGCAGTTCTCGCAACAGAGGGGGCATGCCCCACGGTTTGGCGGCCAGCTGGGCGTCCATGACAGGCTCGCGGGGGATGATCTCGGTTTCCATCCATTGGTAGATGCGTTGGATCTTGTCAATGGCGAATGGCCTCAATTTGGCCTTGACTGGGGCAGGGATGTGCGCAAAGGCAGGGCCATCGAGGTGGGACGGCTGTGGCGAGGCCATGTTGGGGGTTATGCTTCAAGGTGTCGGTACCAATTCGTGTGGCCTTCAACGATGGTCCAGAGGAATAGTGAAAGCCGGCAGGCGTCAGTTATAAGTAAGGACTCGGACGGGATTCATGAACCAGAGATTGGGCCGCGGCTAGGCTAATAGGTGCCCTCCCCTTGCACACTGGCACGCCCGGCCCGGCCCCCACCCTTTAGCTTACCCCGGAATTCAGTGTAAGCCTTGTCGAAATAGCCGGCCGCGACTAGAACCCCTTGTGAATAAATCAGTGGTTCAAGCGTCTATTACACCTTTGTTGAATTTGAAGAGCTTGTATATTCATCGTAGGTGTCAGAAAATTAAGGTGGCATAAGCGAGCGTAGAGTCAAGGGGAAAGCAGATGCGCATTCTTTGGGTCGACTAATTATGAAGAGTTTGGAACGTTTGATTCATGTAGCTTTGCATCTAATGCTATAATACTGAAGCTTGGATGTTTCTGTCTTCTGCATCAAGGGCCACACCGCAGATGTGCGTAGCTTTGGCGACTCTCAAGTTCAACTCGGCCATCCGACCGTCTTCGTTCGACAGCATGGCTGTTGGACTTTGATGAAGAGGTCCTCGAAAGTCTTAACACATCAATAAGCATTCTGCCTCCTCTCATCCTGCTCCTTCTTCATCTCGGTCGTAACACGCTTTACTTGTACCGCTAGGGTACACAGGCTTCCTAGCACTTCTCCCAGCAGCGCCGCGCCGAGATCCGCGTACAGAGTCAGTACGCTCTTGCGCCCCAGGCCACCTCCTCTATACAAGTCATCCGCAGGGGACGAGAAGCGCAGCCCGTCCCAACGATCCAGCACCGCCACAAGCCGATCATAATCATCAACGAGGCAAAGTTTCGTTTCGATTCCTGCCATTTCGGCGTCCCGAAAGCGGCGAGATACCCAGAGAAGGCCACCTTGGGATGATTGCCACCGCCAAATAGGCATGCCGCCTGAGAACTGCGCCCGCTGGTGGGCCGGGACGGCATTGATATAGACAGTTTCACGACGGCCGGGCATGTGGCTGGGTGCGCTGTCAGAGGTTGCTTGGGTCGGAAGGTACATGGCGGAAGAGTATTTGCTCTTAGAAGTTGAAAAAAGAGAGACGCGGCATGCTTCAGTAAAGGGTTGAGGCGTTTGTGCGCTCATCGATGCCACCCCTGTTGGTTCCTGTTGGCTGGCAGGTGTCTTTTTGCCGGCATCTATGGGCTGTTTCGTATAGGATGGCAAATCCTCCGCGACAGCGTCTTGTGGTGGCGGCCGCATCATGACCTTGATGCAGGCATCTTGGGCGTAACGTGAATCCAACGCGTCGATGCCGCTGGCATGGATTTCATAGAGCACCTCCGCATCGTATTGCCTGCTTGAAGAAGGCTGTTGATCACCCCCGCGGACGCTTCCCTCCAGCATGCAACGAATAGGGCTGCCTGACGAGTCGGTGGCGAGGAGCGTTAACCGCGCGCGCGGATGCGTATTTATAAAACGTTTGTTGCAGACTTTCATCTCGCGCTCGGATATCTCGGGGCGCGGCCCCAACGGTGACCTCGCGACGCGCAAACCACTGGGCAGCCGGGCGAGATCAGGACGCCAATCATCAGGCGCCGGGACGAAATTATCGTCTTCGACATCCACTGGTATCGTGTATTGGCACTCGCCCACGCCGCTTGTAGCGATGGCGAGGCGGAGACCGCAGCGACGACAGGAGTGGGTGACAAATTGAGGTCTGAGTAGGAACGGGAACATGATTAGTGTTGTCCCCAAAGTGAGAGGCGCGAAGAGGATGATGACGCCAGTGCATGCTGCATATCTACTTGCGGTCAGTCATACGGAACATGAAAAGGGCGAGGCTTCATCTTCAACAGCCAGTAGACTCACCGCCATCCGGCGAGGCGTTCCTTTGCTAAGACGGTGGTGCCTCCATGGCGACAGGCAGGACAGGTGACAAATTGGGCGCGCTTGTATGTAAGTTGACGAAGCGGGTTTGAGCCCATTGGGGCGTCACTGGCAGCTGTTCGCATGATGTGCGCTCGAGTGCGAGTATGAGGGTGCACTGAGTCTTAGACCCCTGGGTGTTTGGACATGGCGGACCACGAAGACGGCAGAGCCGCGCTCCGGAGCGCAAGGTATTAAATGAGAACGGCATGAGGCTGAAGACATGCAATGGGTCACTTTGGGTGCATTCACAGAACTGTGACATATGTTCAAACGCAAGCGAGAATGCCTACGACTTACGGCTACGTAGTTTATTGTGGGTTTCTCGCTTAGCGAACCAGTAGTGAATGAATTGCACAATGCAGAGGCCTAAAGGAGGTGTACAAAAGATGTACAAAATTAAGTAATTGCGGAGGCTCAGCCGCTGTAACCCTCGCATAAGTACCAGTACCTACCTGAATTTGGCCAACGATAACGCTCTATCGGGTACTTCTCGTACCCTCCGCGTACCGCGCACGATTTCCGCTCCAGCTGGTACTGACTGGAGACATCACAAGACACGTCCAAGGCTCACTCGAGCTTGGCTAGTATTTCGCCCACCCATCCGCCGAGCTCTACTTACCAACACGGAAGATAAGCATGCAACGCGCTGATCAGCGGAGAAGAATTTCCAAAGGAAGAGAGCGTCATGCGAGCCATGGCCGACTGGCGTAAGTGAAAAGAAAAGGCATGGATTTGCCCTGCTTGGGTTGGGAAAGCCACACTGACTCTAGGCTCATGTCGCCCTACCCTCACACATTCCAATCAGATACTTGAGAGCCATCGTATCGTGTTCACATCCAGGTCTAAGCTCAGAACAAGGCATCACTCGGGCGCTACATGTAACTATACATCCCTTGGCCGAAACGAAGCGCAGTCCCGTATTTTGGATCGACCTGCCTTCTGGCGTCTATCCCTGAGTTCCTGACTGGCTCCATCCTCATGCAATGTTGCCTTTCTTAAGGTCGCCTGCCACTATCTGTGGTCCTTTCTCAATCCCAGCTTAACAAAGCATGGGATTTCCTGAGTATTATCAATTGGCGCAGCTCCACCGCCGAAGGCTTGGGCCCCACGCGACGCGACGAAGAAGCATCCATGGCTACCGCGACCGGCCCTACTCGCATGACGAAATTGCAGGCCATGGATTTTCCCTCTCTCGGCGATCATGATTGCGATATAGGTCTTTATAAGCTGCTGGCATGGTCGCTGGAGAAGCTTGGGAGTTCAGTGATGATAGAAATCAGGAGTTTACCGAGGCAAGGCGCCAAAAATGCAGGACATTGGTAAAATGCATTGTTGCCAGGCACCTTCACTAGACCCCAGGAGACATGAATCTTAACCTTGACAGCGCCCAGAGGCGAGCAGGAGTCAAGGTTGTGATAATTACCTTATGTCAACTTCATGGTGACTCTACGTACGAGCGTGCACTATTAACGAGCAGGGGTCCCCGCAGTCCGCCGCCCGACGAACACGCCAACAGAACCCCGCAGAAATCCGTCGGCTCCAGTCTGGCATCGACGACGACAACGGACCTCGGAAACTTGCCTCAGCCTGGCGTGCCACCTAACTTCCGATAAATCTGGCCCGATCCCAGGAAGGTTCTGGCTAAGCAAACGAGCAGACTCCAGTCTCGCAACAACACCCCTACGGCCTCCCCACGCTCAACCAGTGACGACAATCGCATAATCGCATATGGCACCGACTTCCACCAAAGCCGAGGACGGCGCCGCCAACGGCATGACGATACAGCCATGTGATTTGAGCCCACAGTCCCTGAGACAGACATCTTTAGAACTCCGAACCCGCATCGACAAGTTCCTCGACGAAGATCATACAGATAACAAGGCCCTGCGCAGCCTGCAGGGCCATGTGCGCGTGGCGATGGAGGTGATTGGGGAGGCCCTGCAACGATACGGGTAGGTCCCCCAGCGGGAGGTGCGCAATGGCCAGCTCGGTCTAGAGACGTTTGCTGATGTTCCAGTCTCGATCACCTGTCCCTTTCCTACAACGGTGGCAAGGATTGTCTCGCCCTGCTCATTCTGATACTCGCCTGCTTACCCGATCTCGAGAGCCTCCCGCGAAACGGCTCGTCTGACGCGCCCGCGGCACCACCGAGCACACTACATTCCATATACATCGTGTCGAAAGACCCGTTTGCCGAAGTCGAAGATTTTGTCGTGCGGTCCACAGAGCAATACCATCTCGACTTGCGACGATATGCGCTGCCGATGCGAGAAGCGCTCGATGCCTACCTAGAGGACCGTCCAGAAGTCAAGGCAATATTCATGGGAACCAGGAGAACAGATCCGCATAGTGATACGCTAGGTCACTTCAGTCCGACAGACAAAGGGTGGCCGCAGTTCATGCGGGTGAATCCCGTCATAGACTGGCACTATGCGGACATATGGGCGGTAGGTTTGGCATCTGAAGAGGTCACACAACACATTGCTGAGACCCTTGCAGTTCATCCGACATCTCAAAATACCGTACTGCGTATTATACGATAGAGGCTTTACATCCCTGGGCGGCACATCAGATACACTACCGAACCCAGCCTTGGCCATTGACGTTTCAGCTAACCTATACCGGCCAGCGTACGAGCTCGTACGCGATGAAGAAGAACGTAAAGGACGGGTAAAGAAATAGGATTTCCTTTCCTGTCTGGCATGCTTGCGACACCAGCAGCACATAGAATCATAGAGCAGCAATTGCTTTGGGTTTTCTACATCACAATGAGGACGGGGAAACGTAAATTATATCCGGCCTAGGAGAGGCAAATACCAGCATCTACACTTCGGAGCGGGCGCACACTTCACCAAATACATGATCAGACGACGAGCGACATTTGCCTCGCTTTATTTGCATGGGCCGGCAGTGTCTTCTCTGTTCATGTTCACAAATCATCCCACATGATGTTGCGGACTTTGTGTGAGTGACATGAATACCAGCATCCTCCGGAGCGCCCCACTGTAAATTATCACCGAGCTCGGCCTTCATCATCGCAGAGATTTCCTTGAGACAACGCATCTCGGCGGCCAACTCGAGAATATGCAGTCGATACGATGCCTCGCGCGGCCCAGCGTCGCGTTGCCCCCTCGTGTCTTCACGGCAACCCAACGACGCGCACACTCATCGGTTGTCTCTCCGTTGGCGTACGATCTCCATGAGCCAGCTAAGCCCAAGACCGACAAACACAATGCACCAATCATCTTCATGCACGGGCTTTTTGGCTCGAAGAAGAACAACAGAGCCATGAGCAAGTGGGTTCATTGACATTCTACCTAGATGGCTGTGCTAAGTGGCGTAGGGCCCTGGCTAGGGATCTGGGCCGTTGTGTCTATGCGTTGGACCTCCGTAACCACGGCGAGTCGCCACATCACAAGCGCCATGACTACGACGCCATGGCAGACGACGTGCTACACTTCATCTCAGAGCATAAGCTCAAAGATAGCACGTTAATCGGTCATTCCATGGGTGCCAAGACAGCCATGGCCCTCGCTCTGCGCTCGCCAGACTCTGTTCAGGATATCGTGTCCGTGGACAATGCGCCTGCGGATAAGATCCTGAGCCGCGACTTTGCAGACTACGTCCGGGGCATGAAGCAGATTGACGCCGCAAACTGCACGCGCCAGGCCGAGGCGGACAAGATCCTGCAAGAGTTCGAAGAGGCACTCCCCATCCGTCAGTTTCTGCTGGGCAACCTGCACCGTCCCGACCCCAAGTTGCCGACGCAGAAGTTCAGAGTGCCTCTGGGTATCCTGGGAAAGAGCCTGGACAACATGGGCGACTTTCCCTACAAGAACCCTGCGGAGAGGAGATTCAACAAGCGAGCACTGTTTGTCCGGGGCACCAAGAGCAAGTACGTGCCAGATGATGTCCTGCCTTTGATTGGGGAGTTCTTCCCCCGCTTCACGTTGGTGGACATTGATGCTGGTCACTGGATCACGTCTGAGAAGCCAGAAGAGTTCCGCCGCGCTGTAGTCGAGTTCCTCCAGCCCCAGGAATAATGAGGGAGTCACAACGGAGTAGACAGTCCTAAGACAGAAACATAGACATAAATCATGAACCGTTTTACCATTTCAAGGGAAGCAGTCCTAAATTCCCAAGCCACCTCGAAAATCTACGCCATTTGTGATGATCGTAAACAATTTGCAACGGGATATGTTGTCCCGACATGGCCCATTGCCTCCTATTGCGCCTTCCACACGTAAAGACAGCCGCTTAGACATCCTCGAGCACACGCTCCTTAAACTCGCGCTCGACCTTCTGACCCTGGTCGTCGGTCCCCGACTCGCCGTGGAGAGCCATGAGGGCACCAAGGTCGAACTTGGGTGCCTTCAACAGCTTGACCTTGCGGATGTGGACCTGGGTTGCGTTAGACGTACGTTCAAGGGACAGTACCACGGAAAAGAAAGACTCACATTCTGCAGGGGGTAGATGCCCTGGGTGGACTTCTCGATTTCGCGGCCAATGACCTCGGGAATCAGCTTGGAGGTGAGCTGGGTGAGGGTGCTGGTGCTGGCCTCGCGGGTGATGATCTCGGTCATCTTCTTGCGGATGGCACGGATCTGCGAGGAAGCGGCGTAGGTGGTCTTCTTGACCTGGTTGGGGCGGCGCTTGGTGAAGGCGATGGCGAAGAGGCGGACAAGGTAGTCGTCGGTGGTCTTGACGGTGACGTTGGCCTCGATGAGGGACTGCCACTTGCGGACGAGGGAGCGGAGCTTGTCAGAGGTGAAGTCGAGACCGTGGAAGGCAGTCAAGCAGTTCTTGCCCTGAACCTCGTCGACCCTGAGGCGGACCTTGCGGAACGAGTGGTCCTCGTCCTTCTGGAGATCGGCCAGGGAGACCTCAAGGATGCGGCCCTTGAGGGCATCGTTGGCGTTCTTGAGACCGGTGGTGCGGTTCACCAGGGTCTTGCCGACACTGGGCTGGGTCAGTTTCCTGTGCTCCGACTCGCCTGTCGTTCGGTAGATGGCAACTCACTCTCGGACGTTGAAAGGGTTGGGAGCCTTGATCGAGTACCAATCCTTGCGGGTGAAGGGGTCGACGGTCTTCTTCTTGAGACCCTTCTTGCCCTTTGAGAGACGCTTGTTCCTGTTCGCAAAAGTATCAGCCGCTGTCCGAATCGCATCGTCGCAATTCTCATCGCTGCAGAGAATTGATTTCGAGGGGGGCGCTGCTCACTTTCCAACCGCCATGATTGCTGGCTCTGATTTGCACAGTTGGAGAAAAACTGACGATGGGTGGCTGTGATGGGTTTGGTGGAGGGGCGTCGCTGTCGAGAGGGCGAAATAATTTCAATTGTGTGTGCACTGGTCGGCTTAGGTCTGCGTCGTGAAAAGTGCGGCACCACGTTTGTCCGTGTGGGGCTTTCCGAGGGGAGGGCCGCGATAGCACGTGATCAAGAATTTTCGGAGACGGCCCTGACACTGGACAGCAGCCTTCGGGTGAACAGAGCCGGTCAATATTATTAAGCCCACGGCCCTCCGTGCACCCGGTTCTGTAATCACGCTCACTAATAATAGGACAAGCCCTCTTTCACTGCATACAAAGCATCGAGTTGAGCATATCTGCTCTTGTACTACAGGATGTAGTACGTAGTCCAGTCGAATGAGATATGGTCGATTCGATTACAGGTCATCGAAGATGGTGCCCTGTCGTGTCTGCTACAGCCTACAGTAGACTAGCAATCCGTTCTGCTCGTGTTGGACTAGGCGCTTGACAATGGTTCCCCGCTGCCGATGCGTAGCCCACTTGAAGAATCGCGATGAGCACATACGTGCAGTTCCCTGTCTCTTTGGACCTGTTCTTTCGTCGATCAGAGGTCGCATAGGCTCCATTCGTCGAATGTTCATGAAATCTGAACTCCTTATTTCCTCACACAAATACATACTACAGTCATATACTAATGATGCTTCCCATCAATGCGCCCAACGCCTAGCTCGAAAATAGCCACCTGAGTCATGCTTCCTGTGATCATCCTATCGCGATCGCAATCCGGGTTCTGTTCAAGAATTCCCCGGCCCCCTGCCTCCAGTCGTCATCCACATGCAGGTCGGTGTGCCAGGTTTCAACGGCAGCAGCACTCTGCTCAACTGATGACGGTCGATCCTGGAGATGCGCTGCGCGCACGTCTGCTCCTCTGCTGTTGCTTCACGGCCTGCGGATGCTGTCGCTCCAACTTTGCCATGGCGCGTGGTAAACCACACCGTGATTGATGATTGTCCCAACTGGAATCTCTCGATAGATAGATCGATTTGAGATTCACCTGTGCTTGCAAATCAATCCCTTCACTTCAGGGATTTCCATCTGTTTTCTCGCTTTCTTCCTGTGTACTTTCCCAATTTTCAAAACTTGGGAAGCTGAAATAGCATCCATCTTTTGGGCCGTCAGCCTACTTCTTGGCGAGGTCGTGGAAGCGGTCACTTACTACTGAATGATCCCTCGGGTGTTGAATTTTCCACGCATGCCACACGGTTCTCAATGGTCATGGGCTCCGATTTGATGGCTTCAGCTTCATACGTTCCTGGCTGATAGTAGGCCATTTTGTGTAACAGGTCGGCTGCGGTGTGCGGCGACCGATGCGACAGTCTAGACGCTTGCACATCGTTGCTGGACAGAGGGGTGATCGATGGCTCCGTGACGCTGCTTCGTAGCAGGCGGGGCCTTTGCGAAGTCGGTGATGATGACGGCGAGGCCGATGAAGTAGAATGGGCGGATGAGCGCCGACTGGGAGCAGTTCGTCGAGTATACATGGTGAATTAGGCCGATTGGCAATGCGAATGGAAGATGAAGGCTCGATATTGTAGCAAATGGTCGACAGCAAAAAAGGTGCAAACGAGCGTGCTAGAGTCGCGATGATAGAATTTACATGAGAAGATGAAGGTGGTCAGAGTGCAAAGGCTTAATTATTTACTTACGTACTTCAGACTCCCACATCATGGCCAGACCGACCGACCCGCGGTCGCAGGACCTGCTCCGGTTCGTGATGGATTGATCCGTCAATAGCGCGTGAAGCCGGGATCCCCGCAGGACCCGCCCCCTTGACTGAGTGGTGCCACCTGGCAACCTCTTCCGCCATGTGCCTCTCAAGCCACGTCGTGGCCCCTGGTGTATGGCCATATGCACCACTGGGCAGCACCGCTCTTCTTCATCACCGCCAGGTAGCTGCCCACAGATGCACGTAGCTGGGGCTCGTTGATACCCAACCTGCTGGGCTGCCTTATTACCGCAGTGCCCCATACGCAGCGTCGCAGACCGCATCTTGTGACACTGGACTTTGGGCGGCACGGGTCGCAACGGGAGTGGCCGTTCTCGCCAGATTGCGGGCAAGATTTGTTACGTTCTCTAGCAGGCACCAGGCTTGCTTCACACCATCAGATGCACTTGCATCAGACTCACTGGCCAACAGAGTGTTGCCAGCTTACGGAGACGGCATGAGGCTTGGTTCACACAGCTGATGATTTCTTGTCTACTGCTCTAGGGGGTTGAGGGAGTGAATACCGCGATTCCCGACCGTCAAGTCTCAATGATCGACGCTGCTTCCATGTTAGACGAGTATCGGACGCAAAGGCTGTTGACTTACTCTTCCCACATGCGTCCCTGAACTGCCTGCAACTCCTCTTCCGTGAGTCTCTTACCCGCAGTGAAGTAGCCTGCGGTAATCTTCGCATCGATTTCGACGCGGGAGTCGGCTGGTATCAACTCGTCGGGCAACTCCACTCTCTCGTGGATCGGGATTCCCTGTCCCACAATCGCATCGTGCTTCATGCTACACTGCGTGTTAGTGGAGGGTAAATGTCCATGGGCGCGCATGGTTTCTTACTTGCTCATGCTCAGCATGCGGTCGATCTTCTTGATGCCGAGCCAGTGAAGAATGTCCGGCATAAGGGCTTGGAACCGCATGTCCTTGACGCCAGCAATGTTCTCGGTCCGTTTGAAGTAGTCCGAAGCACGGTCGGCGCCGCGTTTGCGGGCATTGTACACAAGATATTTGGTCACTTCGCCCAAGGCGCGGCCTTCCTTGCGAAAGTAGATGACCACACCACTGCCGCCATTCTGCGCCTCCTTGACAGCTTCTTCGATGCCAAAGATAAGATAAGGGCGGCACGTGCAAATGTCAGAGCCAAAGACATCGCTTCCGTTGCATTCGTCGTGGATCCTGAGTGACAGCCTCACAGACTCATCGGACATCTTTGCCGGATCGCCAAAGCAGTACACCGTCAGACCACCAATAGGAGGCAGAAACAACTTGATGTCGCCTCGTGTGATGAGTTCAGGGTAGCTCCCGCCAGTGTGCTCGAAGAGTGATCTGCGGAGGGTGCCCTCGTCTAGGACAATTAGCCACTGACAGCGCGCCCCGTGGTGGTCAGACAAGATACTCACCGATGCCAAATCGCTCTGCGACACCTGGCAAATACCACACTGGCTCGACAGCGAACTTTGTGACGGCCAATTCTCCCAGATTATTGAGACAAACCTTGCCGTCGGGAACACTGAATGGTCAGAGAGCGGCTGCAAAGAGTGCCTGATACTTACAGTCGGCCTTTACGCACACTGTCCTCCAACTCGGGAAGCTAGAGATGTCAGAAAATTGGCTGAAAAATATGGGGGGGATGTTTGATTCACCCTCATATGTGCTTTTGTGATAGCAATGGTGGGACGAATGTCCACGCCGTCATTGTCAATCACATGCTTGAAGATCCAAGGGGCAAGATGCCCGTACGGATCCATGGCTACAATCTTCTTGGGGTCACCCCATTGTGGAAAGGGCCCAATAGAGGTAGAAGGCTCTGTATTGGTGAAATCGGGCTTGTGATCTGTGTCGAGCTCTTTGCTAGCCACCGCCAATGCATAGTATATCGAATAGGAACCGCCACTGTTACCGCGTCAGCATTTGGCAGAATTCTTCTCCGTGGTATTTCTGACTGTGCTGCTACTGTCAGTTCTATTGTGTCATTCAGAATACCAAGAAAACGTACCTCCAATGGCTTAATCGATGAACGCACGGTTAGCGACGTAACCTCGAGTCGATCAGGTATACATACCATTGCGCTGCCTGATCGTTGATGGCAACCGAGATACAACTACTGGCCCCCTTTTCATTGGATCGAAGCTGCCCCAGTTCATGGGTAGGGGCTTGATACCAATCTGCTTCGGATATGTCCTACCAATGTCAGATTGATGGTCACATGCAATAAACGGAGAGGTACACCAACGTAAGAACAATCCGTGAAGTCAACGCAGGACGTGATGCTGGAGAAACTGCGGTCGGGGCTTCCATATTACTTCCATCCTCGTTCTGACCTGGACGGGCCACTCCCTCATTGGATGTCATGGGCGCGACCGCATCATTGGAAATTTCTGTATTTCCAGGCGTAGAACGCAAAGGAGTCGATGACCCATTGCTTAGGGATGGAAGACCAACACGCTCATTCAGGGCCTCCACAGCTGCTACCAGCCGCGACTGAGTCTCGGCAACCTGTCTGAGAGTATGGAGGACCTCATCCCGGCTTCCCTCATCGGCCATGGTGTCGAGTTTGTCGGATGATGGTTAAGGATATTGAATATAGACGAACACGGGAACGAATAACAATGAATATAGAAAAGATGCAGCCCTCAAGGATGGAACGAAAGAGAATGGAGGTGTGACAGACGAACAGACTGGACCGATACAGACGCGGGTTGAGCGGCACAATGCAGGACGGCAGCAGACCTGCTCAATTAAGGTACACACTACCAGGCAGGTACCTGGCGTAAGGTCTCGAGTCTGCTTACCATGGCTTCCCAATCACATTGAGATAAGGTTGGAGATATGGAAGCCGTCACCGGGAGGTCTTCCTGTGAGTAGCAGGGGTATATCCGTTTCCTTATCGGATATTGAGATGGTATTCGATCGTCAACGTCGAGAGCCTCCGGTCTGATGTTGGTCTAATAGACACGTTTCACCAGAAACCAGATCATATCAGACAAACCTCCACGCCTTCCGGTGAGCCTGCGGCTCTCCGCCCAGATGTCTTATCACTCGAGGTCACAAGACGGCCAACTACGAGGCCAGTCCACTCCAACTCTACCAACTCGGACTAGTTGAGGGGAACTTCCCATCGGACGTCACCGAAAGGGGCGGGGCTTTGAGTTCACCGCACCCTGCCCCGCTACGTCTCTTAAATACATAAGGTACTACTGCTTTAGTTGCATATTACGTACGCTGTCACACTTTGTAATCGCGCCAGGCGCAATCGTGCAGTGTCTTATCGATAAAAGATCGCGGCGCGATTGAGTGGTAGTTGTTTGCGACTTGCGTGATTGCGTCTGTGAACTTTCTCCCCTACACCATCAAAGTGCGCATTGAATGATCAACACCCGGCGACCATGGGCAAACGCAAGAAGTCGTCGAGAGGGCCTCAGGCCAAAAAGGTACGTTCTTCCCATCTCGTGTGGCCGCGTCAGGTTCGTTAACCTTGCTGCAGAAAGAGGTGCTACCAACAACCTTCACGTGCCTTTTCTGCAATCACGAGAACGCAGTGAGCGTAAAGCTTGACAAGAAAGCCGGCGTGGGACAGCTAGACTGCCGCATCTGCGGCCAGAAATTCCAATGCGCTGTGAATTGTAAGCGACCTGCGCAAGAACTCTCGAGAATATGTTTCTGATTTGTGTTTGCAGACCTGTCAGCGGCAGTGGACGTCTACGGCGAATGGGTTGACGCTGCGGACGCTGTTGCCAAGGAAGACGCCGCAGCGAACGATGGGTACACAGGAACAGCGAGACGACGACAACCGAGGCCAGCAGGGGGCGATGACGAAGACGCTGGTGGTTATGACGGGGATGGAATCGTCGGAGACGACGACGAGATTTGAGGAGTTGGGCATGAAGGTGTGAATGACGGCGGACAATACGAAATAATGATCCCAAACTAGCCTCACACTCGTGTGCGCCTGTCTGTCATTTCATATGGTATAGAATCTATCGCCGAAATCGCCGAGCCCTGGTACGATGTAACTGGGGACAGGTTAGCAACGCTCAAGACAGGATGGAGCTTCATACTTCTTGTCATCCAACCCTTCGTCAATGAAGGCTGTGACGACCTTCAACTTGGGGAACTTGGTCGCGAAGTTCTTGACGCCCTCCGGGCTGGCGATCAGATTGAGGAACAGAATGTGGTCCTCCGGGACGCCTCTAGACTTGAGTACCTCTACGGCCATGATCGCGGAACCGCCAGTGGCGAACATGGGGTCTAGCAGCAGGACCCATCGCTCAGCAATGTCCTCGGGAAGTTTGTCATAGAACAACTTGGGCTGGGCCGTCTCCTCATCCCGCTGGATCAGGATCTTGCCTATCCGCACAGATCGACAGCAGTCGCGGAGGCCCTGCTCCATGGCCTCTCCAGCCCGCATGATGCTGACGCCGCAAATCTTGCCTTGGAACATGAGGCCATTGTATGTCGAGCCGATTGGTGTAGTGACAGTATGTTCCATCACAGGAAGATGGTTCAAGCCCTCTTCAACCAGGAGCCGAATGATGCGGTTAGAGTAGAATATAAAGTCTGCCCTTTCAGTGTCCTTGGAACGGATCATGGACAGCAGGGCAATGAGCTGCGGCGACTGGGGGAGGATGCGGACATTGTCAAAAGGGACCTGAACCGAGACAGTGGCCTGTGGCTTCTCAGCTTGCGACTTGAAGCCCGGTCCGACAGTTTGTGTTGGCGCGTTGCCTGGAGCCATCCTTGCCTGACTTTCTCTCTGTAGATTCTGAGGACTGTCTAGATGTTAACCGCAACCCGTATGTGTTCCTGGGAACACTCACTGATCTGCGCTCAGCAGTTGGATGCAACGATTTCTGGACTTGTGCGATTGATCTTTGAGGGAGGATGGGATACGAGAAGTCGCACCTTACTCGTTGAGGCATGTGCTCTCGTGGAGAGGGTGGACAGCAGTGCAGCACCACTTCTGGTGGTGGGGTGTTCGTACTGCTGTACATATTCGACTCGAAGGGCATATGCATTAATAAGAGGATCTTCATCTGACCTGACTGGCGCTGTTAGTTAAGGTACCTGGTAGGTATCGACAGAAACTCGTCAAGCAACTTTGTCAATGCAAATGGTAACAGCGAAATGCACATGTAGATGGCTCAAAATCATGTTCATATAGTGGGACTTAATTTCAAGCGTAGAATTTTGAAATGCTTGATCGTTGTAGGAAATACCCAAAGTCAAAATGCGCAGCCTGTGAGGTGCTGGCGCAAAGCTGCTTTGCGCAGTTGCGCTTCTTGTTCTGTTTGCGAGCTTGCATCAACACGCTCCAGTCCCTGCCTTACATGTAATCACCTCGACTTCAGTCCAATCCTGCACTTCACGTGTCATTCCTCTCTCCCTTTCTTCATCTGAACGTCCGATTCGATGCCCTGATCCGAACGACCTTGCATGGAACATATCGCAGACTCGCTTCCGCGGTTCACAACTCGTTCGAGCTACCTCCCATCATGATGGCGTCGCAGGGCGCATCGCGGAGGCCCATGTCCTACAGTAAACGCGATCGCCAGAATCGCTCTACCGAGTCCAGGATGGACGTATCACAGATAGATCCCTACGACATTCCTGACGACGATGAAACGACCCCACGGGCCAAGGCCACCTACAGTCGCCTGAATCGCAACAAGCCGACAAAGAGAAACCCATCAGATTCAACGGCCGATCCGTATGAATTTCCTAGCTCCGAAGAAACTGTCCAACTACAGCGAGCACAACCCGCAAATACCGCTGGCAACAGACTCAAGCCAGTGCCCCGGCCGAAGCGGACACCCTCGAAACCCGCGCTTGTCGAACGCGCCTCGACCGTATCCAAGAGTCCCGAGACTGGAGTCAAGAGGAAAATGAACCAGATGGAGGGAAGGACGGTCAACATCTCATGCAAGCGTTATGCGACAGAACGAACTGAGGTTGTCGCTTCCAAGGCCAATGCGAAAGCGAAGGCGCATGACCTGGCTTCAGTAAAGTCCAATGCGCCAATGCCACCATCGACCCCGAAAGAAAGACACGCGAACAGGATAAAGACGCCCAAGACAGCCTATGGATCTGATGAGCAGCTAGTCAATGAAGCCGAATCACGCAAACTCCAACAATCGGTCTCTCTCCCTTCGAGGGCAGCAGCCAACACGGGCACGCCTGTGCTGCCTCATGCTCAGAGAAAGTCACGCCTCATTGATACTTTGGCAGCCCAGGCAAACGAGGATTCTGAACCCGACTCCGATCTTGACGACGAACCGACGCCCCGGAATCAGAGATTCGCCACGCCAGTTGATACACAAGCGGAAGACATCGGTTCCGCCTCGCAAACCCCAAGTTCGCAACGCGTCAACAGGGCCGGGCCAGATACGTGGGCCAGATCTGCACAGCCCCTAGTTTCCAGCAAGAAGGTCAAGCGGACATACGGTCATGTGCGGCGTATTCGTGAAGATTCGCACCACGGCAGTCCGTTTGCCTTGGGCGGTGACCTGCAGAGCGATCCTTTAGTACCGAGTACACCTGGCTTCTCCAGCCCCGGACCTCCCCTCGACGATTATGACATGGAAGATGATGATGGGCTTGCTGTCAATTTCAAGAGCGTACACGAACTCAAGCGTGAAGGTGCAAACCACAGATTCACCGATGTCATGGACGAGATGCACCTGCGGATAGGGATTCCTACTGAGAAGCCATCTTCTCTACGGCGCAACGCATTGCTTGAGTTGGCACAGAAACTTCAGGAATCTAGCTTCGCGGTTCAATTTCGAGATTCAACGATACGCGACGATTTGGCCCGCAGTATCGGACAAGAGAACGACATTATAAGCGGATTCGCCATGGTGGCTGCGTTGGTTGTGTTCCTCTCGTCACATAGCGCACCCAACCTGCTGCAAAGGCTGGTAGAAGAGGGCTTAGGGAAGCTGCTAGCAAGATTGCTGCAGAAAAACGAGGACATCATGGATGTGGCGTCACAGAGAAGCACCAATCTTTCCAAGTCGACCAAGAGCACCATGAGCAAGCTAGTCACCGAGATAAAGCGCATGAAGATTTGGCACGGTCGTACCATCAGCGCTATCACACCACGAACCCTGACCTTACGGCTTATGCAGGACCTGCAGCATCATCTCGATGTTAGACTCATGGCTCAAGTATTCGAAGAAATAGAAGACAGACTGGATATGGCTATGGAGGACGAAGTGATGGGAGGATACGGGAAGCGTATCGACGGCATCCTGATCCTCCACATCTTACAACACAGTACTGGCTACGACAACTCGCAGCTCACTCCGCAGCAGTTTGACCGCCGTGCGGCATGCTGCCTGCGCTTCTTTGAAATGGCTTTGGAAAAGTGGCCGGACACGACGACAGCCGAGGCAGATACTGCCGTCTTGAAGTGGACTATCAATACGACAAACTCCAAGGCAGGCGCTGCTGTATTCGGTACACCTCAACTCTTGGACAACCTTGCCAGTTCGATACATGCAACACTGCGCCAGTCCTACGAGGCTAGTTACGAAGACTTTGCTACGGACGGCAGGTTGCTAGATGTGCTCCCTTTAGCCATGTGTGTTATGATCAACATCATGGAGCACCACCCGCTCGCAAGGCGAAGTCTACAACGTGGGGCGTTGAAGAGCCTTGGAAGTCTATACTTCGAGCTACGCCCATCAATTGTGGACGCTGACACGGAGGAAAAATCCAAAGTCAGCGTTGCCGTTGGTTACCTCGCCATTATTCTCGGTTACTGTGCTCTAGAGGAAAGCGGGCGGACTATCATAACCGGCCAAGGCACACCCGATGGTATTCAAGACATAACTGAAGCGATAGGCCACTTCGTAGCCTTGCAGCGCACTGTCGACGCCAGGGTACACGAACTTGAACACCTCGTCAGCGAGCTGCAGCAAGTGACTCGGAGAAGGAAGGCAATATGAGCTTCTTTGCCTTTGTACGTCACAATTCCATAGACGACGACATGTTGGATTACGCAATCCCGGTATGAACAGGTTTATCTACTTGGCTAGGTTGGGATTCATAACAGCGTTGCTTTCGATGTACTACTTGATCTCGGGGATTGAGGGGGGTGATGGGGCAAAGACGCTTCATGGATCTCGAGAAATCGGGCTGGCCCCAAACGGCTCTCAATTGCGCTGATTTATTGCCACTTCGATTCTCGTGTGTAAACAACACCTTTAGTTGGCTGCTGACCTGACATTGGCCTTCAATGTGGTCTTCTAGAGGTCCAGTCGAGTCCCATGTCTGACACGTGCAGGCTTGTGGTCGACGTCACCCAGGGTCCCTTACCCGCAATCGGATCTCGTCGCTTTGGGCGGCCCCTCTAATGCAAAGCTTCGACCTTCGTCCCACTGCCATCGATACTTTCCTCGCACCCTGTTAAATCCATTCGTTTGTTACAATTGAATCCATCATCGCGACTCGAATATGCCTTCCGGACCGAAACAGCGCAAAGTCGCCGTCGTTGGCAGTAGAGCCGTCGGTAAGGGCACAGCCCATCCAATCCTACGACAGCACCCAATGTTAATGCTCACCAGGCAAGTCGTCACTCACGGTACGCTTTGTCGACGGCGTGTTTGTCGATAGCTACTATCCCACCATTGAGAATACCTTTTCCAAATCAATAAAGTACAAACAACAAGAGTATATGACCGAAATCGTCGATACCGCCGGGCAGGATGAATACTCCATCCTCAATTCGAAACACTTTATCGGTATACATGGCTACATGCTCGTCTACAGCGTGGCATCTCTTGCGAGTTTCGAGATGGTGCAGGTGATCCGGGATAAGATCCTGAATCACCTCGGGACGGAGAGCGTGCCAATCGTCATTGTGGGCAACAAGAGCGATCTGCGTCCGGAGCAGCGCCAGGTCAGTGCCGAGGAAGGGAGGAAGCTGGGGGAGAAGCTGGGCTGTGGCTGGACGGAGGCGAGTGCGGCGTACGATACCAATGTGAGCAAGGCGTTTGAGTTGATCATCGCACAGATCGAGGGTAGCCAGGCGCCAGGAGAGCAGCCGGCGAAGAGCAATTGCATACTGATGTAATATGAGGTTGCACAAGGTGGACTATGTATGTAGGTTTACGCAGAAGAGATGGCGCGAGAGGCAGGCCTCGGTATATACGAGTAGTCGCTTGTGGTCTTCATGGTGGTTGCGATTTGGATATATCCCAAGGGACAATTGGCTCAAAGTCTTTGGTCTTTCGGCATCAGTCTACAGTGAAGGGACCAGGGCTCGTAATGGCACGCTTTATAGAAGATATGGAGGACGGTCGCCGTGCGTTGACATGGCGCGCCAATATACGAAACCTGCATGCGTTGGCAATTCAAGCTTTAAGATAAGGCGATCAACAAGCGTCTAGTCCAAGGGTCGTTGTAGTTCAATGCTAGAAGCCATAAATAAAGCAATGTCATATCTTGGCGGGTCATGAACCTGATCATTGCACAAGGATTCGAGGACCCCGCGCTAAAAGACGAAGCCCCGCGTCGATGGAGGGGGATTTGTCGACGCTGGGACTTCGCGCGCGCAGAAAATTGAAGACACTGCCTACACAACCCCACCGTTGTTTGCATCGACGACATTCGAGGTAAGAGGGTGAGGCACAGCTGAGATCTGTCTGAAGGTGCTAACAGCTTCAGATACAGCGTGTGACTCAGACCCATAGACGACGATTTGTCCAGTTCTCGCGTGAGTCGAAGCAAGCCTACTCCTCCCAACCTCACCACATCCACTACCGAGCAAAATCAAGGCGACATGCTCGACGTAATCGATTTCATCAAGGAGCGCGGTGGCGATCCCGAGAAGATTCGCGAATCCCAGCGTCGTCGACACGCCCCCGTTGAGATTGTCGACGAAATCATTGCCCTCTGGGAAGACCACCGCAAGACGCTGTACGCCGCCACACAGTTCAACGGCAAGATCAACGACGTTCAGAAGCAGATTGGCGCCAAAAAGAAGGCCAAGGAAAACGCCGACGACCTGCTCCAGCAGAAAATTGCTCTCGAGAAGGAGAAGAAGGCCATCAACGACGAGGCTGCCGAGAAGGATGCCCTGCTGAAGAAAAAGGTCAAGAGCGTAGGCAACATTGTCGAGGACTCTGTGCCGGTCAGCAACAACGAAGACGACAATGTGGTTCAGAGAACTTGGGCACCAGAGGGTGTGACCGTCGAGAAAAAGCAGTGCCTCTCCCACCACGAAGTGCTTCTTCGCCTCGATGGCTACGACCCGGAGCGCGGTGCCAAGATTGTCGGCCACCGAGGTTACTTCTTGCGTCGATGGGGCGTGTTCCTCAACCAGGCTCTCATCAATTACGGTCTTGAATTCCTCGAGAAAAGGGGCTACACACCTCTCCAGACACCGCAGTTCATGCTCAAGGACTACATGGCCAAGACGGCGCAGCTGGAGCAATTTGACGAGGAGCTGTACAAGGTGTCAGACGGCGACCCGAAGATGGACAAGTACCTCATCGCTACCTCTGAGCAGCCCATCTCCGCCTTCCACGCCGATGAGTGGCTGGTCAACAAGGACCTCCCTATCAAGTACGCCGGCTACAGCACATGCTACCGCCGTGAGGCGGGTAACCACGGCCGTGATGCATGGGGCATCTACCGTGTCCATCAGTTCGAGAAGATTGAGCAATTTCTCTTGACCGACCCAGAGAAGTCGTGGGAAGCTTTCGAAGACATGATCAAGATTTCAGAGGAATTCTATCAAACACTGGGTCTCCCGTACCAGGTCATCGCCATTGTCTCGGGCGCACTCAACAACGCCGCTGCCAAGAAGCTTGATCTTGAGGCCTGGTTCCCCTTCCAGGGCGAGTATAAGGAGTTGGTCTCGTGCTCGAACTGCACTGATTACCAGTCGCGGGCTTTGGAGATTCGCTACGGCGCCAAGACGCAGACCGACGTCAAGAAGAAGTATGTGCACTGCTTGAACTCGACGCTCTGTGCCACCACTAGGGCCATGTGCTGCATCCTGGAGAACTACCAGACTGAGGAGGTAAGTCCCTTTGTCTTTTCATCCCCTTCTTGAGTGCGTGCAATTGCTGACGTTGTAGGGTCTCAACGTCCCCGAGCCGCTGCGCAAGTATCTGCCCGGCGCGCCCGAGTTCATCCCGTACGCGAAGGAATTGCCCAAGGACTCCACGTCCACCAAATTGGCGAAGCGTGAGAAGAATGCAAAATAGACGAGGTAGAATCGTGACAGAATGTCACCACAGCTGACGTTGCTCTCATGAAAGAAGACTTGCCACAGAATTGATGAATGGTCACAAAAGCCCCTTTAGATGTGTAAATATCGTTTTGGTGCATATCGGGGCGGCGTCCAACGGTATCAGTACGGAGCACATTTAGGCCAGAACAAATGTACGCGAAGGTATCTTGCCAAAATCTGCCATATGCAAAAGGCCAAACCGAAGAGCCTGTATGTCGCACTTGGCTGATTCTTTGCGTCAAGTTCACCGTGAGTGTGGCGGTGTGCCATAGTGCACAGAGGCGGTGCAAATGCCGTAAATAGCCCGTTTGCACAACCGGATTCAGACCTGAATTTGACACTTCTCAACAGACAGTCTCACATATAGCGACAACTTTCGCCCGGTCATGATAGCACTAGACACGGACTGCGCAATATGAGCGGCACGCGTGTTTGCCCTTGGTGCGGCTTCATCCCCCAAACCGACAAGGAGTATGAGTTCTTAATGGTACTGAAACTCTGCCGCCTTGCTCGAGACACTGTAGACTGAAGAAGACCAAGCATATCGAGACCGAGCATCCAGATTCGCAAACTTCACAGCCTGAAGATAGGTCACTGAGCAGGAGCCCTGCACCTTCACCACCGCGTCAGAGCGCTTCACGGAGGAGCTCGCCAACCCAACACCTCAAAAAGGATTCCCCGGCAAAATCTCATTCTAATCTCAATGAGAACTGGAAGGCTTTCTTCCGTGGCCACCAGACAGCGTCGCAGAAACCCTCCCCTCGCATACGGCATACATCGAAAGCGTCGCATAAGGATGCCAAGGCCGAAGAAGATACCGAACGCTCTTCTTCGGACACAAAACGTCCAAAGCTAGGGGTATGGGCATATTGCAGCGTTTCCTTGCGACTTCTTGCTAAAGGAATTACAGAAATCAGAACTTGGTCGGCATCACCGCGAAGACCAAATGCCATCCTCCCTACGCACCCTTCTCGAAGAGAAACGAGGCTACTTCTCGAACGGCATCATCCCTGTACTGCAAAAGCTCCTGCAAGCATCGAATACGACGAGCGCAGCATGGCTTTGCAGTCCTCATGTGACACACGTATCGAAACTCTCGCGGGAGGGCTCGTTCTGCGGCTACAGGAACATTCAAATGCTTTGCTCGCATATTATCAACTCGGGCAGTTTTGGCGCGGCCAAATTTGGTGACCAAGTGCCGAGCATCTTCGACATTCAGGAACTCATCGAGAACGCGTGGGATGAAGGCATTAATGCACGAGGGAGGGACGAGACGGGCGGGATCCGCGGGACAAGGAAATACATCGGAACTCCAGAGGCACAAGCCATGTTCACGAGCTTACAAATACCGTTTGTTCTTTTCCCTGAGGCCAGTATCTCTCCCGTTCCTAATTATTCTAGCTGTTCCGTCAATGCTTTTAGGACAAAGGATTGCGCTGAAGCAAGGGCATTGCTCCTCGATTATATCCAACAGTACTTCGTACAGGGTGCCGGTGAGGATACATCAAAAGTGCGAGCGACAGCCTTACCTCCGATCTATTTCCAGCACAGAGGCCATTCTATGACCATTGTTGGTCTCGAAAGACTGAAGAATGGGTCACGCAACCTCATTGTCTTTGATCCTTCGTACAAGGACTCGACAGTCGTGGCTGGCTTACGTGGCAAAACGTACACTAGCGGTGGAAGGAGGGCAGATTTCCATTTGGATTCGTATCGAAAGGGTACCAGCTACTTGCGACGGCACAACGAGTTCGAAATCCTAGTGTGAGTCTATATCATTGCACGTATCTGCCACACAGGTGTGCTGACGCTGTGTAAGTACGACGAAGGAAACACCCGGAGCTTGATCAGTTCAGTGTTGCGTTCTCCTCGTTGAACCATTCCTGCAACTTCTTCAGGGCCATGCCACGGTGGGAGATGGCGCTCTTCTCGGCCTTTTCCATCTCAGCGAAGCTATCACCCTGGTCAGCATATGAATCGGGTATTCAGTTTTCGAATCAAACTCACGTTTTTCCATTGTGTTCGAACACTGCATCCCAGCCTGTAAAGGGGTCAGCCACATGGATCGGTCCGGAGCAGGTCAAGTTACCAAAATCGGCAGGGCCTCGAGCTGGCACAATCTTGCCCTAACAAGTTTCAGTGGAAAACTCTTGACACAGTTCATTGCAGAGAAGAATACCTGGCAGCGCCCTTGGAAGAGGATGGGCTCCTGTCCCGGACCTTCACAGTAGCCGAAAGTGCATACGGCCTCGGCAGACTTGTCTTCATATGCAGCAAGCAGATTGTTCAATCCGTCGTGGCCAACAGCCGTCATGAACCATTTTCTGTTCCAATCAGTGATTTCTTTTTTCTCTTTTTATCTGTTGGAAAGCCTACATGTAGGGGCCGGGAAGGTCACCAAGCGCCTTGTAACAGAGGGCGGTGTCTTCTACAAGCACAGGTCCATTCACCTAGACGCATCAGCCCAAGTCATCCTCGCGTGTACATGCACAAATAAGGGCCCAACATACAGTCTCAGCGGCTTTCTTGCACTTGGACTTTGTCACCTCCTCAACGGTCCCCTGGACCTCCTCAATGTCAATGCTCTGGCTGCGGACTTCGATGCCCGCTGGATCGAGGACAAACTTCACCTCGCGGAGCTTGTTGGCGTTGCCGGTGATGAAGTTCAAGTGAGAAGGCATTTTGCTTGGGTAGTTCCAGAACGTTATGCAAAATGAAATTATCTCGAATGTTTCTTGGTCGACCTAAGCCACTCGGGTCGGGTACACGCCGTGTGAGTCAAGTGAAAGATGCTGAACTTCCAAACCCCCGCTTGGTGCATAATCAGAGGCCTACTTCTTCGAGCTCCACTCAATGTACGAAGGCAAGTCCCTTAGAATGTTTTCAGTGAGTAGGTACGTAGGAGAGACTGGAGAGACGGCAATTTCACATAAGATGGCCCTGTCTGCTTGTGCCCGGTGCCCAAGGTGTCGTCGCGCAACACGACCGCCAAAACGCATGGCTGACTGCAGTCTGGTCGCTTGCCAGCCAAGTGCCTACGTCCTCATACCCGGTCCTCCACAAGCTGTCCGCGTTGAAAGTGTGCATGTCGACAATCTCCTGCGTTTCCATCTTTCTTGATTGAAAATCTACCTAGTTTTGGGCCGGTGCATTGCCTCTATGGTCCTCTTTCCATTGCTTCACCCACGCCTCAATACGCTCCACATTCGCATCCATCTCTTCCGTTTCGTCACTCCTCAATTCTACCACAATCTCCTCGTCATAGCTGTCTTTGGCCTCCTGCAATAGGACCTCCATAATCTCCGTGTCCAGGTTCTCTTGGAGCTTGGCCTCTGGGTAGTTGCGTGCAGTGAGACGGTCGTAGAGTGTGGTGCTGTCTGTGCGAAGGACGACAACTAGGTCGATCCAGCGCTGTGGGAAGAGGTCACAAGCATGCCAGTCAAGAATACAGCCACCGTCTGCCACCTCCTTCTCGAGCTCATCCAACAACTGTTGTTCGTCAGCGTCGTGCTGGCGGATGACGGGCCTTGGGTGAATGCGTAGAAGCCACTAACCTTGTCCTCGTCGACAATCCAGCTTTGGAACTCATCGTCCCAACCTTCATGGCACTCTTTGTCCTTAACTATTTGGTTCACTGAGACGTGGCGGAGGGAAGGTATGCGTTCCGCCAAAAGCTCGCAATGTGTGGTCTTGCCTGTGCCAGGGGTACCCGTGACGACTATGTTGGGGTTGGTGCGTGTACTCATGTTTCCGGTAAGATTCAATGTTGAAACGCTCGTTCAATGTTAAAGAGCCGTTTGTGGTGAGAAGCGTTCGAATTGCCAAGCTTGAGTTTGAGTACGGACTTCACAGCAAAAAATGCTGCCCCACTTAATAAAGCACTGGCACTCATGGCACTGAAATCGTTCAGTGTGTAGACGAAAGGCCACCTCCCCCCCACAGGAAGGCTACAGTGACAGATACGTCGCTATGCTACTATGCTCATTGACTGTCCAAGTTGGTAGGTCTTCTGATCTAATTGTATTCCCGCTCTCGACCGCATCCAATTCTACGAGCACATGCCAAAACCATCATCCTCAACCCCTATGTTGCGCTACATCCCGCATCCGAACAAGCAAAAGAACATGGAATACTCTAACAGCAGAGGGCACCAGCCTCCCATCTCTATACCATACAAACGTGTAGATGACTTGTCTTCCGGAAGCACTACTCTTCCCTCTCAGCCTCGTCCACCTCTTCTAATACACTGTGCCCCTCGAGGCTGTCTCCATTACTGCCGCGTTCCTGCTGCGCCATGGCCTGGGCTGAGACGATCTCCGCCAGGCGCTTGAGACGCGGCGTCTGTAGCCATGAAGGGGTGTATGTCTCCAAAGCTGTGATCGAGCGAGGCTCCGCGATCTCATATGGGCCGCTGTCTTCCATATCGACCGCCTGGAGGAGCAGTACATCGCTTTTCTCGGTCACGCGCGAAGCAACGGCCTTCATGATCTCGCCATTGATGGGCTGCTCGTAATCGGCCACCAGGTATTGGTTGAGCAACTTCTGAATCTGTGAGGGTGAAAGCCTGTCTTGTTAGCATAAGTCCAAATGCGAGTTGTGTGGTTGAGAACTTACATCCAGCAAATGTCCTGGATAATCTCAATGTCATTCAGTGTTGCCTTCTTCAGCTGCAGCAGCTTCGTAGCCTGCATAAGATGCTCCAACTGAAGCGTGCCCTCGGGCATGTCGTGACTCTTGCACCACTCCTCGATACGGGTGATGTTATAATTGATTTGCAGGCCTCGCTTCCAGGACAGGAAGTTGCGGCGCATCAAGAGGTCGTTGAATGCTGTGACGCCGACGAGGCGCAGAAGCTCGGTCACTGTTTGGGTGATGATGGCGTCCTCCAAGTAGTACGCTTTCATAGCCCTGAAGACGTTGTTCAGCAAACTCAACAAGTTGTCCATGCTGTACGCCGGGGCCGAGTTGGACTGCAGCAGTTTGCCAAGGAAGCGACTGCTCTCATTGGTGATGAAGCCTGGCAGAGATTGCGACTCGATGATCGCCGGAATGACCATCTTATGCAGCTTCTTCTTGAGGACCTTCATCCATGTGTGGTAGATGTTGAACTCGAGACTCTCCAGGTCGTGCTTGACAATCTCCAGGAGGCGATCGTACTCATAGTTGTCCGTCTTCTGGGTCTCGTACCAGTCTTCGGCCAAGAATACAAACGACAACATCTCGTGCACATTAGACAGCCAGAAAGCGCCTGGGTTGACAGCGTCGTCGCCATCGTGCTGCATGACCTCTTGCTGGATCGACTGCATCACATTGGCGAGGAAGCGTTCCGACTCCTTCACGAAGCCGTTGTTCCACATCTCGGACGTGACCAAGTTGATCAGGTAAGAGGGGAACAACACTTCCTTGTCAGAAGGAGGAGGTGTCGTGTTGGGCGAGGGGATCCTCAAGTTGCGAATCAGACCCATGGTGACTTCCTCGTTCAGACCGTCTTCATCTGCCAGTAGACCCTCAAGCTCCATCTCGACATTGTCAAGGCCGGGCGTGAATGTTGTGCCAGACAAGTTCTGGCGATGCGCAGTGCCAGTCACAGCCATAGATACCGGTCGAGGATTGTACGCTCCACTCATCCGATCGGCCTGGATGGGCTCGGCGCCAGCGCTGCGACGCTTAGGCTTCTTGGAGGCTACCAGGTTGATAAGGCCGGCGCCAACCGGCGCAGCTGGGGCAGCGCCATTTGTAAGCTCGCCATTGACAGGAGCGTTCCTTTTGGCGAGCTCCAGTGCGTCGCGAAGTGCTTCCAGCTCCTGCCGCAGACTGGTATTGTCCTTCTCGTGTTGCCCACTGATGCGTTTAGCATCCTCCAGCTCAGTGCTGGACAGACGCAGTGACTCCCTGAGCTCGCGCTCCTCTTCTTGCATTCGCTTGATATTGACTGTCGATTCGTCAAATGCAGACTGGAGCTTCTTCATCTCGTCCTCCATTGCCTGTAGACGAGCGACGGCGATACCGGCCTGGTTGGCCTCCGTCTGCAGCTCTTTCGTCCTGGCCTCGAGTGCGTTGTGCCGGCTCTTCCACGATTTGATTTGGCTCTCATAGTTGTCCACCTGTGACGCCAGATTCTTGTTCTTCTCCTTCATCGAGCCCAGGGCTTGAGTCAGCTCCACCACCTTGTTCTCCAGCTTGTATGAGATCTGCTTCAAATCACGAGCCTCTTCTCGCATGCCCTTGTACTCCTTGCGAGCCTGGCGACCACGCCACAGACTCTGGACCAGACAAACCTTCCTGCGATATTGCCTCCATGTCTGCAGCGCACTTCTCGATCTCCAAGCCCTCTGGATGATGAGGGCAGCATTACCAACCCTCGCTTCCATGATTTGCTTCCTGCGCAGGTAGCCCTTTGCAACGGACTCGAAAACGATCAGATCCTTGCGAATGACGAGGTACGCCTTGCGCTGCTTCTGACCGCGCCAGACACGCTGTATGGTCGTAGCAGCCCGGATGGTGCGCAGCTCTCGAGCCTGTCTTCGGGCGATAAATGCCCTCACAGCAGATTGAGTCTGAACAATGGCCTCACGGGCCTCCAGGTAGCGACGCCTGTAGTACTTGGCCTTCAGATTCTTCTGTATCATGATGGCGCATTCGTTCAAACGGTTTGTGCGCAAGTTCTCAAGGAAGGCGAGCATACCGGCACGGAAGAAGATCTTCGTCAGGCCGAGCTGGTACTTGTCCATGCCCTTCTCGGAACTGGTCCCCAGCGCCTTGGAGAGGATAGCATCAGCCATTTGACGGATTTCAGACGTCCATCCACTGGATTGAACGAGCATGTAATAACGAAGAGCAAACTCTTCATATGTCCATCTCGTCGGGTAACCCGCACAACTGATGCGCACAGTTTCCAGTACACCGCAGGCACGCAACTGACTCAGCACCATGGGACCTTCAAACTTCCACGCCTCCTTGGCCTCATTAGGCTTGATGCAACGGATGTAATGGACGTCCGTGTTGTTGATGGTGTGCATGAGCTCGATAAGTGACGACCTGAAAATGCCTCCCAGTGTTGGCTTCCGGTTGACAGCCACGCCAATCTTCCTACCAGCAGCGGGCTTAACAGCACTGGACGACGACGACGAAGCGACATCCTTTTCGCGCACTGCTGCGGCGGCGTCGAGGACTGTCTTCAAGAACTCGTTTGAGGTAGCGCGCAGCACGGAAAGCTGCTCATCAGGCACAGTGTCGCGGTTCTTGTCAATGAACCCATCGGATTCATAGGTGACATCCACAGCATAATGGCATACGGTGAAGGCGGACTTCCCGAAGCGAGGCTTCTTAAAGAACTTGTGCTTGGTGTCACCAAAGTTGTTGTGGAGCTTCATGGCGAACTGCTCATCCGAACCCATGGGCAGGCGCGATTCTTCGTCCAGAAGGGACAGAATACCCATCTTGCCTTCAATCAAGTCGATGCAAGGCTGATTGTCCGAAAAGTCGATGAATGTCCAGTCAATCTGCTCTCGGAGGTACTCTTCCTGCTCAAGTTTGAACACGTGCTGGTTGAACTCCTGCTGGAGCTTCTCGTTGGCGTAGTTGATGCAGAATTGTTCAAACGAATTTTTGGCAAAGTGCTCAAAACCGTAGATATCCAGCACGCCAATGAACGAGACAACGCGGCTCAGAACTTCCTCGGTGGCAAGACTTTGGTTGATTACGTCCACGAGCCAGTCAAACAGGCTGGAGTAGATGAACTTTGCTACCGAGTCTCGCACGACGATGGCTTGAGCCTGGTTCAAGTTGGACGTGATCTTCTCACCACGTGTGATGAGTTGCTTCTTGACGATCCATTTTGCGAAATCAGCGGCGTTAACGCCTAAAATGTCGCAAGCCTTCTCCAACGAGGGCTCGTTGGGTGCAAGGACACTGTCGTTTCGGGATGCTGTGATCTTGACATTGCCCAAATGCAAGAGAGCAGCAAGAATCCTGAAGATCGAGTGCTGCTGATCTTCTGGCACACCAACTGTGGTTAATGACTTTTTCGTTGCCTCAAATTCCGCCTTGTCGTCAACGCCGTCGATTGTCGGTGACTGCCCCTGGTTGAGGTATTCGAACTGGTCCACGGGTAGTATATTGAGTTCCTCGCGCTGTTCATCCGAAGCACCGGCAACGAGTTGATAGAAAATGTGGTAGTTGCGCTCCTTCAGCGGCTGGAAAACGAGACGCGAACGCTCCAGCAAGTATGTACGGATCTTGGCCCCAATAATGTTGGTTGCCTCATCGAACATGATCTCGATGTACTTTCCAAATCGCGAGGAATTGTCGTTCCTTGTGGTCTTTGCGTTACCAAAGGCCTCCATGATGGGGTTGGTCGCAAGAATCTGCTCCTCTGTCTCGCTCATGGATTCGTTCCCACGCTTGGTCCGGCCGCTCGGGTTGTCGGGAGACTCTCGTGTCGCAAAGTATCGCATAATATACTTGGCGCTGACAGTCTTTCCTGCACCCGACTCACCAGACACAACGATCGTCTGGTTCTTCTTGTCGCGGATCATGTCGATAAAAGCCTCTTCTGCAATGGCAAACAGATGGGGGGCTTGTGTCGCACGCTGCCTTCCGGCGTACACCTGAACCATGCCCGGGACATATAGAGAATCGACGCGGGCAAACGGGTTGGTGGCGATGAGCACGATACCAGAGTAAGTATAGATCTCTTTCTGCATATATCGGAGCCGGATCGCTTGGAGCACTGGGAGCGGTTAGCAACGTCTGGGGTCCAGAGATCCTGCACATACCGGCCGGCTCGTTGAGATGTGAAAGATTCGTCAAATCATCGCTCGCTTCGAGCATGGCGGGATTCATCAACGGTGGTAGGGCAGGATCGTTGCCCTTGGTGAGAGCCTCCTCTGAGACCTCAATCGTTTTCTCCTCGTCATTCTCGAGCTTGAAGACCAGCTTCGCCTTTCCGCCATCAACAGACTTGCTGATAAGCTCAGACGCTACCCAGCCTTCAGCAGCATCAGGCTGCCAAGCTCTCGTGCCGACATCATACGTCGATGCCATCTGGGGCGACGCCCAGTTCTCCCTAAGGCGCTAGAGTGTGTGTATGGTTGGTGCAACGGTCGGTTGTCGATCTGCTGGAGGCGGAATGACTAACGGAGGTCATGAGCGAGGGAAACTCGTATTCTCGTGGGAATTCGTAACGGCGTCAGGGAAAAAAAGAACGAAGCGGTGTCCAACACTGTCAAATCAGCTCTCCGTTGTCGCAACAAGCGATGAAGGCGGCAACGACCGTGTCAGAGACGATGGACTCGGGGTATCAACAACGTTGGCTGATGGGGAGACTGGGGAACTTTTAAGAAGCTTGTTCTCCTTTGCTTCTGCCAGGGACAGCACAACAGGATACGGTACCTCTGTCGGGACGGACAAGGGGTTGAAGCCTTTGGGGTGCTTGCCTGCCTCAGGAAGTTGGGAGGATCCACGCCACATGCAAGCTGCCAGGCTAGAGGCTGGTATGGATGCCAAAATAAATTAGTAGGGGACTACGCTGGTGGGGTCTAAGCAGTGGTTATTTAATTCTGTCCATAGAGACCCAATCTTCCCCTGGCGCGCCCCTGAGTTCGGGCGGGCTTCTACCGCCCCTTAGCCCCTGGAATATGAGTAAGCAAACTCGGGCCCCAGCCCCTTCAGCGCGAAACTTCGCGTCACGTCGCGACCAAACCAGCCTCTCTCAGAATCGTAGCATCAATGTACGTATCTCGCAGCTCGAGCTTCCTATTAGTCGGACGGTGTGCCAGGGTTCTCACAGGCACTGGATTTGCTTGCCACTTTTTTCTCACAATGCTGACAGGTCCTGTCTGGCAGAAAGAATGTACCATTCATTGAACAAGTTAAAATGCAACCACACGGAACGCCTCCGATGTATGCAACCCAGGCTTTCCGAAATTCGACTTGTTGAGGCCGCAGCACCCAGATACTTTTTTCCCGTCCTTAACGTTGTTGAGTCGCCAAGGTGATTACATATACTCCCCTGTCGCAAAGATCTAGTAAAGAACACGCGTAGCGATGCGAGCTGCGTAGTATGGTCAGTACTTAGTGTCTTCAGACGATAAGATGCAAACACTTACAGCTGAGGCCCTCCAAGCTCTCGTACAAATCTTTGATCTCCCCAACTTGGACTTTGCTGATGTCTGCCATCAAGTATGCCACATCACCGCGGTTGTCGCTGATCTGTTTGTCGACGTTGTGGTCACCCAAAATCTCGTTGACGCGGCGCAATACACCAGGCACGTTCTTGTGGATGTAGATGACGCGTGCAGTGTTTTCCTCCTCCAGTGTCAAAGAGCGCAGCTGGACCTCGGGGAGATTGACGCTGCCAAGAGTAATGCCCTGGTTGATATAGCGTACGAGGGCTTCGCTAACCTCAATACCAATCGCACGCTGTGCCTCCTCAGTGCTGCCGCCAATGTGAGGTGTTAGGATAATGTTATTCAGGTTGCGCAACTCGTCGCCCCAAGAGTTGAGCGTGGCATTGAAATAATCGCCATTGGCCGCAGGCTCATGGGGGTACACATCAAGCGCAGCACCAGCCACCTTGCCACCGTTCATCGCCTTGATCAAGGCGGCAATGTCCACAACACTGCCTCGGCTGGCATTGATGAGGTAGGCACCAGTCTTCATCTGCTCAAACTGCTTTGTGGAGATCATGTTCCGTGTCTCGGGCAGGTCTGGCACATGGAGTGTGACGAAGTCGGCCTCATTCAGGAGGTCGTCGAGGGTAGGCACCTGCCGTGCTGTGCCCAGCGCCATCAACGTAACGACATCGTAGTAGATGACGTTCATACCCATCGCCTCTGCCAAGACCGACAATTGCGAGCCAATGTGTCCATAGCCAACAATGCCGAGCGTCTTGCCGCGTATTTCCCAGCACTTGGCGCTGACCTTGTTCCAGGTGCCACGGTGCATCTCGTTGGAGCGGTCACCTAGTTGACGGGCAAGGACGATGATCTCGGCAATGACCAGCTCGGCAACAGAGCGGGAGTTGGCGAATGGGGAGTTGAAGACAGCGATGCCTTGGCGAGCAGCATAGTCAAGGTCAACCTGATTTGTGCCGATGCAGAAGCAACCTACCACAAGAAGGTTGTTGGCTTTGCTGAGGACCTTCTCAGTAAGCTTGGTTTTGGAGCGGATGCCAATGACATGTACGTCCTTGATTTTTTCGATGAGCTCGTCTTCGGGTAGTGAGGTTTTGAGAGCCTCGACCTGGTAGCCTTGTTTTTTGAGAATCTCCTGTCCAGATTTGTTGACGTTTTCGAGGAGGAGGATCTTCACGTCTTGGGTGTTGAAGGGCTTGAGCTGTTTCTCAGAGGCGGCGCGTTGTACCAGATGACCAGGCCAGCTACCTTGGGAGGCTGTTGGCGTATGGAAGGCGGCCGAAGGCGAGGTGGAAAGCTGCTGGCCGAAGCTCGTGGAAACAGCTCTTTCGCTGTTCGAGGGCGTGGCCCTGATGTCTTGAGGGGGACTCATCGTGGTGCAAGGCGATGGTCGACTGTAGAAGGAAGGGAATGGTAGAATTGGAGTCGATTGACCTGGAACTTTAACGTTGGCTTGATATGACAGAGGACGAGGACGAGTTTGCGAATGAGAGAATTACTTATGTATATTGCCAGCAGCAAAACGTATGACAGCTGCGCTCGTGGAGGGTGCTGGATTTAGGGCGACCCTGTGCTAATTCGAGGACATATCCAGTCAGACTCCACCCTCAATACAGCGACAGGAGGAGCGTTTGAGTCATGGGCCTAGCCCAGAGTCGAGTAAAATTCTTTCTGTCGTCGTCGTGACCCTTCTTGCGAATAACGGCGACAGACCAGTCTTTCGCCCCGCGTCATAGTAGGCTCGGTCGGGTATCGGATGGAGGGGCATTGGTCGCGCAGTAATTACTGCGATGATTGGATATTGGTGGGGCAAGTTGAAGGGTCCATTGCGCGACCGGTCACTGTTTTCTACCATCGAACTAATTGCCATTGCCCGACTGGAGGCTATCAAGTCTAATTACCTATACGCTGGCAGACGCGAGATTGTACCGCACTCCAGAGCAAGCAGGGTGGGCACATCAGCAACAACATCTCGAAATCAATGAAGGCTTTGAATGACTGGACACTACCAAATGCCGGCCACCAAGGTGTTAGTGGATGGTGCCAGCTAGCGGCGGGACACTGGCACCGCCCAGATTTCCGCATGTAGCAATCCCGCATCTTGCTGCAGCTGCATGCAGTCACCGTTACGCCGACCGCGTCCGGCGGACATGGAGCGACTGGAACGGCACAAACAGGGCATCACTCCACTGATTGATCATGATCGTCTCCGGTGTGCGCGTGTATCGGCATGCAATGAGGCCGATGTTGATGGATTATTCCGAAAATTGCTCACGGGGCGGTAGCGATTACTTCTATTACTGAATTGCCGTCATCACAGACTTATACTACAACCTATTACACGCTCAGATAGGAAGACCAGACCACGTTTGTCAAACGCATCGCAAATAAATCCACGAGACAAAATCAAGCAGCGAGAGTACCGTCTAATAAACTCGCATCGTATCAAATAATGACCTCGAAAACGCACGTCATGCCTTTTTTTGTGTGCTCCTTTGACCACTCTTCGGGGTCAGTTCCTGAAGCGGCCCCCTGGATAGTCCTGCTTGGGAGCTCTTCCTTAGCATATCCCTTAGTGTTCCTCACATCGCAACTCGAAAAGTTCTTCACTTCCGTGTGCCGCTTTTCGTTTAGCTCTGTTTGCACTCGGCGGCCTCTTGCCTAGGCTTGCCTGAGCCGTCCTGCCTCGTGTTAGCTGGTCTCTTTCGGTGCGTCACAAGGGAACTAACCTCCTCGTCAGTCTCCTCATCTTCGTCCGCGTCCTCGCTGAGGTCGTCGTCGTCGTCATCATCATCAACGTCGTCGAAACCATCATCGGAGCCAAGATCCTCATCGTCGATTTCTTCGTAGGCAAGAGCTGCGCCAGTGAACCAGTCGATGGCACGAGGAATCAGCTTCTCCTTGATGTCCTCGCCCAATTGATAGTCAAACTCAAGACGCTCCTCAATGTCCGATGCGACGTCGGCGTCCTCGTCCTCTTCATCTTCCTTGGGAGGCTTGGGAGGCGAGAAGAACAAGAAGAAGGATTCGCATGGCACCGTCCTCTTAACGATACGGGTCTGTTTTGTAGCTACATGGTTGTCAGTGACTGTCACGCGGCGATGCTCGAACCCCTTACTCTTGTTTCGCTGCTTCTTGGCCTCAACGCGGACGGTGAGGTCCTGAGACGGCTTCCAGTCGATGGTGTCTCCCTCGGCATGGTCATAGATGAAGTCGCCGCCGTAGCCCATCTCGCTCTGGTAGTAGTATGTCTTGGTGAGGGTCTTATTCGAGAAGAAGTCGTTGGGAGAGAATTCGAAGATGATGCGGAAGCCGGGCACGTCCAAGTACTCCATCCGAATATCGGTCAGGTGTTTGAGAGCAGCCTCGTCACGGTCGGTGATCATCTCAGCAAACGAGACCTGGTTCTTCATGGCTGACAACCAGAACTCTGGAATACCAGAGACATCCTCTGGCATGTCGCTCTTCTGCTCGGTCTTGACGGCGTCGGCTTCTGTCTTGTCCTCGTCTTCCGCGTCGTCGTTTTCGTCGTCCTCAGCAGCCGCCTTGACTTCCTCCTCCGTAGGCTCAGTAGAACCGTTGACAATCTCGGCACGACGGTTATACAGGGGCGTGAACTTGCCGAAGTACTTCTTCTCGAGCTCAAGTACCTCCTGCTGGAATTCGGCCTCGAGCTTGGAGTGCTCCTTCTGCAAGCCCTTGAGACCGTCGACTCGACGGCGAACAGTAGCGGGAAGAGACTCGACATAGCCCGAAGAGCGGCCAACAAGGGAACCCAGACGACCCTGGATCATCTGGACAAGCTGGGGGTTCTGGGCAAAGATGGAGGCCGCAGCGGCGCGCTCCATATCATCTATGAACGTTAGCTGGACCATGCAAATACGCTGATTCATTCATAGCTGCGCACCTTCACGGATGCTCGACACACCAGGCTGCTGAGCGTGCGACGAAATGGGCGCGTTGGTGGCAGGCGTGTTCTGGGGGGTCCTAAGGTGGGGTAAGATCAGTATCGTTCATCAGTACAAGGCGCCTCGAAGCTTACGGAGCAGTCGCCTCAGGGCGCTTTCCACGGATGGGCTCGGCCATGTTGATAGAGTTGATACTGAATAGGCAGTTGTAGGTGGAACAACAGCGGTCGGGAAGGGGGTGGTGGTGAGGTGTGGGAGAGTGAAGGAGAAAAAGTGAGGTATGGAGAGAGGCGGTAGGGCCCTTGACGACAGTCCCGCCGCCTGAGCCAGAACAGAGCAGAGCCACTGGCACCCAGCCAGCCAGCAGAAACCGCTTTTGCCGTTTTTGGTGGGGGGAACACCCCTCAGGTACCTAGACGAAAAAAATCAAACGGCCTGTCGGGGAAGCACGCAACAGCCTGGATCTGCTGTTTTGGTGCGCCCGGTTTTGGAGCTAACGCTTTGCAGGTTGGGTTTCTTGTTGAGAATCTAGAACGACCACAATGGTGGTGTCTATGATTCGACGCTCATTTCTTGCCGTATATTAATCAACAAACACCATGATTAAGTGACGAAGGTGCATTTTTTCTATTTACGCATTTCTATGTACGTTGCATATTAATAGATCAACTGAGCCACGACACATACATACATCTGACTTAGCCAAATGCCTTCCAAAGTCACATACGTCCCTTTGGGCGGTCAAGGGACTTGATGCACGCGGATTGAAGCATAATAATTCCCAACCACTTGGGGCTACCAATTGATTAACCACTGTCTCCTACGGAAAGCCAATGGGAGACATCGAACCTGCTATCTAGCACCGGAGCATACGTGAACAGCTAAATTCTACATATCACATTTTTTTTCTGCGACTTCATCTGTACGCGAGAGTCGAGTCTCCATCATTGTGATGGCGAGCGCAGCGGAATGTCGTCTGTAGGGTAGTCAAAGTCACTACCCACGCGCTCTAACAGTCGCGAAAAAAAGACCATTTACGTACGTCAGATCAGACACTATTAACGTTAAGTGTGCCGTCGACTTCCATTCCCTGGTACAAAATCTCCAATGCTGCCACCACACCTTGCCATACAGACTGTCACATCCTGAAAGCTTCCACTTCGCTTTACCACTGGCAGCATCTTTTTTCCATGTCAGCAACAGTGAATCGCCGGTGACATTCCCACCATGGAGGACGAGAGCGCCTCGAGACGACGTCGGAGTTCGTCTCGAGCCACGGCCAATGGAGGACCACCGCGCCTTTACCGTCTGAATTCCAACCAGAGCCAGTCCAGTATCTTCGAAGATGTTGAAATGGCCCAAGAGGAGCTCTTCTCAGGGCCCGTGGCTGAAAGTCTCCCCACAAGTGTTTCTCACTTCTCGCACCGTCGACATCGCGCCGACTCCACGACAAGTTTCGTATACTACGATGAAGAGGACGACCAAGAGCAGCAACAATACTCCCCAGTATTCGAAGCCGACTCGGAATACATGCGACGGAGTGTAAGCGACATTGGCGATATAGAGTTTGGCATAGAGGATGGAGGGGAGGATGACGAGGACATGGGCGAGGACGATTCTGCAGATCACGACTACGACGACAGCAGGCCTGATGCGTACATTATGCGACGCCACTCATCTACCGCGTCACGAACTTCGATACACGCGCCATTCCTTCGGAGGGACAGCACATACACAGAGCGCAGCGGGCGGTTGACAGGCCGGACGAGTCAAAAGCTGTACATGAAGAACGAAGACTTGACGATTGCCATCGCCGGTTTCAGTAATAGCGTGGTTGGATATGTGTTATATCTGGCCATTTGCATTCTGACAGGCGGGCTTGGTTTCCTGGCGTTGCGCTGGATGCCACGATGGTATGTGGCTGTTGTGGGAAGGCCTTGTGCGTTGGCTTCTTGCGACTGGGTTGTCATTGAAAATGAATGGCAGGAAATGTCCATTCTCGACGTTAAGATGCGGTCTTACGGTCGTCCTTTGTCCTCAGTCTTCGGACTTTCGGAGAAAATGTTCGCGGAGGATCTGGACGACGACAATGATCCCTTGATCGAAGACCTACGTATACTCGACTACCGTTATGTCCGCCTGTGCTATCACCCGCCGAAGGACAAGTTCGTCCTGTCCTATGGCTGGAAGGATCCTGACTGGACTGACGTGCGAGTCGTTCGGACGGGATTGGATACCGATGAGAAGAGCATTCGCGAAATTCTGTTCGGCAGCAACCTCATTGACATTGAGCAGAAGTCCACGAGTCAGCTGCTCGTTGACGAGGTCCTCCATCCCTTCTACATCTTCCAGATAGCATCACTCACGCTCTGGTCGTTGGACTCGTACTATTACTACGCAGCCTGCATTTTCGTCATCTCCGTCGGCAGCATCACCTCGACGCTGATCGAGACTCGTGCGACTATGAAACGCCTCCGCGAAATCTCGCGGTTTGAATGCGATGTTCGAGTACTCCGAAATGGGTTCTGGCGTTACATTTCCTCAGGCGACCTGGTACCAGGCGACATCTACGAAGTCAGCGACCCAAGCCTTACACAGTTCCCGACCGATGGGCTACTTCTGAGCGGCGACTGTATCGTCAATGAAAGTATGCTCACAGGCGAATCTGTCCCCGTCTCCAAAATACCTGCCAACGACGAGACGCTACGAGGCATGGACTTGGGGGCGTCGTCAGTCTCTGCCGAGACGGCGCGTCACTTCCTTTTCTGCGGCACCAAAATTGTGCGAACCCGTCGGCCGCAGGAAGACCAAGACGGCGATGCTGTCGCCTTGGCGCTTGTGGTTCGGACCGGCTTCAACACGACCAAAGGCGCTCTTGTGCGGTCAATGCTCTTTCCCAAACCCTCCGGGTTCAGCTTCTATCGGGACTCTTTCCGTTACATTAGTGTCATGGCTCTTATTGCGATACTCGGCTTTGTTGCCTCCTTCGTCAACTTTGTTCGACTTGGCGTCGAATGGCACGTTATCATTGTACGAGCCCTGGACCTCATCACCATCGTTGTGCCCCCTGCACTGCCGGCTACCTTGACTATCGGTACCAACTTCGCTCTGGCTCGCCTGAAGGGCAAGAACATTTTCTGTATCAGCCCCCAGCGGGTGAATGTGGGCGGAAAACTTGACATTATGTGCTTCGACAAGACAGGTACATTGACGGAGGAAGGCCTGGACGTACTTGGGGTGAGAGTGGTTTCCAAGATGACGAATCGCTTCAGCGAGGTTATTTCTGAGTCGCAGGTGCTGGTCCAGACTGAGGCTGACTCTGATCCCGACCATGCGCTGACAGCAGTGTTGCACACCATGGCTACCTGCCATTCGTTGCGCTCCGTCGACGGCGAACTTGTAGGCGACCCTCTGGACCAGAAGATGTTCGAATTCACCAACTGGACTTTTGAAGAGGGCAAGCAGAGTGCCGGGGATGCCGACGACGAGGAGCAAGGCGGATTGGCGCCGTCGATTGCCCGCCCACCGGATGGATCATTGCAGCTTGGCGTCGTCAAGTCTTTCGAATTTGTTTCTCAGCTGCGACGGGCCAGTGTGATCGTTCGTCACTTTGGCGCGAAGAGTGCAGATATCTACGTGAAAGGCGCCCCCGAGGCCATGCGTGAGATCTGTCGCTCAGATACCTTTCCCGCTGACTACGAAGAGCGACTCTCGTACTACACTCACAAGGGCTATCGTGTGATCGGCTGTGCCACACGCCATCTCCCAAAGCTGACCTGGGTCAAAGCACAGAAGATGACACGCCACGATGTCGAAAGCGAGCTAGACTTTGTTGGGTTCATCATCTTCGAGAACAAACTCAAGCCGACAACGAAAGAAGTGATTGATGAACTGTCGGAATCCAACATCGGGACAGTCATGATCACAGGTGACAATATCCTCACGGCAATCAGCGTTGCGCGTGAGTGTGCGCTCATGAACCGACGTGCACATTGCTTCGTCCCTCGCTTTCTGGAGGGTGATTGCCGGGACCCCCAAGCTGAGCTTCAATGGGAGAGTATCGACAACAGCGCCTACACGTTGGATAGGAACACGTTGCTGGTAAGTTCTTTTGAGTGAATGTCAATGCGAGATGACACTAACAGAATTAGCCTCTCCCTCCATCACCATCTGCCGACTCGACCTTGCCCTTTGAGATCACTAATCTCCGCGACTTCTCACTTGCTGTTACCGGCGACGTGTTTCGGTGGATCGTCGACTATGCGCCTCCTGAGACCCTACAGCGTATGCTCATTCGCGGTAAGGTCTTTGCCCGCATGTCACCAGATGAGAAGCATGAGTTGGTGGAGAAATTGCAAAGCATCGACTATACCGTGGGTTTCTGCGGCGATGGTGCCAACGACTGCGGAGCTCTCAAGGCTGCAGATGTTGGGATCTCACTTTCTGAAGCAGAAGCGTCTGTGGCGGCGCCTTTCACCTCGAGGGTCTTCGATATTCGTTGTGTGTTGGAGGTCATCCGCGAAGGCCGTGCAGCGCTGGTCACGAGTTTCAGCTGCTTCAAGTACATGAGTCTCTACTCTGCGATTCAGTTCACCTCCGTCAGCTTCCTCTATGCCAAGGCATCAAATCTCGGCGATTTCCAGTTCCTATTCATCGATCTCGTCCTGATCCTTCCGCTGGCCATCTTCATGGGCTGGTCTGGGCCTGCGCAGAAGCTTCACCGCAAGCGGCCGACAGCGGACTTGGTGTCGCGCAAAGTTCTGACACCATTGCTTGGGTTGATGGCTATTTGTGTTGCCATCCAAGCCGTGGCTTACGTCGCCGTCCGGGAGCAGCCTTGGTACAAGCCCCCGAAGCTGAAGCATGAGGGCAGCAACATCAAAAACTCGGAAAACACCGCACTGTTCCTCATGTCGTGCTTCGAGTACACTTTCGCGGCGGTGATACTCAATGCTGGCCCGCCTTTCCGCGCCCGCACCGCAAAGAATTGGCCATTCACTCTGACGGTGCTGCTCGCCTTGGCGGTTGTATTGTACATGGTTCTGGGACCGGCGCATTGGTTGAAGAAGCTGATGCAGCTCAGCTACATGAGCTTCAGCTTTGAATTGCTCCTCATTGGGATGGGGGTCCTGTTCTTGGGACTAGGGTGGACTTTTGAGACAATGGTCGCCGGAAAACTGGCTCGAGCCATTGGGAGATGGAATCTGAAGCTGTCTGGGGCTGTGAAGCAGCGGAAGAAGTACAAGACCATTGAGAATAGTATGCGGATTTAGAGGCATCTTTTGGGGTCGGGGCAAATATCTACAATCTTCAGGCGAGTTAAGTGTAAGCATGGTGCGAACAAATTTCCATATATTGCTCTTCAGTGACTGTCAACACGTACAGCACGGTGCACTATAGCCGTCTTCCGGAAATGGTGACTGCCTCCACGTATCTGCGTAGAATTATCGCATCGCCTTTCCAGCGCCCGGCCTCCTGCGCGCATATACCAATGCCCAGCTCTGCACCCATTCAGTGATCCCAAGGGTGCTTCCAGCCCATCAACACGGGACCTGCATGTGTTAGCATCGAGTTCTGTCGTTTGTTCGTTCAGTCGCGGTTTGAGAGAGCCTACCGTCCTTCTTTGCCCGGTACATCAACTATGCCAAGTTAGCGTCGAGTCGGAAAATAATCCGGAGAGCCAGCTCCAAACGCTGCATCAGTAAGGCTTACCCAGAACCACATTCCCGCGCCGAGCGCAGTGGCAGTATACCGGTAAATGCCAGGAACATGAGGAACAGGGGGTTTAGGAGGACCAGTCGGTCGGGGGTGGTGCGTCGGGCCAGCCATGTCGTCGCTCAGTCGATATTCTGCTGCATAGTTTGCGTCAGTGTGCTGCAAATTTCTCTCGGGTAGTTCTCTTGAGCTTACGCGACGTTGTGGATGTTCAATTGCTCAATGCTGAGGATAGAGATTCGTCGCCGTCGTCGTTGTAGGAAACCATCGACTGATGTGATTATGTAACGCAAATGAGTGGGTCGGTCCAAGTTGTTGCGCCCCGTCATCGGTCATCCTGACGCCCGCCGGCGAACCGCGACTCCTTGACACGGACTCGGCGTGGGGGGTGGGGCTATTGTGCGTGTAAGGTGTCTTCATCTAGCATTGAACATACATCAGCGCTTCTGTAGAATTTCTTGCCCGTCCTTCCTCACTGATCCAAAGGTCGCCGGATACAGCATTCATTGGAGCTTGGGTAGGTTGCTGGTGCAAGCTCTCTGCCGCCATGGCTGCAAACACGACGCTCAAGCGTATAAGTACGCCCTCCTCCACCACGTCCGCCGACGACCGAAACTAGACAGACAGTCACTAATAGTTACACAGCCAAAGAAGCAGCCGAGCTGCAAAAATCGCCATCACCCGACTTTGTCGCTTCTCCCATCGCTTCCGACCTATTCGAGTGGCACTTTACACTTCGCGGCCCACCATCGAGTCCCTACGCCTCGGGACAGTATCACGGTCGCATCTCGCTCCCACCTACATATCCGTACCGCCCACCTTCCTTTCGCTTCTTGACCCCGAGCGGTCGCTTTGAGACCAACAGAGAGATATGCTTGAGTATATCAGGTCATCATGAGGAGACATGGCAGCCGGCATGGGGAATCCGCACCGCTCTCGTGGCCTTGAGGAGCTTCATGGAGACGGACGTCAAGGGCCAACTCGGTGGCATGGAATGCTCCGAGGAAAGGCGCAAGAACATGGCCGAGGAGAGCTGTCATTGGAGGTGCGGCGTGTGTGGCATGTCCAACGCAGAGATCATGGCCGACGCCACGGAGCGTTGCAAAGACGCGCCGCAGGCTAAGCAGGATGTTGTCCCAGACGAGCTGAAGATGGGTTTCAGAGATGAATTGGAGAAGCCCAAGCAACAAAAACAGCAGCAGCAGCAAGAGGAAGAGGAGAGGGAGATAGCTGAAATGGCGGAAGGATTCGTCCAGACGGCACCCCCAGTGGATCGCTCGCAAGCGGAGGCGCAGGCGCAACCATCAACCAGGAACTATGAGTCCAGACCGATTCAAGCAGCATCGCAGCCAATATCCGCACAGCCTACACCAACACAAACAGTGCCTGTTCCCGAGCAGCCGACGGCCCAGATGGCAGGCTGGAGGAATGACAATGGCGTACCCGTGTGGCTGGATCGTCTCATCGTTGCACTCGTTGTCTTTCTGGTCGCGCTGCTCATGAGGATCATGTACGTGGGCGTGTAGGACACGCTCTCAAGGCGTTGGCTGGAATAAATGAAGCCTGTGGGTTTGCTTGCGAAGTCATGCCTTGTTACGCGAGCATCTGCGCGTAGCACTTGCATATCCCGTCAAAGTATTTCGGTTGTTCACATTCGAGGGAAACCTTGCATCGATCGACGGCGTGTCGTCTCGCAAGCGTGTTGCTCTGGAGGGAAACCGTTACTAAGCTTGGCGATGGTTGATTTAGAATGGGCAACGGGAACAGCGTTGGTATTGGAACTTTTGCATTTTCTTTGAGCGGAATATTACTATTTTGGATCACCACTGGCGCGATCATCTCTGCGACATTGGTACTGCCAACCACCACCACTCCGCCAATCTCAGCTCTCCTTCTCCATTTTCTAGGAGGCCTTTCTCAACACACCAATCCAAGATCAAATCTGCCTCAAAAGGTTCCAGAACAGGTTTCGTAGCTTTGACCAGCAGGTCTTCCGACATTTCACCTCGCGTAGAAAACAGGAAGAGCACAGAGGCAAGTACCTCCCACCATCTGTGGAGCTGGGGCCGATTCCAAAAGTCAATCCACTGAGGTATTGCTTTCGCTGGTCCAACCCGCGGCGGCTCCTCGTTCCTAACGTGGCGCAGAAGAGAGATATCCTGGTTGTAAAGATAATCCTCCGTGGCTTCAACCGCGATCCCAAAGTGGAGGTTGGTCTTGGGCATCTTGCGCGATTCGTAGTTTCCGGGAATAAAACCAAATGGTATGTAAGGCACATCCGTGGACCGCACACGTATTCTTCCATTGGCTGACAGGTTCATGACCGCCATCATGGCACCGTCTGAAAGCGTATAGGAGATTGGAAAGCTCTCTCCTTTCCGAGTCGCCGCGTCCAACGATTCTTTGAATACTTGGGCTTCCTTGTACTTTCGCATTTGTGATAGGCGGGCGAGGCTGGTGGTGTAAGGCTCTGACAATCTGTACTCGACACCACCAGGAATGGTACTCTTTTTGGTCTTTTTGAGAACTTTCGTTTCAGAGAGTTGATCGATCGCCGTGTTCAGCAGATGAGAAACTTCAGACTGGTTGCCCCCTCCGAGCTCGAGAAGTTTCTTGCGCATGGCCGCAGCAGCTTGAGTACCGGAAGCAGGTGTGATACACAGAGAACGCATCCATGATCGCGCTGGCTGATATCTGTCTACGCAACGAGACCTTGAGTGGCCACTGATGGCGGCTGCTTCAGAAGAAAGAAACTCCAGTCGGGCGAGGGTGGACGTCGCGACATGATAGTACTTTTCCTTCCAGTCATCACTGTCCTTCTCGGCATCTTTCAGGACGAAACTGTTATCGAGGTTCTCCATGGTCGGGGGCAAATGCTGATCTTTTTGTGCCGGAATCTCCATCGTCCATCTCACCAGGCCTTGCCAGTCGTAATCTGCAGCATGTTCATAGTCGATGAGAGGCAGCTCATCACGCTCACAAGCTGCGATGTATCGGTCTTGGAAGTCATGCATGAACTCGGCGATGAAGGGCCCCCGCGCTTTCTGCGTAGCTAGCCAGAACCTCCTGAGGCGAGCAAGTTCAATGTCTGGGAAAAGGTCGACCAAGATGCCCCAGTCAATGAATCTGTCGACGCCACCCAGCAGGGCACGCACGGCGACAAAGGCCGCAAGCACTTCCTTTGGATTAGGAATCGGTTCATCATGCTGAACCGTTTCTCCGCCTTCCACAGCCTGGGGCTTGACGCGGCTGGGCAGCGCAGTGAGCTGCCGCATTTTGAGGGGAACGAACTTGGCGCGCTCTGGCCGGGGACTTGCGACTTGGTGAGGAACCCCTTTTCCGCGGTCGCTCCGAACAGCACGGAGCGCTCCCTTCTTCCGACGTGTTTCCTCGGCACTGACAAAGGGAGATGCCAAGCCTTTGATAAAAGCGATACCATCGTCGTTGCCATCCGACGAGTCGCTGTCTGGAGCGTCATCTTGTATCTTTTGACCATCGGCCAACGTTAATTGTTCAGCATATTCCAGCCGCGAGGGATCAAAGTTCGAGTCCAATGGTCCGCTGTCTCCAATGACATCGACAAAGATGTTGTGCGGCCCAGCTTCGCCAGGCGCGGCCTTGATAGCCCGATAATAGTTGCTCTGCTCTGCCTCGTAGATGGCATGAATACGATCCATGGCTCTCGACCACTTCTTGTCTCGCTCTTCATATCGATGAAATCCCTTTGGTGCTTTAGCGCCGGTCCGCATATCAATACTGCAGGCAAATTCCTCCCATTTGAACCACGTTGCGGACGGCATCCAGCCGTCAAGGGTGAAACTAGCGTGGCTTGTTTCGAAGAACTTCAACCCGAGGAATTCCCAAGCACCTTCCCCGTTGCCCTCCAAGATCAGTGATGGCACGACCGGGTTGGTGGTGCAAGTGTCACCAGCAAACAACCTTTTTCGATGCCACTCAATCCGTTTGGTTGCATTCGCGTCCACGAGCCGACTCTCCTTGGGGCGGTGATCGGGGGCTTCATCTTCAAGATACGTGTTGGGGTCGAGGAATGTCACAACGCTAGATGATCCAGCTTCTGGGTCCTCAGTTGACCAAGGCTTGCTGTTGGGGTGGTCTACCCATCCCAGTTTACCTGCAGGGACCTTGCGTTGAGCGCCTACCGACCATCGCGGGCGATTTGTTTTCTTTGCGTCAGCCTGCTCGTGTTCTTTCAGGCGCTTGGCTGCTAGCTGCTTTGCATATACAGGCGCCTCTAATCTTGAAACCAAAGTAGGCAGTGGCCTCCTCGAAGGAATTGCATAACCATTGATCTTCAGAACTGTGACCTCGGCGTTTCGAATGCTGTCCGGCACATAGGGATCCGGATATCGGTCCTTCATCAGTTCCACTAGGCTCACGACTTTAGGGGATAGGGGGTCCTCGCCAGTTGAAGTCAGTGTCTGCACCTTTGCGATTTTGCCGTCATCTCTGCGAAAAACATGCCAGTGTTCCGCAACCTCCATATTTCGGATCATAGCTACCACCGAGCCCCAGAAAGATCGGTTGGTAAGGCATTGGACGCGAGGAACCTCGTGCCGGTACTCTCGATCCCACAAAACTCGCAGGGCTCGCCACAAAGCCTCCCCTCCCGGGAAGACGCCATCATGGTCGCGTAAGAGAATCTTGACCAAGTGAGAGGTTCGCTCATTGCGCTCCTTCTGGTTGAGGAGCCTCCCCTCTAGCCGATTGAGCTTGCCATGATGGCCGGAGAAATACCGCTTCTGCACCTCCTGACCTGCCACCGTGCCCTCTTCGCTCGGATACCCGACGGTGGGTGGCTGATGGGGTACATTGTGCCACGGGGAGCTGGAGCGCTCGCGGCCTGTTTCCGTAATGTTCATTGCCGAAAGGCCGGGGCCAAGCGCAAGGTCAGCGACGGTCCGCGTACGCAGTCGGTCAGGAGGGAGCAAGAGGCCCTGCGTAGGCAGTATGGGATTCCTTGCCGCGCCATCTGGCACCGTCCGTTCCAGTTTGACGACCTGAAATCTCTTTGTTATGGAAACCTTCCGTGAGGAATCGTCCTCAACTGACGCAGCGCTGGACGACCGTCTACAAGGGGGGCTGGCGTAGCGAGGTACTCTTTTTCTTCGCTTTGCGATGCCGTCCAATGTGTCAGAGTTGGCAGCTGCATCGATATGCGCCTCATCTGGCTGCGCGGGCGCTGTTGCGAGCTGCCTCTGGACTTTTGCTGCCTTCGTCTTCTGTGCCTCCATCTTCCGCTCGATCAATCGAGCTGCCTCAGCAGCCGGATCCCAATTGACGTTACAAGGGACCCTGGCCTTTTCGAGGTGGTACTTGAGACCGATATCATTCTTCCACGCACCCCCACACTTTTCACATTTCCAAGGCTTCATGTCGCTCGAGCCTGTGGCGCGGCCGCCACCACCTCGTCCACGCCCCCTGGCACCACGTCCGCGCCCGCGCACGCCTGTCACTCGCGGCGGTTTCTCGCTGGCAGGGCGTCCCCGCGGAGAGACTGTCGCCGCTAAATCTTGGTCGACAGCGCCCAGACTGTTTGACTCACTTGTTGCCATACCAGACCGGCTCCCCGCTGGTGTTTCAAGCGTTTCACCAGCGCTGTGTGGGTTCAGTGCCTGCTGCTGTATACTGGCCGATTCCCCAGGGATAAGTCTGACTGGGCCGGCATCAGCTTCTGCCTGTGGACAGACCGTTGAGCGCGAGGCTGTAGCGAGGGCGATCCTTTCAAGGACTTGCGGTCTGACTTTCAGCGTCACAATCAGTGGAGATGCCTTTTCAGCCTGTGTTTCCACCTTGCTGATTGCAATTGACGGTCGCCTTGCATCATCCTGGTGGGCTTTTCCGACTGGACTCAGTCTGTTAACTTCAATATAGTCTCTGTTTTCGTCATCTCCCCTAGCCACCGTACCAGCGGCAAGCATCCTCTCGAGCTTAGGCTTGCCCCGGTTCTTTCCTCGGACAATCGTGCTCCGACCTAGCCTGCTCAGTGATGCAAGTTGGTCGACCTCGTGTTTCTTGGGCGCGAAAGGAGTGAATCCAAAGTTTTCGTCCGTCTGAGAGGTCGCGCACACGCGCTCGGGCACGACATATCGGAACGATGCAATCTTACCGGTCCTGACAAGCTCCTCTGTCACCTGGAAATGCTGCAAATATGAGGGCTGGGCCATAGCTCCAGCTGTGAGATGCGTAGTCGAAGAAATGTACCGATTGAAGCCAGGTCCCATACTGAACGTGCCAACGTCCGGATTGGCCACGCCTGTCCCATTACAGGCCTGGGCCATCCTGACCCAGAAGTTTCCAAATGGCTCGTCTACAGACCACGGGGGAAAGGAGTTTTGCAGAGTTGATCTGAGCTGGGGCCCTTCCGCGTCGTCATTCTCCGCAGTGTTCGCCGCACCGCTGGATTCAGGCCTACGACTGCCTGTTGCGAGATATACTCTGTAATCCGAGGACTCTACGTCCCTCACGAACTGTATGCAGTCTTTGTAAACTTGCTCGCCAACATCGTGCTGCGCGGCCACGTAGAGCAGGCAACCTCGCCCGTGGAGAAAGCGGCAGCATTGAGATACCATTTTCATATGCCAGGGCATGCCAATAACGTCGAGTTTCCTTCGCAAGTCCAGACCGCGAATGACACCCCAAGACTTCGTGATGGCCATGATTGTTCTGATCAGGGAGATGTAATCGGGGTTGTCGTTCTTCCAGCGGTCAGACCATGACACCGGCTCAAGGTCTTCGGCCAGGTTTTTCTGTGACAAGTCCAGGCCTACTTCAGCACGTTCAACTTCTTCGCCAATCGTCTTCTCGATGTTGCCCGGTGCGAAACGATGGAGCCACAGACGGCTGGTTTTTGTGCCTCGCAACAAGGCAGATCTTTTCGTGATATAGCCCTTCTGGTCTAGCACATCAGTTCGCTTGGGTACAGAGCGCTTGTCTTGATCCACGAGGCGTCCCAAATCGCCTTGTAGAATACCCTCGGTCATCGTGGAAGCAATACCCATGAGACAGGTCCACTCCAGTCGCGGAAGGCGTTTGTGATCAACCGCGTGTCCAGCAATACACTCCCACATCCTGTCTTCCGAGGCGAACACTCTAACATCGTCCGCATGCTGATCTCGCGAGTGCGCATCGGCCTGCTGTGTAGGCGAGAGGAGATGGCTGTGACTGTCCATGGAAACAACCTCGAAAGCAGCAGCGGAAGTATCCGCGGTGACATGGCCACTTGAATTCTGCGAAGGCGACCCTCTCACTGGCTGGGGACTGTTTTTTGCGCCCTTCGTCGCCGGTGCCTCAAAGCGGTAATCAATAGGCGTTTGCAAGCACAGTGCCCGCACTTCGGGCAGCGCAAGATGGTTATAGCTCCTCTCGGGGCCGACAGAGATATCTGGCCTCGCAACTAGCCAGCTCCAAATAGTTGTCACCGAGTGGACATCTGCCTCTTTACGGACTGTGCTGTCATGGTTTTCAGCGATGTCCGAGGGCGCCGCGAGTTTTGCCTCGATGGTCTCAACCACTTTCCGCACCGGGCAACCTGGGTAGAAAGTCAGATATCTTGTACCCCAAATACGATGTCAAGAATCATGGACGTTGAAGAATGTTAATCAGAGGCGCATCGCGCACAAGATCTTCGCAGATGAAGGATGCCGTTCAAGCAGCTCGCCAAGGAGCATCAAAACTTACCCTTTTCACCACTACAGCTGATCAGCAGTATGAGTCCCCCGATAAGACCTTCGAGATCCAAGGCCATGCTGCTTCATGATTTGGCGGGCTCATAGCCGGCCGCCAGGGGGACTTTCGGGAAAAAATGGCGACTAGATTTGCCAGCGGTAGGACTCGAACGCGTGTTGTCGCATATTGATGGGATGTTATGTGTGAGAGAACATGTCAGACTCTATGCAGGCGCGGAATCCTGAATGTGTGGTGGGGGCAGCTGCAGCAACCGTAACTGGAATAGTGCGATAGTCGTCAAGATTAGGTAATCCTCTCGGCCCGACTGCGTGTTCTCATTGTTAACGCTTCGCCATGCCATATACCAATGCTATGAGAGTGACTTGCTACCCTTCGACGTGGCCTGTTTCTTATCCCTCATTTGTCTGTACGCTTCCAGCACCGCGTCTCTTTCCGCTTGGAGCTCCTCGCGACGTCGCAGACTGCCAGCAGCCTTTGGGATGCCCTCAACATCAGCCATTGCCCCTTCTTTGACCTGCAATTGCCGCTCCTTTTTCTTATTCAGTTCGGGCGGTGCCAGTGCCACATCGTGTAGCCCAATTTTGGCCTCTGCCCGTTTCTTTTTCAGAGCTGCCCATGGATCTTCCTCCTTCTCTTTCGCGCGACCTTTCTTGCCCTTTCTTCTCGAGCCCTTGTGCTCCCCTGCCTCATCTAGGGTTTTCATAAAGGATGACGAAGTGATACCCTCGCCGTCATTCTCCAATTCCTTCTCCGCTTCCAATTCTAGTTCTTCCTCGTGCCGTTCCTTTGCCTTTCGTTCTTCGGCACGCCATTGATCATAAAGCCTGTGCATCTTCAACTCTTTCCTGGTCCGCCAGACCTTATTTCCCTGCTCATCTTTGCCGTCCTTGACGACGGTCTTCGTCTTCAGGCCAGAAACCGGAAGTGCAGCATCGACACGAGCAGAAAAGGACCGCAGATCTTCGCCTGGTCGAATGGCCAGCTTCTCGGGGTTTGTCTCGGACTTCGCGACCGGTGTCTTCTTTCCCTTTGGCTGGCCGTCGTCGAGACCACCAGGAAACTTCTTGCCTTGGGCTGCGGCCATGATTCGTCGGAAAGCTCTGGGTGCATCATTGTCCTCGAAGCGTGCTTGCTTTTTCGGTTTGGGTTGTGGCGGCGTTTTGCCCTTGACACCGACGGGGAGGGGACGAGCACGCTGGCTGGGTGGGAGATCGAAGCTGGTAGACTTGGTAAGCGTGGGATGAGCCCCGGCACCTGGTATTACTTACTCTGGGTCCTCTCCACGCTTCCTCTTGTGCTTGTGCGGCATACTGGCTGGTTTGTCGGTGATGTGATGTGGTTTGATGATTGAACTTGACTTGGGTTGTGCAGGCTAGAAAAGTCGGGGAATATGATATTGGCACCGACCGGTGACTTCCAAACGGCGCATGCAGCGCCACAACTTTTTTTTGTGGGTCTATGCACATCGCAACTCGGGCTTCAGTCGCCCACCCTGACCGGACTCGAGCCCAGGCGGATACAACCACATGACGAAACACAAGTAATCATGGTGATTTGCATTGCTCAAGTACGGCCAAGTACCAACTATCATACTGCCCTGCGCCTGGTTGTTTAACTGCTTAGAGCATTAATACTTCTGTGATTTATAGTAGTACTCTGGGCTAAGGACCACAAAAGTACGTACCGCGCGTGTATGATCACAAGAACGCAGGTCAAAGTCAGACCTTCCACGATTACATCTTCGGCCAATACACGATGCAGCTAGCAACCAGAACACGGGCTCCATTCATGCTCACCAGAGCTTCCAGAAACTGCACCGGTTCTAGCGATTTTCGCATTCCCACTCAGCACTTTTGCTCACTCCATCCATTCACGCCAATCGGCCACACTTGTCGCGCCAGTTGTTGAGGCAGAAGCGCATTCTGATCAGTCCGCTGATGCCCCATCGAAAAGCTCGGAGCCAGGAGGAGACAGCTCCTGTTGGCAACCAATCTCCAGAGGTTTCTAGGGTCATTGATGGCTCCCCGGGACGTCGAATATTCCTGAAACCTATTGTCCTGGTTTTATGCACAGTTTGGTAACCGGCAGTCTTATTCACCATGTTTTCCAATGTTAATCACAAATGCAGGCTTATTGGACTATTGCTCTTCGCCATCTGTCAAATCGCACATCATAATAGCTCGTCAGGCAACCACCAGCGCTTACAGCAGACGCGCCTGGCTCCGACGCCAATTCCATGCCACTCACACAACGACTTTTGGCAGAGGGTTCCCCTTGCCTCCGCCTTAGAAGTAGGCTGCACGAGTGTCGAGGCTGATGTATGGGCTTTCGAAGGGCAGCTGCTGGTCGCGCATAAGCGGGACTCGCTGTCGCCTCGCCTAACACTACAATCCTTGTACCTGGATCCATTATATCGTATACTCGCGGACAAGAACAACGACCAAGAGGACTCAGGGCGCCCTCGAGGCGTATACGACATTGACCCATTGCAGGAGCTCGTGCTCTTGATCGATGTTGAGGCTTGTCCGCAACGCGCCTGGCCATTGCTCAGCGCTGCCCTTCAGCCGCTACGCGAGAGAAAGTGGTTGACAATCAGCGAGAATGGTACATTGACTCAAGGGCCAATTATGGTTCTCGTCACTGGAAGCCTGCCGGCCTATCTTGTGGAATCAAACATAGAAACCGCTTCGCAGGGCGTCTTTCTCGATGCGCCCTTGCTAGAAATCGATTCCGGCAAATACAATTCGCCCAATGCCTATTGGGCAAGTACATCTCACCGCACACTTCTCGACAGTGCGTATCGTGATCGCAGGCATAGAGCCTCGCGTGAGGAAGTCGAGACCTATATTAAACATGCGATTGATCTTGCGCATGCGCGCAGTCTCAAGGCTCGCTGCTGGGGCCTCTCTAGGTCAGGGTTCAGTCGACCGGATGACACTTGGCCTAAATTAATGGCTCTTGGAATGGATGTCGTCAACGTCGACAATTTGGCAGCGTTTCGGGAGGCTTGGGTACACCTACATCCCACAGCAAGGAAGGATTGATCGGAAACAGAAGCATCATAAATGCCTTGATGGCGCTTTCAACATTTCGAGCAACTCGTTCACGGCTCCGACGTGTCAACCCTTCCGACACTCCGGTTTACCGCCGAATTACCCGTCCATGCAGCAGGTTCTCGGCCTCTATCTAAGATACTGCACGACGTCACGGTTATGGGGTGACCCCGCAAGATAAGAGCCAACATATCAGTATAAGTTCCTCCACAGCTTTGTGCGGGTTGCTTGGTGATTATATCTCCAGATCATTGCATTTTTTAGCTCGCAGGTAATCGTCGACTTTGACATTCCACCCAGCAGTTTCTCGGCTTTCCCTTGGACATCTACAATGGCCACCGTCGGACAAATGGCAGCCCTAGATGTACGTGCAGATGCGCCACAGAACCAACGACATTCGAATTGACATTATATACATAGCCTACGATAGCACAGAACCTGCCGCCTCAATGCGGCAGACTCTTCGAGGCAAAGTCCGCCAAACGGCTTAGTTTCGAGCAGATAGCCAAACATCTCGAGCGAAGCGAGGTGGCGTGTGCTGCATTGTTCTATGGCCAAGCCCAAGCCTCGCCGGTAGATGTCAGCCGTCTTTCTCAGCTTCTCGAAGTGCCTGAAAGTGCGTTGGGCTCGATGATGGCGATTCCTGACCGGGGTCGAGCTGGCCCGATGCCACCGGTGGAGCCCCTGATATACAGACTTTACGAGATTGTCCAGAACTACGGGTATGCCTATAAAGCCATTCTAAACGAGAAGTTTGGTGATGGAATTATGAGTGCCATCTGCTTCTCCACGAAAGTGGACAAGGAGGTGGATGAGACAGGTGCCTCGTGGGTCGTGATCACTCTCAGGGGAAAATGGTATGTGTGTACGTCTTCGCCTTGGCCGCTACTAAAAAAACAACCAGGCTCCCTTTCGCCCGTTTCTAAAATGATTTTCTTTGTGATCGGAAAAAGACATTCATTCGTGTGGCGTGTAATGGGGGGGGGGCTATAACAAATTGTCACAGGCAACAATATTAAGGGGCGCATTACACAATACTAAGCAATCCGCCACCCAACTTAGTGAACCTCAGCGATGTCCGTGCGCTACCGTGCGAGTTCTTTCATAGTCGACTTCTCGTCATCTCTTCCAACCCATTTCTGGCTGTTCTCGAGAGAGGGTGTCCTGTGGGATGTCGAGACTCGGTCAGCATGCCCTCACCTCCCTCGTTGTGGCTTGCAGCTCGAGGAAGCACCTTCATCCCAACAATACTATCGAACAGCTATGGCCAAGGGTTCTGCTAACATTCTTGTTCTTGTTCGACACGTCCCTACTAGCAACTTCAAGTCCTCTTGAGTGTATAAAAGTCTCTGCATTCCCCTTCCAGATAACCCAGAAGACTCCAACACCAGTCACAACATCAAGAACAGCAACACCAACTACTACTCCTTCTTTTCAATCACGCAAAAGTTCACTCAACTTTCAAAATGCCTGCTCACCAGTCCACCAAGAACGGCGCCACCAAGTCGCCTGGCTACCCTCTCGGCTGCTCCGTCATGGCCAAGCCTACCGTCGACGCGAAGTCCCCCGGCTACCCTCTCGGCTGCAACGTGATGGCCAAGCCCACCGCCGACGCGAAGTCCCCCGGCTATCCCCTTGGCTGCACGGTCATGTAGATGATCTGACGCTGCGGCTCTGATCAACGAAGACCTCTTACACACATTTCCAAGAGCAAGAGGCCCTCTGGACCGACAAGATCGAGCACACACCAGGCTTGTAGAAACCAGCTTGTTTCGCGAACTTTGACGACACATAACACAACGGCTTCCATTCTTCACTATCTTGTAGAGGAATTGGAAGTTTTTCACGCATTACGGTCTGACGACTTCGACACAGCGACCCCCAGCACCGTAGGCCAAACATTCTTCGACTCTTGAGACACAAGTCAACCCGTGTCTGCGCACATTTTTGTATATCAGGCAACAGTATCGAGAGCGAGAGATGGGTGGAAAACTACGATGGTAATCCCCGGTATATATTTTCTTCGTACTACTTAAAGCAATTCAATCGCTGGTTACAACAATGCCTCACGCTGTGATTCCGCCTGTCCAATTGATACTTATGATAGAGAAGCATCGAGTATTTCTGACCTTGTGGTGGATTTGTTGAAATTAGCAATAGCACCGACCAATAAGACTTTGTCAGACTTGAGCATGTTCAGGTACTACTATCTGACTTTTGGTGATATTAGAGTCATAGGTAGTAGCGTCCCCTCTTGTCGATTTGCCAGTGCCAGTGAGTTTGGGGACTCTTTGTATGGTCCACCAAACTTGAAATTGTTAGAAATTACCAAAGTACCGAAAAACAGCACTAGAAGATTCGATCGATTGGATGTCTGAATTGTTCACCCATGTACACAAATTGACAACCAAGTCCAGGGTAATTGAGGAACAGCGTCTGACCTGCTGTCCGATTGCGATAGCCTGAGCGAGCTAAAGTGGAACTTTGGCTCCAGTCCCTGCAATTCTCAGTTGTCGGCGCCCGTGCCTGAAAGCGGTGTGCCAACTTTTCGGTGGCAGAATTTCCCAAGATTTTCTGACATTTCCTAGTCTCGGCTGTAGCAACACTTTGCCTACTGTAACACCCGTCCACCCCAATAACCAATCCAGCAATGGCGAAAAGCAAACTCAAGATGGCGCTAGCCGCCGACAAGGGCACCGACTTCAAGAAGTTGAAGGAGAAGCGCCAGAAGAAGGCAGCCCTCAAGCGCAAGCAGGCTGAAGAAGGACCCCAGGACAGCGACGACCACAGCGGGGCAGAGGACGCCGAAGTGGCGCAAATAAGCGACGAGTCTGATGAGGACGAGGAATACGAGGATGCAGAGGAGCAGGTAGGCGATCAAATTGTCATCAAAGGCAACTGACTGACTTGTAGATCAACCTCCACGGCATCGACGAGAGCGACAGCTCCGGCTCCGAGGTCGAAATGGAAGAGCGCTTGCCACGTAAACCAAAGACAATCCTGAAACCTCTCAATGCTGCGAAACCGATCGCCAGACCTGGAAAGGCCGAGGACGCCGACAGTGATGAGGATGAGGACGAGGAAGATGAGGAGGACATTCCCATTTCCGATCTCGAAGACCTCGACGAAGACGAGAAGGAAGATCTCATTCCGCACACCCGCCTCACAATTAACAATACGTCTGCCCTGCTCACCTCGCTCAATCGCATCGCACTGCCGACCGACAAGTCCGTACCGTTTGCCACACATCAAGTGGTCGTCTCGGCCGAGGCCACGGCCGACTCCATTCCCGACATCCAGGATGACCTCCAGCGCGAACTGGCATTCTACTCGCAATCGCTCGCCGCGGTGCGCGAGGCGAGGACGAAGCTACGCGCAGAAAAGGTGCCCTTCAGCCGGCCCAAGGACTACTTTGCGGAGATGATCAAGGAGGACGCGCACATGGAGAAGATCAAGGCCAAACTGGTCGAGGAGGCCACCAACAAGAAGGCGGCCGCTGAGGCTAGGAAGATGAGGGACCTCAAGAAGTTTGGCAAACAAGTCCAAGTGGCCAAGCTGCAAGAGAGACAAAAGGTCAAGAGGGAGACGCTGGATAAGATCAAGAACCTGAAGAGGAGTACGTCTTTCCCACTTGCGCAGACCGAGTCAGAACAAGCTAACCGCGACAGAACGCTCGGAATCAGGCAACGACATGGGCACCAAGGAGGCTGACATTTTCGACGTCGGTGTCGACAAGGAGCTCAGCAAGAATAGCACCGGCAGGTCTGACCGCGCTGGTGCTGGTCGTGGCAGCAAGCCCAACACCAAGCGCCAGAAGAAGGACGAAAAATACGGCTTTGGTGGAAAGAAGCGTCATGCGAAGTCGGGCGATTTCGCTAGCTCGTCAGACTTGAGCGGCTTCAGTGCCAAAGCGATGAAGGCCAAGGGTGGGGTCAGTAAATCCAGACCAGGGAAGAGTAAGAGGAAGGCCATGTCAACTCGATAGATATCCTGTCAGCACCGTAAGTTGAATACTCAAATGCCTGGCGTCACGGGTCGGAATGCCTGTTTATGCATGTCGTTCATTCGTCTATGACTTGGAAAGAATATGTAGAGAGATTCGCTACCGGAACAGGCTTTGTGAGCTTTGTTCCGCGTGCCACCGTCCTCCTCGTTCCGTCTAAGACTCTCCAACTGGTGGCCAATGCACTTTCCAGACTTCTCTGCGTCAAGACAATATATACTCAATACAATAATAAGACGCGCCATGCAACCGAACCCAATGCGCCAAGGAGCCCTGTGGTATCAAGAAAATGCGGGAGTGCTGATGTCAACGCTCTGCTGTGCAATGCAACTCGGAGGATGTATATCAAAACGGGATTTAAGAGGTCCCTCATTGCGATGCTTGGACGCACCAGTGACGATGGAATGCCCATGCGCTCTTCTGGCACTCTTTGCTGCAGTATTTCGTACGGCGACATCGCCGGCACTTGGCAAATTGGCGAGTGTATTCTTCCCACTTGCCACACTTGTAGTATGCGCATTGTCTGATGCCTCCTCGTGTATCGTCCTTGCGGCAGAGATTTCGCATCACAACGCCGGCCCAATATTGCATGTCGGTCGTGTGATATCGCACAGTAAACTTTTCCACTAGAGGGAAAAGATTAAAATCGTTCGGCAAGAGGTACTCTTCGTCTTCGCTGTCGCTGGCATGCTCGGGACACGGTTCGTCGTTAGCAGCTGCAAGCTCCTTATCGATGTTGAGCTTCGGCACGAGATGGCTCTGTTGGAAGTACGAGCGGAGACCGCAGTACTTAGAAACGTAAGCAAGAAGTTGTAGCGACATGAGAACGTCTTCCTCTCGTGGCATAGCCACCATGAGGTCGTTACTTGGCATGAAATGCCGATCCAGGATGTAACGCGAAGTGATCGAGCTGGGTAGCGCCGGGGCAGGAGGAGAGACCATTGTTGGTCGGTTCGGTGACAGACCCATCTGAGGCACAGGTGTGGGCGTATTGTTTGTGACCACGCTACCATTGATGGGGCTTCGATGTGTTATGTTGAAGGTACCCGCTTCTTGATGCGTTTCTGACACGGTGGGTGTCGCCAAGTCCAGCGAAGCGTCGGCCAATATGCTTTCATCGCCTTCCATGGTGATATCTTGGATTCCTACAGGTGGCTGAATATCTCCGGTCCCAGTCATTTCAGTATCAGGAGACTCGTCGGAGGTGACACCGTCGCCATTGATATCTTCCGAGGCCGATGTAGAATTTTGATGGCGGATCGAAGGGCGGCGACGGTTACGACCGGGGGTAGTTGTGTTGGACGCGGGGCGTACAGCAGGAGAGCGGAGTTGCGGCGGTGGCAGAGGCGTAGTTGGCGATGTCGGTTGCGAAGTCAGGTCGCCGGGGCCGAAAGGAGCCATGGACGCCAAGCGGTCGATATCGCGGACGGGCCGCAAAAAGCCATCAGCTCCTTCCAGGTTGGACATTGCAGTTCCTTCGGCATCAGACGAAGCCAAAGGCCGCAAGCTCTGCCTCGAGCCCGACGGCGAGCCGTTCCGGACGGCTGAGGAACGTAGACCTTGGCGGCGGTGGGCCAAGACAGAACTTGCTTCCCTCGAAGCGACCGAGACGTTGTGCGTAGTAGCGGCATTGGCATCCCCACTAGACGTGGCAGCAGCTGTCGAAGGGCCTGCGAGACTAGCAGAAACATCAATAGATAGAGGTGATTGACGGTGTGAAGGCCGCTCATCCTCAGTGGCTGTTGCCCGTGGCGTGGAGGACATCACCTTGGCCTGCTTCTGCTGGCGTTGGTGATGCTCCTTGATGTGCTTTTGCTTTGCCTCGTCTGCCTTTTCTCTGCATTTCTCCACAACTTTGATGTAATTGTCGAGGATAGTCGCGATGACAGGAACCATGTCCGCCTCCACAACCCTGGTACGAACCTTTTCAGTGCCTCGAACGCCAATGTTGACGACACACTGGAATGCAAGGTTCCATTTCCAGAGGTCCATGACTTCCTTACTGCGACCCTCCTTCAGGATGCAGACCAGACGTTCAATTCCTCCATCGACAGTAAGAATTTCGCGAATCCGGGCGGACGAGGTTGTGAGGTAGGCGAGGTGATTGAGCGAGTTGATGAGTGGCAGAGTCGAAGTGCAGTCAAGTGCTCGCCGGTCGTATAGAGCCGTGGTGATGCCCACAGACGCCTTGTTGACGTTGGGGATACTGAAGTTGACCTCCCTCATGTTGGATCGATATATTTTGTAGTCTGTAGTTGTGGATCGAGCTGATACCCAGGGCCTAGGAGACACGGGACGCTCCGACAGGCCCCTTGCTGCGGGGGGTCGAAAGAAGAGAGGTCACGATTGAACGAGTGCTGAAGCTGACTGTTTGTCAGAGTCGAGTTCCGAAAGCACCAGCCGACACTCGTTTCGAAGCGTGTTGAGGAGTTTTCGGTGCGAATGGACTGGTAGGCTGAGCGCAGCCAAAGGGGGCGAATGACGGACGCGGGCGGCAGCAAAATGCTTAGGTGAGCGATAACGCGACGGCGACGAGAAGAGCGGTGCGAGAGTCGGAATGGGGGAAAAACGTGAGAGTTCGAAACGGCTCTCGATGATGCTCGATGAATAGTCAGGAAGACGGTCGTCGAACGACTCTGTGTGTAAATGGTGAAGTACTCGAAAGGCTTGAAGATGAGGAGAAGAGAGAGGAAGTTGGCTGGGCGAAATCGGCTGGCACCTTACAGCATTGGGCGGCTTGGCTACAGCCGGAGGTTCGCAGAGGGAGGCACACTGTTTCAGGGCTTTAACAAGGCGGTCGGGCGCGAAGAAGAAGGAAATAGAAGATGCTAAATAATACAAATGAAACAAAATAAGCTTTGAAAATTACCTATACGAAAAGCAGGCATGAGGCAATTGGTTAGACTGTGAAGACTACCCAAATTACTCTCTTCGTGGTCGAATTATGCCTTTCGTTACGTCTGCTAAGGCCGACGCTGGCTGGAGCCACTGGACCCTGAGGAGACCTACAGCAGGCGGCATTGGCAGTTGACCCAGGGGACGAACTTGGCTGCTTGGCAGGAATTGATTACTCGGCCGTTGGGTGCACGTCAACGTCCCCATATTATTAGCCCATCTCGCCTGAGTCGCCTCCCAACTTCAGATTACGTCGAAATGCGTCCACGCCAAGATTGAATGACAGTACGTAGACGAGATCTAAGATAGGAAGACAAGAGGGAGCAGAGAGACCGAGTTACGCCAGATTGCCTGTAAAATTGAACCAGCTCCACAGGGCGAACCTACGGGATGTTTGCGTTGATGTTGCGGACATCAAAACCCCGTGCTTTGTTATGTGCAAGTTTCTGGTCGTGTTCGGCGTAATCTAATATATAGTATCTTTAGGTCCGTGTCCTTGGTAAGTAGCTAATCGAATATACTTCTTACCTGGACCGCCAGAAGGCTTACAATTCTTTTCGCGGACTCTTGGGAGCCTGCTCAATGTCAAGGTAGACCAACTCCCAAATGACGCAACGGCCTTTGGGTTTTCACCCCACGCGCCGCTGTCAGTCACGCGAGGCTTGTTGTGTACCGTGCCGGGTACGAGTAATTAAGTTTTGGAATTGTTTGTAACTGCAGAGAATTTACCGTCTAATAGTGTACACTTTTCTACCTACAATCTTTCAGACACACATGGCGTAAGGCAAAGGGTAAACTTAATCCTACCTATCCCGACTGACCATCGGATGTTAACTATGGAGGACATTATCACTCTTGAAATGAGCATCGGGGGTTGAAGACTTGACTCACATGCTAACGGGTACCTAACTAATTAACCGCCTTTGAAACCAGCTTTACTTTCGCGTGAACGGAAGAGCGAATATCATAGATTCGAAACAGTATATAGAGCTAAAATGCTAGTATCCGAACATCAAGCGTCTCATTGGCGTTCGCTTCGTCCCCTGTGGCCCAGCTGGCTAAGGCGTCCGACTGTTAAGCTTCGTGCAACACATAATCGGGAGATCCACAGTTCGATCCTGTGCGGGGGAGATTTTCTTTTGCTGTTTACGACCAACAACAGATTGAAATTTTCATTTTTGGCGGTCGTGTTTGTATGTGAGTGCTAGCTATGCTCTGTTCAAAAGATTTCAACTTCGTACGTAGTAAAAGTTAATATATTATGGGCGCCAATTTTTCCACAGTCACCCAGATCCTTACTGCCGTTGTTCACTAATCGGAATACTTTACCCCATGCGCTATAGTTTACACTTCGCTGTCCTTTCTAAGGAAGCAGAATCAATCTTTGGTACAAATGGGTCTGCTTTCAATGTGTTCAAATATTCAGGGTGAAGCTGGTGCAGCGATGTCACACCGCACATTCTCATCGTTGTCTCCAACTCATCTCTGAGAACTAAAGCACGGTCAGTCATCATATTCGATCACGCCAGGGGAATCGCATCGCACTTACTCTCGATATATCTTGACACACCATGATGTCCATAGTTCAAAGAGTACAGTGTACCTCGACCCAGGCCGACCGCCTTGGCGCCCAAACATAACGCCTTGAAGATATCGGTCCCTCGCGTGATGCCACCATCCACAAATACTTCCATCTTTTGGAAGACTTCGGGGCAATTATTATGCAATTCCAAGAGCACCATGATGGTGGCGGGTGAAGTGTCCAGACTTCGGCCACCATGATTCGAGACCACGATAGCTTCAACACCAGCACGCATGGCCATGATCGCGTCCTCGCACGTCTGTATTCCTTTGAGAACAATGGGCATCCCAGGGACACACTCCCTCACCCACGGAATGTCCTTCCATGACATGGAGGCATCGATGTACCCGCCCATGATACGCCCAAGAGCTCCTCCTTTGGCGTCATTCTTCCCTGACGCACCAGACATGCCCGAGCGAAGGCTCTCATCCGACTGTATGCGCTCATCAGCCTCTCGTTTCCCTGGGACTGGTGCATCGATGGTGAGAAATATGGCCGAAGCCCCCGCGCTTCTGGCTCTCTGCAGTAATTGTCTCGAGTTCTCGCGGTTCTTGTCCATGTATAGCTGGAAGAAGAATGGCACAGTATGTGGCTTTTCTGTAGGATGGGCACGTGTCGCAGCGACGATGGCGTCCAGAGGGTAAGAAGCACTGGTTGACACACATTGCGCGAGTCCAGCCTCTTTGACGGCCCGGCCAATTTCCTTCTCACCCTGCTCATGGACCAGACCTGCCATGGCCACAGGACTGCCGAAAATGGGTGCTCGTATGGCGTGCCCGAGCACGGTGGTGCTTAGATCGACATTTGCAACATCCCTCAAGGTGCGTGGGCGAAGGCCAATAGTTGCGTAGGCTTGCGCATTTCGCCTTTTGGTGTGCAGATCCGTTGCTGCTGAGGAGACAAACGCCCAAGTTTTGGGAGTAAAGGTATGTGAAGCAACCGCCTCAAAATCATGTGTAGAGATCAGGGACTCCAGGGGAGGCTTTGCTTGGCTGGAACTTGGAGAGACCACGCCGACGTCGAGAGCCCCATGGCGATTGCCTTTCGAACGAGTACTCATCGCGCGATCACTATATTGAGTCGGTCACCGTTGCTGACCGGCGTCAAGATCGTTCCGGACTTGGGAGCTTGTTATAACCGTATAACGTGACTGGAGCTCGGTTTAGTTGTCGCCGAGTTATGGGGCCCCGTGCGGGGGAATCAGTCAACTATCCCCATGATCTACAATTTGCAGGAACGGGCGGTCTCTCGAGAGTGTGAGCTCGAGATACCATGAGGAGTGCGACGCCATGGATGGCGCAGTCTTGTTCGTTGATGCTTTCAAGACTGGAGAGCTTTCCCTATCAATGTTTTGGCCTTTTCACTCAGGTCCATGCCAAGCGCCAGCTGCCGGCCGCTCTCACTCATTTTAGCCCAAGTCTTCCTCAAAATGTTGATCATCTTCTCTTCTTCCATGTCCGCCTTCCTTTCGAAGTCATCGAATTGATCGTCGAGGAAAACCAGGCATGCGACGTCTTCTAGGATTTGCGTTTCCTCATCTGTCGTCAAATTGCCCTTCCGGATGAGTAATGCAACGCGTTCTTTGTCTGCTTCTGAGATGGCTGGCGTGATGGACGGTGTGCCCAAAAGGTCAAAAACTTGTGTTGAAGCCTGTGATTTTTGCTTCGAGCGCCAGGTCAGATAGCCCGAGCGACCCATCGGGAAGCTGCTCCTCGGAAGCTCCCACCTGGTCTTGATAAGCTATAGCCATGAGAAATGGGATGCAAGTTTCACCTTCGGAAGTGCTGGGCCCTGCAGGCCACCTGAAGCGTGGGTGACGCCTGGGGCGCCCTTTTCGCCAACCAGCTAGTCATCTTCATCGCATAGTGTAGTTCATACGGGAGTGTCTTTGCGGTCCCTGTGGCGACAGTGAGATTAGGGTCCTGGGCGTGAACAGCGTCTATGAGCTCAAAAGCCTGCGTCCATTGAGACTCGAGTGGAGGCAGCGTGTTCATAGCCATGTTCTGGCTGGCTTTTAAATTGACGTTGTCGAAGTTGATATGCACAAAGGAGTGAAATGAGTGCTAGGCATGCTTGGTTACTTGACGAAGAAGGGAGTGCTGAAATGTCCTGCAAAATTGGCCAATGATGGATGCGACACAGACCCGTCTACAGTATCTAAGGTACGTAGCCTCCCGAGCGAGGTGTGATCCACAACCCACCCTCTGAACACCCGCAGCCTGATGATGAACTTGTCGCTGCGTGCGAGCTGGGAACCCAGAGCTATGAGATTGTGTGCCATTTCAATCGCCGCTGATTTTGGCATGCCGGAAGTATTTCATACCGACCCAGGCCACGACAACCCATACCCAGGCCATGACGCAGGTCAAGATCATGAGTGCCGGATAGTAACCTACAATAGGCAGCGTTGGGTCATCCTCAAGTTCTGGCGGCGCGTATGGTGTCTTGCCAATGTCCCACGCCCAGCTCCAGACACCTAGACAAGAACCCATCCCAGTCACAAATACGATCCACGTCACCGTCAAAATGATCCATCCCCACCATTCTGTAGCAGCGTAGTCCACCTCGACCTTTACCGGCGGTAATGGCGCAGCCGAGAGTCCACTGTACCCCAAGGGCGACTTGGCTTGCTGGAATGCCCGGCGACGTGACTGTGAAGATGGTACGCCGGAAAAGTATGTTTCTGATCTCGAGACTACCGGTGTGTTGTCTGTTCTCGAAGGCAAATGAGGCCCCTCGTCTTCGTCCGTTGTGGAGTGGTAGGCTGTTGCTGCATTTGGTTCCTGGGCGTCTGTGCAACTTGTGAACGACGCTGTGCTTCCAAGGACGGCGCCATTCGAAGGCGCATCGGTCTGAAGTACTATATCAGAATCACTCAAGCCTAGAGCGTCGTAGTGGTGTGCTTGATGCGCCTTTGAATCGCTAGGTCTCTCCTTCGTTGAAGACGGGGTGTCTGTTTGGGTCGTCAAGGGACTGCTAACTTGGTGCCCCTTGTCACTTGCAGCGCCGCGTCCCAACAGCGCCACCTTTCTGAGAGAGCCACGTCGACGTCGTGTACTCTTCTGCTGTTGCAGAGCGCTTGCCAGGGCGCGGGCGCCTGGGGCCGGGTCACTGGGATCAACATCGTGGTCGTCCTTGCTCGTCGAGCCCGTAGAGGTTCGCATAAAAGGGAATTTGGATAGAAAAGGCTTGCGCTGAGCTGGCTGCGGGACTGTCTCTAGCTGCGGCGGCAATGAGGACGAGGTGTCGGCGGAAGAAGTCCGTTCTAGGTTTGACCCAATGTCCGAGTGCTGCTGTGCATCTTGGCCGCCCATGGTGGACCGACAGGAAGGGCCTTGGTGGTGAGGGACCTAGTGAGTGATCACTGACCAGTCAGATCAACTGGGGAATACCGAGGCTCCATTAATGCTTTGGCCGGTGCATCGCAAGGCGTGGAAGGTCGATTTGGAATGACGCCAGGCCGGAGAGGAACACGCGTTGAACTGGTGAGGATATAATACAAGGTTGGCGTTGGTACCACCTTAATTCATACAGTGCGCCTACCCTGTAGATGCACTAGGTAAGGTACTTCATCCCGCGTTCTGGATGCAACGAGCCCCCAACCTTGCCATTCATTGATGACCTATTAACGGCGCCTAGTTGCAAAGGCGTGAGCCTCGGTCCTAGAGCCGTCGGGTCGGAGTTGGCAACGTCGGCAGGGCATTGCATTTGAAGTGTGATTGGAACTGACATTTGAGGTACCTGGAACAAGAAGAGAACAAAAAGGGGCTCCGAGGGTGGTCGTCCGCAAAAAGCCCACCATCTTTCAAACAATACCTCATAAAGTACCGCGTAACGGCTCGATCTAGTCTCGGTTTCCTGGACTCCCCAAACTGAACCCGCCGAAACACATAATCAACCCATTGATGTTTGCGGTTGTCCTCCGCTAGGCGCATATGGCTTCTGGCGGCAGTGATCGCGACGCCCCACCAGCAATCCACGTTGTCCCCGACAGCGAGGCAAGACACTCCTGGGAGCCGTCGACACCATCCTCATCTCGGAGCAGCTTCCTCCTACCGCCCTCCACGATGTCTCTGGATGGGAGCGCTGCTGATGACGCGTCGAATTCGACGCCTACGTCAACGCTGCCTGTACCAAACAATCCCTTCAACTTCCAGACACAAGTCATTTCTGCTGGGCCTGTCAAGTCTGTAAGTAGTGGCGTCAGCTCTTCATTTGGCTGCTGCAATACTGACGCGATCAGAATATTGGCCAGCGGCGCGGCCACCGATACAAGCACAGTAGCATATCGACGCAGCACCAAATCTTCCAAGAACCGCCACCCCGACCGCCCCCCGTCCTGCCAGCGTCTCTGCCGATCCCAACCATTAAAGAAGTATGGAAAAGCATGCACAAAGATCAGAGGACGAGGCTGTTCTGGTGCCTCTGCCACTTGGTAGTTGCTACGTACATCTTCTTCAAATCAGAGGGATCACTTGCGGCCACAGCCTTGTCCCATCTGGTCTTCTTTGACGCTGGCAGCGCAATGGTCTGTGTTGTGGTCGAGGTTCTCGGGAACTTCGAGGTCTGGAGACGCAGCAGCGTTCGCCATCCCTTTGGTCTGGCGCGAGCCGAGGTTTTGACGGGATTCGCCATGTCCGTTTTCCTGCTCTTTGGCGGGTTCGACCTGATATCGCACAACTTGAAACACTTTCTGGAGGAGCTTGGGGACCATGAGCCGCATCATTCTCATCCCCACGAGCGCGTCTCGGCTGGGACCGTGGACTTTGTGGCTGTTGCCGCCATTGCCTCGAGCATTGTGTCGGCCTACGGTCTGAAGAACCACGCTCGGATCGCAAAGGTCATGCGCGTCTCCTACCTGGCGTCTTTGCCTAGTGTCCTCTCGAACCCTTTCCACTTCCTGACCATCTGTGTCTCTCTCCTCATTGCAGTGCTGCCGCTTCTCTCCATCACGCTTTACACGTGGCTCGACCGACTGATTTGTGCTACCATTTCCGTGGCAATGTTCGGGCTTGGCGCGCGATTAGCCGTCGCACAGGGACTCATGCTGTTGATGTCGTATGGGGGCCATGGCGGCAATGCAGGAGTGTCGTCAGTCCAACGAGAAATCGAGTCGGACTCGAGTGTTACTCGGATTGAGGATGCCCAGTTCTGGCAAGTTCACTACAGTCTATGCATGGCCAATTTGAAGCTTGGCGTGGTCAAGGGCTATGATGAGGCGTCGCTGGGGAAGCTTCGGAGTCGTATTTCTTCACTCATCCAGAACCGCCTCGGCGAAGGCTATGGCACTGGAGGGAATATGCGATGGGAGGTGACCCTCGAGATGACCACGGATACAGCATCTTGAAAACCTCAGTATTGTATTCTTAGTGAAGCATAGCCTTGAAAGCAATTTCTTATTTTGTTGAACCTGAGTAGGGTATCGAAGCATTTACAAATAAGCAATGTCTAAGTAAAGATGGAACATTCTTACTTAACCCCCTAAATCAGTACCCAGGAAAACTCCAGAGCCCTTCATGTCTCATACATGTGCTGGCTATGCACGATTAATTCAAAACAAGCCCCAGCGTCCCCTTTCTTTCTGACCTGTAGGCTTGGAAACCAAACCTCTGCGTTCCCGCTCCCTGCTTTCAAGTTGTTTCAAGCTCTCCATCTTGTCCAGGACTAGCTCAAGCAATTCTTTTCGGCGGATGACTTCGAGGTGCTGCCTGATCTTGGGGTCTTCCTTTGCGAATCTCTCGATCTCATTATCAGACATGTGTCGCCCCAGGCGCAAGTCGAGCTCGCGAGGGAAGTTGTAGTAGAATTCGGACAGAAGCTCGACGTTGAGGAACAGAACCGCTGTCGCGGCGAGCTTGGATGCCGCGGCATCCAGAAACACTTCTGGGCAGTAGTATTTGTTCTTCAAGCTAGCGCACTGCTTGGATTTGACAGCCATGAGTCGCATCTTGAGGATGTCGGCTCTGTCCCTGTGAAAGACTGCCTCACGTCCTATTCTTGTCAGCCAGTCCCGATTCTGGGATGATGTGCTTCTTACCTCTTGTGAGGAGCGCAGCACTGAAACCTCCAGCTCCGCTACGACCGTCGCCTTCGACAACGATGTCCCCTTTGCGGGCCTTGTCAACAAAGGCCATGACCTCCTTGAGCTTTTTCCGTCCACCCGCAGAGGCTTCGAGGTTACTCATAGCACTTTCGCAGTCCTTCAATTCTTTTTTCAGCACCGTTTGGACATGCTCACGGCCATGGGCCCACTCCCGGTCGTCCATGTCGATATCAAATTTGTAGGGCTTGATGCAATTTTCGACCTGGTCGCTGGTACTGTAATACCTCTCGTTCAGAATTGTCGACGTAGCATCCAGTATCGCCTCGCGTGCGAAAGGATGGGAAGAGAAGCTTGACTTTGCGACCAGCCGCTCGATCTGCGCCTGAATCGCGGATGCAACAACGCTCGTGGCCAATCGCCCCACGCCTAATTTAGTCAAAGCCGACGTTGATGCGTCTAGTTGTCGACGCCAGTACAGCGAGTCTGGGCTAGCCCTGGGCAGGTCGGCAATGCTGTCTAAGTCAGGTCTCCCGGGAGCGAGTCCGTCGATAGGCTTATTCCAATATCGAAGTGCTAGCAGGTCGAGCACTTTCTGGTCCAGTTCCTCCTTGAGCAATTCTTGCATTTGCGGACGGCCAAAAGCTTCCGAAAACTGCTTGAAACTGTGCTTGAAGGCGTCTAAACTTTCGGCCAGGTATGATTCCGCAGATAGCGGCCTGTCGTTGTACTGGACCTTGAACTCGTACGTAGCCTCCTCTAGCTCTTGCTTAATAGCGTCACTGGTGGATGCAAGACTGGCAGACATTGTTTGCTCCAACGTGTGCATAAGCTTTTTGCGCAGTGTCATTGTACCGACATCAACACCAGCATCTGCTCCGAACTCGAGAGGGTGAGAGGAGAAAAAAGCATTTTCCTGCTTGACAATGGTCGACAGCAAGTCCATCGAGCCCATCTTGAAGAGACCTTGCGACTGGGGCGCCTTTGACACGACGCCCACATATCCTAACCTCAACGGGTATTGCTTATCGTTCAGGATCGAGGCTCCTCTGCGTGGATCGACGAGATCCATTTTCGTGATGACACCAATTGTGCGTTCGCCTCTTGGGTCAACCCGACGCGAAGCACGGAGCGCGGTCGAGTTCGCTAGATCGACATCGGCAGCCGAGATAGCCAGAATGACGTTGGGTGGCTGGATGTACTTATCACACAAGTCGGTGATCTTCTGCTTTAGCTCCAACGGCTGATTGTGGCCCACAACCTGTATGTATCCAGGGAGATCGATCAAGGAGAGATCCGGTACATTTGGCGAGTATACTGTTAAGTGGATGGGGTCGTCCGAGATGGCTTCAGTGTCTGGCACTGCCATGTTGAGCTCGGTGAGCGTCCTTTGTATGGATGTGAAATCTGTTATTCGCCTGAGTCCCAAGTCGGGGAATTCGCCGTATTCGTCCTTCGATTCTGGGGTATTGACGAGCGTCAGTTCGATGGGTCTCCGCGTGACCATGTTCGAGCCCTTTGGTAAGAACTCATGCCCAACAATCGCCTCGAGCACCGAACTCTTTCCCGAGGATTGAGAGCCTATCACAACGATGGCAGGCAACGTCAACGATTCTGACTGCCCAACCTGTTGCAGAATGCTCCGAATTTCGATCATCTTCTTCGTCAAAACCATCATCTGGTCATCACGCGCCACCTCTTGTCCTTCTCGTGGGTCGTCCTCGCCCGACTTCTCGTATCCATAGGCGGCCGCGGTGGCGCCTGCTGCAACACTGGCACCGACTTTGCTCTGCTTCGGATCCTTGTCGCCATTTGGACCACCGTCGCCACCAGTGCCAATATCCTCATGGATTCGCAGTATCTTTTTGAGCCATTCTGGCGGTTCCACTGCTTCTTTTGTGGCCTCCCAGCCTTGATAAGTCTGCTCGGCTACGTCGCGAGCACCGCCAAAGAGAGTACCCAGAGTATCGGTGACCATGTCTTTGGTGGTGTTGAATACGTTGACGGCATAGGTTCCGGCCTCTGATTCCCGTTAGCGATGATAACATGGCAAAGCATTTCACGTACGATTTGCTTGATACTGCACCCAAGTAAACGCAGCTATCGTGCTTGCAGCGAAAAGGGCTGGTAGCCGCACGAGTTTGACAACAAGCTTCGGCAAGATCCGGCTGAAGGAGGCATTGCGCACAGTGACTGCATGGTGAAACGCATTTCCTTGAAACCATATCCGTCTTTGAGTCGCTCTCACAGCAGCGTCGGCTCTCAGCAACCCGCCTGTCGGGAATCGATGCAAGTATCGGGCGATGTTAGCTGGCGCGCGTCGCGTCATCGGCCGCACCCCCGTGGTAAGCATGCGTCCGCTCATGGTGAAGAAATTGGTGAATCTGCCTGGCCGTCACCAGGCCGGAAGCTCAAAGACTTCAGATCAGTGATGTTGGTGCATTCGTCGGACGGTAGTGGTCGAGGTTGTCGAGTCGCAGGCTACGGAAGCGCTCAGGATGCATGGCGTTTCAAGGCATTGCCGTAGCGGCGCCTGCGCCTGGGGGGTCTTTATCGGCACGTGATGGTGCCTTATCTCCGCCCCAGGAAAAAAAAAACTTAGGACGCTGTATCAGTTCTTGTATGCGTTTGGTCGCGGGGCGCCTATCCAACCTATACATCGTATTTTCAGGTCCGCATCGTCGCCATGGCTATACAAAAAAAGCATGGCAAAGGTCGCCTGGACAAATGGTACAGGCTTGCTAAGGAGAAAGGCTACCGAGCACGTGCTGCTTTCAAGCTGATCCAATTGAACAAGAAATATGGCTTCTTGGAGAAGAGCAAAGTGCTACTGGATCTCTGCGCTGCACCAGGAGTAAGAGTGACCCCATCTCTGAGCCAACTTCGCTAACGCATCTCAGTCATGGTCGCAAGTTGCAGCAGAGGTAATGCCTATGGGCAGTCTCATTGTCGGTGTCGACTTGTCTCCCATCAAACCCATCCCTCGAGTTATCACATTTCAAAGCGATATCACGACCGACAAGTGCAGAGCCACGATTCGACAACACTTCAAGACATGGAAAGCCGACACTGTTCTTCACGATGGCGCGCCAAACGTTGGTACCGCATGGGCTCAAGATTCGTTCAACCAGGCCGAGCTGGCCTTACAGTCTCTGAAGCTGGCGACCGAATTTCTGGCGGAAGGTGGAACATTTGTCACCAAAGTCTTCCGATCCAAGGATTACAACTCCCTGCTTTGGGTGTTCAACCAGCTCTTCAACAAAGTCGAGGCCACTAAACCTCCTTCGTCTCGCAATGTCTCTGCGGAAATTTTCGTTGTATGCAGGGGCTTCAAGGCACCCAAGAAGATCGACCCCCGTTTCCTTGATCCGAAGAACGTATTCGCCGAGCTGCAAGGAGCGACGCCAAACAACGAAGCCAAAGTATTCAACCCCGAGGTGAAGAAACGTAAGCGAGATGGTTACGAGGAGGGTGATTATACTCTATACAAGGAAATCACTGCGAGCGAGTTCATCCAAACTACTGACCCTATCTCCATCCTCGGCTCATACAACAAGCTCACCTTCAAGCAACCACCCAACGGCGACGTGGCTTTGGCGGCACTCGACCAACTACCGGAGACCACGGACGAGATTCGGCGTTGCTGTGATGACCTCAAGGTGCTCGGAAGAAGAGACTTCAAGCTGTTGCTCAAGTGGCGCTTGAAAGTCAGAGACATCTTTGGCTTCCGGGAGAAGAAAGAGGACATCAAAGAGGACGCGGATGCCAAAGGTGAAACCGCGGAGGAGGTTGCTGAAATCGAATCCATGGATGAGGAGCTGCAAACGCAGGCGGAGCTGCAGGCTATGAAGGATCGAGAGAACGCGAGGAAGAAGCGCGAAAAAAGACGCGAGAACGAAAAGAAACAGCGGGAAATCGTCCGTATGCAACTGAACATGGTTGCTCCTATGGATATCGGCATGGAAGAAGCTGGTCCCCAAGGCGAGGGCTCCATGTTCTCCCTCAAGAAAATCGACAAGACAGAAAACGGCATCAAACGCCTCGCGCGCGGTCGCATGTCTGTGCTGCCCAACAACGAGCAGCCAAAAGATAGCGGCGTCGGCACGTCGCAAGAATCCGACGACAGCGACGACGACTCTGTGGCAGACCGATTGGAAGGCGAGCTGGATAGCATGTACAGCCAATATCAAGAACGAAAGGCGGAGTTGGATGCCAAATACCGGGCCAAGAAAGCCAGGAAGGAGCATGAGGACGACGAGTGGGAGGGTGTATCCGGCGGTGAGGATGCTGAACAGAGCGACTCCAGCGATTTGGAGGAGGAAGACGATTCGGATGATGAATCAGAGGATGATGTTGCCGGCAAGGGCTTGGTGAGGGATCTCGACGACGCACCGGCAACGGACGGTGGCCTGTCGAGGAAAGCCGCTGCTTTCTTTGATCAGGACATTTTCAAGGGAGTTGCGCTGCCAACAAGCACTGCCAAGACCACCGTCAAGAGCAAGCCCGCCACATTGGCTAGTCGCGAAGCCAGACCAGACGTTGACATGGGCTCGGACGACGGCAAGGATGCGAATGAGACCTCGCGCTCATTCGAGGTCGTCAAGCGGGAGCGGAATGCCGATGACGAAGAGTGGGAGAACCGCGAAGACAAACGACCAGATGGTCGACCTGGTATGCAATACTCCTTTCCTTTGGCACTATTCGCTTGCTAACAACTTAGACATTGATATTATCACGGCTGAAGCTATGACACTCGCACATCAGCTTGCGACTGGTCAGAAAACATCTTACGACCTTGTCGACGATGGGTTCAACAAGCATGCCTTCAGGGACCGCGATGGTCTACCAGACTGGTTTTTGGACGACGAAGGCAAACATGACAAGCTTCAAAAGCCAATCACCAAGGCCGCTGCCAAGGCTATACAAGAGAAGATGCGAGCCTACAATGCACGGCCGATCAAGAAGGTTCGCGAAGCTAAGGCGCGCAAGAAGATCAAGGCCGCCCAGAAGTTCGAGAAACTGAAGAAGAAGTCTGACATGCTTGCGGCGGATGAAGGAATGACAGAAAAGGAGAAGGCAGACAGTATCTCCAGGCTGTTGAGCAAAGCATCGAAAAAGAAGGCCCCAACGCCGGCCAAACTTGTCGTGGCTAGGGGCGTGCATCGTGGTGTCAAGGGCCGACCGCAAGGTGTCAAGGGGCGTTACCGCATTGTTGACCCGAGGATGAAGAAGGAGTTGAGGGCACAGAAGAGGATTGCTTCGAAGAAGAAGCGTTGAAATTGGATGTATAACTAGTTTTGGTCGGATACACCCAAGTTTCTGATAAAGGTTGTGGATGGGTAGAATGGCCCTGAGTAATCCATGTCGTACCAATAATTCATAGCCACTACGCAGCCCTCCTCATTGCTTGATTGCTTGACCTTGTGATACCACATTGCAGGGAGATAGAGCATGTCGCCCGGATCCAGGGTGACACGCACCGGCTTGGCCAGATGCGAGAACTCAGTAGCGTCCTCCTCAGCCTTGTCAGGGTCCCAAGTCGCCAAAGGTACCATCTCTTCTTCCTCATCCGCCTCCAGCGTGAGCACGCCTCCAGTGCGCGTGTAGGTGGCCGGCTGCATCATCTTCTCATTGACACAGGGATGGCAGAGGGGCGGCAATAAGATGAAATGTTTTCTACCCAAAACCTGCACATAGATATTCTCCATGGGATCGCGGTGCAAGCAGGTGACTGAACAGGAGTTACCTATCCACAGGTTGATAGCTTCTGCTTCCTTCTGCAATGCGATACGGGCGAAAGGAATGTCACTCTGAGCGTCCGCGAAGAGACTGATGTACTCATTGCGGAAATTGTCGTTTTCTGCATCGAAATCAGTCCACCTCATTGTGCAAGTCACGGCCAACGCGAGCTTACGTGTCTGGGCGTACCTCACTTCGGCCGACTGCGATCCTTGGCCAAGCTCTTGTGTCGTGACATAGTCAAGGAACTCGTCAAAGGCCTGCTCCTCTTCGTGGGGCTTGGCAATGACAGTCGAATCATGGCGCGGCGAAAACGTTGGAGCATCGGCATTGCTACACATTTACTCATCAGGAACCAAGTCGAAAGCCAGCCCAGCATAATACGGTTACCTACCCATGTGGGGTTATGGCGACGTTGACCCTTTGCCCTGCTAACTTATCTTTTAAGTAGTCCGGCGTCCACTTCTGATGCGATTTCCACGACGCCGCACCTTGTCGTACGACGAAGGGTGTATTGCGGGCAACGAAACGCATAAATTCGAGTGGACTTGGCTCATGATCAAGCTCCTCTACCCTGGCCCCGTTGAGATCGTTGTAAGTGGTGAGAAGCTCGCGCACAGCTGCGCGTGTACCATCTGCATCTCCATACGCGGCCATTCCCGATCCTGTTCAAGGCGACTTCCGGACGCCACCATTGATGAAATATGATCACCGTATGGTCAGATTGGAGTCCAATTAATGGCTTGTGCTCGGGGAGGGAGCAAGCGACAGAGCCAGGGTGAAGAGTACCGTGACATTCATATGGCGCCATGGTGAACAATTTTGCGTTGGTCGTTGGTTGAACTGAGTCAGGTTGGCAGCGGCCCGCCAAAGTGGAGCCGGCTGTGCAAATCTCACCACTTGGAAGGAGCCCGGCCCGGAGGGCTCGGAGGGGCCATCCAGCCGCAAGCAGCAACTGCAGGGCGCGAACGAACAGTCCAGTCTCTCCTGCCAGCCACTGCGTGTCCTGGCCGTCCAATGGATTTTCTACCATGACGACGAAAGTCATATGCCTTGGGTCGGGACACCACTTGAACCCTGATCCCCGAGAGATCTGGATAGCACTTGCAGACCTAGCCCTGCCGCCCTGACGATCTCCATTGCGCACCCAGAGGTGTGGAAGTACCAATACTCGAGATCGAATGCTTGCGCAGAACCACCACGCACCATCTTGAATGTTCCTTCACGAAGCCGGCCGAGACCTACCCGTATGCAACCGATTCCAGAATAGCAGAATGCTCTTACGCTTCTGCAAAAGTCACGCTTCCTTTTCAGTGAACATCTTCTTCGAGTCCAGCCCCAGCTTGCCTCCCACGGCACCCATGCGAATCGATCCAGATCAACAACATTGAACTGTTGGCCCAAGACACACCACCATCAATTTTGCCAGAATACGCACGGATAAAACAGAGATCATAATATCTGTGCTGCACCACGCGGCCTCATGATTTGGTACTTGTTGTATCCGCTCAGAGGGTCAGTATCCCCGGAAGCAGGGTGAGGCTCAGATGCTCGCAAGCCCTTCTCCAGGATTGGATGCTCACAACTGTTTAACAGAACCACTGAAGCCCCGGCCCTCTCCCCGACTCACCCTTTGCGCAAGGCTTTCACGCGCTACGGCCGATATGCAGCCCGGCATGTGGTCACGACACTGCTCGTGTCTGCTGCTGTAGCCACCATCTTGCTGTATCCGATTCCGTTTCTGTTCACAACCGACTTCATCAATGGCGCGTCAAATCTCCCACATCATGCCTGGACCGTGGCGCAGCCTCTCCCATACCACGTGGTTGCAGAGCCCGACATCATCATGCGCTCAGTATGGGTCCATGGTAGCTACATGCAAGCGCTCGACCCGAAGCTACTGGTGTCAGCACTGGCCCTTCAGGATGAGCTGCTTGGGAGCACCGAGGACATCGATCCCAGAGACGACGCTGAAGACACGAAAGGTCACCCTTACAATTCTTCCTATGGCGAGCCCACACTCACAGAGCGCGACGCTGCACACGCGATGAACGGCTTCACCAACCAGTCGTGGTTCTTCCATTCGCCATTGCAATACTGGGGATGTTCCAAAGCGCGAATCCTGGCTGACGACGATGTAATTTCAACCGTGAACTATATGAAAACGATGTCGACCGCGGTCAATGTCACTCTGCGGCACTCGGTCGTCTTCAGCGGCAAGCGTTTCGAATATCGGCGATTGGTAGCTGCTGATGCTCTCGTCATAACTCTGTTACATCGGCGAGACTCGCCCATTGGGCGGCAGTGGGAAAAGAAGGCAGCTCTTCTGGCTACCCAGGTCACGGATGAGTGGGATGTCTACCCCCCAGATGGAATCATATCGTCGAGTCGATTATATGAGTTCCAATTTCGGCCGATTTCTACACAGGACACTCTTACTTTGACGCTGGCATATGGGCTTGCCATTGGCTACTTTGTAGTGAGCTTGTTCAAGGTTCGCGCCGTGAAGTCCAAGGTTGGCCTTATGATTACAGTCGTCACACAGATTGTGTTCGCTATAATGTCAAGCTTCACCGTGTGCGCTGTGTTCAACATCGATCTCTCAAGGATTCCAAGAGCAGCCTATCCTCTGGTCATCCTTGCAATGAGCCTTGAGAACATCTTCCGATTGATCAACGCCGTCATACTGACGCCCTCTGAAGACAGCACCACGAGCAGAATTGGCCACGCCTTTGGCGAAACCGCGCCAGTAGCCCTGGCAAGCACAGCGCAGAACGTCCTCATCTTGACGGTCCTCGCAAGCGTAGTGTCGCCGGGGGTTTCCGCTTTCTGCATATTCTTGGCAGTAGCAATCGTCTTCGACGTGTTCTATCTCGCCACGTTCTTCCTAGCTGTGCTGAGCGTCGATGTACGGAGAACGGAGTTGAGCGATGCGCTCGCCAAAGTGGCCATGCGGCAAACCCGTCGCGCAGTCGAGCCTCGTCGGCGGACATGGATCGAGCAGGTCGTTCATGGACAGACAGCCTTGTCAACCCGTATTGCGGGTACCTTTGTCATGATAGGCTTTGTCGTCATTGCGCAATGGCACTTTTTCCAAGGGCAAACGATGCTGAACACCACTATCGGCCTGTTTTGGGACTCGGCAGTTCATCTATTCGGGTCGTCAAAGACATCCGAGCTTGAGGCCATTAACCAAGCGAGAAGCCCGACATCCTGGCTCCGGCTGCAAGACCACGAGACCGCGCAAGAGCTGATCAACATCATCAAGCCTTCAGCACATAGTTACACTGCACAAGTGCATGACCCCTTGGTCTTTGTCAAGAAAGGGGCCGATCGAAGCAGTCGTGGAGATGAGCCTACTCTGCTGCCGGCCTACTACGACTTTATCAATCACCATCTCACGCAATTCGTCGTCATTGTGGTTGTTGTCATCGCCGCCTTGCGCTTGCTCATCAGCTATCTTCTGTACGAGGACAAAGCGCACATCGAGGAAGAAGGCAATTGGGAAGACACGCCGCTGATATCCATACAGCACCTACCCAAAGGTCATGATCTCGATGTTGTGATGCTGACAGCTTCGCTAGATGGACACATTGTGTCCGTCGGCCTTGACCGGATGATCCGGGTGTGGAATGCGCGATGCGACCGAGACAACTACGCCCTACCAGAGCATCCCTCAGACGTCGGCAATGTATTTCCGGTCTTGGCGCTGGCAGTCGATGATGCGTCGCGGTGGCTTGCCATTGTCTCTCCTCAGCGTGCGTTGTTCTGGAGCTTGACTGACAAGTCCTGGGTGCCGTCGGTCAAGATAGCATCCTTGCCACAACGCCCAGCTTGCATCTTCTTCGCGCAAAGTAACAATGATCGGAGCCCTGCGTTGGTTGTTGTCCGTCGCGATGGTGCGGTCACTGAGCTCACCACTGACGAACGCCACCAAACCTCAGACTTTGTCCTATGTGAGGATGGGCTGGCGTACGCGGAGCCTCTCGTTTTTCGGGGCCATGGCACGATAAAGCGCAAGGCCCGCTTCACTCTTTTGGCCATCTCCAAAAAAGGTTCTGTTTGCCTGGCTTCGCGGACTGATTCGGAGTGGACATCTCGGCAAGTCCCGGCGGCATGGTTCGGTTCTCAGAAGCCGCACCAAATATCAGGTGTGGCTTCGCTGGGATTGTTCGCAGTTGCGACGGCAGCACGCGTTCACTTGTTTGATGTCGAGCACTGCGAGCTCCTCTACACTGTTGAGACGGAGATGATGAAGCCTAGGTCGTTGCACTTTGCGTGCACGACTCAAAGAACTGCGCATATAGACTCGCCAGGCATCACGTCGCTGACCATGGCTTACATTGAGGCAGAGACAGGCGATTGTATACTGCATACATTTCTCCCTTCGGAAGATTTCGACTCCATTGGCCTGCACGCGCCCTCGGGCGCTACAGATGGTGAAGGCTGTGCCTGGGGTGATGCGCTCTTGACGAGGCGAAGAGTCAAGAACCCGGGCAGTCACAGCGTTTTATCCGACGGTAGCGTGGTCGGCATTCGTCGAAGGAATCCCCGTGAGCCCGAGAACGGAGGCCAATGCCGTGGTTCGCAGGAAGGACTACGGAATCGGTTCACCTCCCGCAGCCAGCCCAGGCCCGAACACATCGAATGGGAAGCTTGGACGGTGTCACTAAGTGCGCGCGCTGGAGCCGATGAGGAGAGACCGCTGTTCAGCGCCAATGAAGTGCCCATTCATCTGTTGGTCTCTAGCTTGGGGCCCCAAGTCAAGATGGGTATGATGTCAATCGTATTCTCGCTGGGCAACATGGTCAAGCTGGTGACCGTGGGCGGAATCGAGAGATACGGGACCAACGCAGACGACGCCGCGCAAGAAAACCTGCTCAACATGGCGAGCCGGCGTCGCAAAGGCGGAGGTACTTGGCGACCACGAGGATGGACATGATATGATGCTCATGAGACTTATTATGCAGGGTTTAATGTTTTGGACGGAGCCTTCTTTGTCGAGGAGTACGGCGGTAAAACGGTGCCGCATGGCACCCTTCTGTAATCTTACTATTCATGTATACCAGTTCCTTTCAGGTGGCGTCGGCGTAGCTCTCTCTTGTGGTTGGGGGGTAGTACTATCTGCACTGGGTACTAAGGAACAGCGAAGGGCGTTCACTGGGGATCATCAGCTTGATAAGGTACAAGATGCGGGCTTTGCGTTTTCTGCTCCTTCACTTAAAAGTACTGATGGTAATAGTAAGGTAGCCATCGAGCTTGCTCATTCTACAAGTTGCTGCTCAAAGGGGATATCACCTGTGACTACGGATACTTGCCAAGGCAAACAACGGGAATGAATCACGGGCACGTTCTGCCGCCTGCGTGTGGTTGTCTCGTCTCGGTTGTCTCAGACAGGTACCTAGACATCCCGTAGTACTGCATGAGTAAGCCGCAACAACGACTTCGCATCGTCGTGCGAGAGCAGGCCAAGATGTATTCTTGTCGTCATGTCAGGCAGGGCCGGCTTGTGCGATAGGTGTGAGTGCCTGAAGATCGCCGTCCACGGTGGCTCACGTCTGCGCTGCTCTGGGTTGCCGTTGACGTACCGACTGAGCCTGGCAATGTGATCAGTGCCCATGTATTAACAGCACTTACGGGGCGAGCCTCAGCCTTGCGTACCAAGCTCAGCCCGTCTGCACTTGAATACTTCGTTGCGTGTAAGTAATCTCAACAGATGAGCTGTTCCTCCGCGAGCCTGCAGCAGCAACTAGTTGCTACCAAGCACGCACTTCTGACGTTCTGACAGCATGTGGAGCACTTGCTAATTCCTACCTCGTCATTACTAGATATCAATGGCCTTCCAAAACAAGGCGGGAACGGGCTATTAGAACACAGAAGGACTCATTCGCAAGCCAAGGGCGAACGCGCGCGCTCGGTCGCGTCCGCAGTGCCTTGTCCGCTCACATGAGTCTCATCCGGCATCGCTACAATGGCAAGGAAGAGGGGCCACAAAGCAGACCTCAGGCTGTCAACGGCACAAGAAAAATACATAGTCGAATGTGCCTGGCGCTCGCTGCGACGGGACATGAGCTGACGAAACGCAGTTCCCACCCCTGCCTCTCTAATACCTTAAGTTACCTTACACACCACACGGCTACGCACAAACACAACTCCACCTTGCCCGCCAGGTCATCGTGCATCAACCTCCAGGCGCACAACACTGTCCGGCCAGGCACACACACTACGTATATCGGGACTTGAGATATTGCTTCGATTCGTCAACAACGCATTGAGTAGATCCCGGCCCAACGTCACTGCAAAGCGAAGTAGGCTTGACTGGCTCAAGCGCCAAGCACCAAATAGTGACCTTGACGCGAACGGGACGCGCATCGCCAGTCGCTGCCCGGTGCCCAGGCTACGTTGACAGCACTGGCAACTGTCTCTTTGAATCGCTGAGCCGACGGGTGCGGGACAGGCCCTTCATTCTCACTCAACCCCAGCCGCGCGGTTGGCGCCCCAATCGATTCTTCACCGCTTCACTGGCCGAGTGGACTTTCTTCCAACTTCCAAGCCTGCTGCTACCTGCGGACGGAACGTATCCCAGCCTCCTACGTTATCCTAGTCTAATTAGCTGCGTCGGCACTTCCACAGCTGGTGGCGATCAACTACCTCACCAGACAGTGGCTGTCACCACGACTCAACTGCCACCTCAAGGCATGATGCATCCTTCCAGATGACATTGTGATACTGGCCTTCCTTTCGAGCACAACTGTAGTCCTATGCGACTGTCCCTTGCTCGCTTCTTCTCCATCTCCGCATGTCGGTACGCACCTCTTCGTGATCTTGCGCTCCGCTGGGCTGGGACCCCTGACTGACAATTCTGCAGATATCGAGCTTTCAAGTCGCCATCACACTGTTCTGGCATCCATATAGCCACACGAAGAGCCAATCAACCGCGAATGTTGCATGACACCGCAATTACAACGACGAATTTAAACTCACTTGACGTGACCTCACCACGCTTCGACAGCTACCCACCGAATCGAACCGAATTCAAAGACTTCCCTCCGACTTGGCCTGCGCGCATCCCGCTACTGACACCGTCAGCGCTGCCTGTGTGACCAGACCCTATCTGGCCCCATGGCGTCTTCAGAAGTGGACCAAAAGTTCCTGGGCAAGCTCGCCAAGGACGTCGAGAATGACAACCCATACCTGTCCAAGTTCCTCTTCAAGATTCTTGGCTTGTCATTGAGCCTAGCGGAGCAACTTGTGGCGGCGAGGAGGGAAAGGCGACAAGCCGAGGTCACATCTGTCGCACGTCGACGCATCTTACACATACTATGGCTGTCCAGGGAGGGTTTGATCCTTCTTATGCAGTGGGTGATACCGATGGTAGGGAGCTACGTTGAGTTGAAGGTGCTTGCCTACAAGTTAAGAGCCAGCTTCCATCACATCTTTGTGCTCTTCCACAACAGTCCGGCCGTATCAAACGTGGCGAACCTCACGCCTGAGATTGTCGCTGCGTCCACGCCACCGCCCACGGGAGCAGGTGTCGAAGAGGACACAAACCTACCCTCAAGATCCTCGTCTATACAGCCTACCCACGCTTTGGAGGGGGGCCCCGTTGGACCGCCGCCGGGTTTCGAAGTGGACGTTGCTTCCTTGCCGCCGTCGAAGCTGTTCATACCGCGGAACTTTCTTCCCGAGACTCACCAGTACTTTCGTGAGGCGATGGATATGGCCGACTCACTACTGTGGGGCTCTCATTCTCTCCGGCTGTCCGTGAGAACCGAATATGCTGCTTTCCTCTATGAATGCGTGCATGACGTTGATGGCAGCCGCAAGCTCGCCAAAGCGAGTATCGCCGAAGCCTATGAGGCTGAGGAAGGCATGACTGACGACATGTTTCGCGATACGTGTGAGCTGGTGACGGTGTTGGGGAAAATGATGAAGCGCGGGCTGGGGCCTCAGGGACGACTCGGAAAAGCGCCTGCTACGACAGCCCCATCTATGCTCTTGTCTACGGGGGTGGGTATCGTGCCGTAGCATCCCCCGGACACAAGGTCTGGCACTGCTCGCTTCACGCCAGGCAGCATGTCGTTGGTGAGCATATTGTAAGCATTGTCATGGCGTTGTGTATTCTGTGTATTGGCATAGCCTTCATTGTGCTAGCGTTCTATATCAATACTGTCCATTTTTTCTGTTGCTCGGTCCCAGTGTCCTCCCAACATGATGTATTCTTCTCCCCAACCCCTTGGGTTCACCCTGTTGGTGAATTGCCATAGCCGCCTTAGGCGCCAAGCTCCTCGGAGCCTTCATCGCACACTGATGACACCCATTGGGTGACCCGTGCCCTGGCTCTATTGTTTTTTGCCGCTGCTCCTGCCTCTGCCTCCGCTCGCTCACACTTGTCTCGAATGATGCTCAATGGCACCATTCGACCCGTGCAGTTGTAGAAATTGGCCTGCATCTCGAGCCACTTACTATGCTTGTACTTGCTGTGGGATGTGGCTAAAATGTCGCAGTCCTCCTGACTTAGATACTCGTCGGCGGCTGGCGCAATCAGACGTGGGTAGAGTGAAGGACGGATGTGGTTCTGGAGGTACTCTGCGTCAGAGGATCTGATCGCATCGTGCCTATAGGTCAGATTTTCTCGTGCCAGGTCGCCATGGCACTTGGAGGAGATGCGACAATCAGCAGCCTTTGATTCCTGGGCCGTGTCTTCGGCGTTGTCCTTAGCCTTTGCGTGCTCTGTGCGAATGTGCGTTTGTTTCTTTGACGGCGCTCGTGTTCTTGCATCCTTGGGTGGTTTCGTTTTCGTGTCTCTTGTGCTACCCTCGCTTGCGGCCTTTGATCTTGTTCCATCGTTTCTGGCATTCTCCTTTTCTTCTGTGAAGAACACGGGCGATCTCCACCCAAGTTGGGCCTCGATCGTCAGTCTTCATTCCCCTGAGCTGAGCATCTTCAGAGAACGTCCAGCCAGAGCCATTGCTCTTATCTGTGGTCTCCGCCTCTGTGTCTCTTTCCTCCGTGGTGTCGGCGTCACTTGTTCCAGTGTCTGTCGTGGTGAGGACTGCGCTATTGGTGCTGTCTGTTATTTCTCCCCCATCCTCGTCAGAGGCCTCAGACTGACGTTGCCTGGACCTGCGTGTCTTCTCGGGGGCCGGGCATTTTACATCCGCAGTAGACTCGTCAGAGATTTCGGCGGTTGAGAGAGTTTTCGTCTTTCGGCAGGCTTGAGCACGCTTACATGCTTTCTTTTTGCCGGCTCGGAGGCACTGGCCTGCTTCGGCAGACGAAGATTCACTGTGTAAAGTAGCGTTGTCGGATGATGCGTTCTTGGATGTCGAAGTTGAGGCAGTCTTGGGCGACATGTTCCAAGCTGTCTGTTGGCCAGTCAGCTAATGTAGGAAGGTCAGAAGAGGAGAGTGTTCACATTTCTTATACTTGTGTAGTCCACATCCACGGATCTGGTGTTGAAATCACATGAACTCGAGGATGCCACACCGACAGATGCTGGGGTACGCTTCTTTTTCACGGATAAAACCACTTGTGGTAACTCTGGTGATGTATCCCAGGCTGGATGATGATGCATGAGGACTTACAGGAGTCGGTCGGATTTCGTAGGTAACGTCACAAAAAAGCGATGGTGTAGAGAACAGGCGACGTTGGCTTGCCCAGCTGAAAGGGGTTGGGATGATAAGAGCCGGAGGTGAGTCCAACATGGCATTTGTTAGCATCCGAGTGACTGCATTGTCGGACCAAACATCAAGCTGAGCTGCAGCTGAGATGCAGCTGAGACGTTGCTCAGTATGCCCTGGCGAAGCAGGCTAGATCTAGGGTTACAGGCACGCCACATAGTGTGATGGAGGTGTCCGAACTTCCTGGGCTCATTGTATTCACCGCCAGGATGCACGAACCTTTGCATAGCCAAGCCAATGTGAAGGTGAGAGGACGGCGTGAAGCGTCAAGTACGCCTCATAGCTCAGGATGGACGTTGCGCTGCAGAATGGAACAATGACAAGCAATCAATTAGTAGCAGATGACTCCCAGGGGCTCATGTCACACAATATAGCCACCAAGGAGAATCATCTTGAAGCCGAGTAGATAGGGTCTGAAGTCAATCGACAAGAATCTCAGATAGGACAAAGTAGAGGAAGAAATACGGATAAGCAGGCGTCTATCCGAACATGACTTGCTCAACCCGCTTCACGAGTGCTCCCAAACAGTGCTCGCAGGCTAGACCTACTGGACTTAGGGTGGACAAAAGTTCGGGAGGGCACACGCAGACGGCTCGAGGTTGATGTGCAGAGTAATTATCCCTTTTGACTTTGAGTCGATGGCAAACGTACGAAGTAGTAATTACACATAGTCGGGATACTAATACCTACAAGTACTGGCCGCATCTCCGCCGAGAAGTGTCAGGGACCAGGGCTGCACGTAGACCACGGGGTCTCGTGGACTAAGAAGCCCATTTCGACTGCCAAGGCTAACCCGCCAGACCCTTGTCGACCATTCCAGCTGAATCAAGGTGGGCTCATGGCAGAACTGTGAGCTGGTTCGTCAGATAAAGTGAGCAATCCTGGTCTGGTGTTTCTGCTAGCTGCCGATCACTCTCGTCCCACACAACGAGCACCTCCTACTACGTACTAGTCTAGATTCTTACGGTAGTGGAGGCACTACGTATTGTCTTGGGTACTCCGTACAGTACAGGTATTATCTTAGAAATGGTGCGGCATTGTGATTAGGTATGGGTTTCGAAAAGATTCTCATGCGCCAACAAATTCGCTTCCTTCCCCGTTTAGCTCATGTAACTCGTGAGACTGCTCAAGGCACGGCGCGGAGTGGCCGAGATCGAGACTGGACTCTCACCGCAACATTTTTTTGTTTCAAGAGGCGCATGCGTGAGAGCATCGGCCGCTTGCTGCATGCCATTTGCGAGTCTGTGCCCTGCGCACGCGGGGGCTCGAGAGGGGCAAGTGCGATAAGCGTCTGGCAACCTACCTTACTTAGTAGCCTACCGAGAGCCTCCGTAGGGAAAACGTCTTGTTTCGAAGGCAGATGACGACGATGGATATTATGGGCAGTCACTTTTTGGCTACGCAGATCTGGCTCAGCGCGCAACCGAGCCCCTGTTCCTTCGGTACTTTGAGTCACGTACATGAACTCTGATGTACGTGAGTATAACGGTTCGGCAAGGAAAACGTGGCCACGCCGCAAGTTAAGTGGTGGGTGGGTCTGCTAATGTGATGGTTCTGCCTTCTGTGCATGGTACCTAATTACTATGTTGACACAGAGAATCACGCAGTATACGTACTAATATAAGTCTTGGTGTTTGCTGACTTGATACCCGACATCAAGCTCCAGTCGCCCAAAGCCCTTCAGTCGCTGTGATGCGCTAATGATGGCAGGTGGCTGGACCCACTCTGTTGTAAGTCTGCTAGGCTCATCAGGCTCAGGCTGGCCTGCGGCTTGTGCCGCCATAATAAGTTGGCCGGTCCAGCTCCCATGAGGATGGTCTTACCTCCAGTGGCCTTCTCACTGTTACGTGGCCCCGTCGGACAACATACGCCCTACAGAACGCACTAGACTAGTACCTATCGTAGTAGGTATTATGTTGTACATGTACGTTACGAAGCTCCACACAGGAACGCCCGGCCGAGCGAATACGTACCAGACAACAGGTAATTGTGCCCCAACAAGCGTCAACCAATGCGCCAATTGACACAGCCAGGCTGGCAGTCTGCAACGGCAGTCCCCACCTATCAATAGGCACTACTGTACTGTGCCCTCCGCCAAGTCGAGTACTTACCACATGGATAGTCCACCGACGTAGTAGGGCGGATCAAACGTCCATGGCTATCCGACCGACCGAACCACTTAAAGGTCAATTAATACCCCTACCTGACTTGCTTGAGTATTAGCTACGGTCCGCTCCTCTATCCACCTTGCTGCTCCCGCTGCTACTCTCGACTCCTGGCGGGAATCCCTCCTGGAGGAACTCGGATTGCCACGGCCATTTTCCTTGAACAAGCCGTGTAATACATATCAACATCCATCGGTTTCGGGTCCGATTGACATGTCACTGCCCTTCTCTCGAACCTCCATCCAAGGCCGGAGTATCACTGTGATAGCCACCCACAACCTCGAATATCTGGTATCAACCCCTCGCGGAGACGCTCGGTGTGGGTTCTACATTATCGAACGCTCTGGCCCAAATCATCGTGGCAGCAGGGCGGAACAAAGAATCCGGACTGGTCGCTAAGCCCGAGGACGGATCGCAAAGGTTGCCACCATCTCAAAATGGATGGCAGGTTTATACATGTAAACCACCTCGGAACGTCCACAAATCCCACTGACCAGAGTCGACAGCCAATACAGGCGAGCCAGTTCGACATCCTCGAATGGTATCCCAGGTTCATGTCATGTCACCAGTACTTCATGGAGGTAGCCCAGCACAAGGAGCACGTTCAGATGGTAACAGCCTTCACCAACATCAGGCTGCCTTTTGAGAAACGCCAACTTGGCCAAGACACGACCCCATATGCCGCGTCCTCCTCGTCGCGACCACAAACCCACAACCAAGCGCGGGAAGCCAAAACGCTCCTACTGCCTTATATCCGCCGCCTCGTGGCTACAGGCTTTGACGAGCCCGATATTCTGGAGTTGTTCTTCGGACCGCATTGGGTGCAGGGCATTGGGAGCTTCCATGAGGTCGAACGGCGCAATTTCTTGTTTGCTTGCAAATCGTCCAACTGGTTGACGGTCAAGAGTGCGTACGATATGGAGGACGGGCAAGTGCTACCCTTCTTGAGAACATTGAAGGATCCCACCGTCAGAGAAATCGACAATGCTAATAAGAGCTGGTCTGAGTGGTTGGCTTTGCAGGACTGGCTCGTCGGACCATTGTCGCCATCCGAGGGTGAAGTTGGCATCAAGGAGGAAGAGATGTAAGATTCGGCTGGATAAGCAACAATTCGTGTCGTGCACACGGGTTTCACAATGAAAAACGCTCTTTGAAGAAGGCCGCGGCACAAGTCGCCGGGCCCTGTCCATTAATTTTGCAGGCCGAGTGACTATTCATAGAGACGCCTGACCCATGCGGCCTGTATAGGATAGGGAAGACAAATAACGCCATGACAGGATCCCAAAATGTCGAGCATGTCAAGCTCCTTCCCCTAGCCTTTGCAACGCTTGAATGAACCAGACGCCATCATGATTGTACAAACCCAGTCCCCCTTCCTCCCTACGCTGCAGTGGTGACAGCGCTAACTGTCCCGAGCCGCCAAAGCCGCTGCACCGCGACACACATGATTGTATATATAGTCTGCATGCAGTTTAGATACCATTGCGCGCTATACAGCGAGCACGGTAAAATAGGTTGTGCAGCCGCAGCTGGGCGCTGTCGCGCACAAGGGCTAGTTGAGAAAGCCTTTACAGGCTGGTGTGCCACAGAGACAGGGTATGCGGTCAAGACTGCCAATTTCTCTCTCAAATTTGTAGTCATACGTGAGCTCCTCATCTGGTCTCGTTAGCGATACCTTAAGAAGCCTACTTGGGCGGGTCAACCTACTAAGTGCAATGTCGCGTAAAGCATAGATGACGATGCGTTTGCTGCCCTCGACTTTGATAATTTTGGCCGTGCAGTTGGGCATGCAGCTGTGATTGATGAATCTGGCAATGCCACCTTTCTTCGTCGCATCCACGACAGTGCTTTCATCTATCCGGAACAGATAGCTACTGCCGATTCCGCTCTTAAGGTATCGATTTTCACGCAAGTCGGCAACTTGTTGACGCACGACCTCCCCGACATATTCAATGATCATGTCGTCCTTGCTTATGTTCTCCATTGCATACAGGCCCCAGTTGTGGATTGCTGAGCGAGCAAATTTGACGGGCTTTTTCCGTTTTTTGAGCTGATTGAATTTGAAGACGTCTGAGGTGTCTGATCCGAGATTCTTCTTTTGGTCATTGAGCTCGGCAACGAAGCGGCGGTTCGATGCGCGATTGGCGCGGGAGTTGCCCTTAGTTGCTTTCTTGTCGGCAGCCAGCCTGGCTGGATCGATGGCGCTCGAGCTTTTCCCGGTCTTCTCCCGCTCTTCCCTCGCCTTTTGGACCTTGATGTGATGGGGAAGATACTTCGACTTTTCGGAGTTGAGGATTTTCTTGACCCCTTCCGTCCGCGCGCATCCGGTTGGATTGGGTATGTAATAACCATCAATGACAACGGGGCGATGGCAGTCGCCCTCATCCGGGGAGTTGAGTTCGTGGACGCGTTGGTGCCTCCACAGCCAAAGCTCTGGATTGCAAATGGTCTTCGTAGTGTGTTTGCGTTGCAGGCGGCTCAAGTCAGGTGCATCAACTGGGCCCATGGCCAGGCTCTCGAGCGCCCATACGTCAGGCTTGAAGCCATCGGGAACATTGAGGGCTGGTATCAAAGGTTCTCGAGCAAATAGCTTCTCGTCGAATGTCTCTGACAAAACATGGGCGGAAGGTTCGTATGCTGCCTTCTCAGCAAGGCCCAATGTTAGATTGCGATCACTGTCCGGCTGAAGATGCACCTCGACCTCGTCGTACTTGGGTGTCTCGGATTCCTCGGCCACTTGCTTTGCAGCCTTCTTCTTGTTCTTCGCAGCCTTTTTCCTCACAGGTGCAGGAAGAACTGAGAGAGGAGTCTGCGAACGCGACACATCGAAGCCCTCTTCAGAGGTGGGCTCAACTTCCGGCGTGTTATCGTTGACGCGATCTCTCGAATCATCGTCGATGTGGCCCATATTGACGCCGGAAAGCCCCTCGTCTGCCTTCTTCTGCCTTTTGAGGGCTGTCTCGACAGATCCTTTCTGTTTGCGCTTCCTTTGGATAGCCGCAGTGGCAGGCGCCAGGCTAACTTCCGTCATAGAGTCTTCCTCACCAGGACCCCAGGATCCGTAGTCGTCCCTGGACACATCGTCGTCGGTGCTCATGCGGCTGCGAGGCCGGGATTCGGGTTCTTCACTGCCAGCGCCAGCCAAATGGCCAATGCCAAGCTCTTCCTCGGAATCTGAATCGGACCCAGCACTGCGCAACCAATCGTGGAGTCCACGAATAGCCCTGGGGCGCCGCGGAGTGGCGCGGCGGGCAAATGGGTCAACGAATTTACCATGATTCGTGTGGCCACTTTTGCGAATCCGTGGCAGAGAGCTTATTGCCTGAGGCCGCTTTGTGCGCCGATCAATAGGATCCGCGCGCGGTCCGGGTGTTCCAATGCGGGAGCTGTCGTTGCCTTCATCCCGCATTATGGCATCTTCTCGATCATCAAAGTGGTCTATGTTAAGCTTCCGCCTCTTGGCCACGTGGTTGGCTGGCTCCAGGAATTCCTCGAGAAAAGGCGCTGCCACATGCGTGCGGATATGTCTGATTAAGTGCTGAATCAACTCGCTTCTCACGACTTGAACAGCTTCGTGAACCGGATCAAAGTTCTTGGCCCTTTGTTTCTTTTCTTCGTCCAAGTCGTTTTCTTCCTCTCGCCTGCGGCGCACCTTTTCTTCATCCCTGGTATGAGTCTGCGGCTGGTCGACGGGGCGGCGATGCTCGTAGTTAGAGACAGGAGATATCTTCTGTGGCGGTGGCCGAGACTGCCGTGGCAGACGAAGCTGCATGGCCATGTCATAGTTGAAAAACTCTGTATGGTTGGTTCTGACAAAACATCTATCGGCCTCGTTCCGGCCATCCTCGGTAGTGGGGAATGATATGTAGAATCCCACACCGTCGATGCGAATGATTTCGTCTATGGAGTAACCTCTCAGTCGCTTCCACAAATGCGGGACGATGCTGGCCAGTGTGGGGACACTGGCGTTAGATATGAAAATGTGCGGGACGTTGGCGAGCTTAGCATCTATACTCTCGGTTTGTGGTCGCGAGATAATGGGGGGCTTGCATGCTTGTCGGTGCGCAGCTGGCCCTGTAGGTGCTGCCGGGGGAGCAGTGGCTTTCGGTCCGGTCGGCGGATGCTTAGCAGTGGCCGCAGCCTGTTCGTTCTTTTTGACTTGTTCTTGCTTCTCCCTGTCTCGCCGTAGATGCTCTTCGAGCATCCGCCGACTTCGCCGACCCTCAGGGTCGTAATCCACCCGAACGAACTGAGCATCGATCTTGATGCCTCGCGCTTTGACAGCTCTGCGTGCGGCCTCGATTGCGCTTGTTGCTGAGCTACCAGGTCTCGTGGCATCGCGATACCTGATGGTAGCGAATCCGAGGTAGCTACCAGTCTCTGGATGCATCTTATTGCAGCTTTCGGCGATTTCTCCAAAAATAGCAAACGCTTGTGTGACTTTGTTGAAAGGCAGAAACGGGTTGAACCTTGTCACAACAACCTGTGTTGGTGGGCCAGGCCCGACTGATGTCTTTGGATCAAACGGGTACGGTCTTAGGTTGTCTGGTGCGGTTCGCAATCGGGATTTGGGCAGGTAATAGTCGGTATTGATATAACTCAGCTGCCCGTCTGGGTGTGCCAGTCGGGGATCTGGTAGGGGCGTGTCATCATCCTGCCAGTAAGTCAGCTGCGTGCCTTCAAGGAATATACCAACCTCTAACGACAGACGAAGGCTCGCTGTGGTGTATTGAGACGTACCGTGGTGATATTCTTGTATACTGGTCTCGTGGACCTGCTCACCACCTTGTTGCGGAGTCGCTCGAGGAGCGGATCAAATGTGCATTTGACACCCAGTACTGGGTTAGCCGGTTCACGCCATGGTTCTCGATGTATCGCTGAACTTTGACCTCCGACAGCGTCGGCGTGGAGCGTGACGGTGGTAGCATTGTGTGCTGGGTCTGTAGCGTCGTCGCCAGGTGCTGATGGAAGCATTTGAGCGTCGAAGGCTCCAATGGGAGCTGTGGAAAGAGGCGAGTCTTTCACGGTGAGTGGTGTGGTATTCGCGGTTGAGCAGCGATTCACCGAGGCGGTCACTGCAGCCTTGGCACTGAGAGACGAAGACGCGATGCTTGCGTACGAACTTGCAGAGTCGACAGTGTCAGGGATATCTCCAGGTGATGGTTCTTTTCGCCGTTCGACTTGTAGGGAGGCTGTCCCAGCACTGAACCGATCTCGTGCCCCCCGAGCCTCGGCGTCTGCCCTCGGCTTGGGAGCAGCAGGGAAGAATTCCGCGAAGCCCGGGGCATGAGAGGGTCGAGTCATCATAGAGCGATGAACTCAAGGCACTATATGTCTCGCGCCGTTGCAATCATGATATCTCTGAAAGGTTGTGCGAAGGTGCGCCTGCACGATATCGCTTGATAATGTTTGGCGAGATGCGACGACGTGATCCCACCTCCACGCGACCCGCAGTTTGGCGACGAGGATGCGCGAGCGTTACAGCTGGTGAGGAGATGGTACCGCGAAGTTCGAGAGCGAATCGAAGAGTAAGACGTGGATCGATACTGGCGACGCAATGCGACCGTAACGCAACAATCAGAGGGCGCGTGGGGAGGTTGTCCGAATGTCAAGGCTGATCAGGTCGAAGGAAGGCTCATCAGAGTGAATCGCGAGGGTACACGCAAATCCCGTAGACGAATAAAACACAGGCCAGCTTGCTCCAGGACGTGAGCAGCACCAGCCACAGCCCTCAGCCACACTGGCGTGGAGTACGAGTTGATTTGGCCAAGTACGTGCTTTAAGGTACCTTACGTTCGTACTCCGTGTTAGTAGTAATTGAAGTACTTAATACTTGGTAGTTGCGAAAAACAGGCAACCCTGCAGTAAGTAAATACGCCAAAGCTGTAAGTCATTCATCTCGTAATAGAAATATTGGACAACTTGAGAATCTCTTTAGGAGACACAAAAATGGTTCTTCATTGTCGCATGAGCTAGCTTCAATATTATTTTGGGTGACGCTACTAACGCTTGCCGCTTGAAGCGGCTTCTAGACGAATGACCAAAATGTGGTAAATCTCATCACGCAGTGCCATGCCCGAACAATCGCGCGACAACTGTTCAAGCTTTCGACTTACGCGATGGGCTGCAGTTGAAAGTCTTCTTCCTCGTCTAGGACAAGGAGCTCATTACCAGGTAACACCCCACCGTCGTCACTCTCCGAGTCGGCAACGTTCAGGAAAGCGAAATCAAGTACTGAGACTGCACCGTTTCTGCGCGGAGCAGTGGAATTAGATGCTGTGGACGCTGAAGCATTGTTCTTCTCCGATTTGTCGGAGGTGATGGATGTGCCGGAGCGGAGAGCCGCGCGCCGGATACGCCCATATGGAGCAGCCGATGATGCTTCATCTCTTGTATCTCTGATATGCTCCAACGTTGTCGTTATCGCTGACTTGACAGGGGCGTCAATTCGAGCTCGGTCCTCGTGAGCAGACAATTTTGGGCCACCGCGCCCGTTGTTTCCCAACGGTCTCCAGGCTTTCCTGGGTAAGGTCCGGAGCGGGGCTGCAGTGCTCATGGGCTGCTTGCGTACAATAGATGGCGGAGGGTTTCTCCTATCAGCTGTTGTCGATCTCGTTGTCGACAACCGCCCACGACGTGCTGTGTCTCGAGGCTTGACCTGTCCTGTTACTCGAGTAGTTTTGGGGGCCCCGCTGGCCTTCACCGGGGTTCGCCCGACGCTCTTCAAATCGAGCATGCCCCAGTCCAAGTCCTGCAATTGCGCCTCATTGTATGCCTCTGCCTTTCGCAGAGCAATCGCTTTCTCTGTTCGGAGACCTTTGTCGTGGAGAGATATGCCATCTTCATCGACGGGATTGACGAAATTCTCGTAGTAGCCGCGTAGGAGCTTGTCGTTTTGAAATGCTTCGAACGTCAGACCACCGGGCGGCAGAAGATCAGACTGGTAAGGCGCTTCAAAAGGTCGAGGCGGCGCGTACTCGGGCTCTTCGTCGTCCGATTGTATAACAAGGATGCTCTTTCGTTCTACTGCCAGCGTTGGTTTGGATTGTTTCTTTGTTGTCGTTGGTTTTTGGGTAACGGCGCTTCTGCTGCCGGCTAAAACCGTCTTTTCGCCAGCAGGCTGACCTGTCTTGACATTCGCATTCGTTGTTTTGGCTCCTAAGGGCGCTCTTGCTTGCCCTTCTGTTTGGACAGGTGAGCGCGAGCAAGCTGCGAGGACTGAGGTTTCACTTACGCATGGGCGTCTTAGGAAAATCCCGGCCTTTGCCACCTAATTATTCGTCACATGGAGTCTGAAAGATTGTTCGCATAGCTTACTACGTAGGATTGGTTTGGCGTTTTCGTAGCCATCGTTGCAGGGAGTTCCTGCGAATCGGGCACTTCTGCTGCTTGGTGCTTGCTTCGTGGGGACCTGACGAGAATGTGCAAGATTCTCTTGATTATGCCGCGCAGCATACATGCTGGGTATGAACTACAGGCTCGCTTTCGGTATCGTGGGTGATACTCCTCATAAGTACTAGGTAAGGTAATGAATCAAGTTTCGGGTGTAGTCTGTTTTGACTATGCCAAGCCGCAGAACAATGTTGGCCGAGCAACGCAGATATTGGAGTGCAGCTTCCACGGCAGTGACGGTCACCGACTCACCGTCATTGCAGTCACGGTCATGGTACGGATACAGTGGAGACCTTACCTTCCTACCTCACCTTACCGAGGGGCACTTGCACCACTTTCTGCTTCCCCACCCCTATCCCCCCTACACCACATCAACCTCCCATTCTCCTCCATTCCAAACTGCCACATCGCGCTTTGGATTTCAATTCATAACCTGTGAAGCCGTCAAGACCTCTTAACCCTTAAAGCTGTTGACTCAACCGAACTCACCATGGATCGCATCAAGGAGGTATAGTCGCCCGCTCGGCCCTACAGTGGACCGCAAACAACGTGAAGCATCTATGTTGGCTGACACTTTCAACGTAGAAAATGAACTCTCTACGCCTGGAGGCGGACGAGGCCGTAGCCAAGGTTGAGGAGCTTCAGGCTCGTGTCAAGACCCTAGAGCAAGAGAATCTCGCCAAAGAGCAGGAGATCACATCTCTGCAGCACAAGAACGGAGTTTTGGAAACAGATGTCGACAAGCTAGAAACTTCGATCAAAGACTTCAAGAAATCGGCCGAAGAAGGCCAGCAGCACGGCACTCAAAACGAAACACTTCAACGCCGTCTTCAACTTTTGGAAGAGGAGGCTGAGGAGGCAGACAAGACTCTACGCGAGGCGAACGAGAAGTACGTGAAGAGCTCAGACGATGCATATACAGACCAAATTATACGGCAGCTAACGCTCAACTTCCAGGCTCCGGCAAACCGACGTCAAAGCTGGCCACTTCGAGCGCAAGGTCCAAGCTCTCGAGCAAGAACGCGATCAGTGGGAGCAGAAGTATGAGGAAATGGCAAAGAAGCACTCGACCCTTCAGAAGGAATTGGACGATCTTCAGGCTGAGATTGGCACCATCTGAGCGGAGTGCGCCGATAATGTGGAAGAACGATGTTCCCAGATAGCGTGCATGATGGATATTGCTTACGGGCATCTTTGATCTGATCAGAGTTGGCGTATGTACCATCTTTTGGAGCCAGAGCTCTGCTCAACTTCGAGGGGCAGACGATATACGGCTTTACTAACAGAGAGAGATGTCATGCCTATCTTCTTTTATTCTTGAGTCGTTGTTTCGTGTCCGTGAGCTTCCTCTCGAGTTTAGTCTCATAACGAAACTTTGGGGCCTTTTTCTTCTTAGGCTTCAATGTTGGCGGCGCTTGCTCACTCTTGTTCTCGGGAGGCGCTTGTTGTGATTCTTGGTCGAGTTTGGAATCCTCGCTAGGCTTTTCGAACCCATCTCGCGACACATTGACTGACTCGACTGTGACAGTGGTGAAACGGTCCTCGTCAACATATTCCTCTTCTTGATCCACCAAGTCCTGCTCGGGCGGATCAGGGATACCGTCCCATTGCTCTTCACTCTCCTCAGAAGTTGAACCATCCGCCAAAGAAGTAGCAGCATTCGATTCCTTCAACAGCTTGTTCACCATCTCAACATGTTCTTCTACTTCGCGCTTGCGATCTTCGCGGGCCTGCCAAAATCAACATCTGGCGTTTCACGACGTCTGAACTAGGAGCAATACCTGTTTCCTCAGTTCAATTTTCTCCTGCCGGGCTTTTTTCGCGGCTTCATCTTGTGCATGCTTAATTCGCTGTTGTTTGCGTTTGTGGAAGCCTGTTAAGTATTCGTGGCGGGCATCGTTGTCGAAAGAAATTTCTTCAATTGCAGGAGTTGCCTTTCGTTTCTTGGAGGGGGCCGGCAAGATACTCTTCTTCGGTCTCGGTTTCGCGAACATTTCGAGTGGACGAATGTCACCGCTGGACGTGACCTTTCAGTTGGATAGCTTGGTGACATCAATTTTCTTGAATGCCCATGGCGGGATGCTGCAAAGCTTCACCGCGGTGTGCACATACCGGGGTTTCCGTCATAACGATAGCTTTTACGTAAGCAGAGTTCAAACTGTCAGAGCTGTGCACTGCATCATTTGCTACGGAGTACAGATACGTAGCGTACATCGTGATCAGCAACTTCAGGAGCTCAACTTTACCAAAAATCTACGATGCGCTGCCAAATTCTATCCTGCGCCCTGGCACTGGCCGGGCTATCGGCAGCATTTTCCGATTCATCATCCTTTGTTTTGCTTTCATCTCAACCGTGAGATAATGTATCAAGCTGGTTTACTGAGCTAACTCGTGTAGGATCCCGAGATCACAAGTCAGCGATTCAATCCAAGTCAATAATTCCGTCCTCGACAACGCGCAGCAATTTTTGGGGCAATGTCCGACTACCAGCTACCTCCTTATCAACCAGCCAGGATTGACAGCTGCGAGCCTCCGAGGTCCAAATGGATGCTCCCTCCCAAGTCTATGCAACGCTGCCGAAGCTTCGTCAGTCCGAGGAAAGTACATCGTGCCAGAAGTGATTGGGAACATGGGCTTGGGTACAGTGGAGCGTCTTTCCAAGGACGTGACCCAGGCATGTGGCAATCTCGACAAGGAAGCCACCATTACTGTTGTCGACTTCGCGACCAGATCTGATGATACTTGGCCAGCCATAGGTAACCATTCCCTGAACGTTTGGCTTGCATCACAAGCTCACCACGCGCACAGACGATCGCCTAGTGAGAGCCATTGAGCATGCCGCCACAGGGAGCGACTACACTATAGTGCTGCTTTCGAGCCCTGTCGAACCTGTGTACGAAGCATCATTTGACACGCCTGCGCAGATGGAGTTGAAGAGAGGTGCGCAGCTCTTGCAGCGACGCAAAGACAATGGAACAAATTGGGACGAGCTGCCCCTCTTCGAGAAATACCAGTTCTTCACGCCAGGTACGTCTCACTGGCTGAACCTCTCAACGATGGCATAGACTGATTACAATAGGCATTTTCATGGGTGCCATCGTTGCAATTATCTTGCTTGCGATCCTTGGTGTTGGATTGCGCGCTTTGTCGAGTTTGGAAGTTCCATACGGTGCATTTGAAAAGGACATGGGCCCGGCAGCGCAGAAGAAGCAGCAATAGCGCCTTGGATAAGTTGAAGGAGAAGACTATGCAAGCTACGTATGCATGTTGAAAGGTCGGGAGCCTCGTAGTGCTGTTGCGATTGTACTCAAGGTGGTCAAGCCGAATATATCCTTGTTATGCTTCGCGTCTCTGGCTTGATACGGCCCTGATGGGTGGCATCTGGTAATGGACGATCATGCGATATGATAGCCATGCATGTTCAGCGGACGTAACTCGAGTATGAATCTCCTGACCAGGTATACACCAACAACTGGAGGCATAGATATTGAGTCTGCGATTGGCCTCCAGCGCTGTTGCCACTGCGTCTCCGAAATGACGCTTAAATCCATGAAAGCCTTCGTTCATCTGCCATGCCCGTTCAAACTAAGTGTCCCGGGAGTAAAAAATTGGCAATACCCTCTTTGATCGCGTATTCATGGCCACAATTGCCGCAGACAAGCTTTCCCTCCGATATAGACGTTTCCAACAGCAAATGATGCAAGTCTTTCAAAATTTTCTCGTCGTTTTCAAGTTCTTCTTTCGTCGGCGCCGCTTCTGGTAGTGCTGGGAAGCCCAACTAAAAAAAAGAGCGTGTGGTCAGAGCGACGGTAGGAATGACAGGGCCCGGGGCGACCAGTCTTACCTCTGAACAGGTGCTCTTCAACGCTTCCCAATCAATGCGTGGCAGCACACTTATAATCATTTCGGGCTTGAGTCCGAGCTCATCCTGCACGAGTTCAGCGTCCTTGGGGTGTAGAGGGTATGAGTTAGGCGACGTTTTGCAGGCCTTGACTGCGCACGTCAAAAAATTAAGACTGAGTATTTTCATGATCGCGAGATGCCTGGGGTTGATGCCACAGTCACTGATATGCGGGATGGTTTTAGTGAATGAATGTCGTCTCGCGACTAGTACGAATCTCCTCGAATTCTGCTCGAGCCTAGAGCTACCAACTACTAGTAGTGAATGGGCTACCCGACAACTTACTTTGATTGGTTTTAAGCACACAGTGGGTCGTCACCTGTGCAACAACCAAGTATAAAGATACCATAACTAATAAATTGAACTCGCAGGGATTCAGTTGCTCTCGAATTGCTAACCTTTGGTAAGACTTCGTAACGCTTGTGCTTGCCGCTGAGGCTGGCCAAAGCACGTTCAATATTAAGGCGCTGGCAATGTGAGGTCATCAACAACTTCTAGCTCACAGCATGACAAGTTGCAAGCAGCAATAGGACTTCAAATGACGGTCGAAACCGGCGTGAAGAGCCAAAGCACCACAACTAATCGAGTTACAAAGCAACTGCAATTGCATATTAATCCACCTAGAGGATAGCACCTACTAGCCTCAGGACACTATCGAACTATCGACGCACTCCTCTCTAGCTAGCCCCCTTTCATGCAGCGGTCTTTTCGTGCGGACCACGGTGGGTGTTATGCCGCTGGGCCTTTTTCACAAACCCGATGCAAACGGCAAACACGATGCAGACCCCCAAAAGCTTCTGCCACGCAGCAAGACCACTAAGTTGACCAATCGTATTCGACGGGGGTATCGAAGCCGGCGCTTGTACCTTCAAGTCTGAACAGATACAAGAATAATCAGCACACCGTGAGTACTGGGTCCTTCGTCGTGAATGAGGAGGAGAGGTAATGGGCACTAAGAGGCCCAAGAGGTTTTGCAAGTGCTTCTAAAGCTCAACGTGGGTACCTTCGGGTGGAACTTCAAGTTCGCCGCTCTTCACAATCTTGACGGTATCGACAGGCTTATCTCCGCGAGCTGTCTTTGAATTCTGGATCTTATCGACAATGTCGTAACCCTCAAGGACCTCGCCGAACACTACATGACGACCATCCAGCCATCTTAATTGGTCAGTTTTCGTCCTGTTACCCTTGGCGAGACGGTGGGAAACTCACGATGTGATGACAGTGGTTATGAAGAACTGTGATCCATTGGTATCGGGGCCAGCATTTGCCATGGACAGCATGCCCTTCTTGGTATGCTTCAACTTAAAGTTCTCGTCCTTGAACTTGTTGCCGTAGACTTGGATGGTTGTCAACATGAGAACGAACATCAAGTTTGAACACTTACTTGACTTGCCACCTGTGCCATCGCCTTTGGTGAAGTCGCCGCCTTGAATCATGAAATCTTTGATCACACGGTGAAACGTCGATCCCTCGTATCCAAATCCCTTCTCGCCGGTAGCAAGAGCACGGAAGTTCTCCGTTGTCTCAGGGACTGTCTTGCCGTAGAGACCCATGACAATACGGCCAAGGTTCTCGTCGCCTTGTTGGATGTCGAAGTACACTTTGTGGGTGATCTTAGGTCCTTTTGAGGCGTCAACAGTTTGGGAAAACAGGACCGCCAGCACCCCGAAGAGCACGACGAAGGTGACAAGGAATCTCTGAATGCCAAACATTGCGACAGCGATTTCAATGAACAATGAGTAACAAAAGAAGAGAGCGAGAAAGGTAAATAGATTGGAGAGGCCACGTTTTAAGTGACTTTGGTCGAGGGGCTAAAGCTGCGACCCTTCCCCGCTGAGCATCATGCAAGAAGACTGGACCCATGCGCTCAGCCACTGGCACGGTTGCACCTGGCGGCTGCAGGCTGCAGTAAACTGAGGCCAGTGAGGGTCGATGACGGTTAGGGGAGCGTGATTGGTAGGTTAACGTCACGGTAAGTCGATAGTGGATCACCCACTAGTGCTTCTTCCTCACCGTGGTTTCGCCGAGGCGGGGACTTGATAGATGGTTCGCCCGTCGATCCAGCATTACAAAATCAACGCCAATGTTTGCCGAAGCTGAATAACGCGAATACGCGCTCTTGCCAAGATGGTAAGGCCAGCGAGAGATCGCATACACTTGAGAATTAACTAACACGACCGAGGTCTTCATAATGGGCGTCAATTTCGGCGAGGGCCGTCTTGTGAAGGTAGGATTCCAGTTCATCCCGTGGAAGAACTGAACATCTGATCATCTGTTAGAAAGCCCTAGAGTCCTTCTACAACCTCGGGCCTACTTCTTCCTCCCGCATCATGGCTAAATTTTCGATACACAAGCTTGCCAAATGTGGATCACTGAATCCGCGGACGGTCACATCTCTCACGGCTGAACTATCGCAAATGACCATCGATAACGACGCACGAAAGCTCATGAACGACAACATTCAAAGGTTACGCGATATCGGTTCCTACAGAGGCAGGCGACACGCCATGGGATACCCGGTTCGTGGTCAGAAAACTCAGACTCAAACGTCAACAGCATCGAAACTCAACAGACTTCCACGGAGGGTCTGACAGGACGCTTGTGGCTGCCGACCGATGATGTACTAGTACGAGAGAAGGTGTTCCCGCATCACACACTATATATAATTCCATACATACAACCTTTGAGGCAACTTGCAATCAAAAGATTGATGGTCTTCTATCAGTAAGGGCCGTCGTAGTAAACGTCATCCTCAAGAACAGGCTCGCCTTTTGCCTGCAACCCAGCAGCGACTTCCTCTACATCGGCCCAGACACGCAGCACATTCTTCCCCACAATCTTGGCCGCATCCTCGTCACTCACGCCTCTCCTCAGAAGCTCTGCGACAAGGGCTGGATAACCCGTAACGTCTTTGAATCCTTCGGGGGCATCTGGAATTCCGTCCAAGTCTGTACCAACACCGACATGATCGTAGCCGATGAGCTCGCCAATGTACATGATGTGCTCGACAACTCGGCCCAATGTGGCCTCCTCCGGAACAGGCTCAGGTATTCCATCATCGGCCCCTACATCTCTGCAGGCTAAAAATTGGCCAGCGATGTTGACCAATACTACCGAATTGCGCTCCTTGACCATGTTCAAGACATAATCTTTGACATTGCGAGGATGAGGGCAGATGGCGTACGCCGAACTATGTGAGTAGATAACGGGCGCTCTGGAACCAGACCACTCATCATTGCCACCAAGTACATCAACCATTGTGTCCTCGCTAGGTCCTGTTAGTGTGTTTACCGATGACCCAACGGAATACTCACCTGACATGTGCAATATCAACGATCATACCGATACGGTTCATTTCATTAATCAACCTTCTTCCATCCTCACTGACTCCGTTGAAGACAGGGGTTGCTTTGCGCATTGGATACTCCTCTTGCGCAGCATCGGCGAACTTGTTGTGGCAGTTGTGGGTCAGTGTCGCATAACGTACGCCGAGATCGTAAAATCGGCGCAGATTGGAGGCTTTGTTGGCGATTTGATGCAGTCCCTCAATGCCCAAGGGCGAGATCAGCTTGCCTTCAGCCCAGACACGCAAAGCATCGGTAGCATGTAGCCCCTGAGCATGGGAGAAGTCATCCGGATACATGGTGTGTATGCGGTGCATGAGGTCAATCTGGTCCAGTGTAAATTGAAGGCTTTTTTGAAGGTTCCCGTCAGAGAAGTCGGAGCCATTCCGTGGGCAAGGGGCCCAAACACTCCAGAACGCGCCCCCCGACATGCCGTCTCTCAAGCGTTTGATGTCGGCATGGCCGGCAAGGTTGCCATTCTCGAAGGCCATTTTCCACTCCTCGTTATCGATTTTGTTCTCATAGACGCCTCTGATGAGCATAGCCATATCGACATGTCCGTCTAAAGTGGAGTGTGAGACTCCGTTGCCCAGCGGATCATTCAAGCGAACTCACCGATTAGAGGCGTTCGAGCCAGCACGCGGCGGGCTCTTTGTTCGAAAGACGACAGGCCACGATATTGCTCGAGCGTTCGGTAGACGCGCTCTCTGCCTGGGGTGTGGAAGAAGCTCGCTGTGAAAATGATGAAGATCATGCTCATAATAACTGTCCGCCATGAGGGGGCTCTTCGCGGCTGGGTAGATGGCCGGTGAGCTTCGCCATCACCCTTCTCAAGGCAAGATCTTGCACGTATGCGATATGGAGCAATTGGGTCCATCGCGAGCATGTGTGAGTCGGGATGATCAGTATGATCGGCCATTATGGTGAACTTCCGACCTTGTTTGGGCGCAATGTACAAGAACAGTATGAAGTTGCTGCGGGTCAGCTGTGATGGAACAAGTACATGAGATGAGCAATGGTCCACAATATTCCTTCGGGCCATTGCAGTGTACTATTTCGAAGCGGGAAGCCCATCAGGTAACTTGTAGGCACCGTAGGGTAATACGTATAGTACTATAGTAAGCTACAGGTACTTTATTAGGTAGTAGGTACTACTTATTACGTAGTAGTAGGGAGGGAGGGCGGTAAGAATCAAGATTGGCATTTGTTGACATCATCAGAAGTTAGCGTGTGTTCAGGCATCCTAACTACAAGTTCGTAACACTGCCTAATTACAGTCAATAAATGACCTGTGTGTATTAATTGGGAATATATGTATGAATCGTAGATATTGACCCGCGCGTATCGATGGTAGAATGTTAATTATTTAATCATCATGGGCCACACGACACTGCACAGTGCAGTCTGCGACTTGGGCGTTTTTTGCTGACGAAACGTGGAGGTCGTAAGCGGCAATAACATTGGCTTATGCTGTGACGCTCGTGCTAACGACGCCTTCCCCCTTTCATCGTAGCGTCAGGTCCAGGGTCTGCTGCTTCAGGCTTCAGCTCTGATACGGTGATACCTTAGGTACTAGGTAGCCAACGGGTCCCGTCCTCAGTACAGAGGTCCCTGCTTTATGTCACACACACTGCGATTCTCCTTTCTCGTGTCTAGTCCTGCAAATTTGGCTCGCGCAATCATACAAATCTCTCCCCCTCCGCTTACGAAGCTGCTCGATTGTTAGCCGGTGGCACTGCGGAGCTTCTCGCTCAGCATTCGGGTTCGACTTGGTTGTGTTTTGACCTACAACTCTTCGCGCGAGTCCGTTCTTCCTCGAAAGCTGTGCGAAAGGGCTGCTCAGAATCGGGCATCACCGCCGCCCTCTGTCGCCACAACCAGGTCATTCGAAGTTGTCGACTGGTCGATTGGCAGCTCTCGGAACATCAATCGCACACCTACCTAACCGCGTGGACGCATACGTGCTGCACACGATGCCCGGCTTTGCGGATTCGTTTTGGTCCAGCGACTACGCTGCAGGTGAGTTTGCACTGCGAGGTAGAGATTGCCCACTAACTGCATTTTTAGGACTTGGTGTTCTCTTTGAGAAGCTTCAGCAGGGAGTCAAAGAGAATAGACAAGTCTTGACTATTGCCCGCATGCGAGCCGAAGCCGAGGAAACTTACAGTAGCCATCTGGCCAACGTTGTGCCGGCTGCTGAGAAGGTATCGGGAGGCTTTTCCCGAGATGAGGGCGCTACTGTTCGAAAGGCCTACGATGGCATCAAAAGCGAGATGCAAGACGCCTCCGCAAACCACCACCGCATAGCTTCAAGCATCCGCGATCTCGTCGTCAGCCCCTTTTCCAGATGGTGCGATGCCCACGAGAGCCGGTTACAAGACTCCCAGGACGATTTGCAGTCACGTATCAAAGCTCACGATCGACAAGCGGAGTCGGTCAAGAAACTACGATCGGTCTACTTCAACAAATGCCGCCTGATGGAGGATCTGGAGGAGGAAAACAAGTTGGGTTTTCAAGAACCCGAGTCGAGTCCGAAAAACAATACAACCCCGAATATTCCAGAGATCAAGGTGCAGGAGGACGAGTATGAGCCCGAGGAAGATGTCTTTGAGATCGGCGACGAGATCTACCAGACAGATCAAATCAAACAGATCCTTCTTCAAATGCTGTCAACGATCAAAATGGGCGAACATAAAGTCGCAATCCTAGGCACGTATCAAAATGTGTCGACGGGTTCTGACATTGTGGAGTATGTCCAGCGCCACATGGGTGGGACAAGCATCAGCTATGCCGAGCGCATCGGCCAAGATCTCATCACGAACGGGTTTCTGCGCTTGATTGGCAATGTTGGCAGCGTTTTCGCCAATAGTTCGAAGATGAACTACCAATGGAAGACAAAGGCATTCCAACTGGCAGGCATTCCTGAGAAAAAGGTCCCTCTTAACCGAACCTTTTCGATGCCGTCGAACAACTCTGAAGTCGGAGGGGACTCTCCTGTTTTTGGCAATGTGAGTGAATACCTCGCCAATTGGAACGTCATGCCGAGTAGAGCGCACCCCGACGAGACTCCACGTCAAAGATTACAGCGAGAGGCCAAAGAAGCGGACGACAAGTACAAGTTGGGTGTGAAGCGTCTCGATGAACTTCGTTGCGATCTAGAGGAAGCAATTTTCTTGCATCTCAAGTTTCTTGAGCGTTGCGAATTCGACCGCCTCAAGGCCATCAAGACAGTCATATTAGACTTTTCTGGGGCTATTGGCAACGTCATACCGAGTCTACAGTCCACAGTGGACAAAATGATGCTCTTTCAAGAAACTATACAGCCTCAGGGCGACTTGAGGTATCTTCTTGAGAACTATCGGACTGGCTGCTTTGTGCCGAAAACTGTCGTTTACGAGAACTACTACAACAAGGCGGATGAGCAGACTTTTGGGGTGGATCTCGAAGCCCGCGCACGGGCTGATAAGAAGCGCGTACCAGTCATCGTTACAACCATTCTTACTTACCTGGACCATCACTACCCTGATCTTGAGGGTGACGAAGCCAGGCGCGGCGTATGGCTTGTCGATGTTCCACTTGCTCAAACACACAAGTTACGGGCCCGGGTCAACGATGGCAAGCAATTTTCAGCGGATATCCTCGCCGAATACGATGTACCAACAGTTGCCAGTCTCTTGAAGTTGTATCTCTTGGAGCTTCCTGGTAAGTTCTCGTGTGACCACCGTTGGTGTTCCTCCACAGACTAACCCCTTGGAAGACTCTCTAGTTTCCTCTCATGTATATGAGATAATTCGTACCATTTACAACAACCCCACGGCTAATGGCACGGAGAATTCCCGCGTCGCTGTACTCCAGCAAACGCTTTCTCAGCTGCGCCTCACAAATATCGCCACGCTGGACGCCTGCATGAACCACTTCACTCGTCTCATCGACCTGACATCAGCCGATGAGGTCTACGTTACAGCCCTTGCGGCTGTCCTGGCGCCGTGCATTCTACGTCCACGCACTCAGACGTCCCTGACTCTGGAGGAAAAGCATGCATACAAACTTGTTCGTGACTTGCTTGCGCATAAAGATCATATTTTCGCCGAACTAAAGCGAATGTCGACACTCAGTCATTCAACGTCGGTGACAACCCAACGATCTCGGGCCATCAGCACAGACGAAAGCAATCGCAAAGCTTTAATGGAAGAGCGCAACCGTGCTCTACTGGAGAAGGCCAATGCGAATCGCAGCCGAGCTACCAGCCCAGCTCCAAGCCCGCGTGGCCACCGCCGTGACCGCTCTAGCGGTGGTCCAGAGACGCGCTTCCCTATCCAGACAAGTCCTACCACAAGTAGTGACCGTCAACGTAGCAGTCTTGCGAATATTGGCAGCATCACCGGGCCCAATCTGACCAAAAGGTCCAGCCTTGATGTGCCCGATGGCGGCGACCTGCCGAACACCAGTGAGGGGCCGAACCAACAGCATAAGCAGACAGATAGCATTGGCGGGAGCAAGGAGAGTGAGAAGCGAGACAGCATTTCATCGTCGAACCGCACATCTGCCAAATTCATTGGCGGGCGTCGTGTACCTACGGCACCAGGTAGTGAAACTTCTCGAGGGGTGACTTTGGAAGATAAACCGATGGAGGATTGAGAAAGTTTATCATCCTTGTTGCATTGTCAGCGAGCCAGCCGGTGGAATTGACTTAGAAATTCTTCAGTCAGTGGATTTGCTGTTTATTACTAGTAGTTATGCATATGTATGTACTTTATTGGGGAATAATAAGGTTTTGTGACGCATTGTTGCTACAAATTTTGTACTGCTATAGGTATGTTTAGACTTGCTTCTCATCGCCACAAGTCTAAACTAAGGTAGTATCGAAGCAGATCAAACAGTTACCACTATTACCCAGTGGCTGCCTCGCCTAGGGTCCCTTCCTTTGGTTTCCTGCTACTTGACTCCGAATCGCCATGACTTGCCGTCTCCATAGTGACTCCATGCTCTTCAGGTGGAGGCATCCTATTCCTGTTCTTCTTCTTCTTAGGCTTCGCCTGCTCTCCAGGTTGCCCTTGCACTACAGTGCTCGAATTATTCTTTTTCTGCTTTTTCCGCTTGACCACTGTGCCCTCCGCGTCAATACCCTGTGGAAGGCTTATACGCTCGTTGGCTCGCTGCATCTCCAACCTCAGTCGCTCAACTTCCTTCATTGCCAGTTGCATCTCTGCTTCTTCGCGCAGTCGCTGGTCATGGTTCTCTGCCTCACTGCGATCACCGCCTACTTCGAGAGCCAAAGCCCCGATGTGACTGGAATCTACTTGCAAAAGACCTTGCCGCAGTTTCCTCGATTTGGTCTTTGGCTTGTGATAGTTGTCAGAGTGGTTCTCAGAGTCGTATTCGCGGCCGGAGCTATTAGCGCCACCCAGCGTCTCATCGTCTGCAACGATAATCTTCTGTTTCGGCCGAGTCTGAGGTCTCTGCTGGAACGCTCCAGCTGCTGGTTCAGGTGAGCCAAGATCCAATTGCATAATGGGGATCGAGTCGACGTCAAGTTCTGTTCCATTGTTGTCTTTGAGTATATTGTGTATTGGCGTGGAGGGTTTGGCGACGACCTCGGCAGCAGGGATATAGAAAGGGTCGTCTTTGTTACGAGCATGTCGTTCTGCCCGCCGTCGGGCAATGATGTCAGAATCCAGGTAGGCATCCTCCGAGGCCGACTGATATCCACCGGGGACTTCTTTTGCGGCATCGACGACTCGATTGATAGCAGGCAATGAGACGGAAGAAATACTTGTAGGAGCCGGCCTGTGATGATAGTATGAATCGAAATCATTATCCGTGTCCGTATCCGTGTCCATTTCCGGGACAATGGTGCTTGCACCAGATAGCAACGCGTCCAAGTCATTATGGATAGGCTCATTCAAGTCGATGGTGTCTGGGAGAGGCACGTGGCACTGTGCAGTGACTGCCACAGAGTTGAGCTCCCAACCATTGAACAGAGCAGGCACAGCCTGAGTGAGGAGTAGAGGGGGACATGTTGCCGACTCCTGTGTTGTTGCTATCTGTCCCTGAGCAGCGGCTTCTGCCGTGAGCCTCAGGAGTTCCGTGAATTCGATGGCACGGCCCTGCACATCAAGGTTCGGATGTAAGGTCAACGGATCCAACGCATTAACGATACGGGTGATGAGTAGGGAAACTTGTGACCTTCGGGCTGCATTCCAAGGGGCCGACTGGTCACCAGCGATAGAGGAGAACACCTTGCCGATGGCCTGTAGTGCACTAGATATAAGCCCAGGCACATGTGTTCTCGCGATAAGCTGGAGCAAGGAATCGAGACTGTCAGATGGGGATGTGAGCAGCTCAGCAAACTCCCCAATGATCCAGCAAACGGATTTTAATGACGGTGACGACACAGTGTGTCCAATAGGGGCATCGGCATTCACCCAAGCCAGGACCACTTGCGAAGCTGCTACAACCGCAGCTCGCATAGCCCGTACCTTCACTGCTACATTGCGCAGCTCATCGCCGATTTGTTCCGAGACATCTCCAGCTGAGGATGGTGACTGGGAGTCCGATTTCAGTGTTGGTGCCATTCTCACCATCTGTGTCAAAACATCGATATACCAATCGAAGTCGTTGACATGGGCGTAATTGTCTCTGGAACACATGTGTAAGACGCGGCTGATAACGTTGGCTCGATAGTCGTCGGGTAAAGCTAATGCTTGCTGATTGCCATTCTTATGAAGTTTGGCTTGAGACGCGGCCTCTTCGTCGGATTCGATAATTTCCGCAGGATTTCCCCCGAATGGAGCATCTCTTGAAGGGCTTGAAGACTTGAGCTGTTTCATCAAGCGGCTCACCACCGCGATCAGGCTGTCGCCATCTACCATGCCCTGCACAAGGTCAAGTGCCTGTATGCGAATAGTGATGTCTGGGCTGTCAATACAGTCGAGGATAACGTCTTCTTGCTGCGAGACAAGAAATGGGTGTGTGATCACAATCTTGTTGAAGGCGAGGAGGGCAACGTATTTTACTGCAAGCAATTAGCACTGGCTATGCTCAAAAAGCAGCAGCAACCCACAGTTAGCGTCACCTCCGTCCATTACCATCATGCCGCGAAGCTTGCTGACGCACAATGTTGCGATTTCCTCAGCGCCAGCGTCTTCAGCGCCAAGAATTCCGCCCTGAATAATCCCGTTGATGCATTCGTACAGCAAGGACATGGCCGGCGTAGTCTTGATCAGTGTTGTGAGGGGCGGTAACAGCTTCCTGACCAGGCGCGGCTCAAGGGGCGTCAGGGTTGCAAACTAGATCGAGTTAAGCATTGTCGACATTCTTGTTCGTGCATGGAACCAACCAGTTTTATTAGTTTAATCGCCATCCAGTTGTTTCCTCCCTCTACAAGTAGCTCAAATAACCGTGGGGCAAGTGGCAAGAAGTCGTGCGGTCGCCGCCATCCAAGCTCACACACCACATTCACGATTGCTGCCGTGACACTGGGGTCCTCATCAGGATCCATCAATCGTTCCTTTATTTTGGGCCATGCTGCTCGAAGAGCTTCTGGATAGACGAGCGCCAGACGATAAAGAGTGACCAGGGTCTTCTTGCGGATGTTCGAGTGGCTGTGGCTTAGACGGGGTAACAAGTCGGATAGTGTGGAAAGCGCAAGTGAAGGTGTGATGACGTGTGGAAGTGTTGCGATCGGTAACGAAATGACCGTTGGCGTCGTTGCAGCGAGATCCTGGGGAGAGTCTTAGCGGCTTCAATGTATCAGAACAACATCGCCCTACCTTTTTCAGCAAGTTGGTAGCAAGCATCAGGACCTCGGTGTCGGGGCGGAAGCTCTGTACAGCACCCAGGTACCCTACCCGCTTTTGATGGTACTTCGGCGAGGACATAACTTCGAGCACGTGGAAAGATGCCCAGGACATATCGTGACCAAGCATCTCCAAGTAGATCAGCTTCAGGAGCGCCGTTGCCTTGAGATCTATGTCCTGACTGCGGATCTCGGAGCGGCACTCCTTCAAGCTTTTCTGGACATAATCTTTCTCATTCCCTTTATGGTTTCGCAGTCCTCGAATCAGGTCGTACAGTGATTTTTCGAACCTTGACTCCATTAGCCAACGAGTTCTTTGCGAGCTTTGTGCCGGGAGACGGTTACGGACATGATGATGGCACGGCGCGCAAGGGCAAACACGAGAATCTGGAGGAGGATCGTTATTTAGGATTTCGAGACGCGCGGTGAGCGGGTAGTCGCATTCTGCATGTCGCGTGTGAGGTTTCGACGATGTTGGCGAACGCAGGGCGCTTGAATCCCCGGCGGAGGAACTGCAAGTGGTTACTTGTTGATTGAGCTTGGTTGAGCTGTCGGCGTTGGACGGGACAGCACTTAGTACTAGTAGTAAGGTAGGTAGTGACCAACCCCACGCTTGGCATCTACAGTGGTGTAGCCCAGAAGCTAACAAACACGTACCTAGTTACTCCGTACAACATGTACCTACTATAAATCGTACCAATTAATCTGCACCTACTATGTACTAAGGTAAGTATGTGCCGCTACGACTGAAGTAAATTTTGGTGACGGGGCGCTCGAGGGCTTCATTTAACCTGTAAATTCGGATATTCCAATCAAAGTCCTCAAAGAGAAAGCAGCCGCATCTTGTGCTCGTACTGATTATTAGTAATTTTGACCCTATAATTACCCTGTAAATTAAATAAATAGAGCCATTCATCATCATTCATGTCAGTAGTAACCGTAGAACCGTTCGTGAGCTCTTCAGTCTAGAACCACAATGGTGGGTGCGCGTCTGCAGCCGGTCGCCTCACTGGGCAAATCACCAGCAGTGCTCTCTGGATACCCCTCATTGCCCCTCATACTCCCGTCTGGTCATCAGCATGTTTACGAACTACGTCGCCAGTGTTTATCATTTGCATCACACTACAAATATCTTGGTTTGCAACTCAAAAGAAGCAATCAGAAAATCGCCGCTATTCCTGTCACCCGGACTGTCCTAATCTACTGGACCTCATTTACCATGGTCATCTTTGCCCGGATTTTGGACTATTGTTGCATGCACTGACGTCCTTAGGCCGACGAGCTTACTGAGCAGCAAATTGCTGAATTCAAGGAAGCCTTCGCCCTTTTTGTAAGTGTCCCTTATCAACTCTGTTCAGTCTCTTACCCGAGTAGGATAAGGATGGCGATGGTGAGTTCGAATTTTGGGCGTACGCGTACGACTGCTAAGATAGTCTCAAGGCCAAATCACCGTCAGTGAGCTCGGCACGGTGATGAAGTCCCTAGGGTTGAACCCTTCCGAATCTGAACTCCAGGACATGCTCAACGAGGTTGACGCAGATGGAAGTGGAGCCATTGAATTCAATGGTGAGTGTCACGTCCTCATGAGCGGAACCACATCGCGCTGAATCGCAATCAGAATTCCTTACCATGATGGCTCGAAAGGGCGCGGGGAGCGATCCAGAGAAGGAACTCCGTGAGGCGTTCAAGGTCTTTGATCGCGACGGCACCGGTACTATCTCTCGCGATGAACTCCGTCATGTCATGAAGTCTCTTGGTGAGAACTTGACGGAGGACGAAATTGACGAGATGTTGAAGATGGCAGATAAGGACGGCGATGGAACTATCGATTGTATGATAGCCCTTCATAGCCCTGTCCCTTCGTTTGGCTGACATTACTTCAGATAGTGAGTTCGCCGAGATCATGGCGCACAAATGAACACGTCGGTCTGGAGGGTGGACGACGGGTGGACGGGCACTCATGGATTTGTCGGATCGCAGCCAGCTCGAAGCAATCGTGCAGCATAATGCACCACTATGGACTCGTCGGCTGTGGCTTTTTCAAGGTCCGTGCTGCCGTGCATGTCCATTCAATAGTATTGCCTTGCTTCGGCCCCCGGGAACCGGAATTCAATCTTCAGAAGTCTACTTGTACTGTTGTACAGTTGCGAAATTGCCGATCTGCTGACCTGACCTGTGGCTGGTCATAAACCTTTTCATTTGTTTGGAATGGAAAGTAGTGATTTCGCGTGAACGAGTGAATAACGCGCAACAACCCAACAGCATGAATCAAATGTGTGCCGGGGACATGAGTCCCCTCTGCCATTCCTCTCCTGCGATTGCAATCGAGAAGCGCCAGAAAAAACAAAAAAATACTCCGACTCAAGCAGGATGTCTGCGGCGGTGGTGTTGAAACTTGAAATGAATCGTTGTCCCGCCAGCTACGGCGCGGGCTGAAGTCATGGTGCGTTGACGCCAAGAATGATACTATGCACTCAGGGCGAAAGCGCCACTAAGAGAACCTCGGAACTGTTCCTTGCTTACTTCACAAGGGCGAGAGTGATCGGAAGGTTACTTACTAGTCTAGGTTCAGTTTGGCAATCCGTCAAGCAGCTATCGTATCGCCTACCGAACGTCAAAAAACTACCAAGACAAATAAATGCGTGATGGACCAAGAGAACTGCTTGCCTTAGCTTGTTTCTGTATACGTCAAATATCCCGATACAAAAGATGCGGCTCCCAGTGAGGCTTTTGTCGGAATGATGTGGTATTGATATCCAGCAAGCTTGATCAGAAGCTGCTAAAATTAATATTGAATAAGTTGCCTAGCATTCCAAGCAAGCAAGGTGCCGAAATTTTGGCTCAACGTGTTCGACTCCGTCTAAGGGCATCTTATCGATAAGACAAGTAGAAGACCTCAGAGCGCGAGCTCTTCAACGCCAGGATCGCTCAAACAAACGCAGGACGCTGGAACAGAGGCCATCAATTCATGTGCGCACAACACCGCTCAAATCATCTTACTCAGTCACGTACGCCTCAGGTCTTTTGGGCTCTTTTCGAGTCGAGTAAAGTCAATTGGTACCGGATTCTTACCCTAAAAGGGTGCTCTGTGACGACCAGGCAGGCCCCTGATCTTAAAACATGCGCTCGCCCAGCTGCACAGCCGCCCTTTGGCGCAACATATCAGGCCCTACAACAGCTCAAACTCGCCGCGGCTTCTTTTCATTCAATGGGTCGTCTCCTGATGCTTCAGTGCAATCCCTCACGGCATCACGGGTCGTGCCGTATCCTTCGGCCCTTCTGTACGCGATCATCGTCGATGTTGACTCGTACAAAAACTTTGTACCGTATTGTTCGCACTCTCAAATCACGCGCTGGTCCAAAGCCGACCCAACAACGGGTCAAAGATGGCCTACTCAAGCAGATCTTCATGTGGGCTGGGGGGGCTTCAATGAGTGCTTCACGTCGCAGCTGCGTTGCGTACCCGGGGTGTCAGTCGAAGCTATGAGCGGCGGCGACGGTCAAAGCAATGCTAGCGCAGTGTTTCGGAGTCTCCTGACCAGATGGAGCGTTAAGGCTCTGGGAGAAGAGAAGACTCAGGTAGACGTTATGATCAAGTATCACTTCACAAGTCCTCTGTACGCTGCGGTCAGTGCAGCAATGTCGGACAAGGTAGCTGGCATGATGATCGAAGCTTTCGAAAAGGAGGCCCACAGCAAGCTCGGTAGACCAACAAGATAACGGGATTGTTTTACCATTCTCTATACTCGGTACGCCAGCTATCATGGACTCAAAGACCGCGCAAACCAAACATAGATACGATCAACACCCAGCTCGATCCTAGATAAAACTAGATTCCATTGTTCAGCTGACGACCGCGGTGTAGTAGCGAATGAGCCAGAACTTGTGACGAGTGACTTAGTGACTTGGAAACACCATACCCATGCATGCGACGCACATCCTTACTTGAAGGCAGTATCTTCAAGACTCATGAATGCAAAACAAAGTCGGATAGTCAAATCCACTCGATGGTGAAAGACCAGAGAAAAAGGGGGTATCATTAATGTGCCACTTGGTTGTCCTGCAACGGGTCGCTGCTTATTTCTTGCTACTCCTAGCCAAGGGTGTCAGTAACAAAACAGTCAAACAAGCGTCGAGGAGGCTCACTTCTTTTTTGGCTTACTTCCTGTGAAGAACTTGAGTATGGGGTCGTCTTTCTTGTGTTTTCGGGACTTCGGGGCAGCGTTCACAATTTCAACGCCGCGTGGAGGGCCAGAACGAGGGCGTGGCCAGTCCGCGTGTCGAGGACCATCAGTCACAGGGACTTCCCCCCTAGGCCGGCGAGGAGGTCCTGGTACGGGAACCCCCCTGGGCGGGGGCATGGGGCCGCTATGCCCTCCCAAGGGTCCTGGTATTCGTGGTCCTGGTCCAACAGGTGGTGACTTGTCCAAGGGCCACATGGTCATGCTAATACTCCAATCCGGCTCCACTACCTTCTCCCAAACTGAAGGAAGAATGATTTCACCATTGGGACCGGTCAAATCATAATGCCCTTCTTGGACGTGAGGGCCCAGTAGATCAACCTGCAGGAAAGCTTGCTTGATGAGCTCTTCCATGCCCTGTGCTAGGTTAGCATACACTGGTTTACCGCTAATCTGATTGTACATACCGCCCAAGTCTGGCAAAGATGAAACGGAAAGCTGAATTTGCGGCCGACAGCGTCCTTGAAGCGAATGGGCGCTTTGTCTGCCTTTTGTTTAGCGGAATTTTCCGCCTTCTGCCTCGCCTCCTCTTGCCACTTCTCCTTGAGCTCCTCTTGCTCCTTTTTGGCGGCTGCTTCGGCCTCCGCCTTGGCGATCGCATCCGCCTTTTCTTTCTCGACCTTGGCCGCAGCATCAGCTTCAGCCTTGCGCTTGGCATCTTCCTCGATCTTCTTAATACGCTCTGCCTCTTCAGCCACCTTCTTCTCAGCAGCCGCCCTCGCTTCGGCCTCGGCCTTGATGGCAGCTTCAACCCGAATGCGCGCAGCCTCTTCAGCCCTCTTGCGGTCCTCGTCCTCTTTCCGCCTACGTTCTTCAGCCGCTTTTTGATCTGCCTCAAATTTCATTCGGGCATTCTCTTCCGCGCGCTTCATGTCGTCCGCGCGCTGTTTGGCAGCCTCTTCTTGAGCTTTCCTCTCCGCTTCAATCCTCTCCCGAGCCGCTCGCTCAGCCTCGGCTCGAGCCTTGGCTACTTCCGCCGCCGCGCGTTCGTTGTATAGCCTGGCCTCTTCCATCCGTTGCTTGAATGCTTCCTCGGCTTCTTTCTTGATGCGAGCTTCGTCTTCCTTCCTTTTTTCAGCTGCCTTGGCCTCTTCTTGCATGGCCTTGATGGCTGCAAGCTCGTCTGCCATGCGCTTTTTCTCGATGTCCTCCTTGGGGACAGGCGTTACCTCTCTACCCGGGTGCTCTGTAGCCGCAGGCACGGGGGCCATCTGGTACTGCTGCATATGCTGTGGCATTGAATATTGACGGGGGTCTCCATAGAAGCCAGGGGCGCCGTATGGCATCATCGCATACCGGGCTTGACCGTCGTAAAAGCTGGCGCCGTTGGGACCATGCGCAGCAAAGGGGTTATTGCCATACTGTTGGCCGAAAGGTACCATGCCACCCATGCCCTGATATGGGGCGACTGGCCCTCCGTGGCCCCTCTGTCCTGAAGCATACTCTGCATGACTATGCGGGTCGCCATTTCCATTGCTATAGTACGCGTTCTGCTGCCTTGCCCGTGGCCCCTGGTGGTACGGCCTTTGGGGGTAGTGGTCGCCCATGGCGAAATCAGCCGATCCCTGATCGCCCTGCGGTGGTGCGTATGGAGCGTGTGTCGCTCCTGGGGAGCCTCCGGCTCGCCACAGAGGGACGACGTGTTGATTTTGGCGTTGATGTTGACTGTGAGATCGGTAGGGAGCTCGAGAGTATAGACGAGAAGTCGGGCCGTTACTCGCAGACGCTGAGTCCGAGGGGTCGACCTCGTCGTCGTCGTCGTAATAGTCCTCCTCGTCCTGCGAATCAAATGTATCTTCGTGACCGTCTGAGTAGGTTGATTGAGAGCCACCCGGTTGTGCGTGCGCACTTTGGATAGTCCTTTCCGGCCTCTGTGTCAGTCTGGATGCTAGGTTAGTCTCCGAACTCGCGAAAAGCAGTATCAAGACTCGTGAATCTTACGGCATAGCAGACAAAGATTTCGCCAGTAGTTCGGCGGCGACGAAATGGGTGGTGAGGAAAGGTGCGTGGCTTAGTACTTATGCGCCGTCACGCTCACAGACTCACGGTGTGGCCAGGGCGGGGTCAGGATGTCCTGTCAGGTTACCCGAGGGCACCACTTGACAAGCTTCAACCAGCCCGCTTGTGCTGCTGGCTCTTACTGTGTGGCGTCGTCAACAGCCCCTCGCGACCTTTCCCACCATGTGATTCGTGGGCTGTGAACGTACAGCAGCCTGGTGAGACTCTGCAGGAAGGCTTCGGTACTACGCCGTCCGTGAAACCCCGCGACAAGATGTGTAAAAGTGCACAATTGGGATGCTAGGAAGCTCAACGCCAGAACCGCGACGGGGATGCTGGCGACCGGATTCGCAGAGAAAGCGTTGATGCTGTCGCTGCCACAGGCTGCACGGTGGCTTAAAGCGTCCTTGGTCTGGTAAGGGACATTGATTCTTAATTACGTGAGACAGCTCGGCCTGGTTGACATTTGTGGTGAGAAAGTCCTGCTCTTTCAACCACGGGAAATATCCGGAGTCTTTGATGGTGCCTGACACCAGACTCATACAGCCCAATGAGTGATAGCCAGGGATCGATCGCCAGAGCCGATACAATGAATCCATGTTGTAGAACATTGCATGAAACCAACAGACACGGATGGTCTGTTTGCAAGGGCCCCATCAGAACAACATTGTTTGCTGTACTTTGACTTAGCAAAGGAATTCATGACGCCCGGCGGCGACATATTTTTTTATGTTGACTTGCACTGCCAATGCCGCAGTTATCAGCCTCACATTGTAACGTTGATACTTTCATGTTGCTGGAAATTCTTGGACAGATCCGTCGTTGCAGGTACCAGTCCTACTGCATGCGACTCCAGTGGGAGTCGGCCGCTGACTGGAGTCACTGGACCCCAGTCTCCATGCCTTCAGGTTGTGTTAGGTGCCTACTAGTACCTAATAAAAATATACTCCAATACCTCTACCCTTTAGACTTATCAGGCTTCAAGAGTTTTGAAGTCTACAAACCCCCGCCCGCTGCAATCGCCTTGCAACCACGGCACGGAATTCAACCCATTGCCCATCCACCACTTACTCCTTACTAATTTACTTACCACTCTGAGCCAGCCGTGCCAACCGCAGCTTCCAGTCGCTCGTTATCCTCAGGTATCGTAACCCGCACCACTGAAAACACCTACCGGTATTACACGTACTACCTACTCAAGTACTACTGGTACAAGCTGCCCTCCGCAAGAAACGTGCCGTACCCTAAATCCACAATCCGCTGCCCAACAAGTGCCCAACGTCTAGAGCGGCTCACATTACCAATGAAAGACCGCGGGCGTCTCACGTACGTCCCTGTGGGTCTTGCGTGACCCTGTCACGACAGATAGTCGACAACTGGACAGTTATTAGCAGGCAGACTGGGCACCAGGGTAGCGGTTGGGTGCTAATTTCATGGTGGTGAGATGGCCTGGCGGAGCACGGCCCCGAGCACTGAGTCCCCTGACCCCATCACGACATGACTTCCCATCGACTGTAGAAGGTCGGTAGTACACATGCCTGCCATACCGACCAGCCATGTGGTAACGCAATTCGCTCCACTTTCGCCCTCCCCTGTGTTACTAATCGCTCAGCAGTCGGGAGCCGTCCTGCCATGTGATAAATCGCTTGATCAATTTTGTATCTTGACGGTTCTCGCTACGACCAAAACAAATGTTGGCCGAATTCAACGCTGTGAGGCACTCCTGTCTCTGCATTCGTGAAGCCGAAGGCTTCGCAGTCGCTTTGCTTCACATGCGGTGGCTGCAGGCTCGGGATGCAAAGTGCGTCAGTAGACCGGCCATATTAGTTGATACCATGTTTGATGAAAACGCGCAGTCGCCATGTCACCCGAGCAAAACACTTCGCCACGTCTCACTTGGTTGCATCTGCCAGGATCACACATGGCTCCTTATAATGGAGACTAGGTCAGATAACACCCTTCTCATAACCCATAGAGGCGCCCGAAAATTCTACTACGTTATACCATGGGAACACCAAGCGGCTTGTGAAAACATTGCACCTCTGCACGATGTGTGGTGAGCACTGTGCCGCCGGCGTCTTTATTCGTGGTCCTTTGGAAAATGTAGGCTCTGGCGGTTGATTGATACAGCTCGACGATCGAGCTGATTGTTTGAGTCACGAGTGAACTCATACAACATTAAGGAATTCCAGGTCAACCGAAGATACTACCATCAAACCTCAGGGCTAGAACATGCAATGGAGTGTCTCCCCCTCTTTCTGGTCACCTCAGTCCATTCGATGATATCTTCTATGGATCACATTGATTGTCTACCACGTACCAGTTATAAGGCTTAAGCTCGCACATTTTCCTCATTGACGATTGCAGCAAACTCTACTTCCAGCACTTCTGAGAATCGCCGCAAGTGATGGTAAGCCCAAAGACCGCCTTGACTTTCACCCTGGCTATACTACTTCTAAACTGATTTCAAATGCTTCATAGGCGCCATTATTGTCGGCCATATGCCACATGTCGACCGCAGTGAGCGTGTGAGTCTTTGTTCTTCCGTAGCGTCGTGAATCGCCTCCCAAGAACTCAATCCACGACACGCGGTAGGCCAGGACGAGGGTAGCTGCGCACTTCTTCAGACCAATGTGAACCCAAGCAAAAGGCAAATGGGCGACTTCAATTGACAGTCATTGTTCGCAAACAACAACGACGGGCGTCGTTATAAGCTGCCAACGGTTTATGCCTGTTGCATAGGCGCGTTAACGTTCGTGGGGTTGCGTCGCGAGTCCTTCAGTAGTCGTCGTCTAATTACTCATATGAAAATGTGCAAGGATAGAGGGCCTTGCTAGACTGAGTGGTCAATTGAACGCAACTGCTGAATTACAAGTATCGTCTGACAAGGTCCGACGAGCATTGGTATTCCGCTTGTCCGCGCTGAGATATGCTGATGGCAATTCGAAAGATGCAAGTCGCAGCTTCGTTCTCACATTGGCGACGGCAATGGGGCCCGCATGTATTATATTCCTGGCTGGGCTGGAATGGGCCATGCTTCTGTGACAGAGCTTCGTTGGTGCATCTGAAAAGCTATCTTACAAGCGTCTGCTTTGTCTTGTCCAAAAGGTCTGCTGCGGCAGCAATCGCAGAACTATCGTACCCTTGCCAAAGGGGCTCGCCTGCCTTGTATCTCCTTACTATGTCAGCAAGCCTTTCCATCGCCACCTCACTAAGCCTAGCAAGCGTCTCTTGATCAGGTATAGTGAAGCTGTCTGGGTCGTTCTTCGGTTTGCTCCGGATTTTGTCCTCTTGGAGTTGGTCGGCGACAAGCTTCAGTCCGTAGTACCCCCGGAGATAATGGTCACATAGCTCCACGCTGCGAGCGAAGCGTTTCAGCGCCTCTGCCCTGTATTTCAGTTGCGCATCGCTACTCGAGGCGGCTGCCATCATAAAAACCTCGCCCAACCGGGCGTGCATCTTTGGGTTCATACGTCAGCAGCGTCGTGAGTTGGCAGAGTACACTTACATTCCAGGCATTGGGTACCAAAACGAGCACTTCTTCGAGCGCGAAGATGGCTTGTGGATAGTGGCCTTGCGATAAATGGAGATCCGCGAGCTCCGACCACCCTTCTGCATCCGTAGGGGAGGAATCAAGAAGGGTGCCAAGAGCGGTGATAGCTTCTGAGTCCTTCCCCATGGATCTGAGCAATGCGACTCTGCGCTTCGCGATTGGCTAGACATGTCAGCACATCGAACGTCGAGGCATAGCGCTCTATGAACCCACAATGTTAGCTGCATTTTCTCCCAAGATCTCCTGGTATTCCGTCAAGATGTGTTGCAGCTGTTCGTCCCCCTTCGCCGTCGCCTCCTTGCCTAAGCCTGTCAGAGCCATGACGCGCTCATTCTGCGACCCGAATCGTGCTGTAATGCGATCTAAGCATTCAATCGCTGATTTATCGTCGCCGGAACGCAGACATGACAAGAGCAAGTTCTCGTATGTGATCCACAAGTCAGCTGTGTCGGGTGCAGAGAATAGTGATGCCCATGGCGAAGCAGATATCGTTTTCGGTGCGTCCTTGAGAACTAGAGGCGCTTGTTGAGCAACGTGAAGAGCGTCTGGATGGCTCAAAAGTCCGCGATCTTGGGAGAGTGAAATCATGATGATTTGCAATTGTAGATGTCTCCGTCCTCGCACCTGAACGTAAACCAAGCTGCGAGGCCCCGCATAAGGTAGCTCTTCAGGCCAGACCGGACGGGCCTACCTCAGGGTGGGTCAGATCTAGGTAAGGTATGGAGCCGGCGGTCGAGATTATCCATCCCGCCCGCTAAACGCACAAAGCTCATTGACTTTTCTTTCGCTAATCCCGCTCTTCATTCCCTCTCACACTTTCTCTCCTCTATTATTATTTGAAACCGAGACTACAATCGACTTCCCATTCGCGACGGTTGATGCTAAAACACTAGTTCATCGAAGTCTCGATATCACTTTGAGTATGGACCAAGATTCCCAGGCTGGGAAAGTACCTGCGTCAAATGACCAAGAATGCCTACGGCAGCCAGAAGTCAACTTGTCACACCGTTCTCACAGCAGCTCTGAAAATCTGAAGCGTTCGGACCCTTTCCAGTTTGGTAGTCGGTTCCTAGAGGCAGGAGATGATGTGTTCGAGTTCAACGCCTGGGACCATGTCGAAACTGACGATGCATATAAGGCATACGCAGAGCAGCAATTAGCATTGCAAAGACAATCTCCTGTCTCTGAATTTGACAAAAGTGAGTTTCTTTTTTTTCTTATGCCAGAGCATCCTTGCACACAACCCAACCCCATATATTATGATGATGACACACCTAATGCATAGTTCATCTGAAACCTGATGATAAACTATACCTTCAATTCTTTCGCTCCCATCTGAATGCAAATGTATCTATCTTTTACTTGCGTATTTCCGTCACGTTGCTCGATCAGTTGCTGACTTGAGTCGCAGAGAGATTCAATGGAGATCCCGCAAAATGGTGGAACCTGTTCTACAAGAACAACACAGCCAACTTCTTTAAAGATCGAAAGTGGCTGAAGCAGGAGTTTCCCGTTTTAGATAAGTTGACCCAACGTGACGCGGGCCCATCGCTTGTCCTCGAAATTGGGGCAGGAGCTGGTAATACTGCTTTCCCGGTGCTTGCCACCAACCAGAACCCGGGGCTGAAGATTCATGCTTGCGACTTCTCAAAGACAGCCGTCGATGTGATGCGCACCAGTGTGCAATACGATACTCAGCACATGCAAGCTGATGTATGGGATGTTGCCAGCGATGATTTGCCGCCCAATCTCAGAGAAGGGTCCGTAGATGTTGCGATCCTTATCTTCATATTCTCGGCTCTGTCGCCCGCTCAATGGACCGCCGCAGTGCACAATGTGCATCGCCTCTTGAAGCCCGGCGGCATAGTTTGTTTCCGCGACTATGGGCGTGGCGATCTTGCGCAAGTCAGATTTCGCAAAGGCCGGTACATGGAGGAGAACTTCTACGTCCGCGGGGATGGGACACGGGTGTACTTCTTCGATCAGGAGGAGTTGGCAACCATCTGGAAGGGTGACTCCGCCGAGACCTTGTTTGAAATCGAGGAGCTCGGTGAGGACCGGCGCTTGATTGTCAACCGTAGTGAAAAGAAAAAGATGTACCGATGTTGGTTACAGGGGCTTTTCAAGAAGATATAAAAAGCAAGGCCCGCAAATGACAATTGGTGTTTATTAGTACGAAACATTCACAGTCAAATCCGAAGCGCAATTCGTGACTCTTTACGGTTTCCGATTAATCTAATACTAATCTGTCCACGAAGACAAATTGTCAACAACACAACCATCTGACCCTTCGCGACGGATCAGCCGCCCAAGATGGAACACCTTCTCTCCTGACTTGCTCAACGATGCCGTAACGGCGTCAACTTGCGCAGCATCAAGTGCAATTACCATACCAATGCCAGAGTTGAATGTGCGGACCATCTCTGAGGGGGTCACGTTGCCAGCCTGCTTCAACCACTTGAACACGGGAGGCATGTCCCAACCAAAGCCGATCGAAGCCGCCAGGTGAGAGGGCAACATCCTTGGTACGTTCTCGACTAACCCTCCGCCAGTTATGTGTGCGAGGCCTTTGATGTGCTGCAGAATCGGAAGAAGAGCTTTCACATAGATGCGTGTGGGCGTAAGTAGTGATTCCCCGACGGTGGTTGCACTGTCCCAAGGCGCTGTAGACGAATAGTCCAGACCGGCAGCAGACACAATTCGGCGCACAAGGGAATACCCATTGGAGTGAACGCCAGAGGATGAGAGTCCTATCAAAACATCCCCCTCCCTCATCTGATCCAAGAGCGGAAGTTTGATATCATGTGTCACCGTGCCTACGGCGCATCCGGCGGCATCGTACTCTTCGCCAGTGTACATGCCGGGCATTTCGGCCGTCTCGCCACCAACAAGAGCACAGCCAGCTTGACGACATCCTTCTGCTACACCTTCGACAAACGCAGAGGCAATGGCGGGGTTGAGTTTACTGCAGCCGTAGTAGTCGAGAAACATGAGAGGGGTGGCGCCTTGAACAACCAAATCGTTGACGTTCATTGCTACCAGGTCGATACCAACGGTATCGTGCTTTCCCATTGCCAATGCAACTTTGAGCTTTGTACCAACACCATCAATAGCACCGACAATGATGGGAGCACCGGGGAATCCCGCTTTGGAGAGGTCCACCTCGCCTCCGAAGCCGCCGATTTCAGCATCCGCGCCAGGGCGTGCCGTGCTAGCAACAGCTTTCTTGATTTTGTCCACAAAGTCATTGCCAGCCTGGATGTCAACGCCAGCTTGCGCATACGTCATCGAGGATCCCTGAGTGACGCGGAACGCGCGGTGGGCGATGTCTCTTCGATAGAACTTGCCTTCGAAGTCAATGACATTGGAAGATAGAGCGGCGTACGAGGCATCAACAGCGGCTCGCAGAGAGCTTCCCACGGTGTTCAATGCAATGACGCGACCACCAGAAGTTTTGAGCTGGCCATCTTCCGGATCCAACTTCGTCCCAGCGTGGAAAATGGTGCTACCTTTGGGAGGTTCTTGCACAGTCATTACAGTACCCTGAGCGTAGGACCCCGGGTAGCCGCCTGCAGCCAGCACAACGGTTGCGCTGAACTTGTCCACAACGTTGATCGCAATCGCCTCCAGTGAAGAATTTGTACATGCCAACATGATCTCTGCAAGGTCCGTGTCCTCTGACAAAAGTGGAAGGACGGTCTGCGTTTCGGGGTCACCAAAGCGCACATTGTATTCGAGCACTTTGGGTCCGTCTGTGGTGATCATCAAGCCAGTGAACAGAACACCCTTGAAAGCCTGCTTCTCCAATCGCATGCCTCGAAACGTGGGAAGTAGGATTTCTCGATCGACGCGCTCAATCAAATCCTGTGATGAAATGTTCGTGGGCGCATAGCAGCCCATTCCACCCGTGTTGGGCCCCTCATCACCATCATAGATGCGCTTGTGATCTTGTGCCATTGGTAAAGAGCGGAAAGTGTAGCCATCGCAAAACGTCAAAACACTTAGCTCGTCGCCGTGGAGAAGTTCTTCCACAACAACCTCGGACCCAGCGGCTCCAAAAGCCTTGTCAACCATGATCTCTTTTAGCGCAGCCTTCGCTTCAGCCTTCGTCGATGGTAGTATCACGCCCTTGCCGGCGGCCAATCCGGTAGCTTTGATGACCACGTCATGGTCCACCTCGTCAATGTACCGAACTGCTGTGTTGTAGTCGGAGAAGTTCTGATACGCGGCCGTGGGGATGTTGTATTTCCTCATGAAATCTTTCGAGTATGTTTTGCTTCCTTCTAGTCGAGCAGCGTCTTTCGTAGGTCCAAAGCAAGGGATGCCAGCGAGGCGAAAGTATTGCTCGACCCCATTCACAAGGGGGGCCTCGGGTCCTGGCACAGCAAGATTGACGTCGTTGTCTCTGGCAAACTTGACAAGACCCTCGAAGTCGCTCGCAGAAACCGACGTAACATTTGTCGTCTTGGGGCATGTGGCTGTTCCACCGTTTCCGGGGACAGCCAGAATGGAGGCAACACGCGAAGATTGGCTGAGCTTCCAAGCCAATGCGTGTTCACGGCCGCCATTGCCAATGAGCAGAATTCGGAGATCGGCCATTGTATGGTCTATGCGACAGTAATACCATAGGGACTGATAATTATCAAGCCTATGCTGGACAAAGAAAAAAATTACCCCTCTAACGCCGAGATCGGCGAGAGAGAAGTATAGAGCTCGACCTAAGGTACCTAGTTATTAGTAAAGTAAGTAATATACTATAGAATAAATCTAGACTCTAAAGACTATATTAAATAAATAAGAAAATAATTATTTATATAATTATATATTATTAAAAAAATAATTTTTATTATAATAATAATAATAAATTATATATCTTTATATATATTTTTAATAATTAATTAAATTATTTAAATTAAATAATCTTAAAAAAGAATTTTAATAAAAAAACCTTAATATAAAATTTATTTTTTTTAAAAAAAAATTTTTTTATATAGTTAATAGATATATTTTATTATAAGCTAGGCCTTATTAGAATAACTTAATAACTTAGATTTAGTTTATTTAATAATAAAGGAGAAAGGAAAAAGAAAAATAAAGTTTACGGGCTTTTTTTTTAGTAATATATTATAGGGTCTATATATCCTTATAAGGGTATATAACTAGTCTAGGCTATCTAAGCTAGGTCTCGTACCTAGCCGCTAGTATATTAATAAAACTATAATATTACCCCCCTTTTCTTCGGAGGCGTCCTATATATACGTTATATACTTATTATAAGACCCTTAAGCTATTAAAGTATATATTTAGTTTCGTTATTTAGCTATTATAACTCTATATAGGTCTATATTTTCTTATAGCGAGCTATATAGCTTATTTATATATAAAGAGTATAACCGCGAGCCTTATAAAAATAAGTAAAGGTAATAATATTTTTAACTTATTTTCTAATAAAGATTAGTTATTAATAAATTCGTATTATCGCCCCCTTTATTTTTATAGCTATTTGATATATATATTATATATAAAATATAAGGTTTATGCACTATAAGAGTATATTTTTTATTTTATTATTTAATAATTATATCTTTATATAGATCGATATATCCTAATAAAACCTTATAGCTTATTTATATATAAAGAATATACTTATAAGCTTAATAAAAAAAAGTAAAAATAATAATACCTTTAGTATATTTTTAAGTAAAGATTAAATAAGCCCTTAAGCGTTTATATATATAATAATAATAACCTTTATTAGTTTGTTTTTTTTCTTTATTTTTAATTCTTAATATTAATATATATTTTTTATAACCCGCGGTTATATTATAGTATCGCTAGGGCATACTTACTAACTATATATATAACGCGTTATATTTTATTAATTATTAGAATCTATAAGTATTTCTTATAACGCGCGTAGCCTTTATATATTACTTATATTCTTTTAAAAAATATCATTAATATTATAAATTAATTTATTCTATCTTTTTATTATTATATTCTTATTATTATTATTATTATTATTAATAAAATAATCGATACTAAAGCGAAGTTATATAATTAATATATAAGTAATATTTATTAAGAAAGCTATCGTTATAATTACTTTTTATTAAATTAATAAGTATTAGGCTAATATAAGTCCTCTTTATATTAACTTTATATAGCCTTTATTAGTAATTAATAAGGCGGGCTTTGTATTATTTTATTATTAAATAAGAAAATAATAGCTCTTAGCTATTACTATAAGCTCTTATAAATACCTTTATAACCCCGATATAAGAATATTACTTACATTCTTTAGATATATTTATTATATACGCGCTTTAATCGCGAAGTTTAATAATACTCGTACTTATTATAATATTAAGGGTAAGTTAGGATATACTATTAATATATTCCCTTTATTAACTTATATAAATAGCTAAGGTTCGAAATATTATTATTATATTAATATTAAGTATAATAATATTTTTATAAATTTTTAATTTCTAATATTACTCTTATATAAGGCTAATATATATAATCTATAAGTCTTTCCTAAAATAATTAAAGCTATCGATATCTTAATAAGTATTATTACTAATATTAAGTATATTAAGTATAATAAAAAAAATAACTCTTTTATAAGTTTATTATAACCTTATATATATCTTATATATTAACTTATTAAGAAACCTATTATTAGAAGTTTATTAATAAATATACTATACGTATTTTATATACTTACCCTTATATACCTAAGGATTAAAGTTTATATTACTTACTAAATATTAAGTTTATATTATATTATCTTTATAAGGTTAATATAAGTTTAAATACCCCTTTTTATTATAAGTCTATAGCTAACCCGCTAAAATATCGCTATCTTTATAATAATCTCCCCCCTTAATAAAGAAAACATAATTAATAATAAAGATAATAATAACGCCGATAAAGAGTAAATATATTATTTTTATAGACTAAGTATAAAGGACCTTTTAGGATTAATTTTTATTTTTTAATTTCTTAAGAAATAGTTTAATATTTAACTCTTTTATAAAGTTAAGGTAAATTAATTATAATTATTAAATTTTAAATAAAATTCCTCCCCTTTTATTTATTAATTAAATAAAAATCCTGTAAAATTATCTTAATTAATAATAAAGATTTTATATATTTATAGCGACCTTACTTTATTTTTATCCAGGCTATAATAGACTTCC